AGGTAGCTATCCCTGAGATGGCTACTGTCCTGTCCGATTTGACGGTAAAATCCGTCTCTGAGTACTCAGTGACAATATCTTTCCAGAGCTGAGAGAAGTCCCACGTATCGAAGGCATCATTCCATGACAAGTCACTTTTGTTGAGAACCACATGTGAGAATTCATAACGAGTTTGAGAGTTGCGTCGAAGCTTAGTGTTCGCATCCTGATACCGGCCTCCACATTGGCAATAAGTGGCTTCCCTGCAATCCCAGATCATTTCATGCTTGGTAAAGTGAAGCACGCGGGGTGAGAGCATCCTCTCCTGAAAAGTCCAACCTCGGGTAAGTAATGGAAAGCCTAAAGCGATGGTCTCATTCTTTTCCAACGCAGTCCAATAAGGGTGGCGTGTTTCCTGGGTTGTAACAGGACCAACGCAGCGGACTTGCGCGTCAGAAAAAAGACCGCCATATGGGGAGGTGTTGAAGAGTGCTGAAACGGTAAGGAAGGCATTCTGGTAGACGTCTGCCATGCGCACAGACTCGTGCTTCCAATCATTCCGATCGTCCTGAATAATGCAAAGGGAATCTATCCAAAGGTAACGGATTTCAAGAGTATGACAAAGTTCAATTACATCCTGGAAGGTTGGAGGAAGCTCGTCCAACGCGATGCCTTGTTTTTGGTATCGTTCATATGTATCGATCTTTGTCTTGATGAACTCGGCACCACCCCAGGCGTAGGATAAAGCGATGTACCGGCCTTTGAGTTGCCCATTAGTCTCAATCAAGCGTATCAGGCCTTTTTCTGGGTTGGAACCCAAGTCAAGAACCCTTGTCGGGAGAGCTGACTCGCCAGAAGACTCCTTGAGGCATTGTGAATGAGTGTTGATACATTTGGAGACCCATAACTTAAGGCACTCCATTGCATCATGAGATTTGGTTGAGATTGCCGGTAGTGGCTTAACGTTCCAGGGGTTAGGAATGCCTGTAAGTGATAGAGGTTAATTATTGTTTGTCATTGTTTTACTCACCAAATAGGGCCTTGCAATTATGAATTCGACTACTTACCCTCGATTCCTGTGAGTATCACCCTCCTTCGCTCACTCGTCCCGTCATCTTCAATGAAGTCCAACGCAATGGCTTGGATATTGCCAGGAGGAAAGGGGACCTCGATAGGAAAGTAAAATCGGGCTGCATAATCTCCTGGCTTCATGAGGTGCCAAAATGGCACATCCCCAGCAGCATTCCATATCCTTGCTCTTCTCCTCTAAAAATATTTGCCCTTGTTCACGCCACTTTGGTCCTCCCCTGTTCGTCCAGTCTTCACAGAGCGTGGGCTTATCTGGATTTACCACAGGCCACCCAAACAGATCGATATCATCAAACATGCTTGTTGACACCTCGGGTGAAGTAGAGCAACTGAGTTCGCTTCCATCGGTGTTTGCTGAGTCTGAGGATTCAAGCTTCGGAGATTCATCGGGTGCCCCTTTGCGAGGGGTCAAGCTTATCGACATTGAAACGTACATACTCTGCTGGCAGCAGTTCAAGATGGCTCACGTATAATGAGATAAAAGCTTGTTGATAACCAGCTAAGTAGTCTCCGGATGTATCGGCATTGATACTTCAAAAGGTCTTAGAAAAGCTCTCAGGACAAGGGCACGTTGTTAGAGAGCGCAGTTGACGATAATGCAATGAATTGCATGCGGGGTTCTTGGCAAGGCTGGATCACGATATTAGAGCTTGGCTGTCATCTGTTTGACAGCGTGATTGTCTTTATGACCATCACTAAGTAGGAAACAGGTGATTATGTGTTATCATTGACTGTTCATGACTCCATTACTGCTCGATCCTGATGATAACCTTTTTGTCGTTGATGGCTACATTCCGCAACTTCAACGACATCTTAGCTGGCCTTTTCATTTGCAGACTGTCCGTTATTAAGGTGACTTTTTTCCGTTCTGCCTGATATCTTCGATCCAGCTATCATCCATGATTTCAATAACTCCGAGTCTCTTGATAATTAATGGCCGATTATTGTGAAGGTTCTTAGAAATAGTCACAACCTGTAGCATCCACCATCGTAGAGTGTGAAAAGAGGAGTCATGTAAACGAAGCCATCAGTTTGGGAGAATTGCTGCGTGCGCATGCAATTTCGGGCGTTCGGGTTGTCATGAACTAATGCGTATAGACTGCATTACTCCACATTCGAGTTCATGAACTTCATCCCTCACGAAAGTGTTTTGACATTAGCCTGTGACGCTTTATGAGACACCTAGAACCCTGACATGCTCAGTCACAATGAAACAAGGGGTTAGGGTTATTCATCCATTTAGGCCACCCACTGTATGTTCTTATCAACAGCAGCCCGTGTCCCATGGAGGTCTGTCCGAACTGTAACAGGGGACTTGATCTGGTACAGGCAGGGATCAACAATGGGTCAAATGGGTTAAATGATAGCCCAGACGACATGGGGTGCATACGAATTCAATTGATACGTGTAATAATCAATCTTACTCCTCAGTGTCCTTGTATTGGGGAGAGAAAAAACTAAGAGAAATCCTTCATCGTGTCTGGGCAGCTTCCTTTATGGAATCCTCTTGCCCTTGTGAGTCCCTCGGCCTGCCAGGCTTTTCAGGGGTCTCGTCCTCCTGCCCCGGCCATCTGGCTCATTCGGTTGTGTGGCCCCATATATCTTCCAGGATCAACGACGTATATTTGTCCTCCACAATTATTCTATCTTTGGTGTCCTTGCGTTGGCAGTCGGGGATTCCCCTTTCCTTGGACTGACGTGTCTGTGCGACACCAACGGGTCTGGAGATGAGCCCACAGTTGATTGTTACCGTGCCAAATCTGAAATCACGTTCTCTTTCCAAGGCCTAAGCAGTACTTTCAGTTAGTCTTCTAGGATACTTTGGAGAAGTCATCAATGGCGGCAAGTTTATTCTTTTCTGGATAGGTACGGGCGAGATGTGGGCAGTCGATGAGAAGCCTGCTTCACTCTGCAGCCATATTTATTAAGAATGATGGCCCAGGAATTAAATTGTCGAGAGCGGGTTGCAATTGCGACCTGCATAACATATTGGCTAAGTTATGCTTTCCTGAGGGTGAGTCATCATCTTTCGATGGACACCGCGTGTGCTAGGTTCTGTACTGTTCGCGAACAAGGTGCCCATATTCGCATATCCGGATATCCATGCAATCTCACACTATCTCCTCGGCGCAGAAGTGAAATACTCTGGGAACAAGCATTCACTCTTGGAATATCCGTGCTCTTAACAGTGCTGGTGTGCGAGCTCACGACCGCCTATGGCAATAATCGTTCCAAAAAGGTACTCCTGGAAAGTTCGCCAATTGGTGAACCACAACTGATCCGATTTTGAATCCAGTTGTCTTCCAGAAGAGGCCTGAGCAAGGTAATATTCCCACACAGCTGAGATGGTTAACAACGAGTGTCGGTAAATATGGGCCATGGGAATGCATTCTCGCTTCTAACCAGCACCGTCAATGTTGCTCTGGCTTGTGCAGACCGCGTCCATCCTAAAATATTACACTCCGAGCGTACGACAACCGAAAGTGCAATCTTGAAAGTTTTTGGGGGTTGCTTGATGCTGATGCCTTGCTTATGCTTGTTAATACTTACAATTGTCTTGATAAATATTGCAGTTCCCCAGCAGTAGAATAGTGAGATAAAGTGTCCTTTTGCACCACCAATTTCCCAAAGCCGAATAGTATCGGAACCTTCAAGCCCTAGATCAAGCGCTTTGGTCAGAGATACTATCACGGAGTCTCCGAAAGGAGATGCAGAACTGCGTCTTGCATGCAATTTGATGCAATCTTGTAACCAAGTCTGTGCTAGAGATATGCCTTTCGCTGAGTTGTCAACGTAGATGGGCGCTCGGAAAGGGCCCATGGCCTGGAGTTTAAGATAACGGAAAACCTAGTCAGTAACATAAGCAAGCCAATGAACGCGACAGCACAAGAGAAAAGAATTCCTGAGTGAGACCTCTCTGGATGATACAACCTTCAATTCCGGAGACCCGCAGTTATAGTTCTCTCACAACTAATAGTTCCCTTACCAAGCGCATCGACCGCCGGCGGATTCAAAGGAAGAATGTTACTGCCATGAATCAACCGCATATAGGACGAGTTAGCAAGTGCCAAAACGATGTCGCGAATCAATTGAAAACCCAATTCACTGGCAGAGCTTAGATTCATCAAGCTGACATACACACCCATCATCAGTCGGGACCAGTTCGTCCCTGTACTGACAATGAGTTGGTGTCGGAAAGAGCTCGGACAGTCACAGGTCGTGTTCTTGACAATGTTGCCAATTGTCCCCCTCACTGCAAAGGAAATCACATATGGCTTTGGCTTGTGAGTGAGTATTCTTCAAGGTTGTGCTTTGGCTGTCGCTATCAATCCAGTTCCTTGGGGATCGACAATCTGAAGACTGTTGTGGATGTCTTTATTATCAAGTTAAGGGCATTTACAACGTGTCTGGAGAGATTGCAACTTTTACCCGCGCTCGTTGCATGGACAATCCTGCTCCGTAACTGGTGACTGACAATGATATAGGAACGGGCTGTCAAAGCTCGGACCACAAATTGAGAACCTTAATCATGAGAAGGAGAGGGTCACCACTTGATGTGAGCCTAAGGAATGGCGAGGTATGCTTTGTGTGCCGCGGCCCGCCCTTGAAATCCCAACAGTAAAAGATGCTACGTGAGCCAATCATACAGAAAGAGGGTCATATTAGCTTCAGTAAGCTGCATGATATGAGTGGCTGCCTAGGCATCTGTGTTGGATATCAAGGTGACACTCGAACCCTTGGGACTGAGAAAGTACTTGTCAGAGTGGGCGAATAATATCTCATTGGAAGTATCAACAACTAGGCTAGAATATTACAACACTCCTCCTCATGATACAGCCGTTCTAAATACCTAAGTAATGGCCGTAAAACATGACCCTTCTTGATGCCTCCAAGCAGCAGGCAGAAACCACAGGAAAGTATCAACCAACCCCTCACACCTTAGCCATCTCCCAATCCTCCAAAAATCTCACCCTCTCCCTAACCCCCTTCCACTTCCACCTCTCAACCACCCTCCAAAACCCCCTACATAGCTCCGCATCCCCTCCACACCACGCTGCACCATCCTCCCATCTCGGCATTTTCCCCTTCAACTTTTGCAGGTATTTCATCACCCCCCTGAGGATCTCATCCTCTCTCTCGGTCCACACCTCCGGTATCTCCATCTCGACGCGGCCATACTGCTCGAGATGTGAGAGGACCGAAGGGAAGTGTGGGACGTGACGGAGGGAGGTAGCACGAAGTGCGCGGGAGATGTCGGAGGGTCTGTGGCCTAGGGAGGTGTAATATTTTATGATGGATTCAAAGGCTTCGAGGTTTGCGGCTGCGTTGGACGAGGGGGAGTCGGGAGGAGGAGGGTAGGAAGGGCGGCGAGGGATGGTTCCATGGTTTTGAGGGAGGGCGGAGGAGAGTGGGAAACGGTTGGGGATAGGGGTGAAGGGATTTTGGTGTGGATAAGAGGAGTGGGAGAGGGGGAAAGTTGGAGGGGAACTGGAAAGAACGGTTTGCTTGCTCTGGCCTTTGTCGAGGCGGGCAGGCAGAGGTTGAGCACGGTGGGTGGAGAGACGGTTTGTTGCTACCTGTTTGTGTTGAAAAGCTGGGTGCTGCTTTGGCAAGGCCTCGAAAGCATCTTCATAGTCGTCGTCATCAACTTCATCGTCCTCTTCGTCTTCTTCTCGGGGGAGGGGAGGGGACGGTGAGAAGCTGGCGAAAGCGGATTCTTTGCCTTTCCCCTCGTCGAGACGGGAATATTGGGGGTTATAACGTGGTTCGACTGGAGCTCGGTGGGTTACGAGACCGGCTGCAGCTGTTTGCTTGCGCTGGGTGGTTGAGCTGTACCTCGGTAAGGTTTCGAAGGCCTCTTCATCCTCATCTTCCTCGTCATCCTCATCGTCTTCGTCCTCATCTGGTTGTTTCTCCTCCGGCTCGAACTGTGGATCAACAGCTTCGATACTAAGCAGCGGTCTGTCAGGAGAGCCATCTGGAGCATGTTCACCCAGCTCGGATAGCAGCTGTCGTGAGGGCGCCAGCCAGTCATCGTCATCATCCTGAAGGAGGTTATCACCATCTTGGACGAGGCCATTTTCATTTCGAGGAAAGCTATAGTACTGAGTCCCTGGTTCTGCGCATTCGGAGCCGTTCTCTTGGGTTGGAGCGCTGAAGTACTGAGATGCATCGGCGCTCTTAGAGTCCACATTGGTGCGGGAGAAGAGCTGTGAACCTTTTTGGGTGTTCTTAGAACCTTGTCGATAGGATGAAGCGGCAGTCTTGTGCGGCGGCGTCTCTTGGATCTCAGGTGAGCTCGGCCGGTCATTGGGCCGAAATTGCGTTTCCGGAATCTCTTCGTCGCGATCATAGCGGCGTCGCTTCCGAGCTGACAAGCTCGAGGAACCTCCCATCTTGGAGAAGGTTCTCTTCGTGCTAGGTGCTGGAGGCGAGGGAGCAATGTGTAGAGTTCGCAAGTGTCTGGCTCGGGTGGGCGTAGGCTCTTCCTCTGCTTCCTCCCAAACATCCTCTTCCTCCTCGCTTTTGGATTCAACTCCTTCGATGACCACTTCTTCCTTCTCATCGGCGCTCATATCAGCCTCACTATCAGGTTCAATCCCTTCGGTATCTTGCTCATACTCCTCATCTTCCTCATCACTCTCGCTCCCTCCCATCCTTTGCCCCAATTCTTCTTCCTCAGCCTCCATCCTCAACTCCTCAACCGAATACTCCTTAATCGCCGCCTCAAGCTGCATCAGCTCACGCTCATACACTTCCTTCACCTTATCAGGAAGATCCCGATCCTCGATCCAGTTCAGCCCTAGGTCCTCACAAATCTTCCACCAGTTGCGTGATGCGTGATGATCCTCCTTCGTCACGGCTACCCACAAGTTGTAATAATCGACCGTGTGCCTGCCGATCTGGGCCCAAAAGGAACGACGCGCTGATGGGCCGAAGGCGATGTTGCGGAACTGGTTGAAGGCATACCAGAAGACTTTGCGGTCAATATTGAGGTTGGGCGGTGCTTCCTGGATCGGCCGGGAAGTGGGTCTCGGTTGAGAGCAAGAGCTCGCGGCTTGGGAGGATTGTCTCGACTGTGCTGAGGCTGGCTGAAGGAGAGTCTCCTCAATCGGCAACGATTCATCATCTTGGGTCTCTCGCTCATCTTCTGATGGGGAAGGCTCACGAGTAGATGCTCGAACCTCCGCGTCTTCCACCTCATCCTCTGCTCGCGGGAGTTCCAATGCCGAGGTTTCGCCCGCATCATGGTCTTCTCCTTTTTCACCAAGGTCAGGACTAGGGCCTTCGTACCCGTCTTGGGTCTCTCCCTCCTGCTGAGACTGCTCACGCGCTGAATATTCCTCCTCAGAAGAATCGGCTGCTTCTTCTTGAGTATAATGAAGTACAGCTTCTTCATCAGCGCCCGCTTCTTCCCCTAATTGATGCTGTTGTAGTTGTCTCTCATGTTCGCGAACCTGTTTTCTAGCCAAAAGCTCTTGCTTCTTCCGCTCAAGCTCTGCGAAGCGGCGTTCCCTAGCTTCATGAGCGGACTCAAAGTCTTCGTGCTCTGATTCTCCCTCTCCTGGTACCGCATTGTCTTCACTCCCTGAGTCCTGCGATACTATTCGCTTCCCCTTCCCTTTGTTTGCACCCGGCTGGTGACTCACTGAGGAGGGCTTATGATTTTCTTCTGGTTCCACCTTCCTATCTACTTCTCCCTCCTTCTTCTCCGAGTCTTTTCGGGCTGGTTGCTTCCCTTTCGCTTTCTCTGAGCTTGACTCGCGACTCACGGCAGAAGATCTGGGCTCTTCCCGTTCAGCTTCTGCCTGCCCTTCTACCTCTTCACCCTCTTCGTCTGAGTCTTGCGTTACCGGCTCCTTCCCCTTCACCCTTCTCGTACCTGGTTGGTGCCCCGAGAGATGTTTATACCATCTCGTGCGCCACGCCTGCCACGTGTGTTGGGGGTGCTGTGCGGGTTAGCAGAGCTTGGAGCAGGCCTGGGGACACAACAAGGGTACATACCTTTTCGGCAAAAGTTTGGTATATCTTGTTCCCATAAATATGCAAACCCTCATTCTCACATTCTTTGACATACGCGACGAGCATCTCGTCTTCTTGCGCCGTGAAATGGTTTCTCTTAGGCGAGGCTAAGCCAGGGGAAGAAGTAGAGCGCATCTGGTTGTCTTGTCTCTCTCGTGGTGGAGTGGCATGCGGTGAAGGACCCTCAGCCTCGGATGAGCTGGACTCTGATACGTCCTGCTGTGATGCAGTTGTTTGTGATGCGGTAGCCTGTTGTTCCCGAATTGGCGTTACTCGAGTCGGTGCTCCCCGACCTTGCGCTCTTTGAACCTGTTTGCGCCAACCCTCCGGGGCCTCCCGCGCAAGAGCCTGTATCTCCTTCTTGGAATAATACGCGAGCCTTTTCACCCAGCGGTCTCTCCACGACTGCCAGGTGTGGCCGCTGTTGGGGTACTGGAAGATGGTAAGAAAGGGAACTGAACAAACACGGAATCACTCAATCTCAGCTCATACCTCTTGATCAAGCTTTTTGTAAACCTCATTCCCACTGATCCTGTCCTGAAGAGCATGGTTGAGGACCCAAGCAGCCAGGATACGGTCATCGTCCTTCGTAAATGGGTTCCGGGCGTGCTTTCTCGGTGCGGTCTTACCTCGCACCCGGGAAGGCTGTGCATCTGAAGCTGAGGCTAAGGTTGAAGCTCCATGTTGGATGATATAACTGTCTTTGTTGAGACGCTGGCCCTGCTGAATGGACTCTGTGACGAACTTCCATGAGACGGAGCCTTCAGGAGCGTCCTTGCGGGCATGATCGGCAATGAGAATATCAGCCTGCTTTTCGAGCCGAACAACCTCACCCCCGTTGTCCTATCGAACGGTCAGTGGCTTGATACGATGAGACTAGTGTAGCTGAGTGTAACAAAAAGCTTTATGGGGACACATACCTTGATCATTTTGAGGATATCATTGCGTATCGGGACACGCTGGGCAACCCAGAATTTCATCCCTTTAAACAGCGTTCCATGGACCTCTCCATCTTCAAGCTCATAAGCGATATGGGCTGCCATGGTTATTGATTGATGTCATGCTTCTGGGAAGCTCGTCAATAAGACAAGGGGAAAGCGATGATATGACGGTGGTGATTAGATGACAATGCGGTTGGAATGAGACGAGAATGGTGAAAGCAGTGGCTAAATTTATGTGTTACTGGCTCAGGAAAACAAGAATTAGTGAGACAGAATGAACAATTGAGTTTCTGATGCCAATCCTCAAACTGTTTGTCGTTGTCGAGCAATCGCAATCGTAGAGGGTTGGGGTTGGCAGACATCAGGGTTGTGACGCGTCAGGGTTCAAGAACGCGGTCGACGCTGCTCGGTGGTTAGGGTTGGTTGGGGTTGTTTAGGTTTGCGTCATGAGTGGGTGAACCTGTGGAGAGAGGATGCGGGGAAGGAAACCGCAACTACACTGTTTCCGGAGTCGCAGCATACTGTGTAGTAGCACTGTATCCAGACCCGAAGCGCTTGGCAAACTTGAACATCCCAACTTCAACGTCACAGCCGCAACTCAACTCGACTTAAAACAATTCACATCTCTGTGTCCAGGCCAAAAGACAACCTTGATGGTACTCTGTTGATTTAGAGCAGGACCCCAGGTGTTTTTATTTAAATTTATAGTCCTAGGGTTTTTCTGCCGATCTTGTTTAATTCCATAAAACTTCAGAGCCCATCTTCTGCTTCTGGGACTGGAAGGCCTCTCGCAGTCTCACTCATACAGTACATCTTCCAACGACCCAAGCTATTGTATCCCACTGTCGATGGCATTATGCAGCTCTTGACCACTGGATATATGGTTACTTACTTCTAGCAATAATCAGCCATGGGCTCCTTCGCCAAACTGGCTTTCGGCGTGCTAGCCATCTCTTTCATGGTCTTTGTGACCTTCTTCGGCCGACTGCCTGCTCTCAGGTCAGTCTCCTTTGTCTTTCTGGACTTCAGCGCATTTCATCTCACTTTCTCCCAGACACACACCAATCGCTTGGTTGTACCGTGTAATATGGGTAACCATCCCGCGTGCCTTTCAGCGTCTTGACTCCCGATTCTTCCACGGTCGAATCTCCTCCTCCGTCTCCCGCTTCACGAATTACATGATGTACGACCGGCACCCAACCGTGCTCGTATTCTTCCTCGTCCTACTCGTCGGCGGCGAGTACCTCTATCTTCCGGTAGTCTGGCCCCAAATAAGCACTCTCACCAAAGTAACCGGTACTATCTCGATCATTCTCCCCTACCTCTTCCTCTACCTCTCCGCCTTCTCCGATCCAGGCTACATCACCTCTGCCAACCATGCTTCCGAAATGGCGCGCTACCCCTACGACTTCACCCTCTTCCATCCAGGCTACACCTGCTCAACGTGCACTTTCCTCAAGCCCGCTCGCTCCAAGCACTGCCGCGTCTGCAAGCGCTGCGTCGCCCGCGCCGACCACCACTGCATCTTCATCAACAACTGCGTCGGTGCCAAGAACTACCACTGGTTCCTTCTGCTCCTCCTCACAACCGCCATTGTGACGCTCTACGGAGGACTCCTCGGCATGAGCATCATGACCTTCCACATCCGGCGTCGTTTCCCTGAGTTCTCTCTCCTCCCTTGGAGGGCAAACCGCGGCCGGGGCATGACCCTGTCGCGCTGGCTGCTAGCCTGGAGTTGGGGGTTTAATGCGACCGCTGGTCCCTACGCAAGCAGTACCGATGGGATACTGATGAGCGCCGTGACACTGCTCGCGCTGATGACGACGCCGCTGGTCTGGGGCCTGTTGGGCTATCACCTGTGGCTGGTGTACAGCGGGACGACGATCAATGAGAGCATGAAGTGGAGCGATTGGCAGGCGGATATGGATGAAGGGACTGTGTTTAAGAGGAGGTTTGATGCGGCTGGGAGGGCGAAGAATTTGCAGATCGAGCCCGCGTGGACGAGGTGGCCTGTTGAGGCCGAGCAGGTGCTCGTAAGGAGTGGGGATGGGTTGCCGCCGGGGAAGGATGAGACAAGGTGGCCCGGTCAAGGGCCGTGGAAGAGGGTGAGGAAGTTGAGGGAGGTGGAGAATTTGTATGACATTGGGTTGTGGGATAATTTGCTGGATGTGTTTGTGCCGGGGTTTATGTTTCGTGATCCGCAGGTGCCGGCGGCAGAGAGTAAGACAAGAGGGAGGAAGAAACGAAGAGCAAAGAGGATATACCTTGCGTAGCGTTATGCCTTCACAAAATTAAATTGTTTGGTCTAGCCAGGATTTGTTCCCAAGGGTATCATACATAATATACATTTCTGATATACACCATCTTCCCTTCATACACTCCGCTCCATCAGCTCGATGCTGGCCGTTGCGCGAGAGAATGAACCCACGGAATGTCATCAAACTTAACAATCTCCCCCGACGTCACCTTCGCCGCTCCTGGCACAATAGTCAACTTCCTCTCCTCCTCAACCGCCCCAGCCATCCGGCTGATCAAATACCTCACCCCAGCAACCCCAAACCCAGTACTCTGCGGATCACCCGCCCCGGTAACCCAAATCTCCCTCTCCCACCCCTTTTCTCCCCCTTCAACCCACTCACTCCCCCTCTCCAACCGTCTCAACTCCCGCCACACACTCAAACACACCTCCTTCATCTGCCGATCCGCCGCAGCCGGGCTGGGCAACTTCCTCAATTTATCCGCCTTGGTCAACACGACTGCCGTCCTAACCCCACAATCCCTCAACATCTGGAGCACCGCCCGATCCAGCTCCTTCATCCCCACCACCGCATCAATCAACAACACGGCGCCATGCAAGATTTTGCGTCTAGAAAGATACTTCTCAATCTCAATTCCCCACTCCGTCTGGCTGCCCAATCCGTACCCGGGCAAATCGACCACGCACAACCGGTGCTCGGGCATCTTCTCCAACTTCTTGACCGCATCTCTCTTCTCTTTGCGTGTCTTGAGCCCCGTAAAAACGACGCCTTTGTTCTCGTCCAATTCGTCAATCCACTTCTGCTTTTGCGCCTTGACGGCGTCGCCGAACAGGTACCCGCTCATGAGCTTCGTGCTGCCGCTCCATTTGCTGACGATGGCCAGGCCACGAGATTTAGCCTGTTGTCCGTGTAAAGCGCCTGCGCGCGCGGTGTCAACTCCCGAGAGGGCGTTAATGAGTGTGGATTTGCCCACGTTGGAGCGGCCGAGGAGACAGATCTCGGGGATGTAGTTGTTGCGGGGGATGTCTTTGAAGCGGGCTACTCTGAAGAGGGTCTCTGGTTTTTTCTCCGTAAATATCTTCGACGTCTGATCGAGTATATTGGGTTTTATTTGCGGCGAGGGATGCGCCGTCGGGTGAGGATCATTGGACGGGGGAGGGAGGAATGAAAAGGCGGATTGGACTTTGCTGGACGGGCCGTGATACAGCTTGATTGTGTTGACTGGTGGAGGGCGCTGTGGACGGCGTGGCGGCGTGTTGTTGAGTTCTTCCTCGGTGACTTGGATGTTTTCGAATTGCCCGGAGATGGTGGTGGAGGGGTCGAAGTCGGGGTCGTCCTCGGAAAGGAAGAGACGCTTGCGCTCGGGGAAGCCCAGGTTAGGGCCTGGCGGCTGGACGGTGTTGATGAGGCGGGAAATGGGAGGGGCCCGGAGGAGGCGGGCCGGTGATGGCCTTGTGATGAAGCTAGTTATCCTTGTTGGGGGCATGGTGGTTGAGATGAGGTGGTATGGGACGTTGTTGTCGGAGTCGAGATGAAATTCAGGATGTCGTAAAGATAAGATCTCACTTGCCGCGATAAGGGTTCGGGTTATGAGAACCCTTCCTTGTCCATTAAGAGGGTTAGGGGAATCGCATTTTGCTCGACTTTGCGATCACCTTTTCAACATAAGATATCTCTCACAACCTCGCTCGTCAACACCCCTACACCAACCAAACACATTCCACAATACACACACATACACACGTCAGCAAAGGCCCAAATCATAAAATGACTTCGCAAACCCCATCTCCCACCCACCTCCGGACTCTCTATCGCAACCTCCTCCGCCACCTTCCCCCTAGACCCGTCCTCTCCTCCCCGCGCGCTCCCCTCCACCAAGCCCTGCGCTCAGCCTTTGAACAACCGCTCCCCGTCTCTCCTCCCGTCTCAACGGCTGCCACGACCTCTGCGACTCCAGCCGAATACACGCGCGCGGTTCAAGCCGCACAGGCGGAGCAATACCTGGCGTTCTTAAAGGCGCAGCAGACATATGTCGAGTTGCTGGAGAGGTATAACCCGGGGATGTACATGGAGCAAGATGAGAAGGTGAGGTTGTCGGCTAGGAAGGTGGGGTTGGAGTTGCCGAAGCAGTTTGGGGAGGAGGGTGAGGGGGAGGATGGGGAGAAGCAATGAGACGGGAGAGCTGAGGGCTAGGAAGTGGAAGCTTGAAAGAGATCCGCCGGAACTATGTCACTCATCGAGGAGGAATTGGGCACGGCGTTTAGGCGTGGATTTACCGATTGTACGGGGTCGGGTTGAAAAACTAGAAATGTCGAGACGTCTCAGCGTGGTGTGTCTTACATCATCTCCAACCACGCAAGAAAACCGCTTGCTGACATGATAAAACAGATGAGCGCTATCAAATGTACCAGCACTATACAACACCCACACTACACATACCCAAACTACATAGACGGGTCGCAGGCGGCGATTAGGTATATCGCCAGAGGGGATACCATTGGGGCAACCCCACGATCAGAATATGACGATCCCAGGGAAATACCAGTCTCTGGGAAACCAAAACTCATATGCTCGGTTACCAGTGTTTCATCTCCCGCGGAAGCCACGGAATTGCGATAGACGGCATTTGGCCTGGAAAATTAGATTCAGTTCAATATTCTTCTTCTAATGTACTATGAAAGCTCGAGCAGAAAGACAGGCTAGCCCAATCCCTTCGAACAAAACGGACAAACCTTCCAACCCTTTGCTTTCCTATACTCCGTAGTACACATGTCTCAATCCAAGAAATAGGTATAAACGACAGTAGGGGGGGGGGTATCAAATACACTCCTTACTCTGCCCCCATCATTTAAGTTTCAGGGCTTCAACCCCTCTTAAACACCACCAACATCTCCCTCCTCAAAACTCTCATCCCACCCGCCCGTCTCAAGCAAATACTCTCCCACTCTCTCCTTCACGCTCTTCATGGTCTCCCCCAACCCGCTATTCCACTGCTCCTGTACCACCCTAACCTTATCCTTCAAATCCTCCGTCAGCCTCCTCAACTCCTCCTGCTTAAACTCCTTAACCCTCGCCGGATCCCTCCCATCCCGTTCCATCACAACCCCCCTAGCCCTGACACACGCCTCCTTGACCTCATGTAACAGACACAGCAAATTCGTCTGGCTCTCAATAAACTGGTATGTGCTCTTCTCCGCATGCAGCAACAGGCTATACAAATACTGCAGCGGGTGCTGGTGATAGGCTGGATTCTCCGCAAACTCGGCCGGTGGGATCTGGATCTTGAAATCCGACAGGTCTCCTGACATGGGGATTTTGTCGAGTAACCTCTTCAACGGCGGCGCAATGTCCCAAAAGGCATTCAACTGCACCTGCACGCCGCGCGAAACCGTTTCCTCGACCACATCGCGGAACTCTTGCGTGCGATGGAGCGACTCCTCGCTGAACTGAAGTGCGCGTTTCGCGGTGTCGTCGGCGAAGAAGGCCTCGGCGGAGGCAATCTTTTCGGTATCATTTGCGAGCCGGTACGGGACAAGCACCATGTCGCGGTAGCGGTCGTTGCGGTCGGTGAGCAGGTCGAAGAGAGCGCGGTGCAAGGCCTCGCGGGCCTCGAAAATCCATTTGAGGAGGGTGAGTTTCTCGAGGAGTTCTGGTTGCTCGTCGCCTTCTTCCTGGGGCAGATTGGGGTTCGATTCGGCGGTTTCGTCAAAGAGCTGGTTGCGCAGGGAGTCGAAAAGCTCGGTAGCTTTGGCGATGCGAGTTTGCAGGATCTCGTTGACGGGGATGACGACGTCAGTTTGAAATTGCTCAAAATCTCTCTTTTCCATCTCGCGGAGGGCCGTGTGTTCTTCCTGTTTGGCGTCGGCCTCGATCTGAGCGGCTTCAGAGTAGCTAAGGTTGCCGGAGGATATTTGTTGCTGGAGGTGCTGGCGCAGGGCTTGACGCCTCTTCTTGGTCGCCTCGAGGGCTTCGGCACGCATCTTGCTACTTGCTTCGACGAAGCGCTTCTTGATTTCCTCCACCTCACTCATGTTGCTTAATGACCTAACTGCACTCCTCGTCTCGGCCAGCTCAGGATGGTTATTATTCACGGCCGGATGATGCCTAGGATATGGCGGCGGTAAAGTCACCAGCCTTGAAATATCCAAATGATCCGGGCTGGGTGTACTCGGCACAGAAGCGGTCGACGACGCCAACGAACTTCGTGATTTATCCTTCGCCGTGCTATCCGACTTCTCGTCATGCCAGCCCGTCTTCTCGGGCGGATAGGACGTGCGCTGGCTCGACCTAGGCGAAGAATGGGGATCATCACACCATTGCAGCGCCTCTCTCGCCTCTTTAACCACACCCATGTACTTGCTCTCCCTCTTCGACCGCTCAATCCGCATCGACGGCGCTCCATTTGACTCAGCTTCCCACCAGCGACTCGCCGGCCGGCCCCGGGAATCCTCCTCATCCAGCGCATCACTCACACTCATACTCAGAATGGGTGACAGTGACGGCATATACGTCGACGTTGCCCACCCACCTGGAGTCGGGTTCGTCGGGCCCATACTCGGCGAAGGCTGCACACTAGACGCAGGCGTATGCACACCAAACGATCCGCCACGCGACCTCGGCTCCGACGACTGCGGCGTCAAATCCACAGCAGTCCCGCTCGTCGCGGACTCCGACTCCCGCCTAACCGGCATCGGCCGGAACAAGTCGCGCGTGAGATCGAAAATCTCGGATCCCATCGCGGCGATGGCAGCCCCATACCTCTCCCTGCGTATCCTGGACTCGCTGACGAAGAACTCGGCAAATAACCGCACACGTTCGGCGTCGGTTGTCGCTTCGGCCTCGCGCTGCGCAAACGCTGTGAACCGCTCGATCGTGCCGCACATGAACTGCTCAGTCGATTGAGAGATGGCGGCTTGCTTTGTCATTGGCAGCACGGCCTCGCTATGGAGAGTTGTGGTGTCCACTGTCAGGTTGCGGACGGTCGATGAGGCTCGGCTGCCAGTCGGGGGGGTTGGCAGAGCCTTGGGAGCGAGCGTCTGGGGCGCGTTGTCCGGCTGCTTCTCCGCATCGGGGGATAGCCTCGTGGGCGTCACCTGCCCCGTCATCACATGTGTCGCTAAAGCCCGGGGGGTAGTAGAATCCTGCTCTATCGACTCGGCTGTCTGGGGAGTGTCGCACGAGCGACCTGTCCTCTGGGTACCGCGAGTGATGGTCAACCGCCTCTGCAAGCCGTTTCCTTGCTGGGGAATCGTGATATCAGAAAGGTGCTGAGGAGGGCGTGCTGTTGCGTCAACCGAACCGCGACTCGCTGCCCTCGTTCGACTCTCGCTCCTCCTCTCAAGGATGGTCTTCTCCCGTTCACCTCGGACGGCAGGGCTCCTCGTCAGGCCACTGCCGAGAGTCGAGCTCGTGGCTGAGGATACCGAAGCAGCAGAATCAATCTGGTGTGCGCCGTTTGGCATCTCCCTAGGTTGTGTCGTGCTCAATGTCGTGTTTGCAGTGGTCGCGATGGTAGCCGTGCTGGTCGAGTCTGTCTCTGACGTGGTACTCCCTCCTCCAGCGGCCTGGGCCGTAGAATCTGGACCTGGCATGGCATCACCTTCCCTCCAGTTCGCTGGCGTTGGGGGCACGGGGCCGAGGGCAGAAACCCCGCTCGGGGGAGGGCGTCTAGTCGGCGGCGAGACGATAGGGTCGCTTCCGGAAGACACACGCTGGACGCTCTGGGACCGGATGGCCGACGGCGGCGGGCCTGGGGGTGGCGGGGGCAAAGGCATAGAAGGATCCCACCTGACCTGGGATGATGAACGAGATCTCGCCGAAGTTGGAGTCGACGGGGCAGGCGTCGATGCGGCCCTCCGAGCACCTGGGGGTCCTAGGGCCGAAGCTGGCTCTGGCTCAGCAGGTCGCGTGGGAATCTGTAACGTCAGTGGCCGGTTGTTGCTTGCTCTACCAAGCAAACTAAACGATCGAGATGCCGAAGCCTGCTCCGACGGGGATGTATTCATCTCAGGGGATCGCTTTCGTCCCAAAGTTGGAAAGTTAAATCGCCTCTCGCGCGAACTACCCCTAGACGTCGGAGGGGGCGGAAAGGATGTTGTCACGGGAGTTTCTGGAGCAGGCCTTTGTAATTGAGGTCGGGGCGGTGCATTTGCCGTCCCGTTGGGATCAGCTGCCGTGCCCGGAGTGCCCAGTGGTGGTCCGCTACGCGGCGGAGAATAAGGAGGGGGAGGGGGAGGAGCTGCCGAGGGTTAGTCACGGATCTCATATTGCGGAGACAAACAGACGGCTTACTTTGAGGTTCCGAAGAGACCATGGGAGAAGCGACCCATTCTTGAGGATTATACGGCTGGATAGCGCTGATAGGGGTTTGTGCCGAAGAAAACGCGCCGTGAGAGCCGATGGAGAGGGCCGAGATGGGAGTGTTACCCGGGTTCTGAGGGTAGCCAACAATGGATGCCGTCAGGATGGGGTTTAACCCAGCGCGAAGTCGCGCGGGGTCTCTCGGAGCACTCATCATGGTTGGTTTCTATTCCCTCGTTGCCTTCCCTTCCCAGATCTCTCTCTCCCTCTCGTTTTTTTTTTTTTTTTCTTACAAGTGCCCGACAAGACGTCGACGGCGACGCCGGCGACGTTGATGATCCTTGGGCTGTCTCAAACCAACGCCAGAGACAACCTCCTGTCCGTCACCATACCATTCACAATATCCTCCACGATGTGTCGCGCTGTGACACAAGTTCCCTGAAGTCCGATATCGAACAAATAATTCCTCACACGAGCCGATGGATAGATTGAAAACAGCGTGAGACTGTGTCTTTGATGCTGTCGCGGGTGTCCAGATTGCCAGCTCGACTCGGGCTGCGGCGCATCCAGGTCGGCTGCAGCTGGCGTCGAGGTTGAACAGCTAAACAGACGAACGGCTAAGAGAGTTGCAGAAAGAGAAAAGGACACTCAATAGCACTAGGTCGCAGCGCTGGAACAAGCAATGGCGAATACGGATTGCAAAAGAAGGGTGTACAGAGAATGTGGCCTATTAGGTCTCCGGTTCTTGCGGGACGTTAGCCACGGGAAGCAGGCAGATTGCTGTAGAAGCGATGATGCAGTACCAATGCCTGCATCAAGCGGGAGCCACCCTCCCGTTTCTGCAGTCGACGTTGACGGCGGCCAGGATAGCAGCGGGGGCCCAAAATCGAGGGGAGCTTGGCGATTTGACTTCTGCCCTTCTCTGGTGCTTCGGAGGGTTTTCCAGGATAGGGTAGGGTAGGAAAGGGAGGGGTTGTATTCCCGGAGGAGAACCTCATCGGCTGGCCAGACCAGGCTGTGGTGCTGCTGTCCTTTTGCGGTGCTGCCACGACGGAGGAACAGACATCCAACCAGCCAATGGGCCAATATCGCGAACCGTGAATCACTCTTGTTGCTACTTTGCTAGCGGACACACCGGGACGATGCTCGTCCTACGCTATATTGCGGTTACAGCCGAGCGTCGCCGCGGTCACTGGGTCGCGTAGGTTTATGATGAATCCTGGGTTGAGCAGCGCTTCATGAAGAAGTCGGCTGCACGACACGACGGGGCATGCCATGCAGCAGCAAGCGGGATTTCGTAGCAGTCTACACTAGCAGATGCAAAGCTGCTCCGATCAGAGAGACCTCTGGACCTTCCTACTGCAGCACGATTCTGACAAAAGTGCGCCTCTCGTCTTGTCCCATGCAAAACCTGGAAGTGGTGTCCCGGCCTGTTGATAAGTCGACGACACCACAAAAACTTGCAAAGACCGTCCGTCCCTCATACATCCGCATGCTGCGACCCCTCTCTCCCGATCTATTCTTGGGACTGAGCTCTGGGCAAAAATTCTGGACGGCGCGTCTGATTCGCTGGGTTCAGGACGCTGGCTGTGATGCATGCTGCCGGCGCTTAGCCCCCCCTGCTTGATTCCGGGCCCATGATTTGTCCCGTTCCATTTACGTCGACTTAGCATATGGAACACCCTTCCCAATCCGTGTTAGTTCGGCGACCCTCTCCGCAGCCCACGACAGCCGAGACGGCGAACAGAAGGCGGGAAAAAACGTCACTGGCTTGTTCGCCGGGCTGGCATGCTGGGGGAGGGGGCAGCAGGGCAGCAGGGCAGCAGGGCGGGAGATGATATGCCGTTAACGCGGACACTGCCTGTTCCTGCGGGCATGGCGATAAAGTACTATCCCGCGTGCGGGTTGCCATCCTCGGAGGGAAAGCCGTGAACTAGGACAATGCAACGCTGGACTGTGAGAAGCTGTTGCTGTTGTGCCAACCGTGTCCGTGACCAACAACATCGAGCCTCGCTGATACATATCGTTGTTGACGGCGACCTTCATGCACTCACGATGATGGAGAAAACTCAAATCTGCCCGAAGATTGCCACACAGACGGTCGTCATCCGATTGGAAACTGAAGACCACATCAGCCCTGGGCTGCAAGCTGCACAAGACTGGTGCGGGAGCTGGCTTAACCCCACAGCTAGCCAGATCTTTGGGGTCTGTGTGATAGTTATTTTTAGGCACTTTTTTTCATCGCTCGACCATTCTCCTGATCGTTCACAGTTTCCATGTGCGTCTACTGTCTGCTGAAAAGTTGACAGGCCATCGCAGACATTCCGAATCAACGAGGCCTTGATCACAACAATGGCAGCGTTGACATAATCTTAGGGTCCAATATTCGCCGTCTGATCCCGGTAAGTCCGTCAGCAAACACGTCGTTGATGAAAGAGACGTGCTGCTGGACCGCAGGCTGGCTGTGGATAATGGAGCTGCCGGTGGTGATGTGGTCGGCCCATTTGTCAACAACACTCCGCGTTGCCGGTAAGCATATGCAATGGCAAGTTGGATCTCGCATTTCGGGTTTAATGCACGGTACATCAGCCCAATGCTTCAAATCAACGGACGTGTGGGCTTTATCAATCTGGATATGGATCAAGCCTGTCGAAAGCTTGCTGACAAAAGCCCATTTTGTGCTGATGGCCTTGGCGGACGTCTTCCCAACCTGCCGGGACCAAGGTCGTTCTTTGGGTATTTTTGGTCTCCAGCCTTTACCGACCTTCAGGCCGAAGGAGTCCAGATTTACGGGATTAGCATCCCTTCACAGCTTCTTGTTTATTGGCGGATTCCACAAGCCGAAGTGTGAACGACGGCGACCCGTTTCATGATTTGCTGGATTTGGGAATCCTGTCAAATAGTACCGTCTCGTCTGAGGAGAGAAGCCGGGCCTCGCGGCTTTGTGGACTCGAGAAGCCAGGTGACAGTGTGGGTATATAGTGTACTTAATCAGACAACACTGTAGAGAACTTCGCCAAGTTCCCACTTCGCATCTTCTCAGAAGCCAGCCAAGCCGAAAACAGAGTCCAAGATGACAGATTGAGAGCATTCATTATACACCAAATACAGCATCTGACACTCAATGACCTATTTTTTTCTAGCGTTTTAATCAATAGTACTTAACGCCTTCCTGAAGCTTCTTGCCTTCATCATCATCATCCGCAACTAACACGGCACGGTTAGTTCCTGGCTGAGTCCTAATACAAACTCGCCGGCTGAATGGTGAGTTCTTGAGGTTTCTCCAACTCCAGAAAAAGAGATATTCCCAGATGTACGCAGTTCCATGAAGGATACTTGATGCGTCCTGCGGATGCCCCTGTCTCGTAAGCATCGGCGGCGAATTCCACGCGAGCAAGACAAGGTCGGACACCTCCTGCCACGCCTCGATTATCCTCACTCTCCGTACGTTTCCAGGAAGTTTGACCCGGAACTTATGGAGGACAAGTGGGATGAAGATTCCAAATATGAAGTATGAAACAGCAACGGAAAGATGAAAAACAACGATGCCAATACAGAACCAGAAGTTCAGCCGGTCATCAAACTTCCCCCATCCATAGTACTCTCCCCGGACCTCAAAGTGCACAAGTTGGCCTGTGTACTGTATGTCTGGACTTTCTTTTTGGATTCGGGCCAGCTGCGTTTGGTTCCCAGCAATCCAAACTTTTTCGGGAGGGGAATACAAAGTAACTCTTGCTAAAGCCTCTGCTACCATTGAGCCCAGAACTCTTTCAAACCCCTGGCTGATGTATATCTGGTAGTGTCCATAGTGCTGATTTCGGATCCTCAGTGGTGCAAGCGCGAGGAAAGGTTCAATAAGGGTTTGCACGGGTGAGCCTATTTCCTTCGTACCATCAGGGTGTGGTGTTATGTTTGCGAAGAGGTAAGGCAGCCAGTCGTTGTCGATCTTAATCATGGGTCCAACTGTACCGGTAGTATTCCAAGCAAATTCTTTCAAGTGACTCGTGAGGTTGCTGACGGCAACCTCAACAGAGTTTGACCCTCCAGGATTACCATTTGGTTCATTGACGAAAGAGATAGACACCGGAATCCAATGTGCTATGACACTGCATGTGATGACGGCCGCATTGTACTCTTGAATCGGACTGAACTTCAAATTATCTGGTAGCGGGACCACAGCGGATATAAGCAAAGGCCTGGGTTTACCGTTGCTCGTGTCTGATGCCTGGTAGTTGTAAAACACTTTCCTTTCAGGGAAGTCCCTGGAAAAGCTGTAACGATAGTTAGCTTTCAACCTAAATTCAAGATCAAGAAGTCTACGTAGGTAGAGGAAACTTACGTTAGGACTTCATCCGGTACTCTAATTGTTTGGTTCAACATAGCTTGGCACTCATGATCCCCAAAGCACTTCAGCCCCTTCGTTGGGAAGATTGCCTGAGAACTGTTTGTAACCAGTTCATAGCGCCCCCGGCTAGAACAGCTGCTTTGAACGAGTGGCTGGAAAATGGCTGAATGGTTGGTGCTTTTTACTTCGTATTTTGTTCCTAATTCTTTGAAGCGGATCGCTGGGTTATGCTGTCGTAAGAACAACGTCAGAGCCATCGGCAGCTTTGCTGACGAAACGGTTGTCCACGTTCCTGCTGGGGCATTGGATGAAAAAGCCACCTTCGTCATGTACATAGAAAGCTTTCGCGTGGGTGAGGGGATGGCATTGTCTGCAATTGGTATCTCCAATGAGAACTCCGGTGCGGTCTTCCAATGATCCTCGAACACATCCGGCAGGAACCTGTAACCATTAACGGGACACCAGGAAAACTCAGATACGGCGTTTTCGTTACACCACTTGAGTCGATTACTTGCATATTGACCCATTTGACTTAATCCCGCTGCGCTCACGACGGTAGGCCATGTTTCGTTAACGTCGACACGGTACATAAGCCCTGGGGGCAAGGAGTACACTGCTCGACCAGGTACAACAAGCCGATAAAGAGAGGGTATAACGAGGGCGTAGATAATAGCCTCGCCAAACAGGGTTAGTTTAAGAAACCAATCCTTCTTAAGATTCGAAGGAGACCAAAAGGTACTCAGGAAGGGCGATGAGACGAAGTAGCCAAGTGAGGGGTCATCATAGGCGCCCACAAGCAATCCAAGTGGTAGACTGGACTCGACAGCACATCGCCGGACAAGCCTAATACCAAGATCTTTGATCGAGGTCCTGACACACAGAACGTAGGCCAGGGAGATGTAGAAAAAGATTGAAATTTTCCAAGGATTCTTCGCGACTTCGTCCACTGACAGATAGTACGACTGCGTAACGTTAAGATAGAGAAAGGTGAAGGAAGTGATCACGGGTGGCAGGTGAAAACCAACTGCCTTGATGATCGGCCAGATGGCATGTTTCGTGGTTGGGTGGATGACAACTCTTTGCCCCTCTTCCCAGTTTTCCTTTCCGTGACTCTCGTCTGAAATGGTTGATAGATAACTCTCCTTCGAGGCAGCCGATTGCGCGATGGAGTTGTCAGCCAACAAGTGAGTGTATTCATATATCGTCTGAGCAGACTCCGGTGTGGCCTGAGTTTTAACGCGAACAGCATTAGGCATAAATGACGGTTCATTAGAAGTTGTTGTCAAGTTGTCATGCTGTCCTGGAGCCATCCTAACCGTCACTGCTGCTGTCCAGCGAAGTGTCTGTTGTTCTGTCAGCTGGAACCACCATCTGTGGGAGGGAGGTACACAAAAAAAAAAACTTTAGGAAGCTGAATGGGTAAATAAGATAGAACAAGAGAGGGCGTAACCGAACTGGGCTGGCGCGGTTGTTTCTGATGGCTCCGTTACTTGCTGACAGGTCCCATGCTTGGCATATATATATAGACCGAGTCCAAGGCTAGCCGAAATCCTGCTGGATTCATCGCCACATTCATGCTCATGGCATTTGGGGCTTGGTCAGGTACTGACCATTTGGAACAAATGTGAGTACTATGACCGCGCATCTCGTTAGTATATTTGACACAAATGTTAGTTGAGGAGACCCAGATGAGTGGCTGAGAGTTCATTGACTAGTTGACCTTCTGACATTGTACGAAACTTGGGGTCACTCGATGCATAAGGGATTTAGACTAATTGTTACATCACAGCCTTTGGCAATCGGTAATTCTAAGAATGGCTCGATCGGCCTGTTATTGCTTTTCCCTATGGCCATGCAGAAAACACTAATCTCCAACTTTGGATCATGAGGAGGTGAGCGTCCCAAGTTGTATACACTACAGATCACATCAAGCAAGCTCGAGTCTGGCTAAAAACTTGGCATATCTGCCCATGGTTTCACACATAGCTGCGTCGGCAGCCGGCGAGAATTACATCTGCAAGCTGTCGTTGGTGTTGCAAACCCGAAGACCGATGGATGATTAGAGTACGGGGCCCTAAGTGCTTTCCGGTCCGAGTAAACCACAAAGGATTCATCTGTTGATAAACTGACATATAAGGCATAGAAAAGTAGTCTGCTCACGGGGTTAAGAAAGACTCCGGCCGACGGATGGTGAATGAGATGCGAAAGCAACAGTGTGGAAACTTGGGGAAATATCCCATACCTGATTTCCAGAAGCAAAAGATGCACCCAGGCAACATTGAGGATTCTGCCGCAGCGGGACGCCCCGCGCCTGCTTGTGAATGTGAGCTTTCTCCTATTTACACAGTACAGTTTTGCCCCACATGTATAACCCCGCGAAAGGCGGTCAATCAACCACGAATTCTGCCGCTACTCGTTCTGCCCTCGCTCTCCGCCCAACTGGAGCCTGGCTGAGTTTTCTAGAGGTTTCCAGGCCGGTCCCTGACACTTCCCCATTTCTTGCATTTGGGCTTCGCCCCCGCGTTGCTCTAACACTCACTCCGCAGCAACACCATCGACATCAATATCGCCAGTGAAACGAAGGTACGTGCGGTGAGATGTGACCCTGTCCTTGAAGTGTCGTCGCCAGTTGCCCTCTTCTATGATGATCTCTGTCAGCTGGCACCAGTCATAGGGTGACTTGTACTCCCTCCGTTGATGACAAGCTGTGGCTCACCAGGCCATTTCTGATTGAGCGAGCACTTTGTTTGGCTTATCTGCTTTCAATTTGTTACTGGAACTTGGGGAATTGGGCAATTGCTGATCCTTAACCAGCTTGCGACCTTCCTCCGGACGCTCGAGACATAGATACCCCTCAAAAATGGTTCTGCACAATCCCAACAACTGGCATTGGGTTAACAAGGATGCCGGGGCGTGGACGAAGAAGTGGCTCGAGGAGAACCTCACCAAGCTCGAGGCGAAGGAGGGAGATGTGACAGCCAAGATCTCCAGGGTCATTAACATGGATGGTGATGTCGAGGTGGCGCAGCGCAAGGGCAAGGTGATTACCATTTATGATTTCAAGCTTACTCTGGAATTTTCAGGTACGTGCGGCTATAGAATAGAGTATTGCTTTGCTTTTGGCCCATGTTGCTACCACTCCACGCGTCCCGCATGTGTGATCGTAGGCTAAGATTCGTATGTCAGGGTCCACCCCCGAGGACGACGATATCACGGGCACCATCACGGTCCCTGAGGTTACCCATGATCTCACGGAGGACGAGTTTGTGTTCGATATCGATGTCTATGCTGAGAACAAGGAGAAACAGGCCGTCAAGGACCTCGTGAGGTCCAAGATTGTCCCTCAGCTCCGCGCCGAGTTCATGAAGCTTTCCCCCGCACTTGTTGCTGAGCACGGAAAGGATATCCAGCACGCTCCCGGAGAGAATCCGTCTAGCGGTTTTGCTACCCCTAAGTACCATCCGCCGACCGGCATCAATGCCGCCAAGGCCGCCACAGACGTTGCCCCTAAGACCCAAGCCAACAAGACTGGTACTTTGGTCAACACCACTAGCCTGTCCATTGACCCGGAGGAGTTCCGCACCACTGCCGAGGAGGTGTATCTTACCTTTACTGATCCGCAGCGGGTAGCTGCCTTTACTCGCGCCCCGCCCAAGGTCTGGGAAGGTGCTAAGGTAGGCGGCAAGTTCGCGCTGTTCGATGGCAACGTCGAGGGTGAATTCCTCGAGCTCGAGGAAAACAAGAAGATTGTTCAGAGCTGGCGCCTCAGGCAGTGGCCTGCGGGCCACTACTCAAAGTTGCAACTTGAGTTTGACCAGAACGACATCGACCGCGTTACTGTCATGCGCGTCGAGTGGACTGGTATCCCCATTGGCGAGGAGGATGCCACAAAGCGCAACTGGCTTGAGTATTATATTCGCAGCATCAAGGCTACTTTTGGGTGAGTCTTCACAGGTCGTGACAGCAACTTCACTCTCAGCGCTAACAATCCCAGTTTCGGCACAATTCTTTAAGCAATATATGGCATTGCGTAGCAGGTCGGCGTTCGGGTGGATCAGGACATGTGTGCGAGGACCAACTTTTGATGAAAGGTAAAGGGCGGTTTCTACACAGGGATGAACGAGCATAGAAAATGGCTGGGCAGCGTTTGGCAGGCTTGTTAGACACTGCCTGAAGCGTGTTAATATACCAGGTACCTGCAAGGAATGACAGGACATGGTTATAGAGCAGTGCGTCGTGAGCGTGAGTTCATTGGCTCTTCGTGACAATTGCAGCCAGTCAGCTGCGCCACTCGTTGGTTTCACTTGCAAGCCCCCAAGAACACCCATTCACCTGGCAGAGTATATGACAGTCATCAGTTTCCCCGAATCCTGCCTTACAGGAACCTCCAGACATGGCACCCTAAGTTCCGTGAGGTTACTTATCAACTAGAAATGGCACCAAACTACAAGATCGCTGATTCAATTTCGCCCAATGGTTAGTAGCACCGCGAGTCTCATCTTAACGAATGGGCAATGAGAAAGACCTGTGCAAAGACCCTTTCCTAAAATGAAGATCCAGGACTGAATGATCTAACCCGTTCCAGGATCTGTTCCTTGATAATAACTTCGCTATCGCATCATCGTACATCCGTCGGGCAGCCGCCGAGGGGGCTCACCTCGCCGTGCTCCCAGAGTACCACCTCACGGGATGGTGCCCCGAGCGTCGGGAATTCCTGTCCGCCTGTTCGCGCTCGTCTTTGTACCTCCCAAGATACCAGGCACTCGCAAGGGGGTTGAGAATCAACATCGTCCCTGGGACATTCTGCGAGGTTCACCGTCACGATCCCATGCCCATCAGCGAGATGCCAGGCGGGACGGAGATCCGCAATATGGCCTACTGGATTGCTGCCGGTACGGGAGAGTTGATCGGGTCTTATCAAAAGGTTAACCTGTGGCATCCCGAACGCAAGGTCCTTGCTGCTCCAGAACCGCCAGATGGTGATCCTTCCAGAAAAGTGCACAAGGCGTTTGATACGCCACTGATCTGGGCTGCTGGCGACGGGACTGAGACCAAGCCGATCCGCGCCGGCATGCTCATTTGTTGGGACACCATCTTTCCCGAGGCGTTTCGCGCCCTCGCAGCTGAGGGTGCTGAGCTGGTTGTCGTCCCATCCTTTTGGCTTACTGATCCGAAGGACGAGTCATTCGAGGGAGTGGACACGGTGAAGATCAATCCGGACTGCGAGAAGGTGCTTCTGTCCAATGTGGTAGTGACAAGGGCATTTAAGAACGAGTGCGTCGTGGTGTTTTGCAATGCGGGAGGTGTCAGCCAGGTCGCGGTACCTGTGGTGGGGAGAGCGCCTGCTGAGAAGATTGTGAAGGGAAGCCAGGAAATGACACCGGCACGCGAGGGCTGGATTGCAGGAACGAAGACGGAGGAGATGGCGATTGTCGAAGTTGACTTTCAGGCTGTCAAGGTTCTGAAGGGGGAGTACAAGACTCTGGAGGACATGGAAAAGAGAGGATGGAAGTACTATGGAGGGCCCTGGATGAAACGTAAAGAGTAGATTCTGACAAGGCATCGAGAGCCCTGACGGAAATGCGTTGAGGTTATGTGCACGCTAGATACCGTACCTAGTAATCACCAAGCTTAGAAAGCCTTTGGAGAGGCAGGCGAACGGAATATGTCAGTGTTGCATGACGGACGAGTGGAAAGGGCTTGATCAAATAACGCTTCTTGTTGGTAAAGGGCCAAAAATGATCGTCGAAATGTTGGTATGATCAATAAAATGTTGCATTACCGCATAATAAAACAGCGAAGGCGGGATGGCTGAGTGGTCTAAAGCGCCAGACTCGAAATCTGGTCTCTTCGGAGGCGTCGGTTCGAATCCGGCTCCCGTCGCTCTCTTTTTCCATTTCCTAATCCTATCCCAGACAATTTTTTTTGGGGAAAACCGGGCAGATCCCATCATAAACAAACTGCGGCATCTTGTTCATCCCATGCTGTTATTAACAACATCCATTCTTCGGAGTGCTTACGACTGCCCTCCAGGTAGCCGCTGGCATCACGCAGTCACGTAATATCTCGTTGACCTGGTCTTCACCGAGACTCCGCCCAAACGGCAACTAGGGTCTTGGCAGCATCTTAGAGATATCCGCCATGTCAACCTCCGGGTGCGGTTCCATTGAACTTTTATGAAGTCCCTTCCCTTCTCTATTCCTATTGAATATCAGGGCCTATCTTGCATCTGGGCCTCAACACTAACCACTGGCTAGATCTAGGAATTGATCCTATGGCCAACAATCTCGCCAGCTTCTCTTCTTGACGCGAGCACTCTTCCATGCTGACAACCCTCGACCTGCGACTTTCCTCCTCGTGATGATTTGGCTCAAAACCGTGACCTCTTGACGCAGGATTGGTCGAATGTGGCTTGAAAATCTTCGAAGAAGGAGAGATAATGAAACGATCTTGGTTGTTGTAAATTCGCCATATACCACAACTGGGCTGAATGCGTCGTGTATCCCGTTACCCTAGTACCACCCCGATGGTAGTTTGCACACATGAGACGACATTCGATGATCATATGTCCTTGAAGAAGCGCACGAGCAGTTTCCCCGGCCCTCAGCCGACCACATCACCTATGCACTGGAACAGCTCCGTCCGGGGGCCGTTTTAGAGAGTCCATGAATCAAACTTGGGATCTTTTACCGTGAGCCTAACTTCTAAACGGCTCATGGTCTCGATACGGGATCATGCGGAGCTTAACCATAATTACCCAAAGTAGGTCATTAGCGTGAATGCCTTAGGTGACTTTGCAGAAGGGCGCACGGGTTTTCTTCTCTTCGTCCTGGGTTTGGGCCGAGGGCCCTATCCACGCAAGTCCTCTGTCCGGAGCGCGGGACGAAGCACGTAAATGACGAATACCAAATCAGCCCTTAGGTATACTAATCCTATTTAAGCCTAATGAATCGGCAACCAATTCTTTCTTTGCATCCAACCAGGAAACGATTCTGCCTGTTAGTTAGGGTTGTATTTCTGTTCGATCTTCGTCACCTACAATATCAGTGCCAAGTTCACTGCTCAGTCTGCGAAATTCGTTCCACAAATTCGTCGGATTTACTTCTTTCATTTTCTCTCGATTGAATGATGGCATTTCGTCAATTCGATATGTCTGACAGCTAGTTGACCAATATGCACGTGCTGTTCTCGTCGATAGCGAAAAGTGCTGCAGAAACCTCGCGCACTCTTCTCTACAAATGTTTTTTATGGATGCCGAAGAATCCGCTTCCTTAGAACAGGATTAAGAAGACATAAAAAACAACATGAAGAAATCGGCAATTCAGATGACTATAAAGACCCAAATACTCTTCTCGTTAGGTCTGGTGTGATGTTAGCTTCGGGAGCGGATGGCTTACTTTGTTATTTGGTTGAGGAGATGCTGTGTCCCAGTTCCCGAGCTGTTGCATTATCAGTATCTCCGAACGAGAACTGGCCATGAGACTGTAACTATTATAACGTTAACCAGAAACCAATAACGAACTTTGGATATTATCAAGTTACCACAGGGTGAATTCCACGGTCACATCGAGGTTTTGGTGCTGAAAATAAGTACATAGCCACGTGGTTGCTATATGGTTCAAGTGGTGTGGTTTTCTGCCCATCTGCTATTCTAGGCCCAAGCCACGAAATGTATGCGTTACCTCTAGCAGACAACTTCACTTGATCAGGCTCACTATGGTCAGTTTGTCTTCACTCCTCCCATAAGGAAGTTTTTGAGCCATACTTGAGGTGCTGTCGAGAGCAGGGCCGGTTTCCGTCGTTCAAAGGAGGTAGTGCGGGCTTCAAGAAACGACGTCTCACTGTCATGTGTCACTGGCTCGTAGTCTTGGCAGATACGTTTGCCTTAATCGTAATCTGTGATGTTGGCTTGTCGGTTTTCTACAGAGATGAGTTTGGCCGTGTCTCTGACTGGGCAGCACGGGGTTTCATCGTTAGGGGGCCAAATTCCGACTTCCACCTCATGCAATCAGTTATCCATCGCTTTCTAAGAGTTTGAGAGCAGGAATGATCCAAATATTTGGATGTACTTGAAGGTTCGCTCAGCACTAAAGCGAGTGTGGGCAAAACTTGATATACTTGTTTCAGGTTCACTGACTGTGATGAAAGCCTACTGAGGATATGGGGATTGTGCAGGGGGCCAATGCACACCGTGTGTGGGTTCCTCGATACGAAGACTGCAACTCTGTAAAGGAAGTCATTGTGAAAAGTAGAAAGTGGTAAACACAGCGCAGGCTTCGGGTGCAGAAAATGGCCATGCTGAACTACTGTATAACACGCCCAAACATCGGATGTGGATCCAGACTCGAGTGTGGAAACGCTGCACCAAAGAGCGAACAAGGTCGTCGAGGCTATACGGACAGGCATTCGACGACAGACATCAGCTCAGTCGCAGTATGAGATGGATAACTTGCCGCAGCAATGATGAATAACAAGTGGATGGGCCATTAGTCAAGGACGGCATGCTCGAGGAAGCACCTCGGTACTTGGTGGTTGGTGTTCTTTCTTCGCTTAGGGAGTAGGTAGGAAAATAGTAAGTAATCTGATGACTGCTAACAGAATGGCTGTCCTAGATCGAACCAGGATGGTTAGTTGCTCCCATGCAACATCTGCACCGTGTTATGTTACGAGTTAGCCCGTCAGAGGTCGGCTTGGTATGTGTCCAGTCTCCATCATCCAGCGGCTACCGTCCCCACCGTTCCCAAACAGGAAATAAGTAAACAAACCCACACTAAAGACCCAGATCCCCCTCTCTGATCGGCTTGTTATATTGTCTATTCGCATGACAAAACTACATGTATCAGTTGCAGACGAAAGAGATCACTCACTCGAAAGCCGTTTAGTTTCACTAAAGAACCAGAATGATATGTAACTCAACGAACAATGATCCTTAATTCTCATCCTGGTGAGCGGACAACTCTGCCCAAATATCTCAGCTAAGCTACCTCTTAAAGACGTAAACTTCTGTACCGGAATCTGCTAAAGTTTTAAAGAAGCTAGCTTGGTAGCCCATACCTGACAGTACCTTGACTGTCATACACTCCTCCAGCCACATGTAAAGCCATATAGATAGATCAATGACCGAAAACTGCGCACCAAAGGGAGCAACTGCCCTCAATCCATCCGCTTTTTCCGTGACTTGATGCAGACAATTGCGATGCAGTGCAAACGTCTTTGAAGCGTCGCCTGACAAAAACTACAGGCAACATTTTGTGCCAGACTTATAGATATCAATGCCCTAGGACATGTTGTGCCGGCGTATTCAAGGACAAAATGACGAGGGGGAAGAAAAATATCTCCGTAACTTTTAAGAAGCCTAAGAAACTGACCTATATGATGGGCAGAGAGGAGACTGTGGACGGTAAAGCAAAAAAAAAAAAGCAAACAAGAAGGGATAGTGCAGTCACACGGATCTTGTCGCGTTATTCACGAGCAGCCAAATCTGCGCCCGTTATCCAACTCGCCCCTGATGTAGTCAGCGGCATGCTCTCCATGTAAGGCCGCGCGGCTAGTCAATTGATGTCGCTGGTCTAGATGTTTAAAGAATTGTTGGCGCGTATCAAACAGACGGCTGCGGTTTCTGTCTGGTCCATATTTGCAGACATGTTCTTCACAGACGTAGCGCACGCCGAGAGCATAGCGTTCCCAGTTTTCAGTCTGGGAACGCTGTCGGCGGGTCTCAACCAGGAAGCGGGCGCAAGTGCGGACGTTCGCGCGATGAGCAGGGTCAGAATCAAGCCATGCCATAGTGGCTGACTCGATTTCAGAGATGAGTGCCGGAGCGTCCTTCTTATGGCGACGGGTAAGCTTGATGTAAGGAACTTCGAAGCGAATGTAGTAGTGATAAGATCGGCCCTGTTCGAAAGCCATCGCCCTGCTAATATCTGCAGGAGATTTGGATGCAATCCCCGGCAGATGCTTGCGGAGCTTCTCGTACCACCAAGGGTGTTCAGGCTCTTTGGTCCCGAGACTCAAGAGCAGCCCAATGGAAGGAGTACCGTTTTCACTCTCGAACATGGATGAGAGCATTCTCATGGTCTCCAGACTGGGATCACGAATCAAACGGCTGCCATCAACGTACTTGGCTTCGCGAATGATGAAGGGCTTGCAGTTGCGGGGTGTCGTGACAGCTTTCGCGACTTCAGGAATAGAGGTCATGCGGCCGTTTTGGTCGGGTGTTTCATACCTAAAGGTGCAAAAGGGGAAGGGATCCTGTTCCTTCTTCCCCTCGACTTCAGCAGCCCAGGCCCAGGCTATAACCTGGCACTTGAAAAGATCGGCTTGAAATTCGCTTGCGGTGGCCGACACTTCGGTTGAGGGAGCAGAGCCGCCTCTAACGCTGGTAGTGGATGAAATGGTGAAGGCGCGGGCACTTCGGGTGATGCTGTAGCGGGAAAACATGTCGAAGAGGGCGCTTGCGCGGCCATAAGGCCACGCATGACGATGTGGCTTTGGAAGGCTAAGGAGCGGACCGTCATCGTCAGGCAGGACCGGGAGATCGATGTGATGGTGCTCGAGTTCGCCGATAACCTGATCGACCGTTTGGCCTAACATGCCAAGAAGAATAGCAAGGATTCCACCGAAGCTGGTGCCGGAGATGTAGTCAAAGTAATGAGAGGGGAGGTATTGGCCCTCTTTGTAGACATCGTCTGGAATATCCTCACGCGAGATACACACCGTGTCGGCGCTGGATCTGGCGATCGGCTCCAGGAAGGGTCTCAAGGATTTCGACCTCGCGCATGATCTCCCGGAGGACAATCAAGGAGGAGATGGCCTGGATGCCACCGCCGTCGATGCAGAGGACGTACTTTGGCTTCCAGGGAGCCACCAAGTGCCAGCCGCCATCCAAAACGATGCTGGGGGTAGAGCTCGAAGCATGGGAAAGTGGTGACGTGGGACTGAGCTCGGGCGGGCGAGGAACAAAGGAGCCAAGATTGTAGAAAGCCCTTTGGTCGGAGTGAAGGTCGAAAGACGGCCCCGGGAGCAGGCCAACTTGAGACACCGCAGAGGGCAGTGCCGACCCAGCGCCCGCTGCTGGCTTGACCTGGCCGAACTCGGTGATCTGTGGGTTTGGATGAGACGCAGCGGGCAAGTCAACTGCCGGCTCGTTCTTGGTCCACTGAGAAGCCATCTTATTCGGTGTTTATTGACCACGATATACAAGCGAGAGGAGACCAATGACGACAAATTGTGGCCGCTTGGGAGTTGGGAGTTGAGGTCCGACGAAAGTTACCAAAGAGAGCAAAGAGATAAGGTCGTAGATATGACGAAGGACAAAAGTAAGAGCAAATGGTGTTGCTGTCTGCTGTCGAAATAATACCAAAGGCCTTTGCAAGGCGGGAGTAAGGTGTTGAGAGGAAAGGCGGTGCTAAGCGTTTAACTTGATTGCGTTGTAGGATGGCAGCAAGAAAAGGAGGGAATAAAGGGAAGAGTAAGAAGGCGAGGGGAGGGTAAAGAGGAAAACGGATGAAGAAAGAATCGCGTCCGCAGACAAAAGAGCAGGGCTAGAAAGAAACGTTCTGCGTAGCGACGAGGCAGAGGCTAGACGCAGGTGGGCTGCCCCTTCCTTCGATATCGAGACCACTCTCCTGGGGAGGGTTGGGGCTCTCACGAAGCACAACACCCAGAACCGCACCTGCCTTCCTTCCCTCCTTCCCTTTGCTTCCTTTTCTTTCTGCATACACAAAAGATTTGCAAACTTCGTGACCCAAAATACCAAACCTTTCTTCTTTTCCTATAACTCTGGTCAAACCCCAAACCGCAAACCACGCCTTTTCATTCTGTATTTTCCTTTCTCGCAATCATCTCTCGAACTCACGGCCACTACTTACGCTCCGACTGTTACCTTTTTCTTGCATTGCTCTAAGCACAATCCTCTTCTTTTTTCCAACATCCAAACGACAGCTAAAGTCGCTCGAACCGTTTCGACGCAACCCGGCAGCTCGACCAGTCTCCTCATCGCCAACTTGTTAAGGTACTGCGCCTCCCCCTACAGGCAGTAAGTACGTAGAACCCCCCAGCTGTGGCCCTCGCCCGCGCAGGCACTAACGACTTGCTGCACGCAGTCATCGGGTTGACAAGACTGCTGGCTGTTCTGTTCCGTACTAGCAGCGTTCCTACCGGAGCCACCCCTAGCAAAGTTGTCGCCATGGAAGTCGCTGGCGCCATCGCATCGCTGACTTTCGACGTCTTTGACGGCGTTGTCAAGAGTAAGTCGCTAAAAGTCAAAAATACTTGAAGTCGTCTCACAATCTGACTCTGGCTCTTGTTTTCAAATTCTGTACCTCCATGCTTGAAATGCCCAAGGAGCTGGAGAGCAAGCGCGTGGAGCTTATTATCGAGTACCATCGTATTCTGGCCTTTGGCAAAGCAGCAGGACTCGTCGACGTGCCCGAGGGCTCCAACCTTGCCCTGACTTTGGGTACCGAAACAATTGAGCTTGTGGCCATCTTGGCGCGGATTCAGTCCATAATGACCGAGTTCCGCGACTTGAATGCCCGTTACTCTGATGAGGATTCTTCCAAGCCGTCTGTTTCCATGAGGAATGGTAACCACGGTGAGGGCTCAGGCAACACCAACCTGCCCATTAGGCCCACCTTTAAGCGTACTCCCAGCCTCGCTGCTCAATACGAGGAAAAGAAGCAGCAGCGGAAGCATCTCCGGGGCACAAATCATCTCCGCGAGTTCTTCCAAAAGACAGGCCATAACCTCAAGGAAATTGTGACCCATCCTGGCCGTATTCGCTGGATCGTTTCTGACAAGGATGCCTTCGATGCTCTTCTCAAGGACCTGCACACACTCACCGAACGTCTGCACGAGCTCATGAGGGGCCATCGCGAACGTCACATCGATGAGATCACGGCAATGACCTACCGCGAGTTAATCATGACTCGAAATAGCGTCGACGACATTAAGGTCAGTATTGAGGCGGTCTCCAACCGCATCAATAATTTCCCCTTCGAGGGCCCCAGCCGCCCCCGCCATGGTGCCACAGATTTTGCACTCCGAGACCTCTTTCAGCTCAAACGGATGGGTCGTATTGCAGAAAATGTCATTCTTGAACTCAAGAATGATGGGAAGATCGATCTTGACGAGCGTTTGAAGGAGTCCGGCCTGAAATTGCAGAAGCTCACCGCCCAGGAGGTATTTGATAACTTCTCATGGAATGAGCCTGAAATGGTTTATCCTGCCGGCCTTGATCGCCCTCGTGGCGTTCTGACTGTTGGCAACGATGAACTGCCTGTTTGGGTCGAGTGGAAGCCGATTGGTGACTTGCGTCCCAACTCTCCTCAGGACAAAGAGGTGTTCGTCCGCACCGGTCTCCTCTCCGAGATGCTCAAAATGCAGAAGCCGTCCACGATGCACGTGCCTGAGTGTTTGGGCTTCTTCGACGATAGAGAGGTGAATGAATGCGACCGTTATGGTTGGATTTACAAGATGCCAGAGGGTAGTAGCATGGACACTCGTGTTGTCTCGCTCTACCACATCCTAGGCAACGACAAGCACAAACCCAGTCTCTCCAAGCGCGTCGCCATGGCTACAGCGCTTTGCACAACCGTCATGAACCTGCATGCCGTCAACTGGCTGCACAAGGGCATTTACAGTGACAATGTCGTCTTCCACTTTGACAAGAACGGCAACTACAATGCCGAGAAGCCTCTTCTGTCAGGTTTCGAATATTCTCGTCCTGATGTCGGCAATACGACCAACCGCGAAGTCGACGCAGTCTGGGACCTATATCGATGGCCTGCCATTCAGCGCGAGAAGCCAACCGACCGCAACTCGCGCAAGACATACGACATGTACAGCCTTGGCCTAGTGATGCTCGAGATTGCACACTGGGAGCGTCTTCAGAACTTGATGTGGCTTCACGATGCCCCCCGCGATAGCGATCAAAGTGACGACACCAGCAAGAAGGGTAAAAAATTCATTGCGAACATCGGGATGGGCAAGGAGAAACTGCTGCCGAATGTCACTTTGGATGAATCTAAGGGTGTCCGAGACTGGCTGCTGGACATCCGCGAAGGCGCCCCATTCCGTGCTGCTGGCCGTCCTAATCCCTTGCAGGCGCTGCGCCACGTCGCAGGAGACCTCTACTTCCACGCTGTATTGCGCTGTATCTGGGCTCATGGCCCCAATGGGTTTAGTGTCGAGGAGCTTGATGACCAGTCGAACGACTCTGACATCGGCGTTCAGCTCCAGGAGGCGTTCATGAGGTATGTTGTTGAGCCGCTCAGGTCTGTGCAGATCTAAGAGCGGAAGTACGAGCTTGTTCGGATCTGAGATGCGGGCCGAAAAGGGTGTTGACATTTGAACGCAGTTGAGTTGCTGGTTTTCTCAGGGCGTTTTCTATTCGCATATCAGGAGGAGTCATATATGGTTCATAGATTGTAGGTTGGACATGTACGGTGTTTGTATTTGAACAGATGTCTGGTGTAAAGAGTGTGAATATTGGTGTATGCGGTCTATCGGTGTACAGATTCTCTTGATATGTGTGTACAGTCTATCAGTGTACAATGTGATCGGTGTACAGTCTAGCTGTGTCAGCTATTGTAATCAAAAGGTTGCGTACCCAAAACCAAACAGATTCTGGCAGATGGCTAGCGAGATGAGTGTCTCTGTCTCGGGTATTCATCCTCACTCGCCCGTCCACTTCCACTGGGCGTTCCGATGTAGCAGGTAATCTCTCGACTCGATGCTCTTCCGGATGCCGTAGAAGCCGCCCAGCGGCCACACCCTGGTCATCCAATGCTGCTGTTTCTTCTTCACGGCTACCTCTTGGTCAACATGCACCTTATCCCACACGCTCGGCAGGTTCGCGGCCTTGTACTTCTTCCGCAGGGCATCGTACCACTCTCGGCCCCCGTACATCTTCCAGAACTCGTCTTCATCATAATACGTGTGCGCATACAACCACTTCATCCCGCCCAGCTCCCGCACCTTCGCTTCCAGCTCCCGGTTCACCCGCACAAACTCCCTCGGTTCAGCCGGCCCCCAGCCCCAGACTCCGACATTCAGCATGTGTCCTGGCTCTTGCACCTCCACGCCCTTCGGGACGGTCGTAAACGGATGGAACGTCGGCAGCGTAGGCCGTTTTAGGGGGCAAAGCCATAGCGGCCAGATTCCTAGCTCACGACCAGTGTATTCCACGAATTGTGGGGTTGTTTCAAACGGCATGGCGACATCCTGCACAATAAAACGTGCGCTTTCCCCTGATGCGTGGAGGGCTCGGTACAACATGCGGGTATGCAGGAAGTCATCTAGGAATTGCCTCGTCCAGCGGGTGAAGGGCACAAAGCGGAAGTATTGGAAGGCCGCTCGGCCAACCCAGAAGCCGCCCCGGTCGTAGCGGAAGAGGTACTCGGCTAGGGGGACGGTGTTGCTGACTGGGAGGGAGGGGGAGGATAGTTTGGAGGTGAGGTGGAAGGCGTGGAGGTAGAACCAGGGGTCGGAGGGGGCAGAAAAGGTTTGGAGAGGGGCAGAACAAGGGGAGGGGGGTTCGTTCGTTAATGTACCGGTGATGATTGCTCCGTGGGTAGGGGAAAATTGAATGCCGTCTATGTAGTCGTTTTCCGGCTGACGCATTTGCTCCCGGATGAGGGAGACGCTTTCTTCGATGGAGTGCGTGCGGTGATATCTGACGTGGACGAACTTCTTTGCTTCCATGAGGCGGAGTTTCAGGAGGGTGGTTACGCCGAGGGTGCCGACCGCGCCGGCCGCACCGCGGAAGAGGTCCCCCGTTTTGGGGTCGTCGCGGCTAGTTTGAATGACTTCGCCGTCGGCGAGGAGCATCTCGGCTCCCAAGACCGTCTCGTCAAAAAAGCCTTCTCTGAAACTGCTGCTTTCTCCGGCTGTGCCCGCGAACCCGCCTCCGGCGGTGATGCCGGGGAATTCCATTACCACGGGCGGGACCAGGCCATGGGGGAGGGTGGCTTCTACCAGGCGGTCCATGGGCACATTGGGTTCGACCAGGGCGATACGCTTGTCGCGGTCGATGGAGATGACGTTGCGCAGGGCGGAGATGTCGAGGACGGGGGAGTTGTGTGGCCGTGGGCGCGTGCTGTTGGTCGAGCCGTGGTGGATGCGGTAAGGGATGCCGGCGGCGTAGAAGCCGCGGGCGGCGGTTGACAGGGCGGAGATGGCCGCGCGATGTTTTTCCATTTTCTTGTTATTTTTTGTTACTTTCAGAAGAACATATGTACACTCAGTATTAAAAGAATGACATGTTGGGGGTCAAGGGGGAAATAGGGGCGAGTACAGTAAGAGTGAGCGGGTGAGTGAAGTGAAGTTGAGGTTCGTGATGAAATTTTGGCGGGTCCACTTCGGGATGTGAGCTTGGCAGAGACTCATGGGTAAAGATGGAGATGAACAATCCAGACGAAGTGTGAGATTACTACTACGCCAGTAGAATGGATAAGTCTATATACACTTAAACATGAGTCTACCACAGGAATATAGAAATATGGACTCAGAAAACGCTCATATGGTAGGTTAACCAAGCCAACCCTTTTTCATCCTCACCATCTCACTCAATGCCCCCCTCGCCCCTCACAGCTTCGCCCCAACAAATCCCGCCTCCCTTACAGTCCTCCACACCCGTTCCCTAACCTCCTCCTCCTCAAAAGGATTCACCTCCTCCGGCTTTAGCACCTCTTCCTGCAAGCTCTTAGCCTTAACCCTCACAAACCTCGTCCCGACCCCATTCCCCCCTTGTTCCCCCACAGCCTTGATGAACCCTGCCCATTTCTCCAAACATCTCTTTCCTTCCTTTAGATAGGGAAATATCAGCGCAAAACAGTGCGGCATCCCCTCATACTCCTCAAACACCACCGTCTCAACCCCATCGCGCCAAAGCTTTTGGGCAGTGTACCGGTCCTCGTCGGTGAGCAGTTCCCAGCCGGCGCAGATATAGACGGGGGGTGCGCCGGCCCAGGATGTGGCGAGGACGGGGGAGACGGAGGGGGTGGGTGATTAGGGCGTCAGGCGTGTAGACGTGCTTACGGGGAGGATTGGTTGGCCAAATGGCGCAGGGAGGGCGGCGCGCATTGGTGACGGCTTGTTGGGCAGGCGTGGGGAGGTAATCATAGGCGGCATTGGCGGTGCAGGAGGGGAGGGAGTCTGGGGATGTTAACCTTTGTTTAACTTCAGATAGAGATGTGAGATATACGAGAGGAAGAACTTACGGGTCAGGTCCATCCAGGGCGAGCTGACGGCTACGCCGGCGGGGAGGGGGATATCGCGGGCTTCGCCGTGCCATTGTATCTTGTGGCCGATGCGGTTCAGGTAGAGGATAAGTTGGAGAAGAACCATGGAGAGGTTACCGCCAGCGCTGAACACTGTTAATTTTAATCTAGCCTCACATCTCACTTGCAAACTCACCTGTCGCCAGCAAACACGATATTCTCTGCCTTCACCTGCTCATGAAACGCCCCCTCGGGCGGATACAACAACGCCAAATACGACACCAACGCATCCATCAGCGCTGCAGGAAACGCACTCTGTGGCGCAAGCCTGTATCTCACCGAGTAGACCCTGCCCCCCGTCAACTTAGCTAGTGTCTTCGTCGTAGGCCGATGTGTCGCCGGATCCAGCATGCAGTACGCTCCTCCATGAAAGTAGAGCACCGTAACCGGACTCTTCACATCCTTCATCATCGCCTCGTACAACCCCTTCTCCCCCAGCTCTTTGGGTAGCTTTTCTCCTCGGGCAGCATTGACCCTGTACCCCGTCCACTCCGCCTCAACGGCTACCGGCTCAGGAATGTCATAACCCGCCCTGGGAATTTTGGGGTCCCATAGCCCATCGATGCCCCTCTTAATCGCCTCCTTCAGTTCCTCCGCCTCCGGCGGAACCGGGCAGGCATAGGTAGCAACCCAGATGTGTCCCCTCGGCGCCGGGGCGCGAGAGGCCAGTTTCTGGGTCGTGCTCACGGATTGGGGTTTGGCAGGGCTGATGAAGGAGCGGATGACGGCGAGGGCCAGCTCTGTTCGGAGGTCGAGGTATTTTGAGGGTGGGGAGAGGCGAAGGCAGTGAAGGATTGCCACCCAAAGGAGGAGGGGAGCTTGTGGGAGGAGGGTGAGGAGCACAGAGTTGGAGCTGCCAGAACCGCTTTTTGGCTTGGATTTGCCGGTCCCTGATGAAGGGCCAGGGACTGGCGATGCAGTCTCGGTGACGGTGATGGGCTTTTCGGTTGTTGCCATTTGTTTGGGCGTCAGAACGGGATTGAAGAAAAAGACTGGGTGGAAGTAGAGATCCTGTGGATGATGAGTTTTAGACTAAAGACGTCGAGTAGTATCAAGATCACATGTGTCTGTCCATTAGAAGAAAAAGAACTGCCGAACAGAACAACAATCTTTCCTCCCGCCCTTTTTATACTTTGCTTATTCCCATGCCTAGCTAGCTATCAGTCCTGCCATTCTTTCAGCCCAAAGCCATCAAAGACTTGACCTTCATCGATCCACTCCGCCCTAGGCCGGCTACAGACTCGGATGAGCACGTTGACACTCGACGCGAAGCCGTCAAATCCGCCAATCCCCAATTCATCACAAAGTTGCGAATGCGCATGCACAAAAGTGGACACGGGTGGGTGAGCCGAGGGTATGGGTGTAGTGTCTTGCTTGCCAAGCCCCGGGTCTGGCCAATGAGCACACGAGCACTCGCAAGCTTTCCATCTTTTGGGTTAGGGAGATTTACTAGCCACAGTTATTGGGGCTGGGTATGTGGCTTGACTTAAGCAATAACCATGTTCGAAGACGGTAATGCTTGAGATGGCGACGGGTTGGTGATATCACTGCATAAAACTTGCTCACTGTTGAAATTGATTAGTGAAATTGAGGGTAGAACTAAAAAAGCAATTGAAAAGCAAAAGTAAGGACAAATGCAAAACATACAACACGGGGGATTCCCCAGTCATCACCGACCTGAGTACTAACCCCGCCCTCAGTGGCTTGTCTATGGGAGAGCGGACGGGATCCCGAATTTTCCACTGGGTATGGTCGTATGTATTCGAGGGATGCAGATTAGGACCTGATATAGTCGTGAGTGGAGGAGAGGCAGATTGCCTTCAGAGGCTTAATTTCGGTGTTTGGATTCTCAGATCTATCTCAGTTGGCCAGAAATTAAAGTTTATTCCCTAATCTATGTGATCGCGTTGGCACATTGTGCGACTTAGGCCACTGTTTGAACTCGCAGATTATGTGATAATCATCTTATTTCCCATCATCTAGAGTTCATCTTCTCAGCAAGAACAGGAGAGTCGAGCCGTATTGTGGGTTTTCGTAGCCCAGTGCCTGCTCTTCAAGCGTGTGCAAAGGTTGCGATGAACCTTTGATCAAGAGGTGATGGTCTAGGTAGTGGTGCCCTTGGGAAGAGCTCAATCAACAACAGCTTTGGGATCGTGAAGTTGACCAAGGAACTGACCGGAAGCTGGGTAACAGAGTGGCCGCCTATACTATGAGTGATAGCCTGGGGGTTAACTCCAATTGCCTGCCGCATCCATAGCTGAGTCACCGCCGTGGAGGGAGATTTCTCTGCGGTGTCTGCAGTCTGCAAGACAATCACGGGGTTGTCAGCAATAAAGCAACCAATCATCCAGAGCCACCAGCTGATATCAGGCCATGCAATCTGCCAGTTAATTCTTTAGAACAATGAACACATCCATGATACTATGTTATTAAGCACATTGTTATCTCTGGACCTGCACCAGCCAACTGTAGTCAAGCCAAGCCCTCGTGTCCCTAAGGTACCATATACTACGGGTGTAGGTCAACTGCAAAGCAAAGAGGAAAGAGGCAGGTCACACAACCTCCTGAAAGTACTGTACAGCACACAAACACCCATCCTTCCTAAAAATACCATACACATCCATTTGCAATTCCATATCAATCGTGCATGCAACCAACCCTGTTCTTTTCATGAACTCCTAACACATGTCCATGCATGTTATTGTCAGCTCTCTTAACTCTCAACTCCCACAGTCCGAAATGCCAGATCCTCAATTAGTTGCTGCTGCTACCACTGCTCTCCGAACCGCTCTCGTGCGCAGTCTGACTCTCAGCCTTGCTGCTCGTAGACGAGGGGCCCTTCTCACCGTTGTTCGGGTTCGACCACGACGATGACCCGCCCGACAACCTGTTAGCCGTGGTGCTGCTGCCGGCAGTGCTACTACTCTTATTGGAAGCAGCCAGCTGCCAAGCAGGTATCGAGGCACGAGGGGGGAGACCAGAGCTGAAGGGCGAGAAGCGATTGGTGAGGAGCGGGTCAGCCGCAGCAGAAGCCTCCTTGCTCTCCATAGCGGGAGCGGTCTCAACGGAGGCGGCGGCGGCGGCGGCGGCGGGAGTAGTAGCGGAGGAAGTAGCACCGTTAACCAAAGACGAGGCGACAGAAGGAGGACGAGGGATGGCAGTGGCAGTCGGGACCGCGGCGGCAGCGGCAGGGGTCTGCATGCGCTGAGTGAGCAAGGTCTTGAGAGACTTGAGCTCGGCGTTGACCTCGCGCAGACGCTGGTCGGTCAGGTCCTTCTGGTTGTTGAGGGCACGCGGGATCACATTGTCCTTGAGATTCTGGAGTTCTTCACGCAGGCGGCGAGTCTCATCTGTCCGCCACTTGTTGTTGCTCTGCAGATCCTTGATCACGGTGTCGAGAGTCGAGAGTTGGTTGTCCAGCTTCTCGGTGCGCGCCTGTTCGGCCGCCTTGAGCTCCTCTGTGTCCTTGGCCAGCTGATCGACCAGGGCGAAGGCTTTCTCGAACTGCTCGTCGATCGCACGCTTGTCTTGCTCCAAACGCTCGGGGGTCGGGGGAGCAATCAGAGGGTAGATGTAGCGCTGTTTTGAGGTTAGGCTCTGAATCCATATATACATGAGTGTTGCTCGAGGACCTACCTTGCCAAGCTGGTACAGGCCATAGCTGACGCCGCTAACCACTGTAGCCATGATGAACCAGTCACGCCAGTCTCTCCTAGGAGGCTGGTCCGGCGGTTGCTGCCATCCATACGGCGGGTAGGAGGGGGGATACTGGCCATAATAGGCCGAAGGCTGCCCAGGAGCGACAGGCGGCTGACCAAACGCTGGGACAGGGGGCGTCACGCCAGCGCGTGCGAGCGCAGCATTAATCTCTTCTTGAGTGAGGTTCTTCGCCTGCAGAAATGCGATCTTCTTTTCAGTCGGTGACGCAGCGACACTAGGGTCTTTGAGGACTGCACAGAGGGTTAGCAAGCTGATCAACAGTGTTTATCCCTGAGAGGGAGAAGGAAAACAAGACAACGTACACTGCGCCGCCGAGGCGACCAGATCCTCGCGGATAGCCATTCCTCACGAGGTTACTCTATGGCTCTACAAGCAAAGTTGTGATGGAAGTCGACAGCCGGCAGAGGACAATACACAGGTTGCGATGGTGGCAGACTTGAAGTTGGGAAAGGAAGAGAGGCTGTTGCTTCGGTCGACAAGAACCGAGGTTCGCGGCCGACCGCCGTTACCCTGCCACAGATCCACAGGCACGCTCTCAGGGACCCACCCTGGCTCGCTGGATGCGGCTGACAGGGGTCAAATCCACGGATTTGGACAGCCGTGTCACGTGTTGCTCAGTGTTTTGCTAAGCTTCCTAGGCGCCCAACTGGGGCTATGGGTCGCGAGAGTCAAGACCCACATTTATCCGTTTGGGAAAATCGATTGACCGTCGACACCGCCCCGCGCTGTTTACCTGCTTGTTTACCAACGCCACAGCAACGGCTGTTGTTGGCTGGCGTAATTAGTTACATCGCGCTCTGTAATTTTGGTTTTTTTGATTGTGGTCCACGCCGTTTTGCTGGGCTCGTCTAGAAACATTGCATCAACAACGATTCGCTAGATCTTGCTGATTATCTGCGGCGCAATCGAGCGACATCAACCAAGGACGCCATGTCAAAGGACAGCGGGCAGTGGAGTGTCCGACGACCCAGGGAGGTTCGTGCGATTATCAGTCTTTCCAATCACTACGATCCCTGCTCAGATATATGCGATATCAGAAACAACTGATTTAACCATCTCCAGACCCTAGGCGGACTCGGCTTCAACTCAGGAATTCCACACCCGAACTCAGCCATGAAGCGAACCAGCACGATCGGCGCCGCCGGCCCCTCGCACGCCCGCACCATCTCCGGGTCGCGCCCCTCGCTGATGCCGCGCCCGAGCCAACCGCTCTTTAAGCGAAGCTCCTCGTCCGGCGACGTCACCAGCTCCATTGGCCTGGCCTCCGCCAAGCGCGCCTCCATCTACAGCGCCAACACGCCCGCCGCTCTACGAGCAGGATTGTCGTCGTCTGCCGCTGATGCCGACCGTCGCGCTAGCGTCAGTGTCTACCGCGCGCGCCCGTCCGTTGCGCCAGGAGCCCTGGGCCTGGGCGGCGGCATGGGCGGCCACCAGAGCTTCTTCCAGCAGGCGCCGCAGGCGGCGGGCGTACCGCGTGACCCCAGACCGCTGAAGGATCGGGCTTATCAGCAGAGGATTGGCCAGGAGCTGTTGGAGTACCTAGCACAGAATAACTTTGAGATGGAGATGAACTACAAGCTGTCGGACAACTTCATCAAGTCGCCGACGCAGAAGGATTTTAATTACCTCTTTCAATGGCTGTATCGGCGCATTGACCCAGGCTACCGGTTCCACAAGAACATTGATCAGGAGGTGCCGCCATTGCTGAAGCAGATGAGGTATCCCTATGAGAGGGGTATCACCAAGAGCCAGATTGCTGCCGTGGGTGGGCAGAACTGGAGTACGTTTTTGGGGTTGCTGCACTGGATGATGCAGCTGGCGCAGATGCTGGAGCGGTACAAACTGAATGAGTACAACGATGCGTGTTTAGAGGCTGGCGTAGATGTGTCTGGAGACCATATCATCTTCGACTACCTGACCGCCGCCTACCAAGACTGGCTCAACATGGATGAGGACGTGCCGGATGACGAGGTCGATAAGGTGCTCGCGCCGCATGTACAGGCCATGGCTCGTGCCTTTGAACGTGCCAACGCCCGCTACATTCAGGAGCTGGAAATACTGGAGGCGGAGAATCAGCGGTTGCAGAAAGAGATCGAGGATCTGCAGAAAAGCACGCCTGACCCGGCAGTTCTTGACAATCACTACAAGATCATGGAGGAGGACAAGGTCAAGTTCGAAGAGTACAATACGCTGGCGCAACAACGAGCAGAAAAGTACGAGGGCCGGATCCAGGTCCTGCAAGAAGAACTGGAGAAGCTCGCAACCGAGCTCGAAGAGGCTGAAGAGGAAAAGCGCCGTCTTCAAAAAGCCGTCGACGACCAGGGCATCAGCATGCAGGATATTGACCGCATGACTGCCGAGCGCGAGCGGCTGGCAAAGGCGAACGAACTGGCCTCCCAACGCCTAGAAGATCTCAAGCGCAAGGTAACCGAAAAGGAAGCCGAAGCCAGCGAGCGCCTCGACGAACTCGAGCGCATGGTCGACCGGTACAACACGGTCGCCTACCAAATCGCACTCATTCCCCCAACAGCGGTTAACGCCAAAGGCCAGAACTACGAGCTCCAAGTAACGGTTAATGACGACGCGGGCGGCGACCGCCTCGTCGCCGACGCTACCACAGGCTACCAGCCAGCGCACATCCTCAACCTGGACCTGCGCGGCAGCGTTAAGAACGCGCTGCTGGCGCTGCGCAAGGAGATTTCGGAACGGCGCAAGGCGGCACTGGACGCCATGATGGAGGACCACGACTTGCTTGACCGGGCCAAGGAGGCCATCGAGGACAAGCGGAATGAGGTCGAAGCGCTGGAGCATCGGGTTCGTGCTGCTGAGGAAGAGTACGAGCGGACCAAGGAGGTGACGACGGCGCAGAAGCTGGCAAGCGATGCGCAGATTGAGAAGATGGAGAAGGAGTTGGCGAAGATGAGGGCCCAGTTGACGGAGAGCGTGCAGTTGCTGGAGCAGAGGGAGATGACGACGAATATTGAGTACGTCTTCTTTCTGTCTTCTCCGAAGTTCTGGTTGCTAACTGGTCTGTTACAGATACGAACAGCTTACGCTCCGGGCCAACGCACTCCGCGAGGAGCTGCACACCGAGACGATGCGCATGCTTAACGACGTCATCAAGTTCAAGATGCACATCCAGAAGGGGTTGGAGGAGTACGAAAGCTTCGTTGCAGACGAGCTGGAGAAGGAGTTGGGCAGCGATGAGATGCGTGATGATACCCAAGCCTTCGAGGCCTAGACGCAGATTGGTTCTGTTATGTGTTATGGTATGGTATGTTTTGTGTGTGGGTTGGATGGATGATCCTTTTTGTTAGCTCGGTGTCTCCTCTATTTGGCTGGGTAAGGGTGGTTTGTTGGGTGTGTCTGGATGAGAATCGGGTCAAGTATGGGCTGGGCGGAATACCTAGGGCTTTCGTGTCAATATCTGCTGGAAACACTATGGCCTCGACAGTTTGTGAGGTTCAACCGTATTCAAAATTCTTGGATGGCTTTTACGGTAAATATCTTCGATTCTTGATCTTCTAGCAGCCATATATCTCTCAAATGGTTTGGCCTTGAAACTGATGATATGCTCAAGCCAAAGGTCCAAAGTGGGTCTTGGTCCCACTATGACCGCGCTGCCCAGGTACCGCGCTGGCCCCCCACCATTCAGCCTCCCTCTCTGACCTCATCCCGTCTCATTCACATCACATTCACTCCAATTCCTAGATCAGTCATCTCATCTCCAGTTGCATTACGTTCTTCACCTCCAGTCAATAACATCCACCAGCTAACCCATTCTTCACTTGAACCAACCGTACCTGATCTACTCTCCAACATGTCCGACCTCCAACCCCAACCCCAACCCTCCTCCTCTTCATCCCCCCCCTCATCATTCACCTTCCCTCCAGAATATCACTTTCCCCCCTTTTTCACCCGCCAACGCAACCTCACCACGCACCACGCCCAACTCGTAAAATGGAGCAACCTCGTCCTCTCCTATTGCCGCCATCACCGCATCCTGAAGCTCTCTATGTCGGGAACAAGCGGCTTCGCCATGCCCTCGCCAAACCTCACCCTGCCTGTTGTTTCGTCAGGAGGGAATAGCTCGTCTAATAACCCAGGCCCATACCCACCGAGTTTGATCCTGGGCGAAGTTACAGCAGGGAGTTCTGTGGTCGAGGTTGACACCTCAGAATTATTCCACAACCGCAAACTCAACCGCCGGTTGGCGCTGGCAGATATTAGGAGTGTGATTGACTTTTTGAGGAAGGATGGACGGGCGGAGTATGTGTCAACTGGGAAGAAAGAGCCGAGTGAGGGGGATCTGGCATGGATTTACTGGAGGACACCGGAGGAGTGGGCAGGATTGGTCGAGGCGTGGGTGGATGCTACCGGGCAGAGGGGAAGCGTGTTGACGGTGTATGAGTTGATTGAGGGGGATGGGACGTTGGGCACTGGTAAGTCCATCTTCAGGATAACGTTGTTGATGGAGGACATGCTGACGAGGGCACAGAATTCCATGGCCTAGACCAAGAACTCCTGCTCAAGGCACTCAACGTGCTCGTCAAGCGCGGCAAGGCACAGATATTCGGCCAGGAAGACTCGCGCGGTGTCAAGTTTTTCTAATGCATACAGCCCGTAACATTACCCTCCCATTCACACTAAACCCTACATGATATCATCTATCCGACAAATGACGCTTCGTGCCTGCCTGCCTACCGCTACATGCCAGACCAGAAAAAAAAGTATACCCAAACATAAAACATGCCTCTCAGCGACGCCGATACCTAACCCACGCCCAATCAGACACCTCCATCTACACAGAGTAAACCTGGCTGCATGGGATCACTTTTTCTCCCTATTCTTCCACAAATACCGCGGATCCCAAAACAGCTCCTGGCGCATGCACACATCGAGCAACCAATCCGCCACAACAATGCGTGGCTCCATGTGGCCCTTAATCGCCATCTCCTCGAACCGCGGCCACAGCTGCTTCTCGGCCTCTGATGGTCCCGACAGGAGGTACACCGGCTCTGGGGGAGCACCACCATCCTCTTCGGGCGTCGTGGGTTTGATGGTCGGACGCCCACGGTACAGCATGAAGATGGCGCCGTTGGCCTTGGCAATAGCTTCGAAGGCCTGGGGCCCGTTAGGGATCTTCTCTGTACAGTAGATGGGCATCTTAAAGAGAAGACGGCCGCGGTTGGCCCGCGCTCGGGCAACAGCTGTTTCGATGGTGATGCCGAACTTCTCTTCACCGGCTTTGTCACGCAGGCGGTAGTCGTCGACGTTGGGCCGCTTGCCCTTTTCGATGCAGGCTGTGACGAAGTCAGAGCTGATGACATCTGGGCCCTTCGCCAGAGCTACCAGGAACTTTTGCGTGCGGATCATGGATGGTGCAGCAAGGTGTGTGAAGGGCACGGTGTCCTGGACAATCTGAATACCAAGAGCACGCAGTTTTTTCTGGCACCATATTAGTATTGCAGGTAACCATATCCATGGAGCTTCGCCACTTACCCTGTCGGCTTCTTCGCTGGACTTGTCCCCGGCCCAACGCTTGTATCCTGTCAGGCAGATGCGCATATCCGCTTCGGGCAGCGATGTCTTGGCCCTCTTCGCAGGCCTCTTGTCCTGCATATCGTCAACATCTTCGCGAGGTCTCTTGTCACTAGCAGGACTTGCGGTGTTCTCGACGACGCGTTCCTTCTCAATCTGGTCAGCTGCCCGCTTGCCGCCAAAGATACCATCTTTGGTGCGCTTTTTCTCCTTCTCATACAACGCAATATCAGCAGAAAGATCGTGAAGCTTGGATAGCGCCTGTGCTTTGGCACTGCGGCTGGCGCTGCTGAACATGGTCGACGGCGTCTCGTTTTCCTTGCCATCAGAGACATGCCGTCCCTTGGCTGGCGTGCTGAATGCCCCGGTGGTAGGGGCCGATCTCCGCGTCTTCTTTGTCGATTGTCCCGCGGGGCTGGATTCTTGCATTACGTTGAAGTCGCGGTCCAGGCCCACCTTAAGGGCGTTCTTTTGCGCCCGCTCGTTAACCTTGTGCTTCATCTTGGCCTCTTCGTTCATTGTCTCCTCGCCGCCAGGGAAGTATCGTTGGCGGAGGACGACTGGGTTAAGGAAAGTCTGTCCGACAACCTCTCCCAGGTTCGTCCGTGGCGGGAAGTGTTGGTACTTGGGGTTCGTGAGCGGTAGTGGCTCGCAGGCCGCATAACTCTCCTCGATCCACAAGTGGTTGACGATCTCAATGTTCCAATCTTTGGCCGCCTCGCACTTTTCGCTGTGCAATCGCGCCGTGATCAGGTGTGTGTTGTCGGATTTCATGGATTTTGTGTATTCAGCACCAGCTGCCTTGATGAGGTTCTCCAAATAAATGCGAGCATCCCCGCCGTAATTTGAGATGGTGATGCGCATGCCCTTGAATCCAGGAAGTCCGTCTCGAGGTATCGGGTAATGGAGCAAGCGACGCATCGGAGATGTGTACTCGTTGTAGACAATCAAGTGGTACAGCCAGGCCAGGTTGCCAACCTCCTTGCCCTGCTGAGACGCCCGGATGTACTGAGGGCCATCACGAAACTGGCAAACGAACCAATCGCAATCGTCAACGTCGTCGACGACCTGGCCGCCACCTCGAATGATCTTGTCCGTGATCGTCTTGCGTAGCTGTGGCGTAATGGGCAGATCCCGTGAAAGCATGACCTTACGCTGCTCGAACACCACCAGCTTCTCCCCGCCATCCGTGTTATAGGGGCCTTGCGGCACCACTGACACCGCTCCGTCAAGGCCCTGGCTGGATGGAATCTTGACAGCCTCTTCAGGGGCCTTTCGTAGAATTTCGGGGTCAGGAAGAAGATAGGGGCCCTCGTCGATGCGCTTACCGAGTCGGAAGCAGTCATCGAACCTGAAGAGTCAGCCACCCAGCCCAAAATGCAGGCGGTTATTGAAACCACTCACCAGTGGGGCAGAACAATCTTGCACTTAAGGTTCTTTTTCCTAGCCTCCACGCACTTCGGATGGTCAAGGGATAGTGCGCAGATATGTGTCGTCTGGCGAGTCAAATCCTTTGATTCAACACCGCCCAGCGCAATGATAGCCCCTGCAATCGACTCCTTGTCCATCTCGGGGATATCGGCACAGGTGAGGATGACACTGGAAAAGATCATACGCGGGTCAGGAGAGAAAGGCCGCACCTGGGCCAGCCTGTGGCGGGCGATGCTGAGATTGATCCATTCATGCCGTACTACGGGGATCATGAACGCCAGGGCCTCGGTGTATTGGTCGAAGTCGATTGTGTCGGAAATGATGTGCGTCGCGCCTGGAATGGGGATCTTGCCCCTACGGTCGGGTTCGAGGATCTCGCCGCCATTCTCGCGGATGAGAGAAGAGTACTGGAAGGAGGGGGGTGTCAGCAGTTGTGTCAGTGTTTCCTCTCAAGGAATCTAGACCTACTTGAGAGATAGCGACGCTCGTCAGAGCCTTAGATTGGACAAATGCGATTTTGCAGTTCTCGAAGAGACCGCCCTTATGAGGCTCGTCGGCCATGGTGACGTTGAGAGAGAGCTCAACGCGTCGTTTGACGCGTTTGCATCACAAGAAACAGTGAAAGTGCGTATGAAGTCTTGTACCGACCGAGTTAAGTCGGACTCAATGAAGGAGTGCAATTGAAATCCTCTTCTTGAGCACAAAGACAGAACAGCTTGGTGCAAAAGTAGGCTGCGACGGGAAGCTGCAAAATAGGCAAGCCGTAGTGAGCGGGATGCTATTATCAAATATCACTAATAATTGGAGGAAACGCGCCGCGACTCTTGTGGGGACGTGTGGCCGACGCGAGGCATCCACGACGCACATGACTTTTCCATTAGGACCCTTGGATGGCAGGCTGCTGATCCCCGCCTTCGACCCGGTGCAACAACAAAACGAGAGCTATTGACGACTCGGAAGCCCAGTTTCTCTATCCAATTGACTCATATGGACACGTTTAACAATGTATCACCTCAATCCAATCTTTCCGTCTGCAGGTTGCTGCAGGTCTCTCACTTTCTCGCCATGATGGTGCAGGTTGAGTCACAACCCTAACCCGCATTCATGCAACTGGCTGCAAGCTTGGTGACTCATATCTAACCCTAACCCCGCTTATCCTTCGACTCGTACTTTCGATCACACCAACAGACCGAGTGCGGTGACTCAAAAAGGAGACTAGTCCAAAACCCCGCACTAGTCGGCTATTTGCTGCACAATACCAGAGGCTTCGTGCCATTGAGTAATGGGATTGAAGGAAAAATGAAACACAGCTTTTTGATCGAACCCAGGTTCGAACTGGGGACCTTCAGTGTGTTAGACTGACGTGATAACCAACTACACCATTCGACCAATCAAACGCTGCGTCCGTGGGAGGGAGAAACGGAAGCTTGGCAGAAGAGAGAGAAGACAGAAACTTTGATACCGCATGAGCTCGGAAGCATCTCTCTACTCCCGGACGTCCAGGCCACCTTCTGTTTTCCGTTGTCATGATCGATGGAATTAATCTGATTCAGTGTTACATTCTACAGTATCTATAGGCCAATGTCTTAACCGGCGAGTGTCTCATGCCAAGGAGGACTGGCTTTGCTCGATGTTACACAGCTTGCATCAACCATGCAGAAACATCCGGAACCAGCATTTAGCTTCACTCAGAAATATTATTAGGTCCTATAGCTAGCTAGGTCGGTGAGCTAAGTAAGCCCTTGACCCTCTCGTGTTCCGTAGTCTATCCTTGAAACGAGCAAGCAGCAACATTAAGCAAGCCCATTACCTCTCCTCCACTCGCCCAAGCAGCCAGTCCTCTTGTCCGCCCTGTCTCAGAGTCTCACATGGCGAGCAAGTTGGCAACCCCAAACCCAAAAGAACCAAGGCAATCCCACCACCTGGTGTTCCAGATTATCCGCATTGTGGTATCCTTCCTCCCGTGTGCGCCGGCCAATTAGGTAGTTGTAATCTCCCAACCAAAGCGCGCGCTGGCAGAAATGGCAAATCAAAATAGTAGTAAAGCAGTGCAATTATAGTTCGCCAGACAAAGGACGCGTTTTGCACCACACACCATGCCATGGTCTATTAAATCCTTCCCAAACCTCCCAACAGGACCGAACAAGAGGAGACGGACGCTCCCGAGGGTTGTCGTCATCATAGTGGTATCGTGTCGGGGAACGAGTTATTTAAGCCTTGACGGCGTACTTGCGCCTGAACATATCGTCAATGTACTCGAGGTAGTACGTGCCGGGGGCGATGGTAGAAACATCACCCTCGGGGGTGAAGTTCTTCTTGAGGTGGGCCTTGTGCCGGAGCTCGCACATCTTGGTCTGTTAGCACAGCCCAACAGTTACACTATACAATAATGCCTTAAGAAACTTACCGCATCGTAGGTCTCGGGGGGCACAGCGCGGCGCGCATCCAGGCGAGCCTTGAGGTCGAGAGTCTTGGCAATGTGCTCGACGCTGCCGACGATGCGCAGCGAGAAGAAGGCAGCCGCCATGCCGGAGCCATAGCTAAACATGCCTATCCGCTTACCGAGCAGGTTCTCGTGGGGCACGAAGGCCACCAAGCTGGCCAGGCCACCCCACAAGCTGCCGCAATACATGTTGCCGCAAAGAGTAGCGACCTGGATGCCAGGGCTGACGCGCTCCTGGAAGCGCTTCTTGGTCAGGCCCATGAAGACCTTCTCAAGAGTCTTGTCGGTTAGGGACTTCTCGTAGTCCATATCGCGATACTCAGCGGGAACCTCGGCGAAGGCCTTGTTGTCGGGGTCCGCCAGGTAGTCGTGGTACAGCAGGCGGCCGTACGACTTGGCCACGAGCTTACAGTTCGGCGCATGGAAAGCGAGGTAGTCGAAACGATCAATGGGGGTCTTCGTCTCCTCAGCCGCGACCGCACCGTTGCCATTGACGTGGCCGTTGGCGAGCTGCTTCTCGCGCTGGCAGTAAGCCTTGTAGGCGGCATCAAGGGCACGGGTGTAGCAAGTGAGGGAGAAGTGACCATCGACGTACGGGTACTCGCTTGTGAGATCCGGCTTGTAGAAGTCATAAGCGTGCTGCATGAAGAAGCCACGGAGACCAGGCTCGAAGACGATAGGGGCGTCAGGGCCGATCAACATCGCGACAATACCGGCACCACCAGTCGGGCGGGCATTGCCCTTGGCGTAGAGGGCAATGTCACCAGCAACAACAATGGCGTCGCGACCATCCCAGGCCGAGGACTCGACCCAGTCAATGGCGTTCAAAACGGCGTTAGTACCACCATAGCAGGCGTTCATGGTATCAACACCGCAGATGTTGGTGTTGTCACCGAACAGCTGCATGAGGACTGACTTCACCGACTTAGACTTGTCGAGGATCGTCTCGGTGCCGACCTCGAGACGGCCAATCGAGTGGACATCGATGCTGTAGTTTTTCAACAGCCGCGACACCACGGTCAGGGCTAGCGAGTAGATGTCTGCCAAGATGTCAGCGCGCGTCTTCTGCAAGCATGTGACACCGAGCACGGAAACGCTGCAAGTAAGGGTCTCACCTTCGCGATCATCGCAAAAGCTCATTTTAGTCTGGCCAAGGCCAATGGTATATTTGCCGGCACTAACGCCGTCGAACTTCTCGAGCTCAGTCTGGTCGACATACTGCAGGGGCGGAAATGTCAGTTTCCGAGCGATGTCGGCGAGGACACGACGCGGGGACGACGCGGTCGCGGCAAGCTCCGGGAAAACGTACCTGGCTTGGGAAATAGATCTCGATGGCCTTGATGCCGATATTCTGAGGACGAGAACTCATTGTGGGTGAGGAATTGGGGCGATTGCAGGGTATAGAGAAGGGAATTAGGCGTAGGCTGTGGTGGTTGGGAGAGAAAAGGGTTAAGGTTGGATCGAGGGGAGAATGTTGTCCTTTAACTTTTGGAGGGGCAGATCTTCGTTAGCGCGAGTTACCCAAAAAAAATAATGCGCTGCGTTTGGGGTATTTTCACGCTCCGTATCCTTCACCGCCCTTTCCCCCCTTTTTTTGTGGGCTGGACAGCCACCCCCAGCGCTCCCAGCCCCAGTTTACCCCAGCATCCACAACATGCATCGTCAAAGATTCGCAGATTGTTGGGCCTCTATGATGGATGAGTTGCCACATACTTACGCTTGGTTCAGAACGGACACGCTGGCGTGGCCTAATCCGTAATCCTACTTATGGTGATACGGGCGTCACGAGCGTCACAGGCTCTGCTCTGGTGGTCACTGTCCACGAAAGCAGATCAAGACGCAGGTATGGGATGATGAAAGAGGTTCGGGCGAGGAAAAGGGGTCAGGGTGGTTTTAAAGCAAAACTTCGGGAGCCACACAGCAGCAGTTCAGTTCCATCCAACGACAGGGAACAAGGGAATAATGGATCACGGCCGCCAAATAGTACTAAGGATCAAAACGTATTTACGTGGGCAGCTCCGAGGCCAGCCAACCTAAGCCAGCAAAGTTGAACAACGATGTCGGAGGCCCAAAAAGGACGCTGCACGTCTTTTTGCCCATCGGTTGGGCGCCTGATGGAGGCATTTGAGCACGACGACAGCGCCCCTCGCTGCCGGGCACGTTGCGTTGCGCCGCCCAAACGCCCACCACGTTGCTCCTCCTCAGCGGCCGGCCTGTCCAGGCCTGTTGACTCCGCTGTAGTGGGCTTCTGCCAAGTCATCCTCTCAGAATAGAGGATCTAATCTCTTAGGTGGGCCGTTGATGCAAGATTGATAAACGTCATCTCCACCGGAACACACACCGCGCACCCGGAAGGCTTCGGACGGCCAGGCTGGGCGGCGGGGATCAGGCACACGCCACAGGGCCCAGGGGCGCGAAGCTGGCAACCGGGACAAGGTTTTGCTAGAATTTCGCATCATCACGACCGTTGTTCGCGATGGCTTTGACAGTGGTCATGGAAATGATAGCATATCTCGGTTTGCGTGCGATCGGAGATCTGTTGCGCTGTTGATCTCCCCCAACGGTTGAGACCGGATAAGCCCGTAGCGCGGGGCATCCCAGAACCTCGCGCGATTCGACCGGAACGAGCACGAGGGCCACGGCAATCTGCCATTGAGCCCTATCCTATGTACCCTACCCTACATCTGGATCAGAACATGATCCGAGAGTGGCACCGACGAGCCCAAAAACCGCTCTCTACGAACCCTTGCAGCTAAGGATGACATGCAGCTCCCCAGAGAGAGTGCAGCGATGCAGCTCAGCCAGCGCAGGTCTAGGACTCCCCAGTCTGGCCGATGTCGAAGGCCATCGTCAGGGTCCAGATCCCATACCATACTGACTCGGGAACTGCTAGCTCTGGCTTTTTTTGTCCCCCTCCCATCCCGTCCTGACCCCTCCTTCCCCCACCCTCGGCAAGGACACCAGATCACCCCATTCGCCAGCACGCCTGAGAAGGGGGGATGGCACAAAGACACCTGCAGGAACGGCAGCAAGTGACACAAGCACCCGCACGCTGCTGCTTCTAGATTTCTCCGGCGCCGCGCCGAACAGCAGTGTGAAAGCGACTGTGCGTTGCGGCTGAGGCACTGTGTGGTATACGTCGACGGCGATGTCGGTGACCTTCCCATCCAGGAAATTGTCGCCCTGGCGCACTTGGTCTCATTGGCCTCTCTGCGTCTTTGTAGATTTCCGCGATCTTCGTGTCTCTCGAAGACGTTAAAATATATCAGATGGAAGAACGTCCGGGGGATGGAAGAAGCTGAGATCATCACCCTTCCCTGATCAGATGGCAGACGCAGGCAGCGAGCCGGGGCGGGGCGTGACATAAATTTTTTTTCCTCAATATTCTAACATCAAGTACGAGTGAACTATCGCATGCTTCCGAATCCTCCGATGGCATCGGTGGAACCAGCCTGCGCATTTCTACTCCATGCTACCGTCATAACCTTACAGGCGCTCAAACATCTTCTGGTATCTCATCATCCGGCATCCATACCCCATTCATATACCCGGTCTTATCCCGTAATGTAAGATAACCATCCTCTAAACGCCGTGTCTATGCAATAATCTGCCGTAGCCACCAAAACACGGTTGAAGCAAACATCATCTATCAAATTATCCAAACATTCCAGACCCTCATTGTTGTTATTATGGGGTTCCATATCCTGAGTCTGCCCCCTGAGGTGTCTTCTGAGCATCCAAAGATGCACCCTTCTCTTTCTCGGTGTCGATCGAAGGAGGGGCAGACACTGATGAGGTCATGGACGGGGCCGGCACCACCACCACGGGCTGCTGCTGTCCAGTCCTGGACTCAAACTTGGCAACCTCAGCCGAAGACTGCTCGACAGCAGCAGGAGCAGTGTCCTTGGCTTGCTTTGTCTTGGTAATGGTCTTCTTTGACTTGACATTCTTAGGCTCCGCCTCAGAAGCACTATTGGCCTCGTTGGATGAGAAAGAAGACGATGAGTCGGAGGAGGACGCGTCGGACTCATCTGTGTTCTTAGCCTTTTTTGACCTTTTTGTCTTTTGCTTAGCCCTTCTCTTCTCTTTCTTCTCATCTTCCTCTTTTGGCTTCTTCTCTCTCCCCTCCTTCTTCTTCCTGGCCTCTTCTTCTGCCTTGCGCTTCTCCTCTGCTTCCTTGAGCTCCTTCTCTTTCCTTTCCTTCCTGGTGTCAATTACCCATTGCTCGGCTAACTCAACGGCCTTTTCAGGATCTCGTTTATGCTTAAGCAGGAATCCCTGAATCTCAGCTGGTGAGAACTCATGTGCAGGAATTTTGGTCGTAAACTCCTCGGCCAGCTTTTTGACCTTGGCAATTGTTTCCTCCTTCTTGCGTTGTGCTTCATCATCGTTGGCAGCCTTCTTACGCTCCTCGTTCGGCGTCAGCGCATTGACAGCCTTCTTGAGCAAGCGGTTGTCCAAGTCTCTCAGAGCCCGTGACCTGGACGAAGACCGGCTGGCTGCAGCAGTCGGCTCCTCGTCAGCCTCAAGAGGAGCATAGATAGCTCGGAAGATGGCTCCCGTCATATCAGCGTCAGCTTTGCCGAACTTGACAATCATGTCAATGCGTCCAGGCCGGATCAGCGCCTTGTCGAGCTTCTCGAGATGGTTAGTCGTCATGATCAGGATGCGACCCTCCTGTGAAGCAACACCATCGATGATATTGAGTAGACCCGACAGGGACAGGCGGCTTGAATTGCCGTTCTTCATGGAGTCTAGCACATGCTTGCCCAGTCGAGAAAGGCTCCCATCATTGCTTTCTTTCCCGAGAGTTTCATCCTTCTCGTCAGAAGACCCTTCTTCACGCGTGTGTGTCAAACCTGCAGTATCAATATCCTCAAGAAGCACGATACAGCGACGCGGCAGCTCGGCGAACAGCGTAGCCATATTCTCCTCATTGGCAGTGACGGAACTCAAGCTGACGATGTAAATCCGCATCTTGAAGTGTCCAGCGAGAGCCAAGCTAAGTGACGATTTGCCTGTTCCCGGAGGTCCGTACAACAAATAACCCCGGCGGTAAGGAATACCGCGGTTATTGTACCACCGACGAGTGGCCGGGTTCAGGTAGTCGGCAATGTCGGCGATCAGCTCGTTTTTGACCTTCTCACTCAAGATGACAGTCTCGAAGGGTCGCGCAGTGCGTGTCATACAGCGCTGCCAGAAGGGTTCAGAGATGCTACCGCTGCGAGATGCACCACGATAAATGAGGGTTTTATTCTCATCGTGCTTCATGTACTCCTCCCGGGCCTCAAGAAGCAGGTCCTTCAAGACCTGGGGATTCCGATTAAAGCACGATATGGAGATTGCCTCGCGCTCGCTAACCGTGAGATAGCCTGCCTGGCTTGCGCTCTGAGTACGGTTGAACATGAGAATGCGGCCTTTGTACCAAAACCAGTGACTGCCGAATGTAGGTGTGTACGCCAGGGGTTTTTGCTTGCGGTGCGGGCTCGCTTCCCCGGAGTCTTCGTACTCGTCTTCTTCGTTTTCCTCTTCCCGCCTCCAGAGATGCCACGATCGTGAGTTGAGGTTGGTATTGGCCACGAAACGGCGCGCCCCTTTTGCGAAGTACTGATTGGCGACCCAGCTCATGACCATGTTGTAGATCTCATCGTCCGGCCGGATGTCGACGGTCGACATGAGGTGCTTGTCGACCAGATTCCAGGCATATTCGGTGAAGTAGCGCCAGGCCAAGGTGACGCCTCCCATGAGCAGTAGCAGGGGGATGTAAACATTGAGGTCGATACCCGTGTACCGGACGACGGCATCTGCTAAAACACCAAAACCCGGGAAAAAGAAGTCGAGCAGCGCGTTTGGCGCTCCAATAGCCGGGGACATGCTGGAGTTGGCAGACGGCTGTTCGGCCATGCAAGCCCCTTCAAGAGTTCCAGACGGGATGGTATCCATGACTTCCTCTGAATATGTGAACGATTCGGTCGGTTGTCAAGTTCGAACCTGGAGATTGATTCAAACTATCCGTAGTGGAGGAAACAGTTCCATCTGTCTGAGTGACGGGACAAGACACGACCACTTATAATCGTTATGTCCCGTCAGGCACACAAACTTCCTTTCCGGTCCCGTCGATATGTGTGACCGGATAGTACGTATTGACTAGCGAAAGAGGTATGCTGACTGCATAGGTGCTATCGTGGCAAGGTAATGTGCTCCTGCATGGTTCTTCGTCGCGCTGCATGATCTGGCCTGGCCGGCTGACCTACGTACCGATCTTGGGGCTGGGTCACCAAGTCCAAGGCAGCAACAATTGTCACATTTCATCAGCTTCATGCTCCCATACCTTACCGCCCTATCGGCATATTGCTCGGAGGAGATGGAAAGGAGGCATCCGGTCGCTCTCCGGAAGCCCCGGGCGGCTTGTACGTACGGAAGGGAAGAGATGCATGCATGCATGCACTGTGTCTTCGTTTACATACAGGCAGACGACCATTCACCAACTCACATCTGATCTTGGCTCCAATGTGTAGGATGTAAGTGGTTGTACCATGGCGGGGTTGAGATGCGTTCCCAGTTGGCTGGTACGACCGCTTAAGAGCCAATTACATGTAGTCATTCAATGTACTTGCATGTACTCTGTGGCACAGCACTCCTTTATGGGTTGACTGGAGTGTGGCACGAGAAAAGCTGCGCAGAAAAGACGGGGGAAGGATTTAGTTGGTGTAAGCTTCTCAGCGGGTGTGTCTCCCCAGGTTGCTGACATGTCTTGGTAATATGTCCGTTGCTGGTTATCTTTTTTGAGGACTAGTTGAGACAGCAGAAACTGACGCTCTGCATTGTCCATTTCAGCTCGCCGAAGGAGTGGTTATTGACCGAGAAGGGGACTAAGGAGTCGATCCGATCATAAAAGGCGGCTGAAGATATGTCGCCTGACCTACAGTAAAAAGGTAATAGCCTAAGGGGTTGAGGAGGTGAGGACCGGGTCCCCTGATAAGCCAAGGTCACGGGTCGGTTGCCCTCAACGGTGTCACACACCCAGCGCATTCATCTGTGTGCATGTGTGGGTGTGGATGTCGCCTTTGTGCATACCATATGCTTGGTACATTTGTCTGCCGTATTGCCGTATAGCTATGGTCGGGAGGAAGTCTTGGACTGTTGGTTAGGCATCTCAGTGACAGCTGCATTTTGCGGCCAAAATCTTTAGACTTGGCCATTATAGGTGCTCCCCTCGCCGGCAACTGCGGCCGCAGAAACCTGTTTGAACCTTGTCAAATACGCGGCAAGATCCAATGGCGATGATATAGATCAGAAAATCCTGAGCCAATCTTTCAAAAACAACCAGTTATTGCAGATGCCATTAGGCTCCCCAACAGGCGGCTCAGTTCCCGGGCAGCGGTAGATGTTAGGCACATGATATTGGAGATGTCTGTTGCCGTGGTGAGCAGTAGGAAGGGTCTAGGCCAGTTCAATTGGCTCGCAATAGAGGCGGTTGTCAAAAATAGCCAGGGAGCCTCAATCACATTAGACAATAATCACATAAACCTTTCAGAGACATAGATTACTGGAAGCAAGAGTGATTTACTGAAAGGCCCTCCGGGTGGTGAGCCGAAACTTGCATTCATCTCGCAACTTCAAAGACATGGCATGTTTGGAGGACCGAGTGCAAGCTTGGCTTTGAGATCCACTGTGGCGTATTTCGTGGCAGCTTCGGCAGAGCGTTGGGCTGAAGGAGGGAGGCCTGGACAGTGACTCACTCTTGGCTTAGTACTGAGGGGGCAGCTAGTGACCCACATCGGGGACGACAGTGGGGCGGTGACGGTTCGCTGAAAGGTGGAAACTCTAAACTTTGTTAACTCTCCGGAAAATGGATTTTCATGAAGTTGAGATCAGCTTGGTTCGGATCCATCACTTTCGATCAAATACCAGCGTCTAGGTCTGGGATACACAAGTTTTGCTATGAGAAGTTATGATCACTCTCCAGTCAAGCTTCACTTACTATACCGACCCTTCTTTCTAAACCTGCTCGTCAGCGATGCAGTTCAAGCCGCCATCTCCTGATGATAATATGCCCTCTATCCGATGTGAAGTTACAGAGACGCGTGCTCTCTACGGTCTTCCATACTCTAGATATATTGGTTGTCATATGGCAGGCTTATCAGTCATCAGAGAAACTAGTTCTTGGCTGCTGTTTAACCCAAGGTGGCTTACGTAAATGCAGAATGTCTTCATGAGCATAGAAAATTTTAAGAGAAGCAGAGTATCGTTGTGGGGAATTAAGTCCTTCCCTGTCCAAAGCCTTACGTCAAGAGACTATCCAAGGTTGAGTAATAAAAGCCACAGAACCTAGGGCTGGGATCTGACGATTCCACAACCTCCTGAGATCGGTTCGAAGGTAGTGGCCAAGTTGTAGAACCTGAGGGACTGGGGTCCTCACACAGTAAAGTATGGAGTGCACTGCGGTCACCAGTTGTTGGTTGACAAGTGTTTCTATTGCTGACTGAAAAGTTCTCATCATGGCTCTGGGAATGAGCGATTCTATGTACATATTTATACTCAAGAGTTGTTGACATACCTACTCTGTCATTCCAATTATCACCAAGCACTTCCTCAGTTATCACCAGGTGTTGCGCTCGATTATCAGTACTTTCTTGGCATTGATAATTTTCCACCCTTCTGATTGGTTGATGTCCTGATCGTAACAGATCTCCTCCTGATTGGCTAACATCCTGGCCATAACATAGGTTGTTGTGGTGTAGCAGTGCCATCTGTGGTGCTCATATCTCGAGCCAATAACCGCAATGGCCTCCCTTAAATTCACTGTCTGGCACTCGTATATAAGCAGCTCGTTCAGGCATCTTCGCCAGACTAGATATTTCTCAACCCTTAGGTGTAACGGCAGCAACAAAGATCGTAATACTGTTCCTTACTTTTCCACAGAGCCTACTCAGCAAATGTCCGAGATCTCCTTAAAGAGATGAAACGGTGATCTATAGTAGCCCTTGTCAACCCCCCCTGCAACAGATAGAGTAATCGGTATTGCAAACAAACAATAAGGTATGTTTTGTTTGAGTTAACTCCTGGATGTGGACTTGGAGGGAACTGTTTTTGGTCTCATCTCGCACATAAAGTTGCGTGTTGAGGTGCAATGTGGTAGCAGAAATGTTCTAAGGCGGTGGATTGATAATGTAGTGTTTAGTTTTTCGCTATTTGGTTCACGTCCGATGCCTCCTTTGGGACTGATTCCTGACTCGGAGAGGCCACATTTTCTTGTCTCTAGGACAGCACGTACGTATGGCTACCTGCCATGATAGTGTTTCGCCGCTGTTAAACATTTTTTGCCATAGCTAAATTCAATCTATGAAACATTGGGCAGATTGCCTCTCACACATCAGCCGGATCTCAAGCTACAATGCGTTAAGTGCGGTACTACATTACGGAGTGCACGAAGACGTATTTAACCTGTTGTTGGGAAACTTGGGGGGCTAATGCACCCTTGCCTACGCGAGTTCTCTACCTTAGTGTTGAGCGTTCGGACTACTGTTTCATTCGACCGATCGGATCTGCTGGCATGAAAGGTCCCTCCAAGAAGAATGGGCCGAGCTCTGTTACCTTCCAGAAGATTTACAATTGTCAACGTATATCTACATCCTAACTTCGACAACGCCACCAACACCTGGCGATCCCTCCGCTCCCTCCAGCCCAGCCCGGGCCCTCTGTGGTGGGAGGGGACTTCACCACTCACCACCCTGACCAGGACCCCAGGGTCCGGTCAAACCCTAAAGGGGATATGGTCAGAGCGTAGGTCTCCTCAAAGGGACTGCATATTCTCAACCCCGAAGGCGTGACACACCGCGGCGGTGGTGTTATTGATTTTGCTCTCGGTCCCCCCAAGGCCTACGCGGAGTTTGCTCATTGGGCCTAGGACTACCGGGCGCTGGTAGTGACCGTGCTCAACCGCTCTCTAAACCGACTCCCTCCTTTAAAGCGCCTTCCCATGGCCCGATTTGAGTAGGGGGCCTGCCTACTATGTACCCTTCCTTCAGCCCCAGGCCAGCTTCGCCTCTCAGGAGGAGCTAGAACAATTCGCTTGGGCATTCTACGACGTCCTAGCTAGCGTGGCGGGGCGCCTCGCCATTCGGCAAGCACACTAAAAGTGCCGGTAGTGGTCGGAGGTACTTGCCACAGTTAGGGAGACCAACCCTGTGGTATATCGGAAACTCTGCAAGGAGGATAGAGTCGACTTCTACAGGGAGGGGATATCCGCCGCCTCCTCGGAGAAGTGGGAACGATACTGGGGTGGCGCAAAAGCTCCTCTGACGACAGACCAACGGTTATGTTCGTCGACGGTAGGTTGATGTCGGGCACGGAGCAGGTGGCAGCGTACCTAGCTACCCAGGCCTTTCGCCCTGCCGGAGCCCAAGAGGGTCCCCGCTCGGCCTGGCTCGGCCCCCGGCTCCCCTCCGAATGGTCAACGAGGTTGGCCGTCCCACCCAGTGATGAGAAGCTCATGGGGACCTTCCTTGGAGCCACGTCTAACACTCCCGGTCCGGACGGGGTGCCCTCAGCCTTCCTCAGACATGGCCGAAACCGTCCCGTCTAAATCGGTACTGGAACTTGTCCAGTCGCTTGTCTATGATGTGGAGATCATGGCAAGACAAGGCTACCACAGACTCCTCGTCATCCTATATGTTGATTCGGCCTACCCTCGGTCCAGCCGTCAATCCTCCGCGAGGTCCTGGCAGACCAAGGCTGGCCATGCTGGCTGTGTGAAGTGGAGCAAACACCTGGCACAACTGGCATACCATGCGTCCTTAGGGTCAACATGCCCATTGTAGCCAGACCACTCCCAAAAGTCAGCGCCCCCAGGGGTGAAGCCAGTCGAAAATGCAATTCAATTCCAATTCTAATTCTACCCCGAAAAGCTTTTATTTGTCCTTTTGACCTGCCAACCATCCCCCTGACCATCCTCCACACCTAATTCCTGTGCTAGAAGAGACCTAGGGGTAATCGCTCCCATCACAATAGCAGTTATCAAACAAGGGCAGCCGTGTGCATGCCAATTCCAGCGTCAACAGCACTTTATTTTTTTCCTTTCTTCCCATTCTTCTTTTACTTCCACTTTGGCGCCCTGCCACTTTCAGTGTTGGCCTGACTTCCTGCGGCGTCAGCGTACTGTTCCCTGCCTACCCGCCGTTTTCTTAGAGTTGCCTGAAGACGGAAGAACGTCAAGCTTAGGCTTCGGAGCTTCATTCCTGACCTCTCTGGATGCATATTTGCGTCCCAGTTGGCATTGGAGCCATTTGCCGCCATCCCTAAACTTTCCCTTTCTAACTGCGAGTTACTCCCTCTATTATTAAAGCTTCCCGTATTGTTACTGGAGCAATTTCCAGAACTGTTAGACGTTCCTGTTATTTGTAGTGCCTGCGTTCCCACCAGAGATCCCATTGCTGTTGGATGTTAATCGATTATTTCTATTGTTATCCCACTGTACTCACATCTTTCACCATTATTTTGCAAAGTTTCATCACTTTTCGAGAGTAGGTCATTAAACCGCCCTCTACACATCAGTATGACAAGAAGCGGTTAGACTACAGGCTGTCGGGCTGCTGCTTCTGCAGTTATGGCTACCAGTTCTGCTGATTTTCCTCCAGCTTCGAATTGCTCTCTATGCTCCCCCTTGATTCTGTTCGAAAGCATCCATCCTCGCTTCTGCAGTTTCTTCGAAGTCCCCTCCCACCACAAAAGGGCCCGGGCTGGGCTGGAGGGAGCGGAGGGATCGCCAGGTATTGGTGGCGTTGTCGAAGTTAGGATGTAGATATACGTTGACAATTATAAACCTTCTGGAGGGTAACAGATACCAGGCCATGCTCTGGTGCTGTAGGGGCAGAAGCCGAGAGCCGGCAGTCTACATAGATCGCCGCTCTGGTAGCCCTGTTGTCGACCGCGTACAAGGTGAAGCCGGGGTGTCGCCTCACTCTACCGAAGAGTATGGGTGGTTCCTGTATGCATACAACTTGGTAACAGTGCCTCACCGCCCTCTGAAGGACACCGTCGATGTTGGCCAGAAACCTTTGGACGTTGGCAGAGATTATCTTACAGCCCTGGGGCATCGGCTGGCTTTGATCTAGGCAGGGTTTCGATGTCTATACGGACCACAATGCAGTCCTCAACCCGGTCGTCCTGCGGGCCGTCAGCCTGGGCGGGCTGGCTAGCGGGTGCCGTCGACGTAGTGGCAGGCGCGGGAGGAGAGTACCGGTTAGGCCGGGGCCCTTGGAGCCGGGACGGGACAGGGGGGTCTCGGTCGGGACGTGGGGGCTCTGACGAGCGAGTTGGGGGGGGGCCTGCGGGGCGTCCGGGAGGTCCCCCTCATCTCGGACAGAGCGTGGTGGCTCTGCGGAGTGGGTGAGGAGGCCTTATGGGGCGTCTGGGAGGACCTCCTCGGCCGGGGTTGCCGGGGTGGTGTTGCCTCGGGACAGAGTCGGCTCTGGGCGGGGGGCGTTGGGGGTCAGGCTGGCTCTCCTGGCCGCCTTGTAGGCCGCCTGACCCGCTTCTCTGACCGCTTTCCTTTGAGTCTCCGTGAGTTTTATAAGCTTGCCCTGCCACACCCTCGGTCTAGCTGGGTAGTCCTGATGGCCCGGTTTCGCGGGGTTGAGGCAGTTGGGGCATTGGGGTAGGGGAAGATGCTGTGAGTGGTTGTGAAGGAAGCTCCCACACTCGCCACAACGGGCAGCGGAGTGGCATTTGTCCTTGAGGTGAAAGCCAAAGAAGCGGTCAGAGGTATAGATGCGAACCTTCTTCTTCAGGGGGACCGACGGATCCGAGTCGAAGATCCTGAAGGGTTTAACTTTCTTGATGAGAACCACTAGGTAAGCTCCAGGTGTATCCTTGATCGCATGGACACTAAAGTCCTTCTCTTTAGTGACTGCTGCGATCTCGTCCGTGATAAGATGGTCCGTAGGTCTGCGTGAGCCATCGTGGGCCAATATGAACTCCGGGATTTTTTTACCAATTTGGCGTATGTGGGCACCTTGGGATCAATACGGATACCGTGTTCTTTGGCTTGGCGGCGAGGATGTTGCGAAGTTCAGGGCGAGATACTTCGACTGCGAAGCCTGAGTTAACAGGATATACTTTGATTATATCACGTCTGGGGAAACCGAGTCTTTCGACCAGAAGAGTGACGATGCCTGACGGTGTGACGTCTTCGGAATCTAGATGATCAGCACGCGGGGCTTGGGGCGGGCTTGGGAGAGGGGAACGAGGCAGGCGTGGTAACGGGATAGGGTGCCCTGTGGAAGCGTTCCAGGCTTGCCCCCAGAGTTTTACCTGGGAGGCCCTGGACTTGAACAGCTGGAAGGGAGACCAAAAAAAGCCCTTGGGTCTAGCCTGCCGGCAAGGGAGAGGCACTGCAGGGAAAACTTCTTGAGGAAGGAGGATCAAGAGAATGACATGGAAAGTGGAGAGATAGATGAAGGTCAGGAGAGTGAGACGGGAAGTGAGCAGACCGAAGAACATGAGGAGAGTGGTACAGAGGGTGGGGAGACAAACGAAGATGATCTGGTATCTAGGATGAACTATTTGAAGGTATCGAAGATCACGGCTGGCAATATCATCTTCGGTGACAGAATGAAGAGTAGTTTGACCGCTAACATTAATTCTTCAACTATCCCTTGACAATCTCCCATCCCAAAAAGGACTCTTGTCTTTGTCATTCAGACCCAGCCTTCATGTGTCCTATCTATCAACTTGGGATATACAAGGACTTCGAGAAGGTTCAAAGGAATTCTTCCCAAAACTCTACTCAGCATATCCTTACCAAGTGATTGTTCGCCCGTGATTAGGTCACTCCCTTCGTTGGCTTGGCAGATGAAGACAGCTTCAAGTTGGTATTTGTATCGCAGAGGCTGAGCGTGGGAAGTAAGAGAGACTCAATGACTCGACTTTTGTAAGATTTCGGACATTGAATCTGGTCTGAGATGGCTTCTTCTGCAGTTCTGCGTTGGTATTGTGTGGCTCAAATGAGTGCTGGGGATGATGACGCAGGCGCTGGATGTACCACAGCGTCCAAGCATGCATCGGATATAGTTTCCGGAAGTATTGAAAATGCAAACATTCATTTGTGCCCGACCAAGCCATACAACATAGCAAATGTCTAGGACATGCGTTGTGTAACGGGTGCATGGTCTGGTGCAGGCAGAGATCGACAATGGGTCAAATGGGTTAGATGATGGCCACTGACGATGTGGGGTGCACAGCGAAGTCAGTTGCTACGTGTAATAATCTTCCTTGGTCCTCAGTGTCCTTGTGTTGGAGAGAGCAAAACCAAGAGGAATCCTTCATCATGTCCAAGTAGCTCCCTTTATAGAATTCCTTTGTCCTTGCCAGTACCTCGCGGTCTCCTGGGATCTTCAGGGGTTTTCCTCAGCGTGGCAAGGTTATCTAACTCATTCTTGCTGCCCCTAATATTTCCCGGACTCTACCAGTCAGATATACCTTTACCCTTCTCAGCTCTTCTGTCACCGGCGTTCTATATGTTGGCTGTCAAGGATGTTTCTTCTCCTTGGACTGCCATGTCCATGTGACACGTTGACAGAAGTGATTGGTCGGTGGATCGTGGATTACGTATAGCTCGAGGCTATTGCATACAAACTACTGGTTGGTATGACAACTGAGCTGCAAGCAGTAAACAACATAACAGTGAAGAAACTTGAAATAAAAGCAAATGAAGTGCTTTTGCCAGTCAGGAGATCAATTTAGACTCTGGGTGTGACCGAAACTTGATGGGTTTACTGCAGAAAGAAACGAGAACTTCAACGGACTCTAGATAGCTGCATGTGAAACCTTTTCTTTATAAGAATGATATAGGAAATTGGCTCTAGAAAAAAACGTGGCAGCTCTAGTACAATGACATAGTTACCACGTTAGTATAGATTAGCTCTTCTGTGCCGTGAATTGGTGGTGCACTCATCTCGATGCCAACCCTCATAGTTTTCTCTGTTCTCTGCTAGTACTTCAAGGAACCTTCGATAAGAAACATGAACAAATACCGTGTCCTGTCCAGCGAGATTCCAGAAACTCTTTACTAAGTACTTTATAGCACAAGCCAAACACTATACAGACCCTTCGAAGGTCTGGCAGTGCGCGACTGCTCTACTAGATATAACACTGAGGAAGCACTGAGCCGATTGCCAGAGGATCTAATACGCCACTTCGGCTGAAAGATCTAGACGAAACCTAGATTAGAAACTTGGCACCCCCCTTTCATCAGCCTTTTCACTGACGGCAATTACGCCATCAGCTCGGGACGAAGACAGCCATGTCTTAGCTATACCTAAAAGGGGATATGGAAGGAAAAGAGCCGGTGGATGGTCTTAGAGCTCTCAAAGAAGCATTTGGACAAAACACGTACATATCTAAGCTCAGCCACTTGATGGAGAGACTAGAATTCACGAGAATGTGACCCATTCAGAAGTACGTAAGTACGCTAAACGGGGGTATATCGCACTATACGCAGTCTCGGCGAAGGCAATCACGCGATTTTATATGGACAACTCTCTACAGACCTGGCTTCCTGTATGTAAGTTTTACAAATCACTATTGGTCGTTCGTTGAGAGTCCCCACGATGACTAACTGACGCATTACTACAACAATACTCCTGCAGAGAGTCGTTTCGATGCGTTGTGAACAAGAGGAAATGAAGAAGGAGATGCCAGAATTCTAAATGCTTCGGAAGATAGTGGCTGATAGCGCATCTAGCAGCATGGGGGATCTGACGCTTTAGCCGGATAATATGTCTCAATGGTAGCTTGAGCATTATCTTGATTAATTAGAGCAGTTCTCCGCCACAGAAAATATGTGTTTGATTAACGAGGGCAATACTTGGATCCAAGTACAGGCTTTGGGAATTCCAAGAATATCCCCACACAGGAGGGAAATAGTATCAAAACCGTTTGAGCTTGACAGAGAATCACCGAAGGACATATTACGTTGGTAATTGGCTGGGAAAAGTGAATTGTGGGCTCGATATCACGATTCGACTGTGACAAACGGTTAAAGGCTGTGTGCGAGACGCTCCAGAAACTCGGCTTGGGGATCCTTCATGGGAGCCTAGCACAGTGCATCGAAGTATGAGATAACGTACAAGTGCGAACCGGTGCGAGGTAACTTAAGCAATGCTGGGTTTCTGTAGAGCAGAAGTGGATGTCAGGCAGAATTCTGGTAAGACAGAAACGCATCGTTGACCTAGAACTCCTTCATCTAGCTACTGTTACATGGGGTCTCCAACACAGCTGCCTTCTGGATCCAGACCATGAAACTCTTCCAAGCATCTCTGACTCAATAACCTGTTAGGAGGGAACTTTGGAGACGGGCCTCTGGGTCGGCCACGTCAACTGGCCGGATGACATCATTATGCAGGCTCCGCGACATGATGGTGCTAAAAGCCTTATTGAGATTGCACTGCATATGGAATAGGAGTTGGGTCCTGTTAGTTGGCCTCAAGGCAGACAGGGCGGGGTTTCAGAAGGTACGAGAAACCTGACAGAAATAGTGCGCGAACATCTAAAGTTGGAAAAGTAGTGCCTGTTGGTCAAAGATCCCTATGGCTTATATGGGCAAACTTTCGATACAAAACTGCAGAGTTCCCCACGGAAATCGTTAGGTAGGGAGCACACTGCCCTAAACGACCATTCTCTTTACCTCTGGCCAGCACACTGCTATTGCTCCACCTAAGTTTGAATTTTCAAACTCTTAGCGGATCACCATGTCCTGGCTTGCTGTTCCCCAAGAAGAGCTTCCCCCTAGATTCTACCGCGTCCAGTACCCACTCACGCAGACCATGGAAGGGGAGAGTGGCTTACTTGCCGGCGATCAGACAACCAGGTACGAATCGTCGGTCAAGTGCTACGCGGAGCAACGATTGAAAAACGATATTGAACGGCACTTTACCTGAGGCACACGCAACTGGAGCTCTCCTTTCATCTCCCTCTTCTCAGATTGGAATCATGCAAGAAATTGGGCGATCAAGAGGCCTTGGAAAAGACGAGGAAATTGGGAAATCCTTGAGATTGATACATCTTGTCTTGATGGCGTCTATGTCTTCAAGCTGAGCACAATTGTGAATAAGTTGGACGCCTGCATCCCTAAGGGTGCAGATACCCATATAAAGGATGGGTATATTGCTCTCCACATGATTCCATCCAGGGCTATCGTTAAAAGACATTCGGAAGTGGACGTCGTCTAGCAACGTGCCAGACAGATCTCCAAACGCTTGGTCAATTGTAAGACGGAACCCCTGCGTAAACACACGTGCACTTACTGATCATGTGTTGACTCCCTCAAAGACGTAGTCACACCTAGAGATGTGTAAAACGAATTCAGTTAAACAAGTCATTGAAGCGATAAGGAAGTCGTACTCGAACATGGCGACGGTCAAGCGCAGGCTGCCTGAGTTGGAACTGTAGTAGTATTGGGGGTGCCTGAACTAGAGACCGATCATCTTCCCAATGTAGCGCACACCTTTGGTTCTTATCGCACATTAGAGAAGACTAAATTATTTGTTAACTCCTTGATGTAGTTTATACAACTAGGTCAGAGTTCATCCTGCCTTGTTTGAGAAATCTGGTGTGTATCTACATTGGGTAAACTCCATTGTCTTAGGCAACGGGCTTCAACAAATATAGTCTGGATCATATTACGCCAAACAATTTTTCAACGGTCCTTACCAGTATGTGTCAGAGTGTCTCAACCGGACATAGACAGCGTTTCATGAACGTTTCGTCTATTTAATTCGCAGGACGTCTCGGGACTTTCCCCGATAGGCAGCGTACATGAAGGGAAGATCTGTATGTTTAAAGTTCTTCTGATTCAGATTCCTGATTCGGATAACCTTCTCATGTGTGTTAAGGCTCTCATCATATCATGACGCACGGAAGACAAGTGCTGTTACCCCCATTCGTTTGTGCGTATCGAGCAATACCTTGCATTTCCAAGGGAGTTTATGGACTTCGAAACAAATGCAAGATAAGCTTATCACAATTGAGTCGTAATGACGCCAACATGCAGACACCTGTATATACGGTTCGACAATGGGTTAGAAAATGGCCACTGACAATGTGAGGTGCACAGCGAAGTCAATTGCTACGTGAATAATTTTCTTGGTCCTCAGTGTCCTTGTGTTGGGAAGAGGAAAACCCAAGAGAAATCCTTCATCGTGTCCAAGTAGCTTCCTTTATAAAAATCCCTCTGCCCTTGTGAATACCTCACGGTCTCCGGGGATCTTTAGGGGCTTTCCTCAGCATGGAAAGTTTATCTAACTCATTCTTGCCAGTCCCTTATATTTCCCGGGCTCTACCAATCAAATATGCCTTTTGCCCTTCTCGGCTCTTGTGTCACCGGTGTTCTATGTGTTGGCTGTCAAGGATATTTCTTCTCCTTGGACTGCCGTGTTCGTGAGACAGCTTAGGAGTAGAGCAACCCAAGACAAGACTCCCTGCGGTCCGAGGAGGCCGATCATGCGGTCTAGAGAGATGTAGGTTCTGTTTGTCCTATTAATATAACTTTGTCGCTCCGCTAACCGCCTATCTTCGCTAAGGCTTCTCATGATATAAGATCTACCCTCCTAAGTTCTCGCAGCAGTTTGCTCCCGTTCGCCGCTCGCGTGTGAGAAAGGGCGCTTTTTCATCCGCTGGCGCGACGAGCTAAGCTGATGTACAAGATCCTACTACGCCGACTTCCGCTCTATATTTCTATTCTACGATCCTGATGGCTCGCTTTTACGCGGCTCGATGCTGCAGATCCGTTTGACTATGTGCGCACCGCCTGTTTAATATACCTCTGCGGCCATATCCACCTTGGAGAAGAAGCTTGTTCTTGCTTTCAGTCACGGATAATTGAGAGCTTGTCACCATCTGGCCAAGCAGTCTATCGTACGGCTCCCATTCTCGTTTTGCGTTCACTGCTGGTCACTTCTTCCATGGTTTTTGTGCTGGGTGGGACATTGGCTACGCGCATAGAGAGACGTATCGTTTCTAACCGCATGTCATTGTTGCTGGAAAGCTTCCTGATGGTATGGGCCGGCTTTTGAACTAGCGTGCTGCTCGCTTGGTGGTTTTGGGACGTATATACTGTAACGGGGAACTTAGTCATAGTGCAGGCAGGGATCGACAATGGGTCAAATGGGCTAGATGATAGCCACCGGCGATGTGAGATGCACAACGAAGTCAATTGATACCTGCAATAATCTTTCTTGGTCCTCAGTGTCCTTGTATTAGGGAGAGGAAAACCAAGAGGAGAGTCTATCGTGTCCGACTAACATCCTTTATAGAATCTTCTCGACCATCCGATTCACTCTTTTCGGTCATGTGGCTTCCAGATATCTCCTGGGATCAACCACGGGTTCGTGCCGCTCAGCAGAGTTTAGTGTTTTAGTTTTTGATGTTGTTGTTATTGTTGTTCTCGTTGCTGTTGCTGACCGTGCTGTGATTGAGTTTGAGATGTCTGGGGTTTTGTAGCTGAGTTGTTTGGTTGTTTATGTTGTGCTGGTTGGCTACGTTGCTTCTTAGCTTGGTTGCCTTGAGCTTTGTAGTGTATTCTGCGGAGGTTCTATTAAATGAAAGTTTAGGATTTAGATTGTTGTTGAAGCTGGTTGTCAATTTGTTACGCGTCGTTATTTTAGTTTGTTGAGGTTGTGAAGGGTTTTGGTTTGTCATATCGCCCGTCTTGAGATCGTGCTAATGATGAGAGAAGTTGCGCTTGATCTTGCTTGCTTTTCCCTTCATGATTGGGAAGAAAACATACATGGTTTATATAGCTGAAGGATGTTTAATAGAAGTGAGTTGTTGTTTTAAAGAAAATATTACATCATTAGAGAACTGTTCAAGCAAGTTGAAAAGACCTGATCTCTAACACGGTTGAATGGAACATAAAATAACGCTTATACAGACCTGAAACAGGACAGCTTCATGGGTAATGGACACCCCACAAATGGTGTAAGAGGTGACCAATAGGAGAAATTTTAGTGGGGTCAAGAGACGGACCAATCAGATGGAGAAGCGCGATTATCGCAGTTCTCTGGCTGCGATAACTGCGAGAAACTCCTCAACAATACCAAAATAGGTAATGGCAGAAGGACAGGCAGACCGACGGCTTCAAATATGAATATGTATATTGAATCACTTATCTCCAGGACAAATACTAGGACTCTCTAGTCAGCAATAAAAACAATTGTCAACCAACAACTGGTGACCGCAGTGAATTCCAGACCCTCAGGCTCTACAACCTAGCCACCACCTCCAAGCCCATCTCAAGAGGTTATGGAACCGTCGCAAAGGCGCTGCAAAGCAGAATCTATCTGAATGTAGCTTTCAACCAAGATTGGTATCTAGGCATCGCGAAGAGTCGATAGAGCTGAGTCACAGCAGAGAGTTTATAGAAAGCATGTGAAAGATTATAGGATTGGATAGTACCATATAGAGACTAGAGAGGATTAGTTAAAGGTATAATAATAGTAATAAGATGGAATATCAAAACTATACTGCTAGAACTTTGACCAAAGCCATGACAGTAACCACTTTTAACTAATTTGTACCTGCTTACCTACTCGTTACCTATGCATCCTCTTCGTGTACAGTCCTTGGTATTGGTACAAAAAGGTTGATTTCCTCCTAGAGCAGCAAACTCCCGCTGATATTACCTAGATATCCTGTTCCCGAACCCACGGGAGCTAGCTCTCGACTTGGGACCAACAGAGGCAGAACCGCTTTTTGACACTGGCAGCCTACCTACGTAGCCGTAAGCTTCACAAACAAAGCCTGTCTCAAACCCCCAAGTTTCCCACCAGCTATGCTAGCCGTACCCCGGCATGCACCATAGGCCTCAAAGGGTTCATTCTACATCCTTCTTCCGAACAGTATCAAATTACTATTAGTAGCAGTAGAAGCAGCATATCTTGTATGGGATCAGAGATTCCCAGGCCCCTAAAACTGTAAACTCAATTTTCGCCTACTGGCGACCCAGGTAGGTGGTTTAGCTGGATACTGGCTTGTTTAGGTCATGTTATAGATAATTGAACATTTGGAGCATCATATAGCGAAGTTAACCGATGTTTTTGCGGAGTTGGCGTAATATGCGAATGTGATTCGCCATGGGCCCATTAGGTACAGCTGCATGCCGTCCTCGGGAATGTCAGAAATTTTGATCAAGTATTTTCAGCTTTACGGTCCAAACACTGACACATGGAGATGAACACCTTGATTCAACCATGCTACTTCCACGAAACCTACGTATAGCACTCGTAACGCAGGATTGTGGAACTTCGAAATGGAAACGTTCATTGCTTCACAATTTGCATCAGCCAGTTGGGTAGCCAGGCATCCAAATAAGCCAGCCCTCTGCACAAAGTGGGAGGATTGGCCACACAGAACTCACCGTACTTTTATAGAAGGTGATGAACGAGGGATTCTGTTTACCTATCCACTCACCGTTGGATGTTTCTCGACAGACGGCAGAGATGACGGATCACGTTGTTGGGGCTGCCTGGTGATGGAAGACATCTTCAAATCAGACTTCATTTCTCCCAGGACCAACGAGCTTGTGGCCTTTTCGCCATCAGGTCCGGTTGAATCACCGTCTTTGGGCTTATTTCAGAGATCACGAGATATATACATACGTCTTTCAGCGGTTGAAGGTATGTACTTCTGATTGTCAAAATATTTATTTACGCCCGTGCTCTCTGACAATAACATGCTGTTAGGGATACCCAATCCATGGAACCTCCCCCATGTTCCCTCTCTCAGATCGACCGGATCGCGGGCGACTTTGGATCAAATCCAAGCTTGGATTGACACGTGTGTAAACACTCACCAGCTATGTCGTTCAGTCTCAAAAACAGACACCCCATTGCCAACGCGAGTCCTCGACCTTGGTGTTGACCCTTCAGAGTCTGCTCCCATCCGACTGATCGAATCAGCCGGCAAAAACGGCCGCTACGTAACCCTCTCCTACTGCTGGGGCAAAGCCAAGTTCCTAAAGACCACAAAGGACAACTACACCCGCCATAAGCAAGGCATCCTTTTCGCTGACCTTCCTCGGACCTTCCAACACACGATCAGGGTCTGCCGGGCTCTCGGTGTCCGGTACCTCTGGATAGACGCGTTATGCATCATCCAAGATGACAGCCAAGATTGGGCCGCGGAGTCCGTCCGGATGGCCGATGTATATCAGAAGTCTTTCTTTACGTTGTCAGCCACATGGGGAGACTCGCCGGATTGCGGGCTGTTCCAGGACTTCGACACAGCCTCAGAGTCACGGATCGGTCCAGTCGCTCTTCGCCAAGTCGTCCATCCAACCTTGACACACATCACTCACCATGAAAATGAGTTTCCCGTGCTCACACGGGGATGGTGTTACCAGGAACATTTGCTCTCGCGACGGATATTGTACTTTACCATGTGGGAGGTAATGTTACAGTGTCTGGAGTCGACCATCTGCGAATGCGGGTCGTCTATACACAAGAGTCGTGGGACGGAACAAGAGAAGTATAAACAGTTTTTCTGCTGTCCGGAAGATCAACACCCTGCGTCTCCTTCAGCAACATCGCCCGATGTCGCATCCAACTTCTGGCACGTCACCGTCTCGGACTACACCCTCCTCCGCCTGACCTACTCATCCGACAAGCTCCCCGCGATATCCGGCATAGCTACCGTCATCCAACGCAAAACCAACTGGCACTATCTAGCCGGTCTTTGGCGCGAAACACTCCTCACCGACCTCTGCTGGTACGTCTGGCCGCCGCCGCCAGCACCCCCCAACGCCACTTCCTCTCCTTGTGGCGGCAAACCACAGAAGCAGCGACGAAAGTCCCCAACCTGGTCCTGGATCACCATCCCCCATTCCAACTGCATCCACTACCAGGCCGCGCTCCTCTCTTTCTACCAGAAGATGCCCATTCATCTCACCCTGCACGCAAGCATCCTCGACGCAGGGTGTACACCCCCCTCATCGATGAGCGAAGTCCACTCCGGCTTTATTGTCCTCGAGTGCTACATGCAACAAATCCCTTTAACAATGATGCAGGCGCTAGTAATGGATTTGACACAAGGATTGGCGCTGGACGAAGGGTTGGATACCCCGCTAGAGGAGGGGCCGTTTTATTTAATTCCTATGGTAGCGTATGTGTCGGGGGATGAGTGGTTCAAGTATACGGGGTATACGGCGTTGGTGGTGACGCCGGCTGAGGAGGGGAAAGACGAGATGGTAAGGGTTGGGTTGTTGATTTGTCATGTTAATCCGGCGACCGGGGGAAAGCCGGGGACGTATAAGATTTGGGAGAGGGCTGTTAACGGGAAGAAGGTTAGGATTAGGCTCATTTGAGCGGGCGAAAGATGTGTTTGGGAGGGAACGGCATTTGGGGTTCAGTACAAGTAGAGGTCAGCTACCTGAATTTCTTGTGTGGCAGGTCCTACAGTCTTGATGAGGCCGCGCCCATGGCCGAAGTATCTGTCTTTTGAAACGCGTTCTAAAGCATCTTGACATAAAGCTTATGTCGACTCCACAATCGACAGTTTTTCCTTTTTAACAGACTCCACAAACAAGCTATAACATACTATTACCCATCGTTAGGGAAATGAAATGAGTTCACGTTAAGTTCATTTCCACTTCCTACATACCATCACAACATAGGCAACTGCCTAAAGTCAAGTGACAACAAAGCCTAACAGAAACAGAGAGACCCTCGCCCAGTTATGACAGCCTTCGCCTGAAGAGAGCAAGAACCAGTTTGCGCATTCATCCATACCCATTTCTCCAGTTCATTCATCGATCCGATTCATTCATACGTAGTAGCAGGTAGCTTACCCCATCTTCCAATACCACCAACACAAATCCGCCCATCCGTTAAAGTTCGTTCGTCGGCTGTCATCATCGCCCCCCGGTGAGTTTGCCTTGCCACAGCCAGCTAGCCGCAATCCAGTGGAAGATTGGCATCCGTTTTAACGGGTTGACCAAAATCCAGACTGACGGTTCATCAATGATGATAGAGTATGATAGCAATAGGCAGGCCAGTGACTCCTAAGAAAGAGGGTTCATGACAACCAACAGTAAGGAAATCAAACAACGTAAGCAGCCAGACAAAAGCAAGAACACAAACTCGAAGAAGAAATAAAAAAAGAGACCAAATCCCCGACCCGCAAGACTCGAAAATCCCAACCAACCCAACCAACCTCATTAATCTCACATAATTGGCATAGGCCTGATACGACACACACGCATAAACCTATCTATCTCGTGAGCTCAAACAGGCACTCGCCATTGTTAACTCACAGCATCCGTCACTCGTTCGTTTACTTCCGACCCCACTTCCCAACCCCTTTGAATCCCTTCTTCTTTCCATCGCGCTCCTAATAGCGACGGTCATAATCACGCGGGTAGGGGTCTCTCGGGTAGGGGTCGCGCGGAGGCGGGAAATCCGGCGGAGGCGGGCGGCGATGGTCGTAGGGCGGGCGGCCGTTCATGTAAGGGTCGGGGGGATAGTCACGGGGGGGACGAGCATATGGATCATCGTAGCGGCCGCGCGGAGGCGGGTAGTCGTCGATGGGCGGGGGCCCGCGACGCGGGGGCGAACGATAGCCTCCCCTCCTGTCATCATAATATTCACGACGAGGGGGCGGGGTGCGCTCACGGTAGGCATCCCGGTAGCCATCACGGCGGGGACTGTAACCGCGCGGGGGCGGGCCGCGCCGGTCATAATCATCCAGCGGGGGAGGGGGATAGCGCCGAATTGGCGAGCGCGAACGGCCCCGGTCGTAGCGGGGAGGCTCCGACGGCTGGGCGGTCTGTTAATACATGATCAGCCAAACCAAAAAAAAAAAAGAAATAAAACCGTTGAGGGACAGGGGGGGAGAAGGAGCTCGTACGGCGACCATGCAGCTCACGCGGCTGTTCTTGAACTCGCGGCCGTCGAGCTTCTCAATAGCTGTTCTCATATCGGCAGGGGTTTCAAACTCAACAATGCTGTGTGCGCGATGGGGTCAGCGAGTCCATCCAGGAGAGTGTCGGCAGGTCCGAATGCGAAGCAAAGCATACCCCTCCCAGCTATTGCCGCGGCGGCTCGTCTCGGTGTAGACCACATCGACGCCGGCCTGTCGAGCGAAGTCTTTTAGATCCTAGAGCCAAAAGTCCTCGTAAGTCGAAATATTCCCTGGAGCCGGAGAGCAGAGGGCGAGAATCCCAAGCGAAGAACGAGCCAGGCCAACGGGAGAGAGAACGGAGGTTCATGAGAGAGGCCTTCCCGGTTGAAATGAAATCCCCCCCATGCACACGCCCGAGACATAAACAGAGAGGATGACACGGCCGAGTAGAGGAGGAACCAGGAATTGAGCAGAGTCGGACATCCCAACAATTGGCAATGTAAGAAAAGTCCAGACCGGCCGAAGTAAAAAGCCATGGAGCATGGTGTGGATGGGGAGGAAAAGCTGAGTCCAACCCGAGCCAGAGGGAGGAGAAATTTGCCAGTCCGTCCGACCCGAAGAAGAGCCTCATAGGAGACGAGGATGGAAGGAACCCAAGCCAGGAAAATTATTATGCAAGATGGATGGTGTGAAGGCGTCCGCGGAAAACGAGGGAGGGGAGGAGCTCAACAGACCTGCCAGCTGCAACCGTCGGGGAGCCCAGTTATCTCCATGCGGTGAGGCGTGCGGCGCGGACGAGGAGGCGCGCGTTCGTGGCCGTAGCCGTTGGCCGTGTCGCGATGGCGGTTGCCGCGAGCGAACTGGACGGTGAGGCGCTCGCCCATAAACATCGATCCATCTTTATGGAAGGGTCCAGGTTAGCCAGCGATGAGAGCGAGAAAAAGATCGGCGCAACAACGTACGAAAGGCTGTTTGCGACGAAGATTGTTAGCTGGGTGTAGTCAACTACAGTTGCAATTGGATGAGAATGCTCACCTGGGACGACATCCCGGGCGTCCATGGGGTCCTTATACTCAATGAAGCCGAAGCCGTTCATAATCTTGATCTCTGTGATCTCGCCGGTGCCATGCTTGGAGAAATGAGCCTCGACGTCGGCCTTGGTCGCTGTTGTGTGTGTGCGTGTGCGTCGTCAGCGATGCGCGGGTCGCGCGCGAAACATCAAAATTACGCAGCCTGCGTCGACCAACAAATACATACCATGTTTGGGCAAGTTGCCCAGGTAAAGGCGAGTCGACGAGACCTCCGTCGTCATGGCTATCGTAGCCGGTATCCAGGTCCAGATAGAAGGAAGAAGGTCAAGCGATCCGGACAGATGAAAAACCACCCACGGGACGGATAGATGGGTAGAAAAGGTTAAAGGGAAAGGCAGATAGGAGAGTAGGAGAGTAGGTTGAAGAAAAACTGAGAACAAAGGGAATGTGATTGCGCGGGGAGCAGGCGTTGGAAGAATGTGACGTGCTCGCTCGCTCAGGCAAGGCTCTAGCTCACCCTGGCTGTTGGGTTGGGGGGGGGGGGCCTTGTAGGATGAGGGGAGGGGGGTGTGTCTGAGGTCAGTTGTCGCAGGTGGGGTAGCCTGAGCTGTGAAAGCCACAAACAGGCACAGCGCCTGGAGCTTAGAGAAGGGGGTTGCTTGGGGTTACTTAGTGTAACAACTTTGTACTTTTCGAGAAGTGTCGAAGGCGATTTTCAATGTCGGCGCGTTAGAGAGCAGGAAAAGACAGGTCGAACAGGTAGTGTCAATTTTTTAATTTATTTGCGCAGGCCAGAGTGCGACTGCAACAGTAACCAGCGCAGCGGGGCGACGGATGTTATGCAATAGAAAAACCCAGCATTTCAGGGTCCGTCAAGATCACTCAAGGCCGGGTCAAGTCAAGCCGGGCGACGATGACTGTGGATGATAGATGGATAGGAATTGGAGAAAGTGGGCAAAAAGGTGTTAGATCTGCTGGTCGAAACAACCTGGCAAAAAGATGAGGGGGACCTGGCACTGATTGGCCCACACACACTTCCAAGTTCACACTGACTGTCTCAGTCTGTGTGGTAGGAGGAGAAAATGCCCAGAAAATTCAAGCAAGCAAAAGTAACCAAGATAACTGGGATCAGGGTTCGAGTCAAGCAATGAAAGAGCGCGCCCCACAAGGCAGCCGCCGGCGGACAGGCGCCAAATGCCAAGCTGGGCTGGGCTGCCTTACGAGCCCACATCCGGTGGAGTTGTCTACGGTCCATTTGACCAATCACCTCTCCCAAACAGCGCTCCTCAGATAATCTGGTTCTGGGCTGTGAATGCGCGGGGCTTCTCACGAAAACGGCGGGGCACCATGGGACACTGCGGACAGCAGGTCGCAGCAAGACAGACCCAGTGGTGGCGGTGGATGGACGTCTTGACATTCCCATATGTAAGGTTGTCAGGCGTTGATTGGCTGGGAGAGACCAATTCCAACCCGTCTTCCAAAAACCAGCATGTGTGCTGCAGATGACGGGAGGTTAAGGTACCGAGTCGAGGACCTTACATGCTGCATGACGATTCATGTAGCTAGAGAACTTGATTGTAACGCTGGAGTCCCGGATAGAAGAACGAATTAAGATAGATGGTATTTTAGAGGTGTGGTTGGTGACGTCGCGGATACGAGGCCAACGCAGACATGCTTCAATATACATACATACATTATCAGGGAAGAAACAAACATTGATGAGTCCAACACCAGACCGAACATAACATGCCCATACATCCATATGACCATCCGTCCAATGCCATGCGGGAAGGGATAGGCTTGATATTAAAAACCAGAATCCGTAGACCGTAGACACAATCCATACAAGCCAGATCAACGCCGTGCCATGCAAGTTGGAAGATGAATGTTGGGCGACTGCTCCGTACAGGAGATCGAGCTATGAGCCTTCGAACAAAATGTCAATGAGCTCATCAAGAAGCGTGTACACAAGATGAGCGCTGCAAAATCGTCAGCATGTGTACCTCTCCACAACAGTCCAACAACACGAACAACCCCATATAGAAAAACAAAGAGAGAGAGAGAGAAGAAGAAGAAGAAGAAGAGAGAAGAAGAAGAAGACTCACTTCAACCACGCATTATTCAACGTAGCAAACACCCTCCTGCTCGCGGCCTGGGCATTCACCCGTCCGACCACACTTCCCGCCAAATCCGGCACCAACGAAGCCATCATGAGCCCGGCCTCCCTGCGTGTCCTCTCTTTCTCCGCCTTTGACCTAGGCACCTTATCCTTCGGCAATGTTCCCCCCGGGCCCGACCAGATCCCGTTCTTTACCAGCGAAATGTACTTGAGCACCGCCTCCTCATCCTGCACGAGCATGCGCACATTTTCTCGTAGTTTCCGCTCGATGGTGCCGCCTAGCAGCTGATGAAGCACGACGACGACGGCGCGGCCTCGTAGCCAGTTGTTCCCACGGTTGAGCTCAAACACTTCAAGGAAAATGTCGCATATGGGCTTGACAAAGGGTTCGGCTTTTGCAGCGGCGGGCACGTTATCAAAAACGCGGAGCTCGGCTTCAGCCTCAGCCGCGTTAGCGTCGTCGGGGAGGGGGGCGAGCGAAGAAGAAACGTTGTTGCTGACAGACCAGGAAGAGCCGAAGAGGTTCGCCCCCGCGAGGGAGAGTTGTTCTAGCACCGGAATGCTGCCGAGGATGTCCTCCATTCCGTCAGCAACAGAGTCATACAAGCGGGAAATCATATCTTTCTGTTTCCCTCCGGACCCGGGTTTGACGGTGCTCTGTGAGAGGAACGTCCTCAACTCACGGCTGCCACACACCTCCGGCAGGAGTAGTAGCTCACTAAGATATTTCTCTAGCGCGGCCCTTCTTTTCTGCAAGAACTCATTCTGCAGCTTCATAACGACCCGCCGTCTCGGGAAATCGAGCCCCCTGACCGAGGGGTACCGTCCTCTTAACTTCTGATGCAGTGCGAGGAACTCACTGTATCGCCTCATAACCACCCACGTAGCAGCGGGCATTCTCTCCCCAGCATTCCTTGACACCTCGATCGCGTACATGGCAAACTCTTTGCCATCCTCCTCGCGGCCGACCTGCACCGATGTGATACGAACAGTTGCCCGCCCATAGAGACTGTTATCACTCTCCTGGATGACATACTGCTGACGCTGGAGCTCCTTCCGCCGGATCTCCCTCTGCAAGCTAGCCTTCGACTTGCGCAGAATGCGCAACTCGGCCTGGTTCCCCGTCAACTCAGCCTTCTTCAGCAGCGAATCTACGACCGCCTCTTGCGCAACCAGCTTGTCGATATCATTCGTCAGCGCAGTAATCGCTTCGGCCAGCCCCAAGTCCCCCGGCGCGGCAGCCTGCACAGCATCATCCTCATCCTCAGTCTCAGTATCCGACTCCTCATCTGACAAAAACCGGTTCTCATCCCCGAACAAATCATCATCCACAAACACGCCAATCCTCGACGCGGGACTAACCAGCCCCAGCGATGCCAGACTCGGCTTCTCAGGCGTCTTTGCCGGCAGCCCCTCCAACGACCCCCTACTCACCCTACCGACTTCTCCCTCTGTGACGCTCCCTCTATGCCCTTGCTTCCCTTTCCTGACCGGAACCCCCTCCATCGGCCCAAACAACCCCCCACTCGCAGCGGGATCCTCCTCGGCTCCAAACAACGATTCCCTCAAATCCTCCACTTCCGGCGGCTTATTACTCTCCTCCTCGAGGATATTATTCAACGCCTTCTCCATCGCCAACACAACTTTTGTATCCGGCACCGGGGGGACCCCACTAGTCCCATCCAAACTGGCCATAGAATCGGCGAGCGGGTCTTCTCCGGCCATGGTATCGTCGTCCTCAAACAAAGGGTTGGGCGAGATGCCCACGGCGTCGGCATCATCGACTGACCGGCGACGAGGCTCAGAGCCGCCGGCGTTGCTGTTTGTGCTGGCACCTGCGGCGCGGAGGTCGATGGTTGAGCCGGAGCGGCGATTGATGGGTTGCAGACGAGAGCCGATGCGTGAGATGGGGTAGTTTGGTTTTGAGGGGTAGGAGCTGGCACGGGGAATGGGCGAGCCAGGGACAGAGGTTGGGCTTGAGGATGATGCTGCTGCGGCTGCGGCGGCGGCTGCGGCAGCTGCTGTTCGGTTGGCGGCTTCCTCTGCGGCGAGGGCTTTGAAGAAAAGATCGGATTTTTTAAAGTTTTGGAAGTGGTTGGCTCGCATGTTCTCAAGCACAGCGCTCTGTGCCCTGAGGATTTCTCTCCTGGCACGGTAGTACTGCTCTGGCGTGGCCTTTCTGCCTGCCTTCAAGAACTCGCGCACGATCTTCTTCGACTCTTCGGAAACTTTCAGCTCCGGCTTGGACAAGTAGGCGGCCTCGATCTGTGCCAGATCCTGCCGATCTGAGTCCGTCCATGGGGGAAGCTGCAGAGGCAACTGCTCGCCTTCGGGGCCGTCGTCCTCCAGCGGGTTGCGAAATCCATCGACGACCAGCCAGAACTGTACCAGCGACATGAGTCGCTGCCTATCCATGTACTCCATGAAGTACGACAGCGCAGACGGGTCGCGCAGGATCTCGGCCAGCGAGGCGTTCTCCAGTCGAGACTCCTTGGAGGGCGCAGAATCCAGATCTGGAGGGGGCGGCGCGCACCGACTGCTCCCTCCAGCCGACAGCTGGTATACTTTCTGATCCAACAATCTCTTGCCCATCTCCAGCCGGCGAAGGTAGACCTGATCAACTCCCTCAACCTGTCGCTCCCTCTTCAGCTGACTAGCAACCTCACTCCGAAACCGTCTCGCATCCGATAAGTTATTGACCTTCCTTATCGCCCGAATAAACTTCTCGAACTTCCTCTCATTATCATTTGGCGCCAGCCGGGGCAACATAACCACTCCTGACTTGGCGTTCCCACTCTTCTTGGGAGCCGGTGAAGCATGCTCATCCAAGGCAGCCCTCAACCTTCTCACAGTTGACCGATCCTGCAGCATTGTCCGTCCATAATTCTCCATCAGCTGGTTCCACGTGTCGGGGTCCGAGAGCATCTGCATGATGGGGAAGAGCACTGCGCAAGCAACAATCTCTCGCAGCAACGTCGCGACTGCGCGAGACCTTAGTAACTGCTCGGGAAGCAGCCGAGGTAATATGCGCCCAGCGACCAACTGGCGCAGATAATCCTGCTGTGCGGTCTTCGTATCGGAAAACGACAGGCTTGCGGCGGGGTGTAACTTGCCCTCCCTGTACTTCCCGGCGATTGCCAAGTCGAGCTCCTCGGTTTCTGTAACAGACCTGTTCAACTTTCTCCCCCGGACCGCCCGTTCTGCCTCGTAAAATGAACGGAAGTGCTCCGTAAGGATGGGCACCACCCTCGTCGTCAACACCGCAGCTATATCCAAGCCCCGTAGCCTCTCCGCGACCCTAATCAGTGCGCAGCGTATCGCGCGATCGACCTCGTTCACAAACACCGGGTTGGGACTGATACTTTCGTACCATGACCGAATAAAGTCTCTTTCGATGAGGGCAATCACCTCGTCCAGCGCTGCCGAAACCTTTTCGCTATCAGGACACAGCAGCTCAGGCTTGTAGACCTGTCTCTCCCGTAGAGCCTTCACCTCACGCGACCAGATGTGAGGTTCTAGAAAAGCAACCGCCTTGGGGCGGGCGCTGGAGGAAGGTCGACATGTTCTCCTCTGGGCCGGTCCACGGGACGTAAACACAGCTGTGACGAGAACCGCCCCAAGGGCAGCTACCGCACCGAAGGCGAATGCATGCGGGGCGAAGCGCAGGGCAGGGAACCAGTGCACGACGTAGCCCCAGGCAATGAAGACGGCGATGGCGCCAAGGATGACCTTCTCTTTTCTTTTCCCTTGAAGTGGCCGTTTCGCTAATAGAGGGGGCGGCATGGTCTGTTGTCGTCGATGTGTCCGTTAGGGCGGCGGGCGTGACCGCATCGTCTGCGCCGTTGGCGAGGTTAAATGGGAAGAAGAAAGAAGAAAAAGGTAAGGTTGGAGGTTGGCTGTGAACTGCGCTGAGCTCACCCGGCTGGAGCTCAGAGCTGTTGCTTCCTTGGAATGAATTAACGGATGGCAGCGCAGCGCGTCACACGAGGGAGCATGTGAGCCAGTGAACCCGCTGCCCCGCGGCCCCCCGCTGTGGGGTGATGCTACTCTGTATACCCTAACCCTGGCGTGGGGGTTGTTTTGACGGCCCTGAAACGTGGGGTTGTCTGGGTGACACTTTAAGGAGCATGTTTGCTTGCAAGTGGCAACCTTGGTCTCCATGATAATTCGAATCCATTATATCGCTGCCAACTCTCTGGTTAATAATCTCTCAATCCTGACGCTGAGAAGAATTGTTCCTTACAACTTCGACTAGATATGGGAAGTTGAGCTTCATTAATGCTGCCCTCATATCTCCTAGGCATGGCACCAGACACCAGACCCCCTGGCTGTTGACAACTCAAGGGCAAAAAGTTGGGCTATAAAGGGTCTTCCCGTACACTCAACATATGAAAGAGAGGACAGTCGAGGCACAGCGCAACACAACCATCCTGTAAGGTTCTACGTGGAGTCTTGAGCAGGGAAGCCATTGTCTTTGGTAATCTCAATTGAATTATTCTCAGAAAGGGAAAACCAAAAAAAAAAAAAGAATACAACCCATCGGCGAGTTCCCTTTAGTACATAGGAAGTATAATCAGACTGATTCATCAAGGATCGAGACCTGAAATGACCATTAAACCTCCAAGTCTATGCATAAAATATGGGAAAATCTATCTTTGGGTATCCTACCATTCAGGATCAGGCAACCTCCTAAACAACGCGACATACTTGTTCCCCTTATTCCTCTCCACCTTCTTTCCCTCCTCCGTCTCAGTCTTCATCACCCCGACACACGGATCATTCTCCACTTCTTCTTCACTAACCCTCTCAAACGAAGGATGCGCCGTAAAATGCTGCACCATCCACTCATGCAGATCCAGCACATCCGTAATCGTATACACAACTCCACCCGGCCGCATGACATACGCATACTCCGAATTCAGAGTCGTGGATACAATCCTCTGCTTATGCTTCCGCGCTTTAAAGTGCGGGTCGGGAAAGCAGATGAAGATCTTGGTCAGCTGGCCCTTGTGGAAGAAGTTGGGCAGGAACTTCATGGTGTTGGCGCGGAGCACACCCACGTTGCGGTAAGCTTGGGTGTCTTTGTGCTTGAGGCGGAGGGCCTTGATGCGGTCTTCGACGAACTGGGTGACTGAGACACGAATTTCGAGGCCCAGGATTAAGGTGTCGGGCATTAGCGGAGCGAGGGCGACGAGGAGACCGCCGAAGCCGCAGCCTATGTCAGCGACCTCGACCTGTTTGGAGAGTTTACGCGGGTTCAATGATACGATGCTTTGGGATTGGCTCTCTGGAGATGTCTCTTGTTGGCCTTCTTGGACACTTTGCTCTGAAGATTCTTGAGCCGGAGCTGGAGTGTCTTCCTTCGGCTCGTCAACAGCATAATCCGGGTACAGCACGCTCCAGTCCATCATATCAGGGTGTGGAGGGCTATAATCAGTCAGCGCTATTCCTCAACAATTGGGATACGAAAACCCACTATACTAATCTGTGATCCGAAAACGGATTTGCATGCGCCCTCTGGCGGTAGAACTTTTTCCTTGGCAGCTCGGCGACGCCCTCTTGCTTCATAGCCGCGCGGTACTCCTCGCGCTTTTGCCTCCTGTCGCGCTTGGCTTTAGCAGAGTCGCCATTTTTTTGCGATTGCTTATTTTGTTTTGCGTTGCCCATGATGTATTGATTGATTGATTGATTGATTGAGATTCAAAATGTTATAGGTTGATTGGGTGAAATGATTCATCAAAGACTGCACGACAACGAGGTCGATGATGCATGAGATTAACGAGTGAGAATCTCGGAAAAAAACGGCAACTTCCGCATCTGCCCCACATTCTCCTTCAGTGGGGTTGGTGGAGCCAGCCCCACGCTCCTATCGCGCTCCGATTGCCAGGGACGCTTGCGTCGATGCTTGGCAGGTAGCTCGCAGCCCCGCTATCGGCGCGATGGCGTCGATATCAACTCCAACCCCGCCATTGAATCAGAACCGCTCTTCTTCCTGCGTTCATTTTCTCCCAACTCATTCAATTGATACTCAGAGCACATCCTATAGGGTCAAAACGGACAAAATGGCTGCCACCAAGCAAGTCAACATCGCCATCATCGGTATGCCCTTCCCTCCCGTTCGTGGTCCTCCTCCAACCCCCCCCCCAATTAGCAGTAACTAACCCCTTTGTGTGTGAATCCAGGCGCCGGCGGCGTAGGCAAATGCTTCATCTCGCAGCTCACCTCCCTTGCATCGCGCCGCCCCAACCCCAAGCTCGCCCTCACCTACATCGCGACCTCCAAAAAAGCCCTCTACTCCTTGGACCACACGCCGCTCGACCTGTCCAGCATCCTCCTCACGCTCCCCTCCTCCACACAATCCCCGCTTCCCCTGCCCCAACTGGCCGAACATTTAGTATCCTCGGGCACGCCTACCATCCTCGTCGACAACACCTCCTCGCAAGACCTGGCCAACTCCTACCCCCTATTCCTCAAAAAGGGCATCCACATCGTCACCCCTAACAAGAAAGCCTTCTCTTCATCCTATACCCTCTGGACCGACATCTTCTCCGCGGCCGCCGAGTCCGGCGCAAAAGTATACCACGAATCTTCGTGCGGCGCCGGCCTCCCTATTATCTCAACCCTCCACGACCTCGTGGACACAGGCGACGAAGTAACTAAGATAGAGGGCGTCTTCTCCGGCACAATGTCCTTCCTCTTCAACTCATTCTCACCCGTCTCCGGCGCGTCGAGCGCGACGTGGTCTGCCGAGGTGCGCCGCGCAAAGGAACTGGGCTACACCGAGCCCGACCCGCGTGACGACCTGAACGGCCTAGACGTAGCCCGCAAGCTGACCATCCTGGCGCGCATTGCCGGATTGCCTGTGGAATCGCCCACCTCTTTCCCCGTGCAGAGCCTCATCCCGAAGGAGCTCGAGTCTTGCAGCTCGGGCGACGAGTTCCTGGAGCGCCTGCCGGAATTTGATGCCCAGATGGAGGAGGTTAAGGCGGAGGCGGAGCGCGAGGGCAAAGTGGTGCGGTTTGTGGGGAGCATTGATGTGGTGAAGAAGGAGGTGAAGGTGGGCGTCGAGAAGTTTGATCGGGCGCATCCGATCGCGCAGCTCAAGGGGAGCGACAATATCATTAGCTTTTACACGAAGCGGTATGGGACCAACCCGCTGATCGTGCAGGGTGCGGGAGCAGGAGGAGAGGTGACGGCTATGGGGGTAACGAGCGATTTGTTGAAGGTATTGAGGGAGATTGCTTGATTGATTTTTTTTGGGTATCACGATAGAGAAAACAACTAAAAGTGGTATCATTGGTCGTCAACAGGGTAATTTAGAAAGAAAAAAAAAAAGAGTCTACCTCATATAACAAGCCCCCTCCCTTTCTTCATACGTACCCACCTGTCTTCCCAATTTCTTTCCCCTCCCTCCTCTCCCTCGACCAACAAAAATAAAAACGATCCCCTAAGTCTCCCCCTTGTACATCCCCTCCTCTTCTGAGCACCCTGCGTCCAACCCAGGTTTCTCAGCGCCCCCAATTGCAAGACTCTCATCTGAGCCCCACGACTCGCTGGACTGCTCCAGGCAGTACTCCCAGCTGGAGGAGTCCTGCGTGGGGTCCTCTATCGTAGCAGACTCCTCCTCGTCGGCCAAAGATGATCTCGACGAGAAAGGCGTCATCTGGGGGCTGGTGCTGGCGGTGACGCTGGACGTGGAGCTGGAGCTCAAGCTCCTGCACGGCGCGCGATGACGAAGCCCGTGAACAACTATACAGCTGCCACTCTCGCAGCAACCCGTTGTGCGGCAACAAGGGGAGTTGTCCTCGGTCTCGCTGCGCCTTTCCTCGGCGTCGGCGTCGGCAGCAGCAGCCAGGGGACAGGGGGCGTCGAGCTTCTCCTGGTCACGCCCGAGGTTGAAAAGGACAACCAGGAACGCGAGGACGGCGGAGAGTGAGGCGAAGAGCACGCCGCGGCCGACTTCCTTGCTGGCGCGCCGGATTTGGGGATAAGCGCGCAGCCCGACCTGGATGACTGGCCTGAGGAGGGGCCGCCAGGTCAGCAGGATGAGGAAGTCAACTACCACCGAAGTAAGGAGGGCGGTGACGAGAGCGACGAACAGGGACCTCTGCGGAGCGGTCAGTCTTGAGACAAAGGATGAAGATGGGGATGGGTTGGGTTGAGAGACATACAGAAAGCCTCTGGATGGCGCACAGCAGTATGGGGATCAAGCTGAGCCCCTCCGAGATGGAGCTGGGCCACCGGGGATTGAAGCTGGGGCATGCGGGGACGAAGCTGGGGGTCTCAGCCATCCACTCGACAAAGCCCTGGAGCGGAGTGGAGATTGGCTCTGTCATCATCGAGACGAGGGCAGCTAGGCGACCGCCGAACAGCCCGAGGGACCCGATGATGACGATGGTCAGAAGCATATTAGTGAAACGGGCCTTCAGGCAGCGAGTTCGGGGAACGGGGAAAAGCGAAAGAGTGCCGCGATGAGTGAAGACGCGGTGTGTTTGAGAGAAACTGGCGTCTCGAGATAGGATTGAGTTCAGACTTCAGAGCTGCTTCAAACCCAGGCTTTATAACCGTCTACTGGTCTGGTTGATTTGACAGAAGCCAGGCAACAAGCTCGACAAAATCACAGGCTCAGGCCGTCCGATATATGTGATAATTAAATCAAGACCAGAGCAGACAGTCAGAGCATAGAAGCAAATATGACGATGCAAGCTGTCGGTCGTTGTGGACTGGGCTCAAGCAGCAAAGCGGCGTGCGTGATCAGCTGTAGGTGGCGGTAGAGGGGAGCAGATGCAAGAGCCAACAGCGCATGGTAAAATCAGCGACGCGGCGAAGAGCAGAGATCACGGAGGCCGTGATAGTGGCCATCAGGGAGAAGATGAAGCTGGGCTGAGCGCGGCTGGCGGATGCAGCAGCTCCAAGTGCGATTGTCCTTGGACTTTCAGGTCGGCCGTTGGAAATTGAATGCTGTTATAACTTATGCGCGGATGTTGCGAATCTTGCTCAACACTCAACCCGACGGCGGGCGCGATCCGATGTGGGTGCGAGTGTGGAAGTGATTGCGTGGTACTGCTTTGGGATTGGGCCCGTGATTCTGACAAGGGAGGGGCAATTTGGCTTTGGGCATGGGAAAGGGATGGTGAAGCATACGCAGATGCATGGCCATCCGAAGTCTGTGTCGCTGTCGCGTATCGCGTGCCAAGGACAAGGGCTGGACCTGACTTGTGCTTTGGCAAACAAAAAAAAAAAGAAGAGAGAAAAAGAAAAGAAGGAGGAATTGAAATCAGGCTCGACTGAAACGAAGATCAGATTGGATCAGCTCGGGAGCTGCCTGAACCCCAAAGGCTGAGGGGACCAGTCACGAGTGCAGTGCCTGACCCAACCCAAGCCCCCAACTCTCAACTCTAACCCCAAGTTCGGTCAGGGCTGTGACAGCTCATTGGGCCTGCTGTCAGCTGGAGAAGGTGGGTCTCATCAACTCTCTCTGTTGGGGAACCTGGCCATGTGGGGGGTGGAACTGCCAAGCACACTTCAGAACCCACTGCCCCACTGCTACAGTCAACGTCACTCCTGCCAAGCATCTCCATCAGAGATGCGCATCTGAAACACCCTGCATTCTCACATTATCTTGGGCAGGTGCGATAACATCGCGGTGCTGTCACTGCTGTTACTTACCTTGTGCAATACGCGGCACACCATACTTTACCTAAGTAATATCCCCGACAAGGCAGTGTGACAGTCCTTCTCCGGCAATGAGATAAGCATTCTCTCGTTTCTTGCCCTTCCGTTGTCCGACAACCCGAGAGACAAGAGGCACACGCAATTAGTCGTCAGTCAAAATGCCACAAGACCCCTACCTTTACGGCCAGCCCCGAAAAAAGCAAAAAAGAGAACTCGAAGTCTCCAGCTCCCTAGCCTTCACAGCCCAGCTCAACTCCCTCCTCGCCGCCTCCAGCGCTGCCAGCGACACCAACAGTACAGCCCGGGCACGTTCTTCCCGCTCTCAGTCATCCGACCTCGCCGGCATTAAAGTAAAACGGAAAGATGGAGACTCCAAGGCGAAAGATGAATCCAGCGCTGAGGGAAAGAAGAGCAACAAGCTCAACCTCAAATCCCCTCCAGGCTCGTCTGAACCGACCGAGGCCGAGCGCGAACTGATCCAGCGCAAGCTGGAATCTAAAGCCCGCCTCTACGCTGCCATGCAGCGAGGCGACTACATCGGGAAAGAAATCGGCCTGGTCGACTTCGACCGCAAATGGGCTGAGCAGCAGGAAGCGAAAGAGAAGGGAGAAGTTTCGTCATCCTCTGACTCGGACTCCGACCTCGACGTCGAAGACTCCAACATCGACACCGAGCTCGTCGAATGGGAAGACGAATTCGGCCGTCTCCGCCGCACCACCCGCGCCGAGAAACTCCGCTACGAGCGCCGTCTGGCGCGAGGCCTCGCCTCCGCTGCCGAGCTCGAAACCATGTCCGCGCGGCCGAAGGCCCCGTCTCAAGTAATCTACGGCGACACGGTGCAAACGGAGGCCTTTGTGGCGCGCGACTTCGAGAAGATGGAGGAACTCGCACGCAAGCGCGACCGGAGTCCGACGCCTCCTCCGGCGGTGCATTATGATGCAGACAAGGAAATTCGTACCAGGGGAGTCGGGTTTTATAAGTTCAGCAGTGAGGAGGAAAAGAGGCAGGCGGAGATGAAGGCGTTGGAAGAGGAGAGGGAAAGGACGGAGCAGGTGAGAAGGGAGAGGGAGGATCGGTTGGCGAAACGACGCAAGGAGATTGAAGAAAGGAGGAGGGAGATTGCGGAGAGAAGGGCCAGGAAGATGGCAGAGAGCTTTTTGGAGGGGTTGGGGAGGGATTTGGAGATGAAGGGGGCGAGCACGACTGCTGGAGACGAAGAAAAATTACAGGGAGAGGAGAGTAAGGAGAGAAGTGGTAAGGATGAGGACAGGAAGGACTAAGATTAGACGAATTTTAAGATACCCAGTAGAACAACCATAGATTTGTAGCATTCTTCTTCGTATTCATATACCTCTCCCTTCGCCGCTTGGAAAGGTGTATACGATGCGTACTCGCCAAGAGTCCAGGGATCTTGTAGCATGATAGGCGCTAACCTGTATTAATAAGACACCATTCCCAATCGCTGAAGTAGCGATCGTCAATTTTGTCGACACAAAGTCAATTGAACTTCTCTATCTTATCGCTGACTCGCTATACGCATATGTAGGTACATCTCTGAACGATCCCCGACTCTGACGATCAGGGATGGAAGTTCGTTCATTGTTCAACCTTGCCATGGTACAAGCAGATTCTAGGGATCTGGCATACTATGACAATCCAGTTCCGAGATCCATAACGGCTTCGGATCTCGGGGCTCAAGGCCTATCTATTTCTTAGCATCTCACGACGGTTCTCACAACAAAGCCAGCTGATTCATTCCAACCATTCAATTTCCCCTGCATATCTGCCGCCCAATATACTAACATATAAGAATGCCCCACAAATGCCCATGTAGCGACTGACAATGACATGCACCAAGCCACCAAGCGAAGGACTACATATACCAGGGACATATGAGCGAAGACTGTCCCAACCAGAAACATGCCAACCATATATTCAGCATGAACCTTCCGAACGCCGCCGAGCGATTGAATCAATGAATCAGGCACCATATCCAAACCTGAGCTATATATCTCCTCGGGCAACGAGAGTATGTGTACGTTAGTAGCTGAAAGAGATGATGCGAACTTTTAAACCGTGACGCCAGCCCCCTGAATCCATCCATCTGTCCCTCTCAACTAAGCTGAGTAATAACGGAAAAACCCGATAGCGACAGACAAACTTGTGGATAATGACAATGAAAAACAGAAAGGTATCTCAACGATGCAGTCGATAAAGACACAACACAACACAACACAACACAACACAACACATTCCAAAAACCTCCTAATGATGGACGGGGAGGTCACGTCAAAAACCACATACACCCACAAGGGCTTATATCCGGTACCCCGTTCCTCTTCTCCAATCCCCATCCCTCCACTTCCACCTCGTCCTCCTCAGTATACCCTCTCCCTCCATACATCTCCTCCCACCCTCTAGGCATAACCACTACCGGCACCTCTCTCTTTTCCTCTGCTTCCCCTGTTATTCCCATTTCTTGGGCAGATTTGGCGGTAACAGTCATGGTCTCCCCAGTCCCATCGCCATCCCCCTTCTTCTTCTTTAAATCACCGCCCCCAAAACCAAAGAACGTCTCCGTCTCCATTACCTCAATGACCACCTCGCTCCCCTTATGATCGCGTACCGGCTCGGCTTTTTGCCGAGGTCCCATTATCGCAACTTGGGTACACCTTGCTCGTGGGGCACCCTGTGTCGAGACGCGGCGTTCTGCGAGCTTGATTACGCGTGGGTAAGGGGGAGGTGGTGGGATGAAGCTATCGCGGTCGAAGTCGAAGCCAAAGCCGGGGCGGTCTTCTTCGGGGAAGTCGGTCGGGAGGATTGTGGGAGGGGGTGTCGTGTCGGGGCTAGTCGTAGCCGTGGTAGTGGTAGTCATGTCGTGTTGGTAGGCACCCATGCCACGAGGGCGATTACGACGAGGATTGTTTGGGGGCGGGGAGTTGTTGTTATCGTTATTTTCGGGCCTGTCGTTCTTGTTTGGGTGGAAGGTGCTCTGTTCTGGGGTGGAGGTTGGCGTAGGCGAGTTGTTGAAGGGAGGAGGGGTTTGTTGCTCTTGTTGGTGTTCGGTTTCTGGGAGGACATCACTGCTTGCTTCGGTCTCGAAACCGATATCTGCCGTGGTGGTGACGGTCATTGTCGTCACGCTGGGCGTCTGCTCGAACGGGGGCACGGTGCCGGTGGGAAACCGTGGCCCGGATATGGACCCCGAGAAGGGCTTGCTCCAGGATGGCGTGCTGGAGTTTTGCTGAGCGTAGATGAAAAGCTCGAGATACGTCTCTGGCCAGGTGCAGATCCAGGGACGGTCGCCAGCTTGTGCGACGCCCTTACGCTTGTTGAGGTCGCCAAAGGGGGGGTCAAAGCCTCCGCCGCCACCGCCCAGATAGCGTTTTTCAACACCCACCAGGGACCGCTTCTCGACAAACTCATCCGTCCCGCCAGACATAGGATTCAGCAGCCAATTCTCCGGCAAGATAACAGTCTTGTTGTATGACAATATTTTGAACCAGGCCGGGCCGCGGTTCATCTCGAACTTGTCCTTGACCAGCTGTAACTTGACGGGCTCCTGGATCAGTGGCGGCTGCTCGCCGTAGGCGTAGACGTGGTTCATAATGGTATAACTATGGTTGCAGTCGAGCGATGCCTTGTAGTCGTCGCCCTCCTTAGAAATAGTCAGCTGTAGGCCGACCATGATCAACCGGCAATTCCAGGCCTGGGCGAGCGTCGTGTTCTGGAAACAGGTGTTAGATGAGCGTGTGTTGATAAGCGGCATGCTGTAGGTGCCAAGCGGCAGGGGCTGCAGGTCAGGAGGAGGTGCGATGGGGATGGCGTCGAAGTTCGGATCCCTAGTGCGGGAGTGAGTGAGTTGGTGATGAGTGAGTGAACATACATGCAGGTTGATGACTGCTTCTCAAGAGAAAACTTACCATTGCGGCTGCTTATTCTTCAATCCCCTCTTCTTCTCCCTTGTCAAGAATATCCCCATCACAGTACTCATCACCACAGCCATAACCACGAGAATCAACACCGTCAGGCAAATCGCCCAGTACGGAATAACCCCGCACATCTTCCTCTTCAGCCACCTCTGTGGCCGCGTCTCCCCCGTCTTCTCATTCAACCTCTCACTCTCATCATTCGCCCTAAACCGTCCATGGCTCTCATCCGATCCAAAACTCCTCGACGAATGCCGTGACCTTGGCGACCCCAAATCATCATCTGTTGACTCAAACTCCGGATTACGCGTCGCTAATCCGATCCCACCAGCCCCCGGTATAACAGGTGTTCCTGACCTCGGTACTTGGGGCGCATTCATCGCGCCTGTGGGCAAAACCGTCGCCCCGGATAGTAACGGTGGCGGTGGGGGAAGGGGAGGAGGTCCACAAACTACCTCCGGACCGGGTGGTTCCTCGTCCGGCAAAGGACCTTTCCTCAAATAAACTTCCTCAGGATACCGCGTGTATGGCGGTAATTGCTCAGTGTGGCCATCTGGTCCAATGATATCCCCCAAGTCATCACCGTCTGGGCCTATCCGGCGATGATACTGATCCGGTAGGCCGTGGAACCCGATCGGGATGGCTGCATTGGGCGCAACCATCAGGTCGATACCTGTCCCTTGGGGGTACAAACTGTATGGATGGCTTGGTCCTCGCGGGCCGGTATATGGGGTTTCGATTACTGCAGGCGGGATAGAAGATGATGTCGTCGTCATGCTCATCGACCTAGGTCCCCTTACCGTCTGCGGGTACATCTGATAGGGATGCGACGGACGAACGGGCCCTTGATACGGGCTGTCGATGGGCAGGACCATGCGAGAAGTCGAATCTGTCGAGACAGACGCGTGGCGGGACAGTCGTTGCTGATACTCGTCCTGTTCGTGAGTTGTTGATAATGATGACATGCGTGGCCTATGCTTCGAGACACTAGACGGGCGATTCCGGTCCAGGCTGTCCTCGCCCACGAGGGTACCTGTCGTCGTCGATGTTGATGTCGTCGTCGCAGGACTCGAGGGGGGTCGGGATGGCGTCGAGTCACCACTGTCCTGGAGATGCTGAGAGGGCGTCTGAGGCGGGTGAAAGCCGTCAGCGACCAGGCCGTTAGCGGCGAGGGCATCATAGTCCTCGTCGAGTTCATTGTTGCTGACAGAGACCGAGTATCGAACCGAGCTCCTCGTTGACGCCCGGCGGTCCAAATCACCTGGAGTCTTGCCCTCCTTTGAGTCCATGGTGGTAGTGATCCTGTAGTAAGTAGGCGATACAGAAGCAGGAAGTGTTGTCTGGGGGGAGGGTCGGTCAGTAAGGAGCAAAAGCGAGCGCGGCGAAGAGCCACATCGACCCTTCAGCTCCTGGCGCACCCTGAGATGCTGACTGAGGCCAAATCCTGCGGCTAGTGGTGAGTCGGTCGGCTTCGATTGGAAGCAGACTCAGAATTCCATCGGACAACCGTAGCTAGGGAAGGTGTTTCAAATGTAGACGATTCCGAATAAACTCGGTCGAAAATTACGATTCAATTCTGCGAAATGGCATGCGACCTGCCGCTCTGCTCACAGCTGAATGAGATGAAAACCGGAAAAGAGGTCCACGACGCGGGTAGTGGACACAGGGCACAGGACACTGGTTCACCAGCACTACCCCGCTATGTTTGTGGTTCAAGGAAATACCTGGAGTCCACTGTTCAACCAGGGCCGGGATAACCCAATTGGTTCTTTCTTGGGCTGATTGCTGGTTGCTTACTGGAAACTAAAGAGTCTGAGCTGATGGATGAGGGCCGGGCTGAACTGGGCTTCTTAGATTGATGTTGCGTTGACTGGGAGGACTGGGAGGTCCAGAACTAGACTCAGTGGACCGGTTCTGCTCCTGGTTTGCGACTCGGCTGGCTCCTTGGATCAATCATGGGCTGCAGTGGCGCCAGGACACTTTTGTCTTGGTTTCGGACCTGACTTGGGGCAGGTAACGGGGGTGCACTGCGATTGGGCCCGGCAACTGCAGTCACCGCACCGGTGCTTGCACCTGCATGGGGCCGCCGAGAACGAGCATCCCAGAGAGACTACGAGGTGGAGAAATGGCAGTATCAATGGCAGGGATCATGGATATAATTTCTGGTGGGTTATCAGTCGTAAATACTCGTTGAGATGATCTTTGATCTCAACGACTTTCCGACTTGGAGTTAATACATTGAGCTGCTCATTTCTTTGCGATGATATTTCACAGTCCACCATAGAGTCTCTTTCGTCTTATCCCAGCAGTTCCATGAGCCATTCCATAGGTTTGTCCATGTTGATTGCTGGCAAACACGCCATGCAGATTAATTTTCTTTTTTCTTTTCTTTTCTTTTTTTTCTTTTTTCTTTTTTTTAAAAAAAAAGATCGAGCTTTCTGCTCACGGCGCTTATTTACACTCGTAGGCTGTGGGGAGTAACACTGAACGCTGTTTAGGCTGGGTCTCATCGGTAATCCCTATATTCCCGCTGCGCCCTAATATCTGGAACACCTTCGATTCGTGGGCTCCTCGGCGAACCAACTGAGCCGGCCGGCGGATGAATAGACTTTCTTTTAGTGGTTCCCCGGCGCGCGCGATGACACATAGCACTACATCTTTGTGTCCTCTGAACATTGCTGACCTTGGGCCTCTGGACTGTTTGCTCTGTTTGTTTGTAGAAGGACCTTCCTTCAGTCCCTCACACCACAGCCATGGACAGGAGCATTATGGGATGCGTGTCCTCGACATTTGAAACGGTGCTGTGGGGGCACCGAGCTTGTTGTCGGAGGCCCTTGCAGATGAACAGGCAAATGTCCAGGGGTCCGACAGATGGGAAACAAGCTGCAGCATCGTTGACAACCGAATTTACTTGCTTCAAGCTGGTATGGCTAAACTAAACTCTGCAGATGGTGCAAACAGACAGGCGACGCACAAATGAGAACTGCCCGTATTGGGCCTTCTTGGAGACCTTTTGGATCATCTTCGACACTCTTGGTGCAGCTTCCCTAAACAGCTTCGGGCCCGGCGTTCCGAAACTGGGCTGGAGCGGCTGGAGTTTTGGCAACTTTTTGCTTGGGTCTTGCATGGACACTGGCCCAGTTAAGGGGGGGGGGGAGCGCATTCATCAAGGTATCGGGTGAATTCTCGCGAGTGCTGGATATTTTGCTGTGGATGAAAATGTATCTCAGGGCATTCTTCAGAGAGTTAAAGACCCTAAAGCTTCCATAACAAGACCCCTCTTGCGAGCTCGAGCTGGAGCTGGACGGGGCAATCGAAAGTCGTCTCATGAGTCATTTGGCCCACTAACAATAGCTCATACTATACGCTCGGGCGTTGGCACTGGCCAATTGCCGACTTTCTCTGCCGTGCTGAACCCAGCATCCGGCCGTCCGGCGACAATCATATTGAAGGAACAAATGACGGGAAATGAAGCCTCCACGAGAATGGGATGAAGGCAAAGATCGAAAAGGAGACAGACTTTCGGGAGCGTCTTGAACTGTCATGGGGATGAACTGCATGAAGGAGCAGGCGCAACGACGCAGGCAGCGAGGATCGGTGGACCCGGACTTTCCTAGGACGGCGGAAGATCCCGCCGCCAAGGCCCCGTGTCGGTCTTGGCATGTCGAAAGGGAAGGTGATGTAAATAACAGTTCCTACGCGATCTGTATCGTAACTTACCGACTTGATTCCCCGCGATCTTGGCCATCCCGTCTCCATCTTCAAGCTTCACAGTTTGGCAGGCCTCGATCGAAGTTGCGAGACTCTCATTTGTCTGTATCCGTCATGAACTCTGCTGCTGAGTCACAAAACTTCCATCTTCTTCCATTTACTGTGCTATACAGAATCGACTAGCGCAGCTTCCCGAAACGGGCCCTTCTTCCAATTTCCCCTTCCGGGCAGGGCCTGGTCGCCCCAATTCTTGCCCTGTTACACAAGCTTCACCGAGCCTTGGGGACCTAGAGAGAGAAATGAATGAATGGTGGGTCGTGGAGATAAGGCCACCAGCTACTAAGAACCTTGCTATGGAAGCGCCCTGGGTTGTCGATTGGGCATTGGATTTCATAGTGAGGCTGCAGTTGAAACTGAAAAAAGAGGCATTACTGGCTCACTATGTCCGAGACCAGGCTATGGAGGCTTTGCGTTTTCTTCTCTACGGCGAGTATTGAAGGCAAAGCGGTCTGATCAGTCGTCTTCTTACTGGCATTCTTGTGCGAAGCTTTACCCCTCCTTCAGTGTCGCCCCTCCCTCGAGCAACGCAGAGCTGCAGACCCGAATCTCTGAGCCCTGGGATAGACTCACCTTACCCCGCGCGCGTGTTACCTCACATCTCACTCACATCAGAGCCTCTGTCGGTCAGATCCCGTCAAGTTCTCAACTCTTCCTATCTTCAAGAAGAGGCCGGCCACCTGCGATCTACCTTCATGTAGGTTCATGCCCGACAAATCCTCAGCATCGGGCAACTCTCAAGGCCCAATAACCAAGCAGCCAAGCCACCCATCCACGCCGCAGGTTCCGGCAATCTGCATTCAGACCGCCGGCTGAGAACGCAGCCTCCTGCAGCCAGTGGTGGGTGTGACCCTTCTTCATCTTCCAATGGAAAACGGGGCTAAATACCAATTAGTATGCGCCTGCTCCAACGTTCACCTACCCTTCACCATGATGGACCGCACTGCCGGGCGCCAAACCTTTGGATAACCAGTCCAGCGTCATTGCCCGGCGTCTGCGTGAAATCCTCAACCTATCATGGTGCTTTCCATTAGTGTCAGACTTTGTCTCGGGCTTGTGAGGCTCAACAGCAGCGACTCTGGTTGGTCTGGAGACGGCTCCGTCGTTTGGATGATGGAGGGAGGACTCATACTCACGAGACTCCTCCCTCTCGGTCTGGGGGGAAAGTTGCTGATTCTCTCATTGTGTGTTCGCCCTGAAAGTGGCCAAACCTGGCGATGCCATGTCATGCTAGCCAGCCCATCCTATCGTGTGTCAAAGAGTGAGACCAAGCCATGCACCTACGTGCATCTGTGACAGCGTTTTGCGTTGCCTGATGTTGCTACCTGCCTTAGCTATGCTACACCAAGCCTGCCGGCAGGTATCTATCGCTCCTTGTCGGATACCGAGCTGAGCTGAGAGAATAGAGGACGTTTGTACTTCCATCCCATATTTCTAGAGCAACCGCCCGGCGGGCTGGGGCTAGCCTGTTTCTTTCAATCTTTGTTCTCTGGCTCTGTCTCTCGGTGTTTGCGCCACATTCCAATCTCAGACCTACCTGGTTGTCTTGGAGCGAGCACCATTTTTTTTTTTCCCCAGTTTCTCTCTGGGGAACAATCTTAGGGTTGGTCGTCTACCGCCTGCCCCTGAGCTCTTCGAGCAATCAAACATCGAGATACCCTTAGACTAGAAGTTACCGGGCAACATTTACCTCCAGATTCTACTCCCCAAAGCATTCTCTGTTTGAGTAGGCCACAAACAGCCTCTCCCTTACCACTTTACTCCCTCACGATAACCATCATGCCCGTCATCTACGAAGGGCGTTCCGAGCGCGGCACCTACCGGGAGATCAAGGTTCCCAAGGGCTCCAAGAGCGTCAGCGCCATACTCTACTTCGCCGGGCGCGACCCTCGCAGAGTAAAAGCCATCCGCAAGTATATCGACGAGGACGAAGACCATCAAACAGTTCACTCCGGGTCAGACTCAATATTATCATGGATGACCTCCAGTTCGGGAAGCAGTAATATTTGGCTTGTTGAGTCGAGGTATCCGGATTGGATGTACGGTTCTGCCAGGGATGATGAGTCTGTGACAAGTTCGAGGTCGTCTCATTCATCGAGGAGCAGACGTCGGAGTTCGACATCACCTTCCTCCTCATCGGGAAAACATTCACACAACCACTACCACCGCACCACGCCCGTACCACCCATGCCTTACCCACCCGGCATGTCTGGCATCCGTCCCATGCCAATGCCAACAAGCACCTGGCCTCGCGGTGTCCCTACTGCTCACCCCCACATGCAAACCACTACGGCAATTCCCATCCCAGAAGACTACGACGAAGACGATGACGTCTCCTCTGAGTCAAGCGCCTCCAGTATTGACGATGACTATCCTGCCCCCAACCCTGCCCCCAACGGTCCCACGGGTGGTTCAGTCCCGGGCTTTGTTGCGGTCCCTGGCCCTGCTCCAGGACAAGAGCAGGGTGTTGCATCAGCTGCAGCTGCAGCTGCTGCAGGGCAGTTCCGTCACCCGGTGTATGGCAATGTCCCGAGGACTGTACCAGGTGTTATTTCGGGAGCTGCTGCTGGGAGACCGGGAATGCCGCCACCTGGGATTGTTGGTGCTGGGGCCGGGGCTGCGAGCGTGCCGCCTCCTCCTCCTCCTCCTCCGGGGGCTGCGATGCCTCCGCCACCGCCGGGGTTTAGGCCTGGGACTGCCCAGCGTTGAAGGGGCATGGGAATAAGGGTACTGCTGGTTTACGGCTTCTGCTTTTCGTTATCTTACATTGGGGTTTGGAGTTACAATTGTTGTTCCATGTATAATGATATCATGACGATCGAAACGGCGTTCTGGCTGGCGGTCTTATTGTTTTCTAGGGGAACACTCTGCGTTTGGGAGCTGCTATATATCTGTCTAGCCGTCTGCTTTGAGGAGTTTCAACTTGCGGTTAATAGGGAGCGCTCTTCCTATCACACGGGACATCAGTGTGTAGAGTCATGGCGTTATTGTAACTATCAGGATGAGCTGATGATGTGATGACAACGACTTTTCGACTATCGGGTTCGCTCTCTTCATCGCATCGATAGCTGAATGTGACACACGTCGCCACAATGGGAGACCTGTTCTTTTCATTCAAGCCTCGAGCATCGAACCCTGGACCTGGTCCGTGACCTGACTGCTCCGGGCCTCACTTCAGGCAGGCAGCAGACTTCCCTGGTTTCTTTAAATCACTGATCTATCTGATTTTTCTCGCCCTTTTCATTCTAACCTGCACCTTTCAAATTATATATCTTACTTCCAGCACTACTCTTTCCAACAACGAGCCCCTCCCCCTCCCTACTCGACCAAATGGTTGAGTGATATGGTGTGATCGTCCAGTCTGATGAAGGTGGGGATCCCAATGTGCTCGGGGTTCAACTCGAGGACTGGCGGCCCCATACCAATCCCCCTACTCCGGACCTGGGGGGTCCGGTGTGGAGATGTTAGCTTTTATCCCTTTTGGCCTTTCAGAATTTTCGCCGTATTCATTTTCCGCTTTTATTGCTCTCTAGTGATGGCGGGGATTGGAATCCTCACATGCTGGTCTGCTGGTTGCTGGTTGAAGAGTGAAGAGAGAGATGCGATGGCGGTTTAAGACTTGGTCGGTTTTTACCTCGTGGGTGATATCTATTTATTTCATTTTCATCCCATCCAGCCAGTCAGGTGAAAGCAGTAGCAAAGTCCAACCTTCACGCAAACAGCGAGCAAGCCACGTACCAACTCAATTGACACGGTATATGTACAAGATACAAGTACGAAGCAAACCCCTAACGCCAGTCCGTATAATACAATTCGTCAGCGTCCCTTAAGAGCAATCATGAAACCCTCATAGAGACGGCGTCTATGCCCCAGCAACATCACCCAAACACAATCCAAACACAATCCCCTTAGTCGAGACCGTTCTCCGACTTCCACCGCTGCAGATACCTCTCTGGGTTCTTCGGGCCAAGCTGATCACCGGAGTACTGGCCGCGCGTGGGCGGGATCTTGCGCGAGACGAACGGGGTGAGCTATTTCGTGACTCTCTCGTCAGTCATTGCCCTCTCTTACTTAAAGAAGCATCGTAAGAGAACTCACTTTGAAGCCGTCCAGCGACGGACACACATACGTGCGCACCTTGTGCCACTCAATCACGTAACCACCATACTTGGTGTGGCGACCCATAGACCCAGTGCGCGTGCCCTTGTAGTAGCCTTTGCCGACGTCCTTGGTCGTCAGGCGCAAGTTGCGGTAGCGTAGGACTTGGAGGATAGGTGAGGGCTTCATGTTGTTGGTTGTGTGTTTGTCTGTCGTTGTAGGGGAGAAGACGGCGACGACGACGGTGGTGACGGTGTTGGAGGTCGGGCAAGCTTCGGTAAATTTTGAGCCCAGACGTTGAGCTGCGCCACAGACACCCCTCGTCCCAAACCGCTGGATCTTTTCTCGCCGGTGCCAAGCGCCAAAATGCCAAGAGTAATGGCCCCGCAACGTGTGGGTCACTGAGACTCGCGGTCCCACCAAAAGCGCCTTGCTCACCGCCCAAAAGTTGCTGCAGTAATTTTTCCGGCAGAAAAAAAGTCGTCCAGGTTCGAGGAGCAGAGCAGGGCTACAGCCATCAGTTGAAGAACAACAGCTGCACCTTCGTCAATCGGTGCAATCCCCAACCAAACACCCAAATTCATCACCACTACAACGACAGTTCTCACTTACATATCGATCAACGGCCGATACCTTACTAGAAAAATACCCAAAATGCCCGGCCGCCAAGCCCACGGTCGCCCCCTCCTCCCCTCCCTGGGCTCTTCCTCCGGCGGCGGCAAGTCGAAGAAAAGCCGATCCAAAGCCCGCCGCTCCGCCCAATCCAAAGCTCTTGACGCCTTCGCCCTCGCAGCCGAGCAAGTCCCCGAGTCCCGCTCTAAGGGCGTGCGCCTTCGCGATCTGGACGAACACCCCTCTACTTCGGCCTCAAGAAACAAGAGACAACATGAAGATGATGAGGAGGATGATTTCGATGGGTTTGACGATGACGAGGGGATGGGACGGAAAAAGAGGGCGAGGAGGGATAGTGGCGGGGATGAGGATGGTGATGATGTGGATGAAGATATGGAGGGGGGAGCTGATGGGGAGGATGATAGTGAGGAGTGGCATGTGGGAGTAACAGGAGCGGACGAAGACTCGGAGATTGATTCGGATGAGGCGTTTGGGGAGAGTGATGAGGAGAGGTTCGAGGGGTTTGTGTTTGGGGGAAGTAAGAGTCATAAGAAGGGGACGAAAAAGAGGAGGAATGGGAGTGAGGATGGTGAGAATGAGGAAGGGGGGAAGAGGATGAAGATGACTTGGAATCTCTTGGGTCAGATGCAATTGACCTTGCGACAGCGCTGGATCAGTATGAGTCTTCGGAAGAGGGCGAGGAAGGGGAAGAGTCTGAGTCAGAAGAGGATGATGAGGAGAGTGAAGAGGAGGACAGTGATGAGGAAGACGACGATCCCTCGAAGCTGGACGCTCTCCAGAGCATGATTGCAGGTTTCGCCGGCGAGGATGAGGAGAGCGGCGGCGAAGGCGAAGCCAAGCCGTCAGGCAAGCAAAAGCTGAGCCTGAAGGACCTTGGCCTGGTTGGCGTCAAGGACCCCGACATGAAGCGGTCGTTGAGACTCATGAAGAAGGAGGAGAAGGCGACGAAGCCCGGGTCCAGCAAGAAGCTGGAGGTGCCCCTGGCCAAGCGCCAGCAGGACCGCCTGATGCGCGAGGCCGCCTACAAGAAAACCAACGAGACTTTGGATAGGTGGATTGAGACGGTCAAGCACAACCGCCGCGCTGAGCACCTCGTTTTCCCCCTGGCGCAGAACGCTCACGACCGCGGTCTGGATGCCAGCGAGCTGCAGCCCATCACACAAAAGACGTCCGGCACCGAGCTGGAGCAGACCATCCTGGCCATCATGGAGGAGAGCGGCCTCGGCCCAACCGCCAAACCCGAAAAGAAGGAGACCAGCGGCGAGGCGGGCAAGCAGGGAATGAGCAAAGAAGAACAAAAAGAACTAATCCGACAAAAGCGCCGCGAGCGTGAGTTGCACTCGCGCGAGATGGCCCGCCTCAAGCGCATCAAGAAGATCAAGTCTAAGACGTGGCGGCGCATCCATCGCAAGGAGCTTCTTAAGAACGAAGAGGCCGCGTACCAGGCTGCTCTCGAAGCCGGCGAGCTTGACTCGGAGGAAGAGCGCGAGGCGCTCGATCGGCGCCGTGCCCTCGAGCGCGTCGGTGCTAGGCACAAGGAGAGTAAGTGGGCCAAGCTGGGGAAGAAGGCTGGTCGCGCGGTGTGGGATGAGGATTTCCGTGCTGGGTTGGCGGAGATGGCGAGGAGGAAGGACGAGCTGCGGAAGAGGATCGAGGGGCTGAAGAACGGGTCGGATGATAGCAGTGATGACTCGGACGGGGACGAGGATGCGTCGGGGGATGAAGCTGCTGAGCGAAGGAAGTTGCTTGCCGAGCTGGAGAAGGCGGCGGCGTACTCGGACGACGATGAGCCGCACTCCAAGCTGTTCCAGCTCAAGTTTATGCAGCGCGGCGAGGAGCTAAGGCGCAAGGAGAACGAGGAGCTTATTGCGCAGATTCGGCGGGAGCTAGACTCGGATTATGACGGGTCTGAGCCGGACGAGGTCGAGATTGGCCGGAGGACGTTCGGCATGGGGAAGAAGGATAAGACCGAGCAGCAGCAGGCGCAGGATCAGCTCGCCCGCATGCAGGCTGCTGAGGCCAGGAAGGAGAAGGCTGCTGCCCGGGTTGCTGCCGCTGAGGAGACGGTTAAGCAGGAAGCTCGCGAGAAGGCTGAGAAAGACGAGGCTTCAGCGCCTAGCACGGCAGGAGCATGGTCTCAGCCGAAGGTTGAAGCTGGTGCTTGGTCGAAGCCGGACGACGAGGGCAGCAGCAAGCCCCGGAAGGCGCCCAAGGGCCGGCCGGAGGAGATTGATGTTACCGACCTCGCGTTGGCGGGCAAGCCGGCGAAGGCGAAGGCCAACGGGCAGGCGAAGAGCCAGGTGCAGGGCAAGGCCCACGCCAGCAACGGCCAGTCCAGCAGCTCTCAGAAGGCCTCTACCTCTGTGGCGATCACCGGCGCTGAGGAAGACGGCAACGACTCGGACGACTCGGACGCCGTGCACCTGCCCATGGCGATTCGCGACCGGGCACTCATCGAGCGTGCTTTTGCCGGTGACGACGTGGCTGCCGAGTTTGAGAAGGAAAAGGCCGAGATCGAGGCTGATGACGATGAGAAGGAGATCGACAACACTCTGCCGGGCTGGGGCAGCTGGGTTGGCGAGGGCGTGAGCAACCGCGAAAAGAGAAGACATCAAGGAAGATTTGTGACGAAGGTTGAGGGTATCAAGAAGGAGAAGAGGAAGGATTATAAGCTGAAGGATGTTATTATTAATGAGAAGAGGGTTAAGAAGGTGAGTTCCCTCATCTTTCAAGGCAGTCGTGTCAAGCTGAGGCTAACTATTTTAACAGAACGACAAGTACCTCGCCACCGGCCTGCCTCATCCCTTCGAGTCCCAGCAGCAGTACGAGCGGTCGCTGCGCCTGCCTGTTGGACCGGAATGGATGACGAAGGAGACGTTCCAGGACGCGACGAAGCCGAGGGTTATCATCAAGCAGGGCATTATTGCGCCTATGTCAAAGCCTATGTACTAGGTTGGCGGGCGATTCTTGCTAGGATTGGAGCTGGCTCCGTGTTATTGGGTGGTGTATACAGCGACGGCAGGTCATGGAGGTTACTAGGTAGTTAGATGCAAAAATGAAGTGGTAAATGCTGGAGGGTTTTCGATGCTCTACTATACCATCCATGGTGATGTTTTCCATCGGTGTACACATAGGTATTAGGTATATCAAACTTAAAAGTTATCGTTGACGTGTCCAACCCTCTCTGTCTTCGAAATTTTCACCATTTCTGCTCATCAACAACTTCTTACCTCAAAGCCACGTTCATCATCTCCGGCATTTTTAGTCTTAACGGTTACACAGTAAACCCTCTTGGCACATCGGCACCAAAGCTTCAGCCCCTGGCTAGGAGATCGCAAGATGCTTGGCGGCTGAAGCTGAGTTTTGGGTTGCGTTCCCTTTTTGAATTCCGCACAGGACAGGGCTGAACGCACGGCTGCCTGTCTGTCTGGATGCTTCTATAAAAGGTACAGGGACCGTCGTTTCAGAGAAAGCCACTCGCGCAGGACAACTCCTTTATGTCACGACTGCTCGGTCCCATTTTTGTCAAGAACATAGCGCTTCATGGAGTTCTGCCAAGTTTGAACACGACGACGACGACAACTACGACAGACAGCAGCACCGGCCAGCGTCGTCTTCACTCTAGGGAGTCGCATCGCCCATCTCTTCACATGTTATTATTACACCTCTGACCCAGAATAAAGCCACTCATTCCTAAGCTGCCAAAATGTCCGACTCTCACACCGCCACCGACGTAATAACCTACATCGGCGTGCCGCTCGCCGTGCTCGGCGTCCTCCCCATCCTCTACAACACCGTCGCCACCCTCGCGGCCCTCTCCCGCATCAAGCGCATGCTGCGCCAGCAGTCGGGCCTCTCCCATGGCAGCTACCTCACGCGCTCGGACGTGGTCAACCGCGTCATCGAAGTCGACCTCCCTCGGTACGCGGTCCGGCCTTGGGATCGGTTCACAGATGGGGAGCGGTACTGGCGTTTGTCCAGGAAGGTTAGTTCCATCAGGGGAGGGAGCTGGACAAGGTTTAATTGGCGCGTCAGGGTCGTGGGCATGGAACGGCAGCGGGTCGAGTACGCGGATCAGTTACGCCAGCCGCAAGTGGAAATCTTGTTCGAGGAACTGATCTGCTACCTGTTAGACCTGGGCGCGGTGCCGGACCCCCACGGGTGGCGGGTGCTGAGGTCGACCGGGCTTTGGACGCCGGTCGGATGTGCGCTGATGATGAGCCCGGATGGGAGGGAGAAGGCGCTGACAATCGCGCCGCCGGATGGGTCGGATGGGCATTTGAGTTTGGCAGTTGCGTGGAGGGAGGAGTGGACGGTACGAGGGGCGGGGGATTTGCCGCCTTATTGGGTGAGGTTGATGCCGGCTGGGGAAGGGGTTAGGTTTGAGTTGAAAGAGGTGGGGCAGGGTGAGGCTCAAGGGCAGGTCGAGGAGTCGACTCAGGTTGAGGGAGAAGGTTCAGCTTCGAAAGAGGTTAGAGGGGAGGTTGGGCCTGAGGGAGAGAGTGAGCAGAAGGGGAAGAAGACGGCCGAGGATACTACTCCTCCTGAGGTTACCAGCGCCCAAAAGTCTTCCCTCGACTCAACCGCTACCAGGTCCTCCCTCTACTCCTCGCACCCTATTACCTGCCAAATCTCCGCCGAGGGCATTGTCACCGCCCTCTCTGACGCAAACCCCCCATCCCCCTCTCCTCGAGCCGACCATTTATCCCCGTTCAACGATGCCCCTCCCCCCTATAGCAGCTCATCATCTCTCCACAACCCAACCAACACCCTCTACATCGAACATCTCCGCATCCGACCTTCATCCATCCTAACCTCACCTCCATCAGGCGTTCCCCCATCCACAGGTACCTGGTTCGCCAGTCTAGCGACCGCCTACGGCACCTCGAGCCAAACCATCCTTTGGCACTACAAGATCCCCGACAGCATCCTACTTTTCGCGAGGAGAGAGACAGTTCCCTGCGGGGTGCTAGTCTTACTGGACATTGTGGATGAAAGCACCACGCCCGAATGGCTTTCGCAGAGCGCGAAGCAGGCGGAGGAGGAGGACAAAGCAAGAAGGTTAGAGCTGTTGGCGGCGAGGGCACGGGAGCAGAGGGTGGCGATGGAGAGGGAGATGAGGTGTAAGGATCCTGTGGAGAGGGGAAAGATGGTGAGGGAACGGATGTTGAGGGAGGGGGAGGAAAGATTGAGGGATGGTCGGTTCCCCTTTCATTGTTCTTTTTGTTTACTTTCAAAGAGATTGGCTAAGGAGATGCTAACGGTGAGTTACAGTCAAAGAACGCATTCGGCTCGAGGCTCAGCGCAAAGAAATCCGCATTCATGACGCGCTGCTGCAGAGTCCGAAATGGGATCCTAGACTCGTTGCTGAGCATTGTCTGGCCTGGCTCGAGGCTAAGAGGCTGGTCCCATCAGCGCTGTTCGACCCAGCTCCGTCATCCTCTTCGAGTTCTTCCCGCCAGCCTAGCTCGGAGATCAAAGACATCGTCGGCATGCTACTCCATCGCATGGTCCTCGACGGGCAGTTTGCCGGCACAATATGCCGGATGTTAGACGTGTGGAAGGCGTGGGCTGAGAACGGGGGCATGAGGAGGTCTGATTTGGAGACGCTGGAGAAGGACCCAGTGACGTTCGCTTTTGCTGCGCTGATGGTTGCCGTGCTGAAGGACTCGTCCACAGCGCTGGAGGGTACGTTGGCGATGGATCTGCAGGAGTGCCTGCGGATGTGGAAGGTTGTGAGGTTGGGTTGAGAGAGCATGTAGTACCGTGTGTATAACCCCTCCTTTGTATGTGTACATTTCGGAAACCAAAGGGAAGAAAATGATACAATACACGGCTATATTCGCCCCCGACATTTAGTCTAACCTCTGCACCCCGAAGAAATAATTCCCAATTTTCTCGCTCCCCTCAACTACCTTCCACCCACACCCCGGCACATATACCACTCCCATCACCCTCGGCTCGCTCCAGCCCCCCTCACTCTTAAAGAGCTCCCTCAACTCTTCCACATTCACATACTTATTCCAATCATGAGTCCCCTTCGGCACAACCCCCAGTATATCCTCCGCCACCACATTCGTCACTATCCAGCTGATCCACGTCCTCGCAATGGTACTCATCACCAGCCATCCCCCATCAGGCCTCACAAACTGTGACAGCCGCCTCAAAAACTCCTTCGGATGGTCCACATGTTCCAGTACCTCAAACAAACTAACCACATCATACTTGTCCTTATCTCCCGGCACCTCCAACGTCTCAATACTTCTATTCAAATACCGCAACTTCCCCTTCAACCCCGGATCCCCCCTCATATGCTGTCTTGCCACCTCCAGAATGGTCTCGCTTGGATCGATCGCCGTTACTTCCCTCGTCGTCGGCAGCCGGGCCGCTGATTCGGCGAAGATGCCGCCACCGCAGCCGACATCGAGGTACCGGAGGGTTGGGCCGGAAGACGGGGAGGGGTAGGACGGGCCGAGACACAAGCGGATGAAGTCGTGGCGGAGGGGGTTCATTTGGTGGAGGGGGCGCGAGGGCCCGTGGGGGTCCCACCAGGAGGAGGCGAGCGAGGAGAAGTGGGAGAGTTCAGTTGCATTGACGGAGGAGGAGGACGCCGGGAAGGTTGAATGTAGGCGAGGCTTGGAAGGAGTCGATTGGGAGAGGGTTGGCGCTGGTGATGGTGATAGTGGTAGTGAGGATGTCGTCAAGGGGAGCACACCTGCTGCCGATTTGCTCGAAAAAAAAGGCCGCGCAGCGCGCAGAGCCCTTTGTGCTTGTCCTGTCGCGCGCATTGTCTTGTCTGGCAAGCCGCGCGGCGTTAATTGGGTGTTTTTGCTGACTTGGCTGTTCTCCCAAGTCTTTAATAGCAACAACGATGTTGATAGGTTCGGGGGCTCACTGGAGCTCGGCATAACTCGCACCCGACCTGCGAAAATGCCCCACCACAGCGCGCGGGGTTCTAGAACAGTTCTAGCGCGCTGTAGACCCCTGACCCACCTCAATCTCCTCGGCTGCGGGCCAAGCGCCAGGCTGCGGGGGCGAGTGAGTGGCACAGTGGCGTGGCACAGTGGGAGCCCCGCAGTTTGGGGCGCTGAAGAAGGTCAATCACTGTCCACAATTAGAGCGGGCGGCGAGCCAGGGGCGCGGCAGTCAGCGGCAGAGGAAGAATGCCCACAGCGCAGAGACCTGAGGGGATCAATCACGGGCTGCCGAGCTCGGATGGATGCTAAACCGCAGGCCGCCGCCGTCGCTCTCCCGCCAAACCGGTGCGCTGGGAGACACTGCAGATGCAGATGGAAGCGATTCGGCCGATTGATGTACCGGGACGTAGCCAAGATTAGAAATCTACAGTTGACAAAATTTTTATTTTTTTTCTTTTCCGTTTTCTTGACTTTTGTCTTTTTACTTTCCCCCTAGTCAAGACCCCGTCTCCCATCTCCGCGGTCCAGGCCAGGCCGAGCCTTCGGCATTCCAACTCCACTTGCGCCGAGCGCTCCTCGTGTTCCCGCGGTGACTCGTTTCTCTCAAAACCAACTCCGAGCCTGCATTGCTGTCCATACCTCCTCTTCAGCGATCGAGCGACACAAGCACCAGACACTCACAAAAGACGCTCTGTTGCCGTCGCGCAACCTACGCAATCGATTTCGTTCGGATCGGGATAAAAATTTCGGCCACTCTTCTCTCCTGAACCCCTCTCCCCCTTTCCTCTCCAATCTACCCCGCGACCACTCCTCTATCTACACTTCTCCCAATCACAACTACAGCCGCAACAATGCCATCTGTCCCCGAACAACTCGACCCCTCCCAATTCGATTCCATTCCCGACACCATCGCCGCATTTCGTAAGGCCCTTTCTCTCTCTCTCTCTCTCTCTCTCTCAAACCCCCTGCTAACCCCTTCCCCCCCTGCTAGGCGCCGGCAACTTCGTCGTAGTCCTCGACGACCCCCATCGCGAGAATGAAGCGGACCTTATCATCGCCGCCGACTCCGTGACCCCCGACCAAATGGCCTTCATGATCCGGCACTCGTCCGGCCTGATCTGTGCGCCGATAACCCCACAGCGCGCCTCTGAACTCGACCTCCCCCAAATGGTCTCCCACAACCAGGACCCTCGCGCCACCGCCTACACCATCTCGGTCGATGCCGAACACCCCAGCGTCACAACTGGCATCTCCGCGCATGACCGTGCGCTCGTTTGCCGGTTCCTCGCCGACCCTACCAAGACAGCGGCAGATTTCCGCCGCCCAGGACACGTCCTCCCGCTACGGGCCCGTCCGGGAGGTGTCAGACAAAGGAGGGGGCATACCGAGGCGGCGGTGGAGCTGTGCCGGCTGGCGGGTAAGCAGCCTGCAGCGGTAATCTGTGAACTTGTGGATGATGGAGAGGAGGTGCCGGGGCAGGCGGTCAGGCGGGGGTCGGGCATGTTGAGGGGGAGAAGTGCATTGAGTTTGCGAGGAAGTGGGGGCTGAAGGTGTGTACAATTGAGGAGTTGGTGAGGTATGTAGAGGAGAGGGAGGGGAAGTTGGAGGGGGTTGTTAATGGGTCCGATTAGACGTGTATGCTGAGGGTGGCGGGGGATGGGCATATAGAGCATGATTTGGGCCGAGAGGTTGTCTGACATTGTTCAACATCACATCTAGACGCATTGTAGAGCGGCACCTTGCAGAGTGGAAGAAGAGGAGGCTGGGCTGGTCGTTGCACCATGTGAGATACCTATGTCATACCGTTCTTGGGTAAACTATACTTGGGCGCATTCGGGCATGGGTTCGGCTCTTGACGGCTCTATTTGATAGAGAAAATATAGCCTTGCATATGAAGTGTGCGGTGCGTGAGGACAATATGGAAATGACTTGTTTTTTTTTATTCTGGAACAAAATTAGTCTACATGTAGAAACGGTATATCAAGAGGACGACGTCTCACAAAAAGAGAGACCGAGCTGTTCAACAACCTCAACACCTCTCACTCCCATCTTCAACATTACCTCGGCATAATCCCCATGACTTTTACAGGCCAAAAAGTAGACTAAAATCCCAAAAACACAACCCATCCACCTCCTCATATTCTCGGATACGGGGAGTCGAACCCCGGGCTAGCGAGCACCCATTATTGAGAGTCGCTGATGTTACCGCTACACCATACCCGACTATAGGATCGTGTATGTTCCGATTGGAGGTGGTTGGTTGGGGAGGGATTCGGGAGAAAGAGATTTTATTCCCTCATCCTACCTAGGGAGTGGTGTGGGGTTGAAGGGTTTTCTCAACAAGGCCTGACTCGCAAGAGGGGGACGAGTTAGGAGTCAGAGTTTTTAGGAGACATGGGGATTTGGGGGGGGGGTGGTTTTGAGGGATCACGGGACCTTGCGTTGTCACGTCATCTGGTTGGAATATTGAAAGGATGATGGAAAGCGAAGATCCAAAGCGAATATCTAAGCGGACGTAATCCCCCAGACCAAAGTTACTTGGAGTTACTTGGAATTCGCCAGTTTTTGAGCAAGTTAGGTGTTTCATCAAGGTATGGTCCATACAAACATATGCTGGGGAACTGATGAGATACATAAAAACAGATTTAATGATACTAAGAGAATCATACAGTCCGATTCAGAGGAAATATCATGAAAAGCATAGGCACGTTGGCATGGAACCGATTTGGGCTCAGTAATACTGGAATTTGCTATCATTTTGTCTACTTAGGCTAGCCTAACGGAAGACAGTTCGGGACTTAGACACTTGAAAGACCTGTGTGTCTCTGGACAAAGTATCAAAACTTCAGTTGGCTCATCAAAGCAATCACCTACAACTTTTTAAATTAGCAAAGAACGTTGACTCGGACGCGAAACAAAACAAGTAGGTGTTGGTTCAGTTTCAAGCCGTGTCACCGGCAGTGTCATCAAAGCATAGCTATGTAGACCGTCGTGAAAAAATTTGAATCATCACTACAAAGGGGAAAGAAAAGGGAGAGGAAGCGCCATGCTTACCATCTACATCTACTGATTTGGATCTTAGTGCCACGTCTTGAATCTGAACTGATAATCTGCATGGTCAGCAATTATTCTACCAGACGCTGGCCAAATGAAGGTGTCAGGGAAGATCAGACACGACAGATGTCGTCCTAGCAAAAAGCTCCGACATATGCTTGTCTTTATTTTTACGTCAAGTCATCATGTCATAGGAAGCGGGAAATCGAAAACGTATGCAACTTACCAGACCAAAATGTGGAAGATGCAAAAGTCATGGAATAATGGCTGCGGTCTGAGCAAGATCTTGAACAGTTAGCAGAGCTCAACGCCAGCGATGCAAAAAAAGTGTCCGTCAAATATTTCAGAAAAGCATGAATGGAAAAGTAAAAGGTTGTCTGCATCGGGGATCCCGAATAAGACTCGTCATCTAGGGTCATCATGAAAAATTAAAAGAAAGGAAACAATTGAAAACTTACAGATATAGCCTAAAGCCCACTCCAGTCCAGCTGGACTCTTCAAACCGTTAGCTGGATCCCAACAATATCCGCAACGAGCAGCATATAGATGTGGCTCAGTGGACGAGGTTTTCTAGGCCTGTCGCAAAGTGGCATGTCGCTCATATGTGTTCAGAGCCCAGTGCCGTTTCATCATTGAAGGTGTAAAGTGCTGAAAACAATATGCTACTCACACTAGCCAATGGTCAGCATTCTGCAGTCAAAGCAATGTGGTATCCAGAAGATGAATGGGCGGAGAATCAGATACAGCCAGCGTAGTTTTCCTCAATGAAATTCGGTCGGTAATTCCAACTTGCCGAAGCAAGAAAACGCTCATCATTTCAACTAAGAGCTGAAAATGTTGGATAGCACTAACCTTTCGATCACTGCAGGAAACCGGCTGAAAGCTCAACGGTGCCGTAATTCTGGCTGCCCGCAGCCTTCAGCCTACCAGTACAATCATGCCGTTGACTCAACTTCTGGTGCTCAAGAAAACTGCAGGCTGTTTGCTGTTAGCTCTCCGATCACTGGTAACTCGAAGAAAGCAAAAAGCACGGCGGCAACAGCGCAGTAATCAGACTGACGTGTAAATTGTTTTCATGTCAAGAGATCAAAGACTCTAGTTTGCGGTGTATAATGTCATCACAGAAGCCGACGGTTGCCGCGATGCGCACATAAGAAAGAGATGGGCAACTTACCAGAAGCTGTGCTAAGGTTGGTGAAGTAAACGGGAAAGGGAAGAAAGAAAATGCTGCAGTCAAAGGTTTTTTGAAGGCTGCCCGGCCGTGTGGGGCATGGAAAATCCCGCTTGGTGGGATCTTTTGTGGAGCTTGGCTTACTATCACGTGACGTCGCTTCTGGTTCGCGTCCGAGCCGCGCCCTTGACGCATCATCTCCATCTTTGGGGGCGTTGTTAGACACAGAGGGCTGAGACAAGAATTTGGCAAAATTTCAAAATGCCCGAAATCGCTGAAGGGAAGTACGATCTGACCTCTGTTTATGTCTCATTTTCATACTAACAAGATCAGTTGCCCGGATTGTTTACTATCTACGCCACCACTTGGTCGGCAAGACCATCAAGAAGGCGAACGCGGTAGACGACAACAATGTCTTTGGAAAAGTTGGGACGACAGGTGCTGCAGTTGCAGCCGCACTGACTGGAAAGAAGGTCTGCATTCTACCCAACTTATATGGACTTGATCTGACCCGCGTAGGTCCTCTCAGCAGGGTCGCAGGGGAAATACTTTTGGTATGCCTCTCCGCGTGAATGGATGAACCGAGCAACTGACCTTGTAAAGGCTCATCTTGGATAAGCCACCACATCCAGTGATGCATTTTGGAATGACTGGTACGGCACTATATCTCCTTCACATGAACCTTCACTGACCCCTCAGGCTGGATCCACATCCGTGGCGAGCAAACCGCCTACACCAACTATTACAAGCGCATGTCTGACGAAGACAAGGCAGCCTGGCCGCCTAAGTACTGGAAGTTCCATCTCATCACCGAGGACCCTGCAGTTGAGGTAGCCTTCACAGACCCCCGACGCTTCGGCCGCGTACGTTTGGTAGACTGTCCCGGCGACAGCATCAGGAAGTTCTCGCCGCTGGTTGAGAACGGTCCTGATCCTGTTGTTGACCCGGAAGTGTTTACGGAGGAGTATCTTCGTGATAAGATGCGTTCGCGTCATGTCCCTATCAAAGCGCTCTTGTTAGACCAGACGGTGATTAGCGGTATCGGGAACTGGGTAGCTGACGAGACACTGTACCATGCACGGTTACACCCAGAGCAGTACTGCGACGACTTTAATGACGAGCAGATCAAGCAGCTTTACGAGTCGATACGCTACGTTTGCCAGTTTGCTGTAGACAAGCTCGGTGACTCGGACCAGTTCCCCGCAGACTGGCTCTTCCACTACCGTTGGGGAAAGGGGTCAAAGGGGGCAGTGGGCCATCTGCCTAGCGGCGAGAAACTGGCTTGGCTTACGGTTGGTGGTCGAACGAGTTGTTATGTGCCGGAGCGGCAGAAGAAGAGTGGCCGCGTTGTGCCGGGCGTGAAGGAGGAGCTTGTTGACTCTGGGAAGGAAGAGAAGCCGAAAGGGGGTAGGGCGAAGAAGGTTAAGGAAGAGCCGGTTGAAGGAGCCGAAGAGCCGAAATCAAAGGGGCCAGGCAGGGGCAGAAAAGTAAAGGAGGAACCTACTAAGGATGAGGGTGAAACATTGCAGGCGAAAAAGGTAGTGCTGGTTAAGACTGTCAAAGCCGAGACTGAAAAACCAAGGGGTAGACGGAGGAAGGCTGAAGATGAGACCTCGACCACTGAGACATCGGCCTCAATGCGAACAAGAACAGCAAAGAAAACCAAGAGAGAGGAAGTAGCGGTCGAGGCAAAAGCCGACGGAAGACGTCGATCCAGCAGGTTACGGACGAAAACCACTTCGGATTATTTCGAATCTAGCTAAGCCCCATTATTCCTGATGGGAGCGGTGTGGCCGAACTTACAACATCGCTCTTCACTACTCCTTCAAGGCTCCGAATCGACGTCCGGTGGGAACGTCCCAAACAGCGCCATCATATGCCGCACATCGTTCATAGTAAGCGGCTTTCCCGCCTGAGTGACCTTGGCCAACATACGGAAGTCTAGCCTCTAGTCAACACAAATTCTATACGGAAAAGCGGGATCACCACTTACAATCAACATACTGCCCCGGCGTCGCAGTCATGTAGCACTCAGCATCCTCCGTAGAGCTGGCATTCTTAAACGTGTGAATCGCACCAGGAGGGATCGTCATCAAGTCTCCCGCCGAGGCGACAACTTCGTTGGTGGGCGTGATGAAGGCGACACGGCCTTGAAGATGTTAACTCACTGTCCAAACCCCAAACCACTACTTAAGGTTGATTACTGTCATTACTCAGGGGTATAACATCCACGCACCCTTCGTCACGAAAAATAACTCATCATGAAACCGGTGCCAATGCATTGGAGGCCCGCTCTGGCCAGCCGGTATCTCAATTAAGATGGAGCTGACACGATTTTCTGTCAGCGAGCCATCTTCATAAACCCGGATCGTGAGGGGGCCGATTCGGAGGGTCTCGGCCTTATCTAGTTTGTAGAGTTTGACGGGGACGGGACCGCGGATGGGCATGATGAGTTAGCAAGGGTGTTTGGATGGATGGATTGGCTTAGATACTACCTACTCTGGAAGAAGCTGGGAATAAGTGAGAGGTTAACAGACATGTGGGGAAATTAGGGGGAGATCAAGGGTTGGGAACTGAGATCGGACGATGACGATTGCTGCTGTGGTGTTCCTTGCGTCTTCCTGTTTCCCTTTGTCCAACTTGATCACCCAACCGACAATGTCAAGTGAATGAAGAATAAACTCAGCAACACTATCAATGCCTCTTAATGAGGAGTTCTTAAGCGTTAGATGTTGGTCAATTGGCCATCCCAAGCTATCAAACCTTCCGAGAGCACTTGGATGAGAGCTTGGACTTCGAAACTTCCTCATGAAATCATGCTTTTTTATTTTTCATAATATCAAAGTTTAACTCCATTAAATGAATATTGCAAATCATTGAACTGGCCCCCATACCACATCTCTTCAAATATCTATTACTCGTTTATCGAGATGCGAACTTGACTATCCACAACGAACACCACAGTATCGTACAAAGTCCTTACACCGTAGTTCGCACTGTCTCATTGTCGGGGCGGATGGGTCCACAGGGCTGGGTCACACTCGGCAGGATCATTTGCGCCAACGCGTCGAACGCGTCATTGTGCCCCGGTATACGCTATGTCGCACATCCCATTAAACCTTGGCAAATTTCGAACAGTAAAAGAACCTAGGAGTCACAAAAGGCTCTTCCGTCCGCTTTACAGCTAGGGCCCGACTGTTCTGGACTACATTCGGTGACACAAAGCATCACACAACTTCCTGCATCAGCCATCATTCCCCAATCCCCCAACGTCCACAATGTCTCGATTAATCCAACGCTCCCGCCGCCCCACGGCCCCCGATTCCGACGACGACATCCCCTCCGTCGCTCCCGTCCGCATGCCACGCTATGAACCGCCCTACTACCCCCTTAACGACATCTCCAAACAACAACTGGCCGACCTGGCCCGTCAAGGCTCCGACCCCACGGCCCGCCGCCTCCTCGAAAAACACCTCGCCCGCTCGACCGCCGAGCTGACCCAATCTGTTGGCGCCATCAACGAGGTCCTGTCAGCCCGCAAACGCCATCTTGGCGAGCTAGCTAAGAAGCGGCTGGCGCAGGGGGAGGAGGAGAAGGATGAGCAGGAGCTGGCGCTGGAGGAGTATATTACTAAATTGGATGGGCTAATTGCGGAGCTGACCGACCAGGCGGAGGCTGCGCTGAGGCAAGTGATTGATTATCGAGCGGAGATTGAGGATAGTAGGGTGGTTTTGGAGAGGGTATTGGCTGGGTTGGGGGAGCAAGAGGTTAGGGTTAGGGCGAGACAGGCAGAGAAAGAGAAGCAGAGAGGAGAGAAGAGAGTTAAGAGGGAGGGGGGGGAGCAGAGGAGGAGACAGAGGGGGCCTGGCGGGGGTGATGATGAGGGGGAAGAAGAGGCTGAGGGAGAGGAAGAGGAGGAGGAGGAGGAGGAGGAGGAGGAGGAGGAGGAGGAGATACAGGCTGAGAAAGAGCAGCTTGAGCCTCTGCCGGGAGTCAAGGAGTTGCTTGAGGCTGCCCGAAAGGCGAAGATGGAGGAGTACGAGTCGCAGAGTGCGTACCAGAAGTATGCCATACACAACGACTACATTGAGTTTAAGCGGACGTGGCATGAGGCGATGCATGAGGATGACCAGGTCCCGTTGCCGGATCCGACTACTTGGTTTGATGAGCACGGTCGTCCGGTCAAGGATGCTGCAGTCGGAGATGAGGATCTCATTATCGAGAGGGAGATCATCGATCTTAAGTGTCCGCTGTCCTTACAGATTATGAAGGATCCTTATAGCAATCATAAGTGCAAACATACTTTTGAGAAGTCGGCTATTATGGAGTTTATAAGGAGTAATGGCGGCCGGGCAAAATGTCCGGTTTGCTCCAAGGTATGTGAAGGTGGAGATCCTTGTTTACGCTTGTGCATTGCTGACATACATTGCAGGAATTACGTATCGCAGACCTCTATCCTGACGAGGTCATGAAGAGAAAGGTCCAGCGTGCAGAACAGCGGGCTCGCAGAGGCAAAGAGCCGGCCACTTCTGATGTTGAAGATGACGAGGCCGAGGATGCTAGTCTAATCGTCGGCCGGTCTGTTAACGTCAAGAAGGAGAGGAGTGGGCGGCGTCCGCTGGAAGATATTGAGGTTGACGACTAGTCTTAGGCCAGCAGCAGTCTCCCGGCAGGGGTATCTGTAATTTACTCGTTGTACAAAAGTCTTCAAGGCCTTGCCTTGCTTTTGTGCCACATCCAACTGCGCCACCGTAGCTGCGCATGAAGCTTGAGGTGCATAATTAGATGTCATTCTTGACCCTAGGTAACAAAGCAGGCTAGAACGCCCAGCAAAGTCCAATTTGGAGAAATGCTGTGCGCATGGAGCAACTGAAAGCAACATTGATAATTGTAACACATATCAACTGCCAAGTTCTACCCATATAAGATTTAAGACGGTGAGACAGAAATTGCATGACTCTATTCATTCTCTCGTTTCGCAACTTTCAGTGTCTTTTTGTCTTCCTATAAGGCTGTTTATGAAACATCAAGCATCACGATCTAGCCGTTAAGTGCTCGTAGGACTCAGTGTCTCGACTTCACTGCCGTGCTAACGTACAGCCCAGTGCGTTGATGGTAGCCCAAGTCATACAACGGGAATGGCTCCATATAAGCCGACGTCGTTGTTGTTGTAGCCATAGCGTGGTATGAAGTGGCTGAGCTGACCGCTGTGGTAATTGTCATTGAAGGCTCCGGAAATGCCCGAGAGTAATATGAGCTGTGGTAGGTGTTAACAATTTCTATTGTTCACCAAATATTTTGGGCGTAACAGTGAGTGTAGAGTTGCTAGTGGTGTAAGCGTGAGCGCGGGTGTGAGTGTGAGCATGTCCCACCTTCATGGGAGATGAGTGGCTGAGGATGTTCAGGCAGAAGGTGTGTAGCCAGAGGATGATTCATGCTCTCAGAGATAACAGGGGACCGGGGGTGTGTGGAGAGGTCCATCTCTCTGAAAGGGCTGCTACGAACCTCGTCTGAAGCCCCGTTGTGGGAGGTGATGGATGTTCCTGATGTGCCTGTAGCATTGGATCTTCATATTCCACCTCTCCATCCCCGTAGTATCCTCCAGTTGCCGACCCAAGCATCCTGTACGGATACCTGCCCTCCGGGTCTTCCCTTGCATACAACTGAAGGTAGGTAGAGTCACAAATGCCGCCATTGGCATATTCGAAGGACAGCTCCCTTGTCTCTTCTATTGACATGAAACTTTCGACTGGTGGCAGAGGCGATGGAAGTGGCCGGCTCGCCGCCATTGATGTGGTTGTTGTGGTCATGGAATCTGGAATAGTCATCGAAGAATCGCTGAAAGCATGGGACGGCGAATGAGACTTTGAGGATATGATTTCGCGGGACTGACGGCGTGTGTACTTGTAAACTTTCCATTTGTCGAAGCGCGAACGATAGGCACGAATCCTGTGCGAGAGCAAATGTTAACAACAGAGACTGGCTAAGGCAATTTCATGAGGCTGGAGAATTGTGACTTCGCTCTTGGCTCTTGGTAACTCTCTGTTATTCTCCCCTTCTCACATGCTCATTCATATTTACCCATCTACTTGGAATAATTTTTCTTTCATTCAACTGCTTTTAGTTGGATTTCACCTTTAATGTCTTAATGGCCCCTTAACTGTGCTGGGTCTGAGGAAGGGAGGTTATCAGAGACTCGAGTTATGCAGGTAGTTACATACGAGGCCTTGAAGCCATGTTCCTCCTCCATGAAACGTTGGACCTCATGTAAAGGCTTGTTCTGCTCTTTGTATAAGCTCAGAATGATATGCCTATACTCGTCCCACTGCTTCGTCATGGTGGTCGAACTGGCGTTGGACGTGGTGCTGTTGGCGCCAGGATTATGCTTGGTGATCTGGGAGTTGAATCCAAAGGTTTTGATATCCTAAGCATTGAAGCAACTGAAAAACAGTAGTGGATATAGCTGTGGATGGCCATCATATAGTTCATTGAGTTGGTTATTTATACTTTAACTTGTCAGGATGCTACTTCATACTCGTTGCCCTATCTTCTCTCTGCCGGTTTACAGGCTTCTAGTCCATGTTGACAATCACAATGCCCCGAAGCTAATTCAGATGCTTGCATAACAGGACATAATTGAGGCGCCCGATGTGAAGCAGTCTGTTAGGGTGAATGCATGAAAACAGTAGAGTTCACCAAGTAATTGCAAGGCTGAACGAGGCGGGTGTCGATCGAGATGCTGAACATCACGGACATACATAGGACGCAACTGCCATGGCACTAGAACGAAGCATGTACTTTGCGTTGAAATCTTTACTTCGTTGCAAAGAGAATTTAGAGGCTATGACTTGGAAGAAGGTAAGTAACACAACTTTGTCACGGAGGGGCGAGCTGAGCTGCAGGACACATAACGTTGGACTTGTGGCCAGGCCAAACCCTCTGTCTGCGCCTTGTGATTTTTCTGAAATCAGACCTGTCATCACGAAAAAAACCCTTGTACTGATTGGAACCGGTTAATGTTTCACACAGGAACCTTTTGAAGCTAAAGCCTATAGTGGCTGGATGCTTCCAATAGCCCTGACAAAACAAAAGCCAACCAAAGCGCGCAGTCATAGCCTTGCCTCATGACCTTCTCTTGAGTTTCCCACCACTCAACAGCCCTATTTGCCACGAATTATAAATAGTGGTCAGGCAAGACAAGGCCTGAAGGATTGCCACGTCTACGCAACCGCAGGATGCCTCGGATAGCTTAAAGGCTCAAACCTATTCATAATAACCATCGGAATGCTCTCAGTTACACCAACACTACTCATAACCCTTTTCAGAGCCGGTCAACAGTTCAGAAAATTGACGTGTCTGAACGGAAATTGCGTCAGAGGGAAAGAGTGGAAGGCCCTAAGTAGAGTTCCATTTTGGTAATCCTACGACGAGATACAACTTAGGCTTCAACAATTCATAACTTTGTAAGCTTTCAGGGCTTTCCAGATCTGTTGGCCTCATTAAGAGCCACAGCTGTGTGTCTCTATGACATGATGAAAATCTTGGAAACCAGGTGAAAAAAACTTTTTCTGGGATTTTTGGGTTATTCAGAAGGGTAAGAGAGGTGTTTGGCAACTTCTGCTTGGATGGTTTTCATTGTCTTGTTTCTTGTTAGCTGAGCGCTTTGGCTTGGTCAGGAGGCTGTTTGGGCTGTTTCATTCTAAACTGTAACTCACATGGCGAAGAAGGGAGGAAAAGAAAGGACCGAGTAGAGCAATGGAGTCCTCTCACTGAAAGCTAGGCCCGGTCAGCCGAGCACTTTCCTTCAGCAGAATTTCGCTTGCATTTCCGCTAATGTGTTCGACTGTTAATTGGGTGCTGACCATGTTGTGTAACCTGATATGTGTTGGTATATTCCGAAAACCCAAAAAAATCATGTGGGATGAAGGGAGGGAGAAGTTATGTTGCGCAATCAGGCAGGTCTCGGCAAGATATAGCTGTTAGCATCGCGAGTTGCAAGTGCTAACACTGTCAACTTGAATATGGGCTTTCTTCGACAGTTTTAACACTATTCTCATCAAAGTTATGTTCCCATCACAGATCCATTTATTTAGGCAAAACATAAAACTTGAAGTTATCCAAGTTGAAAAAACCTGATATATGGGGGTTGCACAGATCTTGGGCGTTTAACAAATGATTTAACAGGAGGGCAAATGTTGGTGATTCACCAATCATTGCAAAGGCCATACTTGCTAGACACACACCTTGCTGATGCTCTGAACTTACCTAATCATCAACCTCAATTTGCTTCTATCACCACTAAGGCACATACACCAAAAGAAAACACCGACTGCGACAGTGAAAGACGGCGAATTATGGAAACTCGGCTGGCGGCAAGAGAAGCATGTTAACCGCTATGCAGAAGGCAACTGCTCAAGGCTATGCTCACGAGGTTGTGTAGATGGTATGGCCCAATACTTGCGGGCAACATTTGTCCTTCCCGGCTTAGCGGCAGTCGGGGGTAACCTCACATTCTGCATTACCTTGAGCAGGTGGTGGCCTTTTCCCAGCTTAGCGTCGGGTACGACACCCAGAGCCAGACCAGCTGCACGGAGCCAAAAAAGGAGATGGAAGGAGATGTCTGGATTGGGGTAGGCCTAGCTGGTGACTGGGCCTAGATGGAGACCTGAGGTCTCGTGTCACCAATAGGTTAGTGTTCACAATCGTTCAGGCAGATATAAGAAGGACTCACTCAAACAACTGATGTAGTTAACTCCAAGTTTCCAGCCCCGGTGCGGATTGTGTCCCTATCATAACAGATAAAGGGCGGTTGAGCGGGTCGACATGAGGACTCTTCACGTCGACTAGCACCTAATTCGTGGAATGAGAGCAATTGCCATTGACACTATAAGAAACGTTTTGATGAGGCTGATGTCAATGCTGAGGGTATGGACTCAGCACCGTGCGTGGCATTGTCCCAGCGGCCAGCAACTAAGATGATGCATGACACAGCACAACGGCGCTTGTCCGAGATCACGCTACACAACTATCTTACTTGCCCGCCGGACAAAGATCAATGAACCAACAGGCCCACATAAGTGAGTCCCTCATGGATCACCAAAACAACTGCAAGACACGCTGCATGTTACAAATATGTCGCACATCTTGCAGGAAACCGTCACGTGGAGTTGGCTTGGATGGAAGCAAGGAATGGATCCATGGGGATGGAAAAGATGCTGAGAACCAGTTGGTTCGATGATGACGTAAGCGGCACATAGTCAACTATGGTTTACATCACAACACCGCAAGGCGGCAATCTGCTCATATATTGAGCATAACTTCTCGAATTTCCATAGGAGCCTAGATACTGAAGAATCGAATCTCCAGCCACACATAACCGGGTATCCCCAAACCACCAGTCAAACTACCGAGGACGATTCATTTCTTCCAGGAAGGTATGCATGCAGGGAGGAATTATTCTTTCCAGGTTAATCCAAGAGACAGTTGTTACCAGAATTAGCCAGAATTAGGTTTAAGCCTTGGTATCAGCAACCTTCTCGGCCGGCGCAGCGGCAGCAGCCGCAGCCTCCTTCTCCTCCACGGGAGCCGACTCGGGAGCCACAGTGGTAATCCCACTCTCCTGGGGCTCCGGCTCAGGCTTCTTTTCCTCAGCCGGGGCCGGGGCCGGCGCGGCAACAGCAACAACCGGCTTAGGCTTCTCCTCAGCAGTCGGCGCCGGGGCAGTAGCCTCGACAACCGTCTGGGCCGTGGCCGCCTTCCTCAGCGCCTCATACCACTTCTCGGCTTCCGACGGCGAGTGCGCTTTGAAGTTGAGCTCGGTAGTGCCAGCTAGCTTGCCGCCCATGTGGCCAGACTTATCCTTGCCCTTGACGGTGAACTTTTCGCCCTGAGGGGTCGAGAGTACGGCATCGGGCAGGTAGATGGATAGCTCAGGGACGGGATCGCGGCGATGGAAGTCGTCGTCCTTGAACTCATGCAGGAAGCGAGAGGGCGTGACGACGTAGTAGCTGGTCTGGTAGCCGAAGGAGAGCTTGTTACGGGACTTGCGCTCGAGGGAGCCCTCGATTAGGGGCTTGGTAGACGGGTGGTTCATGTTGGGGAAGGTGATGGCCTCGACGGTGCGGGGCGGCTCGTTGGGGTCAGCCAGCTTGTCGCCGGCGCGTTTGACGAATGCGTTCCACTCGAAGTTGGGCGGGATGCGCTGGGCAGCACCGAGCATGTCGGCGAAGAGGGCCTGCGTCTTAAGGGCCTGGCCGCCGGCGAAGGAGTTGAAGGTCTCCATGGCCTGGTGCAGCACCTCGACGACGTGCTTCTCAAAGGTCTCGAAGTTGTTCTGCACAGAGATCAGATCGTTGTGGGCGTTGTTCTCTTCGATGACCTGCTTGCTCAGGCGGTGCAGAACGCCGCGCTGAACGACGTACGGGTCCTCGGTCGGGCCGAGCTTGCCGCCGGTGGCCTCGAAGGCGGCAGTCTGCTGGCCGAGCAACTCGATCTGCTTCTGGGTCGTGTTGCGCGCCTTCTCGACCTCCTTGGCAGCCTTCTCGGCACCGTGGGCTAGCTCCTTGGCCTTGTGCTTGATCTCCTTATGCAAGCGCTCCACGATCGGCAGAGCGGTGCCCTTAATGTTCTTTTCTGTCTCGAGGTTCGAGTTAATCAGCGCCTGGGTGTTGACACGCATGTTCTCGAAGAAGCCGGCGACGCCGCCCAGGCTTTGGTCGAAGTGGTCACCCTCTCTAAGGGGCTTAGAGATGGTCTGCATAGGGAGGTCAGTAAGCGTCCCCTTTAGCCGCAACCTAACTGCAGTTTGAAAAAAAAATATCATACCTTCAAAACTCTCTCATACTCCTTCGCCTGGGCCTTGTGAAGCTTCTCAACAGCCTCGAAGTACTCCTCGAGGTAGATGACGGCATGCTTCCATGCCTGCAAGCGCTCAGCCAAGAGGCCGGCAGTCTATTATGATGTCAGAGCCACCACTCCTCAATTCTCGTCCCTACCATCGGAACATACAGTATTGGGGTCAGTCTCCGGAACGGCCTCGTCGCTTGCGACACTGACAAGCGTCGACTGCCTAGTCGTCGCTGTTGGCGAGACGGGCGAGACAGGAGTCTCTGTTGGTTGCGATGCCATCTTTGCTGGTTCTGTAGTTGCAGCAGCTGGTGTTGGTGCTGGTGCTGGTGTAGCTGTTGTGCTTGTAGGTGCTGCAGGTGCTTCGGTGGCTGCTCCGTCGGTCGACTTGCTGCTATCCTTCTCCTTCTCTTTGTCCTTGCGGATGGTTGAAAACCTTTTCAGCATGGCGTGAGTTAAAAGGCGTGTCTCTCAACAAAGCTACAATGTAAAATGATATTACAAAAACAATGCTTTGTCCAAAGTGCGGAAATACCTCTCGTTCAGGAGAAAGAGTCAAAAGACGGGGGCTCCAAGCTCAAATAACCAGGCCGACGACCAAAGGAAATAAAGCGGCGGGAAAGACCAGTCTCGACCCAAGTTCGTCCCGTCCCAGTCTAGCGTGGCGTCTGATCTTTTCAGCCAGCGGCAGTCGCTTAACTTCCAAACGCAGCCTCGATTGGCTCAAATCGACAGGAGAAAAAGGACAACTTCCCGACTATTGGACAACTGCTGCACACGTGCGGCAGCACAGCAAAACTCCTTCAGCTCGCCCAGTGCCCCAGAACGCTACTCTCTTTTCTTTTTTAAAGACACCCAACGACCTACCAAACTGCCAGGTCGACAATCTCCTGTTCACCAGCACATCCATCACCGGCTCTCCCAAGGGTTCCCCTCTGTTGAACCCCTCCGCCTGGCCAGACAACTCGACCATCCGTCCCACCAAGAGTGGGGTCTTCGCCAGCACCTCGCAACGAATTGATGCCGAGCCCCTAGCGGACCCCCCTCATGCTCAAGATTTACGCTCTCTGATTGGTCAACTAAGTGTGGGTATGACGTCGACACATCCACCCCGATCTCGGTCGGTCACGCCGGTGGGGCAGTTCAAGACCCTGGTCCAGCTGGAGCGAGCTACTGGAGGGTTCGCGATAAAAAAAGTTCTTTAATCTTGGGTTGCTCCAGCAGTGGTGTTGTTTGCAGCGCATTACCACATCATCTAAACTTTTAAGAGTTGAATCGGCGAGTCAACTTAAATCAGGATCGACAAGAACAATAAAGGCCTTGACTTGGGTTGCCTTACAAAAGGTTGAATGGTTTGAATGACACGTTCAAGCGGTGTCTAGGGTCCTCCACGCAATGACGTCGATCTGGCTATCTCCCGTGCAAGGGTCTTGAGGAGTCCTGGTGCTGGCGGTGCAATAGTATCACCGACTTCACCGCTTCCATCTGGTGTTTGTTGGTATCGACAGCCCATGTTCGCAAACCTTATTTTAAAACCATGACTGCATATGAATCGGTATCAACCGACTTAAGTGTAAGAAGAAAAGAGTGAAAGTCGGCTATAAAGACCGGAGAATTACCAACCGATGCTGCGGGACTGGCAACTTTGAATCAAATATCAAGGGCCAAAGCCGCTAGTCAATTCAAATCAAATCCGTAATGCTAGGTCTATAGCAGCTAGTATTATTAGGATTGTATTGGCGATCATAGGTATGCAGTAACAATCGTGGTTCGATCTCATATAATTGGGGGTATCAAAGTAATAATAACCATAGGATAAAACAGCAACCGCGTCCGTCTAGCCCATCCATCCATCCCTTCATTCCATCCGATCATAAAGTAACCCATTTCCATCCTAAGCGCCGTGACTCCTTCATAATCTCTGCATCTCTCCTATTAATCAATAACGAGGAAGAGACGACAGCTAATGCAATCCAAAGAATAGCAATAAGTAAAACAGTAGAGTTGCCAACACATTCCATCGCAACAACAGCCCAGCCTAATGCGATCGCCGTCGTGGACACTGAAGTGGCTCCTATGCCAGGCGCTCCCGAGCCTGCAGGAGGTGCAATCGCCGCGACTCGTCACCGTCCCCGGATAGGTGCAGCAGAGTCGGAAACCGGAACGGCAGCGACAACTGTCGTCTGTGCGACACGGTCTGGGTCATGCGGGACTCCGCTGACGGAGACCAGCTCAGAGGCGGCTGCTGCTCCTGTTGCTGCTGTTCGCAAGCAACGGGAGTCTGCGCGGTAGACTGAGTGGGCGCGGGTCGGACCTCGGCTTCGGCAATGGGGTCAAGCGGATCAGTAATCGGCGACGTGACGGCAGTGTGGAGCTGCGGCGACGCTGGCGTGCTGACAGCGGTTTGGTAGTCTGGCGGCGCGCAATCCGACGAGCTCGTGAGTCGAGCCGGAGTCCGAATCGCTGTCTGGTAACTCGGGACCTTGGACAACTCTGCGATTTCAGGAAATTCGAGATGCTCTGGCGTGGCAGAACCCGGTGTGTGATGCTCTGCGCTGGGGTGTCTCGTGAGCGGCGCAGATCCCGGTGGGGTACTATGACGAGACATCCCGCCAGCTGCCGACAAGTTCGAGTTCCACGAGCTGTTGCGATGGCGTTGCTCCAGCGACATGCTCTGTAACCTAGACGTAAGCAGCGCAGGGGAGATGGCTGTGCCGTGGAACACGGCAGCCAAGTTCTCGGTCGAGGGCGTTCTCGAATGGCCGTGCAGCGGGCTGTTGATACCAGAGAGACAGCCAGTGGGCGTGTGCAGCGGCACTGGCTCGATATCCTCGTAAAGTTGGTCAAGCATATGCTCGCTGTAGCTCGGCGGCGCCATAGATTCGGCCTGGTTCGAGACATGCGCCAGAGGAAGCTGGCGGACCAGATTGCCGTGCTCATCGAGTGGCATATTGGGGGAGATGAAGATGGTCACAGGGAGTGTTGCGCGCAGCTCCGAGATGTGACCGTCGGGGTTGTGCAGCTCAACAACCACCTTCAGTTTGTGCCGGATCTTGATGCCCCTGGCGTTGACATCCTGCAGGCATTTGCTCAGCTTCTTAGGTAGGGGCAAATGTGTGTTGACGACCCAGCCTTCCTGGCCGTTCTCGTCAATCATATCCCTCCAATACTTCTCCCGTGTGACCTTAATAATCCACCTATCGACCTCCCTCTCCTTCTTGTGTTCACGAACCGCATGACCGTTTGTCGTGTGCAGGATGATATCGTGAACTTCGATTAGCCGGATGGTGATTTCGCCGAGCTCAAGACCCTTGAGCAAAGGTGTGAAGCGCATTTCCATGGGGATGGAGCTGCCGAAGACGACCGCCTTCTGGGGCGCCACGATGGAGTACTCGATCTTGTTCGGCCAGATGTTCTCGACGCTCATAGCGTGTAGGAACTCGAGGGTCGAGGCTTCGAGGGTTCGGATAATGCGCAACTGTTTGTAAGCGTGAATATCGTGCATGAGCTTGCCGCGCGCAATCGTCGCTTTGAGCCTATACGTAACACTGGCTTCGCGCATGCCTTCGATACTCTCGGTCGTATCGCCGTTCAGGAGGAGCGAGAAGGGCCATTCGTAGTTACCCGGCGGTAGCGTGAGGCCCTTGCTCTGGACCGCAGAGCCATCGCTGTTCGAATCGACAGAGCCGACGCCGACGAAGGGTTGCCAGCGATGTTGGAAGAAGATCACGGTCTTGTCGATCTTCTGAGAAGAAATGCCTGTGGAGGTTACTTTTGCATCCGTCCAGCTAGGGCCCCGTCAGCTCTTCCTCAGTGACAATGCATACCTTGAAGCTTCCGCCTCGAGACATACCCATAATGCGCCGTCCCTGTCAACTTCAGGTGTATGTCCTCGACTTTGAGCGGAGCAGAAAGGCAGAGCACAACCGTGCCCTGGAGAAGTTGGCCCGAGGCCTCATGATCGGCACCCCGGAAGACAATGAAGTCGTTGTCGAGTCTGAATTTTGGTCACGGGTTGAGTCAGAACCTTACTCTCTTGAGTTTCGAGGCCGGTGGAACTACTCACCGTATCTCGAAGAGAGTACAGGCATGTTTCCCAATCACCGCAGTGAAGGGCTTGAAGGACGGCATGGCCTTGTAGATGGAAGATTACTCTAGGTGTAAGGACGATACACGGAGGTTGTGGGGATAGCTGTAGGTGACAATGGACGAAGAACACAGTCTGTAGCGTGTGGGAGATCCTAGGAATGATGGGACATATGGCGCGGAGCTATGTAGGGCTGGGAGCAGTAGAATGAAGTGGGATAATCAAGTGATGTCCGCCAGAAGGAGGGTGGGGAGACAAAGGCCTTTTTCTCCTAGCGACACCATGGGAAGAAAGTGAACATTTGGATGGAACCTGTCAAGTGTCATCCAAGGCGTGGCGTGGGAGCCCAGGAGGGGACCACCGACCCAGCGCATCCAGCGACAAGGTAAGCGAGACCCAGACCATGCATCGTCCTGCAGCGAATAAATCGGACGAGCCTTGATCGCAGGGATTTGCTGGGAACCGCCGCCATTTGACAGCAGCGAAAAAAAAAAAATATTGATACCGATACCTCCCGCTCGGTACTTCCGGTGTTCCTGGCCCACTAGTATTACCAAAGTACCGCTGCAGTAACCTGTGGTGTAACACCTCAGCTCATCGCGAGCCCCGCACCTGCGCCTCGAAGATATGTTTCAGCAGTGCCCATAACACTCTTTGCAGCTCAGCTTTCAGCGTGATGCAAGATGAGAAATCATGTTTTCAGCTACAACACACGTCATAGGAAAGGACGGGCACCACGTGTGTTGGGCAAGCCGAGAAGGCTGGCTGAAGCAGAAAGACCCGTGAGAGTGACAGGTGGGAGAGCCGAACAGCAGGATGTCACAAGCTTCGATTTGTCCACATTGACGTCTTGGCGCGCTTGTCAGCAGAAAAGTGGGGGGTTAAGCCAAGCCGAAACGGGAGACAAAAAAAAGAGCAGAAAAAATACGTTTGGGCGGTGGGGAACGGGGGCTGCGGTACGACCTTTCTGCACTACGAGCGTGGGATGCCAGCACAACGGGCCGCTGTTGCTGGGATTCAGGCCAAGTAGCCCTTTGGGTTCCACAACACCATCTCACACTCCGATTGGTCAATTTCCCTTCCCAGGCCTCCAGGCGTGCTGCTGTGCCCGTTGTAAGGCGACACAATCAGGCACCATTACCTCACAACCATCACCAACTGCACCGCCGCAAGAAGTCTCAGGAATGGAGGGAAATTTGCTGTGCGGCACGAAAATCTGAGTTTTGAGAGATTTGAACAGGCAGCAAGCGATAAACACGCCAATGCCATGCTCCTGCATACAGCGCGAGTTTCATCTCGAGGCGATGATGGCCTGGATCCAGGGCTCCAGAGTGATCTATGTCTTCAGCGTACGGTGAGGCCCTGCACGGGTCTGGGCTGATTTTTGACTCTTCCCTAGACCACTGTGCGCGATGCGGCCCGGGCAGTGGCCGAGCCGGGTCCACAGCTTTGGGACATCCACTACGCTAACGGGGAGTGTTATCAATGACGCATCCTCATCGCATTCCTCATCAGAACCTTCGATATAAAGCATGCTGACGACGGCGATAGCCCCTGAGCAAACAGTTGACAACGCTCCCAGTTATGATCGATGCCATTTTCCTGGACGGCAACATCAGGAAGAAAGTAATACAACCTTAGATGGAGGTAATCTGGGCATCATTCGACATGATCTGTCTCCCCAGACCCCTAATCTTCAGTCATCTGGATGAAACAACATTGTCGCCCTGGGGTGTCCAGGGAGAAACTGGGAATGACAACACCCCTCTCACAGACCCCTCCGACCCAGCCAGATCGAGCCAGACCAGCCTCAATGACCCTCTGTGACTACATCAGTTCTCATCGATGCATCAATTTGATTGAATCCATCCCACCTTAAGCATGCTGCTGCCGATAGTGGGAATCCTCAAGTGGGACCCATCCGATAATGCTGCGTCTCGCCATTGATACCGGTAACAGCTCCACAGCCAGCATCCATGATCGGCCCTAAAGCGCAAACGATCTTGGCTTGTTAGCAAGCAAGCAAGCTTTTCTGCATCGCGAGCTTGTTTTGTGATGGGAGGTGCCCTCGGTTTCCGTGATGTGACGTCTGCAATCTCACAAACGAGCCTCTCGAATCTACAGGATGCGACACGTGAATGCGACACTACATAGTGTGTCAGCAACCAGGAAAAGAAGAATCTGTCCAGCGTTGTGAGACAGCGTCGATTCCGTTCTCTAGCGATCGGGATAAGGCTTGGCGATGCGATTGGACCGCCGCGCCCTCGAATCTCGGCCCGTTGTTCGATGGATCAATGGATCATCTGCGAGAAAAAAAAATGCTACCCCTCGCCCCTATCTCAACAATCTTCAAGGTGGGTTTTTGACTCACACCGCAACACGGCAGACTGCCGGATACCTTGACATTTTTACGCCGATTGGGCCTAACCGGCGTCAATGGTGAAGCACGGTGAGGGCATTGCGCCATCGCTGCGGCAAAAACGATCCCAGTCGCCAAGTTTGACTTCGAAAAAGTCTCGGCCGTTCTGTTTGTATCCGTTGGATTCCTTGGCATGTGACGGCGGGTTTGCTCGTAGCGGGAGCTCTCTGAGCCGCACAAACGTCAACCGGGATATGGGCGCCGAGGGGGCTTCGGAAGCGACCCGGTGACTACCTTCCATGTTCCATGATAGCCTCGGGTCAGGACGGTAGTTACGTACTACAACCTACTTAGGTACTTGCCCTACATTGCATTGTAACATTGCACGTGTGTTTTGCTCGTCGCCGTTATGAATGGACTTCTGTCTCGCTATGTCATACCACCTGCTGTCACACGCCCCGGCCGCGGGTACGACATCAATTGTACAAAACAGGGCTTCAAAAGCAAACATTCCCGTGTCAAAAAGCAAAGAAACAACAGGGAGGAGAAGGTCATACGCCGCTTGCAGATATTATCATACAAGCTGACGGCAGCTCACCATACATGCCAACTTTTTGAAGCCTGAGGCTGCCATAAGCAAAACAAAGGACACATCCACCACATGTATGAATCAGCCGACCTATGATGTGATGATACTATCTACGGATACCTACCCGCGCCTGGCAAGGCGGTCGCCGCCACACCCGCCCTATTTTCCTTCGCTGCAGGGCGGCAAACATGCAGTGAGCTTGGCTCACTGCATGATAAAATACCCCCCCCCCTCTTGGGCAAGTTGACAGGGCGAATATTGTTTGTCTCAGTTCGGCATCAACGCCCGGCGGTGTCCCTGGACCAAAGATGTTGTCCTTACAACTTCATAAATGCTCATATCGAGGCCTCTCGGGAGTTTTAGGGATGGCTAATTTGCTAGTGTGGTCTCGAGTCGAGACGATGTCGTCATAAGCCGCCTTTCATCCGTTCCAATCTTTTTAATTTTCCACTCTCAGCAGCGGCGGCGGCAGCAGCAGCAGCAGCAGCAAGCATATGATAATTTTTCCTGCTCTTTGACCTTGGACTTCATCAAAAGCTCCATTGCAATCACAGGCTGATCAGGGAGTGGAAAACCTTACAAAGCGGCGCTAACCTTGGCGCCAGCAACTTTCTCCACCACCCGACCCGAGTGGGTTCCGGTAAGATCATGCCACCCCTGCTTTCGAGGAAAAACAGTGAACCCGGAAGCCGAGAGAGTGGGGGTCATCATGAGCTACATCGGGCGGGTAAACGAAGTGGGATCCATTTTTGGGAATTTTTCCAACAACCAACCTCCTGTCGCTGGCGGCACGGGAACCAATTGTCGATCCCGGAGCTGCATCCGTCCAAGCGTTTTGGTCTGCCGGGCGGTTGAGCCGCAGGACAAAAACAACCGAACGTTGCCGAGGGTACGGAAGGAAGTACGTATCCTGTTGCAAGCAAATTCCAGAATCCGGGACATGGGGGGAACGCCTGGGAAACACAATAAGAATCGCATCACTAGGTACCCAGAGTGAGGTACCTAGATTGATGTACACTGATGTAGAGAATAACCGGAAAAAGAGAAGCTTCTTGGCGTAACTATTCAACTCAAAACGGTAAGGATATCGATGAGTAATCCTATACTCGGAGAGGGGCTTCTTGCGAGAAGTTCTTCAAAACAAAGTTGTACAGACGCATTTTTTTCCCGATAGGATCACAAAAGTCACAAAACCGAGACTACCCTAAAAGCAGCGTTGAGTAATCCAAAAAGCATTGACACGATTATCCAACTAAGCCTCAGTATGTCCTCCCACTTCGGGTGTCAGCTCGGAGGGTCTGCTCCAGGTCCGTATGTGTCCTGCAGTGCCTGTCAACATCACAACCCCGGGACGTGAGGAGCCTGATAAAAAAAAAAAAAACTTACCTGACTTGCAACTGGTCATGATTGCATCTGGCGTGAAGCCGATCCAAGACAGCGGGTCGTCGTCGATAACCTTACTCTATACAAGCGGTTAGTTCATGGATGAGACTACCAATATCATGGAGAAGCATCAAAGAATCGAAGCAAGCCAAGGGGATATGACGTACTAAAACAGGAGGCAACATGGCCGTCGCAGCGCGGGACTGGACAGGGTGCACCAGTACCTCCCTTTTTTTCGCTTTCGAATCATCGCCGGCTCCCGCAGGCGCACTTGCATTCGCGGTATCAGGGCGCGACATCGAAGACATGGTCGAGTCAGACCTGACCCTACTCCCCTGGACCCCTTCACCACCGTTGCTGGTGACTGCCCCAGACTCGGGGGCGAAGGAGTTGCTGGCGCCACGCTGACGGACGGATGCCTACACACAACAATCAGCACCATGGTTATCGCCTTGGGGGTAGACAAAGGGGGAGAGAAGGGGGGGGGGGAGGGGGGAAAGCGAGGGGGGACGGAAAGAAGACATACCGCCCTGGGCCGGTTCAACATCCCCACGCTAAAATCCCACAAACAGATCCTGCAATCCTCGCCGACACTGCCAAAGCGATAGTTCTTGTCATCGCATCGCCACGGGTCGAACGCCACAGAGGTCACCCAGGAGTGGTGGCCCTGGCAGCGGGCTACCAACCCCCCGGGGACGGCCGAGCTGCTCCCATTGAGGGTATCGGTCTCGGCGGCGGCGGCGTTAGTGCCGTTGGGACTGACATCGGAGGTTGAGACGTTCGCCGTGGAGCCGCTGGTCAAGCCGCGCTGAGGACGAGGAGAGGATGCTTCAGAGGGACACCAGATCGAGAGGAGATCGTCTTGTCCGCCTGTGACGATGTACTTGCCGTCGGGGGACCAGCAGACGCAGGTGAAGCCGCTGTAGTAGGAGTAGAAGATGTGTAGAAGTCTGGGAGGGGTTAGTTAACCGATTCAACGGCAACGATACAGAGGAGGGAAGGACGTACTCCTCGCGGAGGTAATCTATCACCCTGAGGCTACCATCTTCCGACACAACAGCCAGATGACGACAATCAGGAGAGAAGGCGAAGGCGTTGATCCGGTGATTCGACAACTTCCAAACTGCGACGGGGTTCGTCTTCTGGTTCTTGGAGTTGACTGATTTAAGGACGTGCATCTGCTTGGAGTAGTTGACCCGGCTCGTCCGGACAGTCTCAACACTAGGTCTGCCGCCGGACACAGCATCATCTTCGGAAACGAAGGCCGCATCTTCCTTCTCTTTGTCATACACCACGAGTGAGCCGTCCCAATGAGCGGCAAGGAAGAGGTTCTCTGAGCCGGGGATCCACTTGATCTCGGAGACGGGGGTGCGGTTGATGATGCCCTATGAGGGTAAGCAAGGGTTCATAGTGGACTCATGGAAGGGTCTCAATACTGACATTCTTGTTGAGCCGCGTGTATCGTTGTGAAATGGGCTCCCACCAGATGATCTCGCCCGTGGAAAAGCCCATGACCATATCGATATGCGACTGGCTCTTGGTAATCTTGTTCACATCATGACACAGGCAGTGCGCCCTTGTCAATAAGATCTTGGTGAGATATTCTGCCTATTCCCCAAACAGTCAGCATCTCAACCCTGCCGCCTTGCCTTCTTTCGCTCAACCACACCGGAATATCATACCTTAATAGCCGACGACAAATCCAACCACTGAAACGCCCTCCCCACATTCGCAAACGCCAACAATCCATCCTTGGCCCGCTCCTGCAAGCGCTTCCCCAGCGCCTCATGGCAAATGACTCTCGAAATAAACGATGAGTTTGTCTTGCTCATATTATTCTTCGGCTTTCGCAGCTTGCCCTTGGATGACCCGCTATCTCTCTGGGACGACAGCAGCGAGTTGCTCTCTCCAAACGCAGGAGTAGCGGCGCTGGACGAGGCATTAGACGACGCGAACAACGGCACGGTCACGTCGCTTGCCGTCGCGGCGTTACCGCCACCGGCGCTGCTGGTGCCGAGCCGGCCTGCATCGCTGATGCTTTCGCGGACGTCGGTTGAGGACTGGCTTTCATCGGGATGCTCTCGGATACTGCCGGCGGTGCTGGCTATTGGCTGCTGCTGCTGCTGCTGCTGCTGCTGGATGGTGCTATCCTTCCGGGATAGGGTCCGGTAGATAACTGTAGAGGGGCCACTGCTGGCATTAATGCTGTTACTGTTGTTGGGTATGTCGAGAGTGATGAGGGAGACTTTGGTGCCGGATGTGGCAGGCTGGGGAGCGGTTGACAGAGGGTTCGGGTTGACAACGGGGGCCTCGGAGGGGTGTGGTGGAGGGGTTGCGAGGTGTAAGTCCTCTTTTAGCACGTACAAGCCTAGCGCAGGGACCGTTAGTCAAGTGTCCGTTTGTGTTAAAGTGAGATTCTAGTGGGCATACCCTCTCCTACAAGGAACTGGTACTGTGGCCCGGAGGGGTGTGATAGCTGGTTATTTGTCTCGACCATTTGTGATGGTGTACTTCCGGGGACTGCAGTGGGATATCCCGCCTGCGTCGGATATTTTGGGGGGGGAGGTGGTAGAACGCTGGAGAGAGAGTAAGCCATCAGTCATCATGGTGGGCAATGGATAATGGTCAGTGAGTGAAAGAATGAGCTCGGTGATACGATTGAGTGGGCTTTTGCATTATCATGAAAGCCATGACAGGACAGACAGGGGAGGGGGAGGGGAAGGTCAGCGAGCCAGGCCGAGCTCGGATTCAAGCATGGGAGAGCATGTATAAGCATGATTTTGCATTTGCCCATCGGTGACCCCCAACCTCACCCCCCATCACCCAGCGGCAGGCTGGGGACTGGGGACATCTCGATCTCACATACAACATGGTCAATGGTGTGCGGTGGCCTTGGCCAATCGAGTGGCTACGCTAGAGTACGGGTACGGTGCGGAGACCGGGAGATGGCGACCAGTCTGGATTGGATTGAGGCTTATTTTCTTTGCCGCCTTGGAACTGGGTAGCTCAAAATTCGGACTGGCCCGACACGTCTGCCAAGCCTGCGAGCAGATAAGGGCGACCGACGACGTGATATGGGTAATGTGAGAGGGGCCCGGTTTGGGAAAACGGCCGAGACTGAACGTGTGCGCGCGATGAGTGAGGGGCAGCAAAGCTTAGTCAGGATAGGCGAGCTGTGAGACAGTGGGTGAGCCAGTGGCCGGGTGGGGAGGGGGGGGGGTTTTGGCGGCGGACGCTGGTGACGCTGACAGATGAAAAAACGGGTGGCAGCGATATTGTGGTGATAGTGGGTGGCCGGATGAAGGGACTCTTGGGATTAATGGGTAGATTTTAAAAGAGCAACCTGGACCTGGAATGCTACCGCGTCACGGGTGCCTACTGCAGGCTGCTCCCTTATTATCCCTTCCTTGAATCCTCGCGCCTGTCAGCACTTGTCTTCGATCTTCGATCGCACGGCAATGTAACCGTGCAACGTCGCCGCGTCTTAGCCTACGGTAGCCTCGCCCGGCTTGCCGGCGAGCTCATGGTGCAGGATTGGAGGATTCAAACTTTTGGAAGCTCTGGAACCATGTCGCGTGTTGCTGCTGCCACTGACAGACGGCGCCGTCTCAGGTAGTATCGTTGGAAGCTCGAGTGTGGGGAAGCGGGGCACGTTTCGTCCCGAGACGCATTTGGTACGGTAATTACGATCTGTTCAGCGCCGTGGTTTCCAAGTCTGTATGTGATTGGGCAGTGTGCTGATTGCGCTTTGAAGCTCCCAGGAAATGGTCTGGAAGAAGTGGAAGAGACAAACAAGACTATGTAATGTTTTACAATATGCCAGCAAAGTGTTGGCAGAAGTCTTGTTCTTTGTTTACTACTACGTTCTTTCAAGCAGTAATGCCGCTAGTCCGAGCGCATAGACAAGATTTTTTTTTTATTGGACACACTACTCAACAACTCAATGAATGACACCCACCAGCAGTGAGCTTGATGTGTCAAACTGGCATTCTTGAAGAGGGCCCATTCTTGTCAACACTCCACTGAGTCCTTTACAAAGGTCTAAGTAAGCTTTGGAAGTGATACGTGATACTTTGTCGGCGGTTGTCGGGTTTCTTACAGCTCTTACATCAAGGAGTAAGTTACCGTCCCGACGGGAAGACGGGTTTGGTGGGGCGCAACCCCAAAAACAGCGCGGCTAGCCAGGGCTGCTGCGCTTAACTGGGGCATCTGGGGCTGCTGCTGGGGCGCGGGATGCGGGCAATGGGCCAATGACCGCCAACGACCTCAACAACAAGCTGGGGAACGCCAACGTCTGCGAAACAACTACAAGCACTATGGTCTGACAGCTGCCCACCAGCGGTCCGCAATTACCGTGCTGCCGGCGTTCATTGATCGCGAGAGCTTCGGCCGATCTGCTGCTCAAATATAATATTGCCGCTCCCCAGCCCCGCCCGAGAGCCGCAAGGCCATGGCGCTCTGACAACGACCAGCTCTCAGCTCTCCCTGTGTTGAGCGTCAAGACTGCCCCCGACTTGGAAAGGCGAGTAAAGACAGCCCAGTTTGCTCAGGTAGACTGTTGCAGCCATGACGAGTATGTCCTCCAACGCCTTAGCCCAGGCCGGAATAACTATAACTGGCCAGGAAGGCAAATGTGTGCAATAGCTGACACTGGATGATTTTAGCCCGCACTGTCCGCATCTGCGTCTGCGGCGACGAGGGCACGGGCAAGTCTAGCCTGATCGCCTCGTTCGTCAAAGACACCTTCGTCACAAATAAGATCCAGAGCGTGCTGCCGACCGTTACCATCCCGCCGACCATCAACACGCCCGAGGATGTGACCACGACCATCGTCGACACCTCCGCTCGCCCTCAGGACCGCACCGTGTTGCGCAAGGAGATCCGCCGCTGCAACGTTATCCTGCTGGTCTACTCCGACCACTACAGCTACGAGCGCGTCGCTCTCTTCTGGATGCCCTACTTCCGCTCGCTCGGCGTCAACGTGCCCGTCGTGCTGTGCGCCAACAAGTCCGATCTCCAGGGCCCCGGCAGCACCGACAAAGTCGTCGAGGAGGAGATGCTGCCTGTCATGGCTGAGTTCAGGGAGATCGACTCGTGTATCCGAACCAGCGCAAAGGAGCAGCACAATGTCATCGAGCTGTTCTGGCTCTGTCAGAAGGCGGTTGTATACCCGATTGCTCCGCTGTATGACCATAAGGAGGGCCAGCTGAAGCCCGCCTGTCAGGCCGCTTTGCGAAGGATATTCTACCTGTGCGACAAGGACCAGGACGGTTATTTGAACGACAAAGAGTTCTTGAGCTTCCACGCCAAGTGCTTCGACGACAAGCCGCTGCCGCCGGAGGAGTTGGATAACATCAAGCGGACGGTCAGCAAAGCTGTACCGACCTCCAGCGTCGAAAAAGGACTCGACATGCGGGGCTTTCTTTACCTGAACAAGATCTATGCAGAGAAGGGCCGCCAGGAGACCATCTGGATCATCCTTAGAAAACATCATTACGAAGATAGTCTATGCCTGGAGGATAGCTTTCTCCACCCTCGCTTCGACGTACCCGAGTTCTCTTCAGCCGAGCTCAGTCCAGCGGGTTACCGCTTCTTCATGGACCTGTTCCTAACATTCGACAAAGACAACGATGGTGGTCTCAATGACCAGGAGCTGGATGCCTTGTTCGCCCCAACCCCGGGTCTTCCTCCATCCTGGATAGAAACCAACTTCCCCACAACCACAGTGCGCAACGAGGCTGGACACATCACCCTCCAAGGCTGGCTCGCCCAGTGGAGCATGACCACCTTCCTCGAGCCCAAAACCACACTAGAATACCTTGCCTATCTCGGCTTCGAGGGCCCCAACGCGCGCGACTCAACCACCGCCGCGCTCAAAGTCACCAAACCTCGCAAGCGCAGACGACGCCCCGGCCGCGTCGAGCGCAACGTAGTCCTCTGCTACATCTTGGGCTCCTCGGGGGCCGGCAAATCCTCCCTCCTGGACGCCTTCCTCAACCGCCCCTTCGACACGCTCTACCACCCGACCATCAAACCGCGGCGCGCCGTCAACAGCGTCGAGCTTCACGGCGGCCGCCAAGTCTACCTGATCCTCGAAGAACTCGGAGAACTAGAACCCGCCATCCTCGAGAACCAGGCCAAGCTCGACGCGTGCGACCTCATCTGCTACGCTTACGACTCCTCCGAGCCCGACTCCTTCTCGCACATCGTCGAGCTGCGCAAGCGCTATCCTTACCTGGACGAGCTCCCCGCCGTGTACACGGCGCTGAAAGCCGACCGGGACAAGACCACTCAGCGATCCGAGTTACAGCCCGATGCGTACACGGCGGCGCTGAATATGGCCGCGCCGTTGCATGTCAGCGTCACGTGGAGCAGTATTAGCGAGCTATTTGTCGCACTGGCGGAGGCGGCGACGAATCCGAGTACTGCGTTCCCGAAGTCAGAGGAGCCGCCCGACAGGACGAGCTTGTATATGGCGCTGGCGGCGACGTCGTGTGCGGCGCTCGCAGCGGTGCTGATTTGGCGTAGGTCGACCAACTCGGCATAGGGCGTCGACGTTGTGAGACGGGTGGAGAGGAGGTAGGGTTTTGGGGGGGGGGGGGCAGGCTGGGGCTGTTGTTGGATATGGGCCCAGATACTGGAATGGAGGGATAGAGAAATTTATTTCTGTAAATCGGGAGCAAGAGGTCAGGGCTATTGCTGTCCCTAAGAGCGCACACGCGTCATGATTGATACCCCACTCTGCTGTCTGCATGCGGCCTGGAGTTTGATTCTCTTGGGTTGTCTGGCAGGCAGTTTAGCGCTTCGGATAGTGTTTAATCGGTTAATTTACGTTATTCCAGTATCCATCGCTTCCTTCCAAATTCTCTTACATATGGGAGAATGATGCTTGATGTTTGATGTCCGGAGCGAGGACGGGTGAGAATATTTTTTCGACCCTCTATCATAGCTGGCATTGAACCCCTAGGATAGTCCGTTCTCTAGTTGTACTCGGAACCTTCCTGTAACATCATTATCTCCGTTAAGTCATTTTCTTAAATATACAACTAACCCGAAACCTAGGCCTCTCGTCTATATGACTGAGCTGATGCCCTGCCTAGTCGATGTGGCATTTAACCCTTCCATAGGAATTGAGCAAAAAAAAAAAAAAAGAGATAATATTTCCATCCGACTGAACCCAATTTTTTATTTCCTCCCCCCCCCCTTCTCCCTTTGGGACGCCCCGGGAAGGGAAAAGGAGGGGGCCGGGGGAGGGGGGGCTATGTTTTCCTTTCCTCCCACCCTCATAACCGCTGTTCGAGCATTCACACCCGATAAAAGCAAAACGCCACATAAAAACTCGCTGCCTCCATCTCCTCCGGCGTCACTAACAACTCCCCTGTCTCCCGACTCCTCACCCCCATCCGCTCACTCAGCGCCCCCAACTCCCTATCATCCTTCTCCGCAGCCCACACATCCGCAAACGGCTTGTGGTATTGCAGCTCGAGATTATAGTCTTCGGCCAGCGCGCGGAAGGCTTCCCAGGGTACGACGTACTCGGGGACTTCTTCCACGGCTTCGTCGAGGAAGAAGTTATACTTCCAGCCGAAGGGCGGGCGGAAAATGCCATCGGCGGGAGTCGCGCCGGGGAAGCGCACGCGGTAGATGCTGTTGCCCCATTGGGCGGTGTCATCTTCGGCTTCGCCTTCTTCGGTGGCGTCTTTTTGTTTGGAGTCAGGGTCGGAGGTTGAGGCGCCGTCTTGGGAGGGTTCAGAGGAGCCGGCGGCTTGCGCGGCTTGAAACTTCTTCTTCTTCTTCTTCTCCTGGAGCTTCTTATTGAACTCGACGACCTTGGCGCTGATGACGTCCGAGTTGGGGATGCAGCCGATGAAACGGCCGCCCTTCTTCAGCGCGCCAGCCACATTCTTCAGCATCTGCCGTGCCTTCTCCTCCGACTCAAAGGCATAGTGCATGCAGAACATCATACTTACCACATCAAACCCGCGGCTGCTGGCCAACGGCGACGTGGTAAACCCTACCTGCCGAACGATGTCGATGTCCCCGATCGACTCAGAAAAGCAATCCTTGACATGGAACCTCGCCTCAAACGTCCGCGGCGGGCGTCTATGATGGCCGCCCCTACCGCCCCGTCCACCACCCCCACCGCGGTTCGCCATATTCCTGTACCTTTCCCTCGCCTGCTCAATAGACACCTCGGCCGGGTCCAGCCCGACGTACAAATCCACCTTCTGCGGCGCCTGCTGCCACTTGAACAGATCGCCGCCCTTCCCGCACCCAATATCCAGCACCAACAACCTATTTCCCGAATGCAATCCCCTCTCGAGTGCTCCCGGTGTGTAATCCTCGTCGGGAGAGAACTTCTGAATCAGACAACTCTTGACCCAGTTATTGAACGCGCGCAGCCCTTTAATCCGGCTCTCGGTCTTGCGCCACTCGCGACCGCGTTCTGGCACAGAGTTATAGTGCGTGCGCACGATGTCGTTGATGCTCTGGCGCTGTTGTTGTTCCTGCTGTTCGGTGGCTTCGCGGAGTTGGCGCTCGCGCTCTAGGGCCCGTTGGCGGATCTGCTCGCGCTCGGCTTCGCTGATGCGGGCGCGCTGGCCGGGACGCTTGAGCTTGCGGGGAGCTTCGCCAGAGCCGGAGGGAGTGTTGTTGCTGGTGCTGCCGCTGGCAGAGGCTGCACTCGCGCTAGCATTGGTGCTGGCGACGCTGTCGCTAAGTTTGATTTTCTTGTCGGGTTGGCCTTCGGACGGGGAACAAGGCCGCTTTTTCGCGGGGGCTAACTTCTTTGCATCGAAGGGCTGAGGGATGGGATCATTGTCATCCTGGGTTGTGGCTTTTATTTGTTTTGTTGACGACATTATGCTTGACGGTGAATTGGTCTCTTGGTGTGGTTGTTGGAGAAAAAGAATAGTCTCCGGGGGTCGAGAACGCCGTTGAGGGCGGTTGGCGATCGGAAGGCGAGAGAAATGGTGGATCTGGTCGGATGGAGGGCTGAAACGAAGTCGTACAAACACAGATGGCAAATTTTTCGCGTTAATTGAGATTCATGAATGTGAAAAAGTGCAAAGTCGGTCAGAAACTGTTGAGATGGGTTTCTGTGTGTTAAAAAGTTTCCTGTTTGGTTTACAGAGGGTTGGTTGGTTTTGAAGCGCAGTCACAGGTTACAGTGGCTCACAGCGCATTACAGGGAACCGAGAGCCAGGCTCCAGCTAAGGCTACCGGGGCGAGTGGGCCCTTAGCCTTGCAAGGGATGTTGTGCCCCCATGGATCGAGCGGTCCAACCAATCAGGAAGCACAGTTCCGGGACTGGGCAGCAGTGACGCGAGCTTTGCAGCCTTGCCCGCTGCCCAGGCCTGACAGCCAACCGTCATCTCCAGCGACGGCTGCTTGTCCAGTGCTTCAACTGCCCTGTGCTTGAACCTTAGGTAACTTCTGGTGGGTAGCTGCCGCCCTCACGCCCTCACGCCCTCAACGCCGACCCTTAGCCCAAAGATTTTGACGATCCTACAGCCCATCCGTGGCATTTCATAAGCGACAAGACCAGCTCGACTTTTCACGAGCGTCATTCGTCCGATTTCCATCCAGTCGAGCTGCAGGAGAACCCTCCTTTCGCCCCAGTCGATCCAGGCCAAAACTTCCCCCTCGATCTCTCTCCAAGCCCAAGACAGGCCCAAAAACAAAAACATCCGCCGCCGAACCTCAATCACCTAAATAAACCTTCCACACACCCTCCACAGCCATGGGCTCAGATCCGCAGTACGCAAAGTGGCCTTTGCTGCCGCTGGCCCAACATGTCTTCACTCTCACGAACCCCTACGCCGCGCGCCCCGCGCAAGAGATCGCCGCCAAGCAGCTCCAGGAGGCCATCGCCGAGCACAAGATGGCCCCCTTCTACCGCTACCTGGCCCATCCGATAGAGGGCATCCTCAACACCATCGGCGAGACTGGTAGTGCGAGCGCCCCGGTCCCAGGGAAGCTCGGCAGGAAGAGCAGCATCGCCAGCGGCATGATCGCCACGGGCAGCGCCGGCTCCAGCATAAGCTTGCCGTGGGACGAGGCCCTCTACCAGTCGCTAGTGGCTGACAATGAGCGCGAGCTGGAGGGCTTTCAGAAGGAGGAGGAGGAGGCTGTCGAGAAGGCGGGTGATACGGAGGTGCTCGCTGCGCGGGGCAAGCGGGCTGAGTTCTGGGCTAGGGTTGGCGACAAGGTTAGGTTCTCTCCTTAACGCCGTATAGCGTAAGAAAGACTCCATGCTGACTGACCGCCAACAGGAAAAAGCCATCGCAGCCTACGAGGACGTCTTCGAAAAGACGGGCGTGCTGGGTGCCAAGATCGACATCGTGCTGGCCATCATCCGGATGGGGCTCTTCTACGGCGACAAGCACTTGGTCAAGAAGCAAGTCGCACGCTGCAAAGCACTAGTCGAGTCGGGCGGCGACTGGGACAGGCGCAACCGGCTCAAGGCCTACGAGGGTCTGCACCTCCTGACCATCCGTAATTACAGCCTGGCAGCGCCCCTCCTTCTCGACTCCCTCTCGACCTTCACCTCCTACGAGCTGTGCACCTACAGCGCGCTCGTCGTCTACGCCGTGCTCGCCGGCTCCGTCTCCCTCAAGCGCGTCGACTTCAAGTCCAAGGTCGTCGACGCCCCCGAGATCAAAGCCATCCTCGGCGACGGCGAGGACAAGCTGCTGGCCCTAACCGGCGCCATCTCCGCCGGCCCAGGCGCAGACGACTCCGACATGGTCGTCGAGTCGAGCTCCACGCCAACCGGCAGCAAGCAACAACAGGTGGTCAACCTGACAACCCTGGGCACGGGCGCCGACGGGCAGCCCGAGGCCGAGATCGCCATCGACTTTAGCGCGCTGGCGCAGCTGGTTAGCAGCCTGTACAATGGGCGGTACCGGCTGTTCTTCCAGGCACTGGCGCGTGTGGAAGAGCAGTTCCTGACGCAGGACCGCTACCTGCACGAACACCGCGGCTGGTTCATCCGCGAGATGCGCCTGCGGGCGTACCAGCAGCTGCTGCAAAGTTATCGGGTTGTTGGGCTGGAGAGCATGGCGGAGGAGTTTGGCGTTACGGTCGAGTATTTGGATCGGTATGTCCTTCCCCCCCTCTCTTCCCTCTCCTCTCCTCCCCTCCCTCCAGGGGTACGCAAGTTACTGACAGTGAGTGCAGCGACCTCAGCAAGTTCATCGCCGCCGGCCGCATTCCCTGCAACATTGACCGCGTCAGCGGCGTCATTGAGACCAACCGGCCCGACGACAAGAACAAGCAGTATCAGGAGCTGGTGCGCCAGGGAGACCAGCTCATCACCAAGCTGCAGAAGTATGGCCAGGCGGTGCGTCTGAGGGGAAGCGAACGGTCTTAATTGTCAGGGAAAGTGTAATGGCAGGCCTGCCTGTATGATACAAATACATCTATGATATCTCCTTAGTAGTTTCATACGAAAGACTTGCCCTCCATGTTGGTCGAGGGTAAAGAACCTAGAGAAAATGAGAGGGATAGGGCCATGGTCCTATGAGTTGCCTTAGGCCCCACAACATGTGATCCGTAGTTCCTACACACGGGGAATATCCCCTGGATCATGCCAACATCACGCCTTTAACTCCCATTCCTCCCACACAAGATAAGATAGAACACAACTGGGGGTATTAGATTTTTTATTTTTTCTTTTTTCCTTCGTTGATTCGTCTAGCAAGAAAAAGTTGAACCCAACGCTGGCTACGCCAAAGCATGCCATGCCACTATGCCACGCTGACCATCCACGCGCCTTGCCTGCCTCTTTTTGTCTAGATTATGAGAAGAGACTAGAAAACAACAGACATATCTTTTTTTCATCATCAATCCAGTCATCGTGCATCGCACACATAATTCAAAACAAATGAAACATGACACCCTAAAAGCCCACTCCACTGAACACTTTATATCTCTCACTCGCCCCCACCCCCTATTCTACAAACAAAGTTCAATGCTTAATCCCGGTACTTGTCCATAAACTCCTGGTGGAACTTGACAATCCGGCCAACCCACTCAGTACCCGGAGCAAGGAAGGTAGTCCGGAAGTGGAGGGTACCCGGCTCCTGGCCGAAGCCCGAGCCCGGCACGACGCACACACCCGTAGCCTCGAGCATGCGCATGCAGTAGAACTCGTCGGGGGTCCGGCCCTCCGCAGCAGCCGCCTCACACGCCTTGGCCGGCAGCTTGATGCGCGGGAAGAGGTACATGGAGCCCTGGGGCACGCCGCACTCAACACCTTCCATCTGCTCGAAGGCGGCATGCAGGGCGTTGGCGCGCTCGCGCAGGCCGTTGAAGATGGCGTCGTACTCGGCGCGGTAGAGGTCGTAACTGGGCTCACCCGGCTTGGGCGGGTTGACCATGAGCTCGACCAAGCACTGGCCGATGACAGGGGCGCACAACATGATGGAGACAAACTTGTAGATCTCCTGCTGCACGGCGGGGTCGAAGCCCACCAGCTCGAAGTAGCCACCGCGGTGGCCGCACTCGCCGACCATACCCTTGGAGACGGAATGCAGCGAGGCGAGCTCGATGTTATCGTAGACACCGGGCTGCTCCTTTTGCATCTGGCGCAGCATCTTCTTAAAGGAGATGAATTCGCCGATAAAAACATTGGTCTGGTATACTTCGTCGGCGATGATCACGAGGCGCTCCTGGCGCGCGAACTCGATCACGGCCCGGATGTCAGACTCGGGGAGGGAGGCGCCCGTCGGGTTACCAGGGTTGATGATGACAACGGCACGAACGTCAACACCCTCGGCCTTAGCCTTCTCGCAGGCCTCCTTGAGCACGTTGAGGTCGGTGCCCCAGTTGGTCGACTCGTTCAGGTAGTACGGCACGCACTGGGCATCGAGAACCGAGAGTGAGGCCGTGTACAGCGGGTACTGTGGAATGGGGACCAGCACACCCGTGTTCTTGTCGGCACAGATGATGTGAAGGAGGGTGTTGACGGCCGAAGAGGCACCGGCCGAGAGGTAGATGTCCTGCCAGTTGGCGGGAAAGCCATCACGCCCTGGTAGAGGTAAGCCATTGTTCACGATGCAGATAGCAGAGGTGAGAAAAGGGTGGTTTTTTTGGGGAGGAGGGGAAAGAGGGGAAGGTATTAGAGGGAACTCACTCTCAAGGAACTCGGCAACGCTCTTACGGATAGCCGGGACGCCATTGCTGGCACTGTAGGCACCAACAGAGCCGACCTCCTTGAGCAGCCACTCCGCGCGCTCAATGACATCGGTCTTGTAGCCGAGGTGCTCGATGAGCACATCCTTCTTCTCCAGCAGGCCGGGGTTTTCAAGGATGCTCAGGACCTGGCGGAAGAAGGTAATGGGCTTCTGGTCAAGCTGCTGGGGGTTGCCGATGTTGGCCGAGATGACGGTGTCGAAGGGCAGGTCGGTGGCGCCCTGGGCCAGCCGGGCGCGATACTCCTCGGACTTGACGGCCAGCTCACCGCGCACGGCGTATTTGGCGGCCCGCACATGGGGGTTGATGTTGTCGATATTCAACCGACGGCTGGAGGTGGCTTCGGACGCCATTGTGCGGTGTTGACTTCGAGAAGTGAGCTTCGAGGAGTTGGTCGCGGTAAGTGCAAGAGGGGAAAATGCACACCCTGGGCGATGGCACAGCGGGGTAGAGGCAGACACGAGAAGGCCAGAGAAGCCTATGTCGGGACGCAAAGTGGACTGTTAGAAAAAAACGGCGGTTCAGGGGTCAGGGGTGTTTGTTTGCTTCCGAGTCAGCGATCCTCGGCGACCTGGCGAGGGGCAGAGCAAGGTTCTTTTATGTGTAAGAATAAGACGGGACGATGGGATGAAAAGAGTCCTCAACCAACAAAAGGAAAAAAAAAAAAGAATGAAATTGTGTCAACACCGAGGCCGACCTTACGTATGCGATGGTGGACCGTAAAGCACAAAAGCGATCGTATGACAGAGATAAAGCGTGGGGTAACAGGCACGACAGGAGAGCTACGGCAGAGAGCCAGCCGCGGGCTAGATGAAAATGACTGATTTTTGGGAATTGCCATCCGAGACAGGACCGTCGGTGGTGCACTCAACCAGAATAACCAGCCCCGAGCAGTGGGATCCCGTGGGCGTTGTGCGGTGCCCGCCCGGAGCCGTGACACTAGAATCAGCGCATTGTTGCCAACAATCTCCTGTCATCCGATGTGCCTCCTGTCCCTCTGGTTCCTGTTTGGTGGCTGCCCCTCGCCTGGCGTCGCGTGGCCTCGCATACCCACGGCGGGAAACGGACCCTGACTGGCCGCCTTGGGGCCAAGCGGGGACAAATGTGGGACCCAGCACATCCCACCGAGCCCAGCCGCCCGCCGACACCGGTCGCATGTGTGAGAGCTTGCCGGCCTTGCCGCACGTCATTCGTCACTGGACCGTTATGACGGCTGCTGATGAGGCAAGAACCTCAATGACCATTTAATGATGATGATATTGCCCGCCGTAATCAATTGGGAAGTGGGCGTGGATTGGCTTGGACTTCCATTCCATCCTCAAACTTTCGGTCCCAATTGCTACGGATAAGAGTTACCCCTCATGCAATTGTTGACGCACGGGGTCAAACTGCCAGGCACGCTGTCATGTCTGGCGTCTGATCCGGGGGCTGACTGAGCCCAGTATGTGCTATAGCAATCGAAAATTTCCAGAAAGCAACACAAATTCTCAATTTAAACCCTTTTTTAAAAAAACGCGAGAAATCAGCACAACAAGATAAAAAAAAAGTCGGTCACGTACCTCTCCTGCCCGCACCCTGCATTGATCCCGCGGTGATCAACCTAGCGCTCTGTCTCAGCGCTGAGCAATTAACCGACGTCCCACGGCGGGCAACCTGCACCACAAGGGCCGCCATTTGTGCACTCCAAAAGAAGAGCAGCTGTTTGTGGCCTGCCGGTTGTTGGCACTTGATGGGGAAGTCGGGGGTCGGCGCTGGCTGCGGAAAAGTTCTGGCCCTGCTGGATTTTTCTACCTAAGGGCAAACTTAAAGTTGGGATGGGGAAGTGGACCTCAAAACCGACGGATGGGGGCGAACTGGACTCGCAGGGGTCGGCGGTTCTTGCTGTTGCTGCTGCTGCTGCTGCTGCTGCTGCTGCTGCAAGTCACCTGTTCAAACACCTGGCTGGTTTGGATCCTGTTTGCTGGAAATTCTTGCTTGCTGTGGGCTGTCAGCTCATTGGCGGGGCTGCTTGTTAAAGACGAGGCAAGCACTCAACACATGAGGTTCTTGAAGGCACCCACGCTGCTGACAGGGAAAAACACATACGTCGTGCGGATAGTTCTTCGCTTCTCCCCGGTGTTTCGCAAAGAGTCGATGCAGAATAGACCCAACAAGCACAGAGATAGGGTCTGGTAACTGCGTCAAAAGGGTCCTCTCATCAACTTTTGTACCTGTCGCTCCCGGCGGCTGACCTCCGAAAACAGGAGACGTGTGTGGGCGGTGTGTCCTGGCAAATGATCCCTTCGGTCCCATCTTCCCCGGACCAGACCCTAGGCCGCTAGTACTACTTTGTGATAGTAAGCCCGTTTATCAATCGATCCGCTGCGAAAATATCCACAATTTACGTGCTTGGCATCAATTCGGAGTCTCTGAGAACCTGTCATATGCGCCGCTGCATCGTCATGCTGCCAGCCATTGCTGTCGACGTTGTTCCTCCAGGTAGGACACGCAGTTTGATAGGCTAGCTATCACAGCCCTTACCAAACTTGAAAATAAGTTACTGCGTCCACCGAGAGCCACAAAATGCCGTCGACATCTTCCAGCTGTTTGTCCAGATAGGATGCTATTGTGAGGGACTTACCCCGCTCTCGCGCTGCCACTAATAGCCTTAACTCTCACTTTAGATTAAAGGTTATGGGCTTGAGGGTTAGGGTTAACTAAGTCCAACCCCACCTGTTCCTGATTCTTGGCGCTTGGCACAATTCGGCAAACTGACCCGTGCTCTCTCGGGATCCGAGCAAATCTTGGGGACCGCAAAACCTCGAGCTCAGATCCCGACGCCGACGCCGACGACGACGGTGACGCCAGCCTGCCCCGACCTCACAGCCCCCAGTTCCAGACCACAAACATGGCGAAGAAGGGTACGGATCTTTCTTTCTAGGATTTTCCCAAGAATAATCGAAGGCAATGGCTAACGCGCCCCGCGCAACCCAGCCAAATCGCGCGTCATCAGCGTGCGCCTTGTCTCCATGGCCATGACGGGCTACTTCTACACATTCACCCGGCCCCGCACGTCTCTGCCTCTGAGCATGATTAAATATGACCCCATCGGTACATGAAATCCTCCCTCTGGGCTCCAGGATTTCACCCGATCCAACTGCTAACAAGCCGTCCAACTAAAAACAGTCCGGAGGAGAGTCCTCTTCCTCGAGCAAAAACGAAAGGGCAAATAATGTTCTTGATCAGTTATTTCGACTGTCGCGAGGCGTTGTGGTTCCGGTGTTGTGGGGAGTGAGAGGTAACAAGTCTGGGGTAGAGCTGTCAGTGAGAAGGCGCAAGCCAGCGTATTGCATGGGCGGACGAGCCTGGACAGGTGTGATGATTTTAGCGAAGAGAACGGAGGTTTCGAACCGGGCAATGAACAACATGCCACATCGCAATAACGGCCTGTCACCGCCACCGGATCGATCGAATGAAGACGATAGCCGGGCTGTTACGGGTCGGGAATTCGGGAGCTGAGGCTAAGATCTTGGGGGTCTGCAAATAGTTGTTGTCCTCTCGTCATCTGGCTTCAACCTGGTTCGACAATTGGCATTTCAGGACCCGAGTGCTGATCAGACTCGGCACCGGTGGTCGTAAATGTGTACAGTAATTTATGTATGTGTATCATAAGCTCGATAGAGAGCATGGTCGGGCGTTTTAGGGTTTTATGACATATATGTATACCGGCTTCATCAAATCTAAGCGCAATCTTCTCAGCCCTTGGCTGTCATGGTTGTCTGCTCGTTAGTTTCCCAGAACCTTGAAAGGGAGAGCAGAGTCTCACATGACCGAATTGATTCAACTGATTCAACCCGCAGCAGGTAAGTAGACATACATGTCTTCCGGTCTGCCCCAAGATTAAGTCTAATAAATAGGTACAGGCCCAAGATTGTGAACTACAATCACACAACATGCCTTTATCTTACATCACCATTATTTCATGTCTCATCAGCAAACCGCAACTGGTTGAGCAGACCGCAGGCATTCAGTAAATCGAAAGTAAAATCGCAAACGAAGTTCAGTTAAGCACGCAAGTTGGGAAAGGAGAGAAGAATATTCGCATCAGCAAGACGGTTTTGCGACATCGTGAGTGAGTCTTGTGAGTCTTCCGATTTCAACAAGTATTGAGGCTGTGACTGCGACTGAGACTGGGACCGGGAATAAAGCGATGACTGTGACTCCCCTTGTCTGCTGGCCCCAGTCAACGACGTTGTTCTTTGTGAACCATACGTGCGAAGATTGATTGGCTTTTGGCTGAGAGACTGAGGAGCATTCATAAGACCACCTTTCTGCGAGGTCGTAGGGGCGAATCTGGATTCCTTTTGGGCGCTTGGGGGAGGAACACTGAGAGTAGGGTTGAACACGTTACCAGGAAGGTGTTGTGCTCCTTGCCGCATTGGATATTGTTGTTGTTCTACATTTTTCTTTCCGGATCCTGACTCTGTTAACAATCTCCGGCGCAATCGCTTGGTTGTTGGTTCGCTCCGAGGCTGTTTGGAGCTGCGGGGGGTGTCATCTCGATTCTCAAGACCCACATCTACGGGATGCCTCCTTTTGCTCACACGCTCCGAAACTGAGCTGCTGGGGACAAATGAATTAGATTGAACGGTCCTTTCGGTCTTGGGCGTGGTGGGAAAATTGTGCTCCCCTTCATTCAACGCCAGCCCATCGGGGTGACTGGCGAAAGCCCCCTGCGTCTGAACTGCAAAATCTTCCCTCCCCTGAAGACTCAGCGCTGCTGATGTGCTTCGAGTAACACGCTTCATGATTGACTTGGGCCGTACCGCCTCTCTGCGCCGAGCTTTCTCCTGGTCCACGGATGGAGCATTCGGCTCGCTGGACACATTAGCCGGACTGCGAACAATAACGCGCCGGATTTGATCCAGCCTTTTCACCTGAAAAGAAGAAAGTGCTCCCCCAGCAGCGATCTCCATGCCGCTTGATAGGTCCGCTGGCTCACTCGGGGATCGCTTACTGGCCCCGGGCTGAACCAACTGATCCTGATGACCTTCAGTTGGGTTCTCATGGATCAGTTGGACTTCCTGTGAACCACTATGATTTGCAGGCCCAGCAGCGTTGCTGTTTATTGGAGACAAACCTGACTGACCACTCTCATAATTGGTATTTTTCTGATGTAATCCCGCCAGCTGCTCCAGGGCTCTCATAATTTCTGCATTGATTTCTTCAGCGCTGCCGTTGCTGGTCTTGAGGAAGGTTAAACTGTTGACATCGAGCCCTTGCTTGAGTGCCCATTGCTCAAGGGCGGTGGTAAGTGCTCGATACTTGGCATCCTGTGATCTAACCTGTTCTTCGTATTCAGAGACCCTCTTTTTATGGTTTATGAGCTCTTCCTCAAGCGTTTTGATCCTAGAACCAAGGTTACTCCGCAGTTGCTCTGCACTGGCTGTCGACTGTGCCAGCTCCTGTGTTGCTGTAACTGCCCTGGCTTCCGCACTGCCGAGACTCTCCTTGAGTGAATTGATAACCATAGCGGCTTGATGTTCGCTTCGCTCCTTCTCCTGAAGTTCCTGTTTCGAACGTTCTAATTGAGCTGAGATTGAATCCAGTTCCTGCTGTTTTTCACTGAGCCTCTTTTCTGCGTCCGCTTTTGCAGCCTGCATCTCTAAGAGGAGCTCCTGACGTGCGTTTTTAACAGCTTGTTCCGTTGCAACCTGAAAGGCCTTCTCCTTTTCCTTGGCTGCTTGCGAAAGTTTCATGAGGTTCGATGATAGGATTTCTAGTTCAGAAGCGTATGCCTGGGTCTTCTCGTTGAGTTTGATCTGCAGTTCTGTCAAAGAAGTTGTTTTGGAAGTCAACTCCTCCCGTAGCTCGTTAGCCTCAGCTTCAATGGACTGTAGATAGTCGATCGCTTCCTTGTTTTCTTCATAAGCGGCATCCATGGCAAGCAAATCATTCTCAAGCTCGTGGATTTTGTCAGCCTGCTGCTGGGCGATCTCATGAAGATGTGAAAGTTCTGTTTGGTGCTTCTCGCACTCAGCCACCTGCTTCTTATACAACGCCTCAGTCTTTCCATGCTCCTCGGCTTTGTTGGTCAGCTGGCTGGCCAGTGATTCAAGTTGGTTGTCCAAGCGGAGCCAGATCTTGTCTGCGTGGGTTCCGAGATCCTTCGAAAGTTGGCTAATGGCCTCTTCAGCGTTCCCTCCGGCTTCCAGTATAGTGTCCAGTTTGGTTACAATGCTGGATAGATCAGTTCCAAATCAATCACAAGCAGAAGGGGGGAACAGCCTACCTCTTCAGGGAGTTCGCTTGGGTGTCCTGAATGTTGGATAATGTATCGAGTTGACCGGACACAACATTAGAGAGAGCTTCCAAACGGCTCGCAAGGGCATCAAGCCTGTTCAAGCGTGGTTAGCCTGCACTCCATGACTTTGATGAGCTGGGCAGGAGTAAGTACCTACCGTTGTTGAAAATCCTTAGTTTCTTTCTGGTGCCGATTGTCTGCCTCCTTTTGCTGCTCTTCCAGCTTGTCAAAAATTTTCTTGCTTTGTGCTGCTAATGCTTCAAAACAGCTAGCAGTCTCTTGAAGTTCCTTCAGCCTCTCAGACAACAAGCGAACTGTTTCTCTCTCTTTCCCTAGCTCTGAGTCCTTTTCCTTAATTTGGTCGGTCAACAGGTTGATCTGACCATACACTAAGTAAGGTGTCAGCTTAGCAAATATACACGGAGAACCGTGGTTGGATGCTTACACTGTGTTGCCTCGGCCTTATTTTGTGCAATTGTCTGACGGACTTTTTCCATCATCTGCTCACGGATGACTTCTGCTTTGCGAACTGTCATCTCGACTTCCGCATTGCGAGCCCTTTCCATCGCTCGAAGCTGCTCAACCACTTCATCCCAGTGCTTCTTCGAACGCGTGTAGAGATCTTGCTGCTCATCGATTGCGGAGTTGATGTATGTCTTGCACGTGTGATACTTTTCATTAAGTTTCTGAAATCGTTCCTCGGATGTCTTCAACTTAGCCTCGAAGTCTGCAAGTTGACCTGACATCTCATACTTGGCAGTTTGGAGAGCTAAAATCTCTCTCGATTGTGCTTCGCTGTTGATTGCGTACTGCTCCAGAGTTTCCGCAGCTTCTGCAAGCTCTTTCCTGAGTCTCTTGATATACTTGTGGTACTTCGCTTTCTCAAGTTGGAGCGTGGCACACTGCTCCTGTTGGTATTTGTTAACGATCGTTGCCATGTTTTCCGCAAAATGCTGGCTGATATCCACTCTCCGCTGCCGCAACATGGGGCTTGATGATAGCGAATTAACTCCCGACCTGTGATTGTTAGTTTGGCAAAGGAGCGAACCGCGAACAAACAAACCTCTGTTTTGAAATGTTGGAACTCCGCGATTGTGGACGAGACTGGCTGGGTATATAGACTTGGCAAGACGGAACTGTTTCTCTCAATGGCTGACTGACCATCTGACTTCTACTGTTCTCCGTCATCTCCCTTCCGGACTGGCAATTCCCATGTGTCGAAATGGCCACCTGCTGCTCTCCCTTTAGGTCTTTCACCTCGTTTTCAATCATGGCATATGCACCTTGTTGACAGTGCTCCAAGTGATGATGACTCGTTTGAGCATCGTCTTCGAATGGTAGTACATTCCGCTCTAATGGATGAGACTCCGATATTGTCTGGAGTGTACTGTCAGGAACACGAGCTTTTGTCGATACTTTTTTCTGTGTTTCCTTGTGAGAAGACAATTGATGAACAGCGGAGTAGGCCGACTTCGAATCCGGAAACGGCCCATTCGTTGCCGTTGGTGGGGGAGAGTCCGGAAAGGGGAGACGAAGGGGAGATTCACGAGTCACTGTTGGTTCGGTTGTGTCGATAAGCCTGTGGTTGGCCCTTTCTTTGGCCTGGCCTTTGGAACCCTTAAATATCCTCTCACATCTATCCTCGAATAAAGAACCGGGCTTCCGAGGACTGTCATATGGCGAAACAGGGGGCAGATTTCGGGGAAATTGCATTCTAACATTAGACTCTCCAGACGCTGGTGATTTCTTCAACGACTGTGTAGATCCATCATCCGGCGGGGCAGCTGATTGCTTACTCGACAGACACGTGAACTGGCCGGGCGTGATCTTGATCGGAGGACCAAATGAAAACGACTCTCTGGTGCTCTTCTCCAAGTCCCGGTTGAGCGCCTGTGGTTTCGGAAGAAGACTGAACCCCTCGAAGCCACTGGCATCAATCTCGTCCTTTTTTGGACTTTCATGTTGACTATGACTCTTTAGGGACCGTGGGCTCTGTTGATCAAGTAAGGTAAATTCCTGCTTTTCTTGCGCATCGTGAGCAGGACTTCGACTCTGACAGGGTTCGTCTTTACTGGGTCGATGAAACTGCCCAGGACTGCGCACCAAGTCCACAGAGTCTAATGATTCCTGATCATGACGCTCTTCATGTGATGTTCGTACCATCGTAGCTGTTGCGGAGTGCCCATAAGATGTAGTAATGGGCATCAGATCAAACCTGATGTTCAAATGGAGTGATATAATGCTACGGGTTAGAAGAATTAAGAGAGTGGGGGTTGAAACTAAAGCAAATTAATTTACAACCTCGCAAAGAGGTGTTTGAAGGCTAAGACAGGGGGATTGCTGACCCTGGGAACCTTGAAGGATCGAGAGAAGAGTAAATTTCATGACTCGTCGACCATCATCGAAAATTGTGTGTGGGTATACTGCCTTGCGCTTTCCCGCCCATATAACCAAGGGTTCAAGAGAAAGTGTGAAGTGGGAGACCATTTTTGGTTTCCATTTTTGAAGGAAGCTACGATTGGGACTTGACAGGTTACTAGCACTGCTAGCAATGGATTGTCATCACTCAACAGTTCGCGACTCATAAGGCGATCCTTAAAGGGAGACAGCAGTGACTCTTAAGCGTCGAGCCTTACAAAGACAATGCGACTCCAATGGAGTTCGATTCCTATTATGTAGTAGAGATCTGTGACTGAGAGCATCTCCTAATGTTGAAACATGATTTTTTTCTCAAGCGCCTTTGGTTTCATACCAAATTCAAAGCATCATTATCAAACCGCTTCTGACCGTTCTCTCAATCACAATGTACTTGAAATTGCCAAGGCAACTTTTTCCTCTTGAACCCCACCCATAGTTTGAAGACAAGATCTGTACACGACATCCCTTTTCAGTGAGCCAGAGAGATTATACTCAGGGGTAATCAGGACGATTTCTCCAGATATCTGCTCTTGGCGGTAGTATAGAGCAGTGTTCCCGACTCCTCAGTACGATCAATATATGCAGCTATTCGACAATACCCTGATATGTACGACCATACCCAGTGGAAAGCACGGCATCCCGTCTGCTCTGCCTTAGTTAAGCCACTGAGGGCCCAGTTAGTAGTTGGGTCGGTGACGACCAGCGAATCCTGGGTGTTGTACGTTTTCTTTTTAGACATGCTCCATTTTTGGAGCTTCTATTACCATTCCTCCTAGGCAGACCACATCCTTTGTGTACATATTGACGTTGCGATCCTTGGATTGTTCCGTATTGTAGAAAAAGACAGGCGGGTTAGCATGTCGGTCTCTTCAAAGACTAGTATTAGCCCCTCAAACATTTCCTTTCGTGTCAAAAGCTCTTTGGGAAATCTCAGCAGAAAGGTTGACTTGTTAAGTACAAAGTGGATCCTTGATTCCGATGTCCTTGAAGACTCGCGCCATCTTAAGCAGATCAACATTAGCCTTCGAGGTACTGTCTCATGGTGTTCTTGTGCTCATCGCCATGCTCCGTGTAGCAGACCATCACACAGCCATGCAAGAGGTCCAAGCCATACGTATCACCAACAATGTACATATCACTTACCCTACACTATCGACATAATGCGGTTGTTGAAAAACCAGCGGCGACACAAAGAGCATCCTCTTATCCACCATCACCACAATCCCACATCACTTATGGTTTCCTCTCTGTGATGTGACGTTGCCTTTCCCCTCCACTCACACCCCTCCACAAAGCGCCGTTCACCCCCTCCCATGCCCAATTCTCGATCTTTGATTGGGCAACCAGACTCAAACCCCTGACCACCATGCAAAGCCAAGCCTGCAGGTCTGCAAGTTTGACGCCAAAGCCAACGTCAACCTCCTGTTACGGGCCCGGCCAAGCCTGTGCCGGGCGCTTGCAGAAGCCAATGAGGTCTGCCGCATGGAGTGAGAGAGCGATGTGATGATGCGGGAGACTGCTGTCTGCGAGGATTCTGAACAAGTGCCGAGCTGTCGAGAGGGCAAGGACGGGCTGCGATGGTGGCGCGTCGCATTGATGAGGGAGGAAGATTTAGAGGAATAGCCCTTGTTGGCGAAGCTGACGAAGAGGGCTTTCCTGGCTTTAGTTTGATGTAAAACATTAACACACATGGCATGGTACTGCATGGCTCGGAAGGCAAACCCCGCTGTGGTTCTTAGCCTCAGTCACGGTGATGGGGAGTCTGAGTGGTCGAGGAGCAGGATTGCAGGGAGGGGGGTGTGCGTGAGAATGATAGGCTTGGAGAGGTCCGAGACAGAGAGGGTGCGTGTTCATATAATCTTTTCGCTTGATCTATATGTGGGCATTACCTATTGCAAAAGTTTTTTTTGGCAGACATCGTGCACCATCCATCCTTTTTGTTCCCGGTCAGACTGCCTGCGTCCATCCCATCAGCCTGCTTACGCTACCCTTGTATATACTCGCCAGTGCGCCCGGTGCGTCACTTTCGCCTGTTTTCTGTCAGACATCCTCCTGCCTGGTTCCCGCAGCTGATCGAGTGGTCGTTCGACACATCGTTCCACTTAGGCGCCGGGCGTTTGTTTGTACTTGGACAACATATCCATCAACAAACGTAGAGACGGCAGCCGCACATTCGAGACATGTCAACTCCCACCGGCAACTTCCCTCTCGCGACCGAGACATCCAACTCTGTTTTCAGTTGGGATGTCGTAGACGGGTCTGCTGCTGGTGCCTCGGGTAGCTCGTCCGGCGGCATCCATATCTCTCGTGGAGCGCTGATTGCCATCATTGTCATTGTCATCGTCGTCGCTAGCTTCGGCAGTAAGTTCCCGCAAGATCGTCTCTCTGATAGGATATCAGACTGACTTGACGTTTAGTTGCCACGTCTATTCTGTTCTACATCGCGAAAAGACGCGAGTGGACGGTCAAGGAGACGCTGCGGAGGTCGGCAAAGAAGGTGGTCGATGCCCTGACGCCCAGGCGGACCGAATTCCCCAAGTCAGTCAAGGAGTCTATGGGCCGAGGCGACGTGCCGCCAACACCCCGTATTAAGCCAGAGTATTTTGATGAGGATGTCGAGAAAGGCATTGAAAAGGAGGGTGACAAGAAGAAGCAGACGAACGTTGGCCGGAAGTGAAGGACGTATGACAAACGAGGAACGCCTGGTGGGATATACCCAGTGGCGGATAACACGGTGAACAGTGGAGGACATCAAGATGCGCGCACTTCGCAATGACTTCAGATTGTGATGACGGACATTAGCTTGGGAAAGTATTTCATTGTATGATATAGGGCCTGGGCAGAAGCGGATTTGGCGTTCATAGTTTCCGGAGAGCGTTGTTGCTGGCGCTTCTCCTGTCGGTGCGGGGTTTGGTTTCTGGCGCTGGTTGTGGCTTCTTCTTCTTAGATTCGGGTATGAATGTAAGCACTTGCTCCCCAACAACCTCTCCTGTCCTAATCCTAGAAGCACGGGTGTCCTTCTGTTCCCGCTCGCCGAAGGCGGTATCCCCAAGCTTGCCGCCTTGCTCTTTGGAGGACCGGATCTGCATGACGACTTCGTCCTTGGGCTTGGATGCTTCATGCTTCTTGGGCTCTTCAACTTTCTTCGGCTTCTCCTTGGGCTTCTCTGGCTTTTTGTTCTCGCGCCGGGGCTCGCGCTCGTCTTCGGATCCGCTGCCTTCGCTGCTCTCCTCTTCGCTGGAGAAGTCGCCCATCTTGACATCGCCGTCCTGATCTCCTTGGGCACCGGGAATCTTTGTGCTTGGGTTGAGGGCGCGAAACTCTCTGCTGGTTTCGTCGACGGCGAACTCTTCGTCTTCGAAGAGCTTTCCGAAACGAGGATCTTGCAGCATGGCAGCCGCAACGTCGGGCTTTCCTTTCTTCTCTTGGCGCTCCGCGATCTTCTCCACGAGCTTCTGGTTAACCTTGACCTTCTTGATGCCTCTGATACGGCTGGAGCGCTCCTTTTCGATCTTCTCCTTGATACGCTTCGCTCGTTCCTCTTCCCAGATGTAGGGGTTGGTGATGAGCCTGGCCTGATCGTACAGCTTGGCATGCACGAAGAAACCATGCATGTACGGCCGAAGCAGATTGGTCTTGCCAATGAGGTGGTCCAGGCTGAGGGACTTGAGCTCGGGCTTGGTGAGGAACTTATAGTTGTCGTAGGTTTCTGTCCGCTTCTCGCTTTCCATCTCATGAACCAGGTTGTCCAAGAAGTGGCACCACCTTGGCGCGAGACCAAGATTAGGGATGAAGAAGCAATGCATCTGCTTGCCTTCGTTGGCAGTCAAGATCATGCCTGAGTCTGGGACATGGGTAACGAAGTTGAGGTCGACAAGCGGCTCAACCGAGGTCCAGAGGTCACCGCTCTGTTCATCCCAGATCTTGATAATTCGCTTATCTGCCGAAAGCAGCTTACGCTCCTCGGTAGGAGTCGTAAGGTGGATGAGATTCTTGATGGGAAGCCCCATGCCCTGGTCCTTTTTCAACAATGGGCGCGGGTTTCTCAGGTCAAAGATGCGGATTTGACCAGTGCTGGTACCAAGAGCAAGAGATAATCCATCTCTGCTGTAGTCCAGGGCAGTAATCTCGCCGTCCTGGTTCCCAAGAACAGCTACACGGCTCTTGCTGCGTGGGTCATAGAACTCGACAGTACCAATGGAAGTGCCGAATGCGCAAAGACCGTGAGTGTTCTCAGCGACTGCGGCAACGTTGACAGCACCAGCATGAATGCTGCCCTGTAAGCCACTGCCGGGTTCATCCTCACCGACATCAACCTGCCATGGGCGCAGGAATTGGCCCCTTTCCAAGTCCAACCGGAAGACCTCTCCGTACCCTGACCCATCCGAACTCAACCCAACGGCAGGAACCAAGACTTCACAACTCTGTCGAAGGTATGCAAGATCGCGACCGAACCGAGGAATCCTGATGGAGTAGTGGCAACCCATCGGCGTGTGGAACTCGAGTGTTCGGTCACATTGGAGGTGGACGCTCTTTGAATAGTCCTGGCTAAGAAGCAAGAAGGTGACGTTTTCCGAGTTCGTGTGCCGGGAGAAGGAGAGCGACAGTTCTCGTGTGTTGTGGACATGGAACTGGGGCTTGTATGTGCCCGTACTCATGATCCAGTTGCCATCTTCACTGACACGGACGCAGTTGCTGGCTGTCAGGGGACAGTGTTAGGAAAATCGATGCCGAGTCTGAGGGGATTTGATGTAACTTGCCTTCCTCAAATTCAAATTCCTGTATCAACTCAAAGTTGTTGAGGTTCTCTGGGTCATATTTGGCTGACCGTTTCCTGCGGCGCAAGAGCCAGTCTGGGAGTGGGCGGGCTGTCGACGGCCCCGCGACAGTGTACCTGGGATGGAGCGTTAGCCTTTTGTTTATTTTCGAATAATGGCAAATGAGTGGTCATATAGAAACTTACACTGGAACGGGCCCTGGATTCGTTAACTTCATGGCGCGCGATGATGTTGTGAACGCAAAAGAAAAAAGAGTAGACAGAAAGAAAAACGCAACACTCGTCATCACCAAGCGCAAAGCGCAAGCTCTGGACGCATTGCGGCAGAAAACCAAAAAGTTTCGAAGGTTGCGTCCTAAAGAGGAAGGCGGGGAGACTTGCCCGTCTGAGCGGTCAGGGTCGTGGCCCACCAGGCCATTGCTCCACCATGTTTTGCTGCGGCATGTTTCGTTTCGTCAGCCACGTCTGCGCACACTGTTTGATTTTTTGTATAATTTACTTGATCATATATGATGGCATCCTCATATGAAAATGATCTTTTTAGACAGGCCACATATATAAATGCATGTGTCAGTCTAAATAGGACTGAACTGTACCTTTACAATGCGCTGTCCTGCTAACGCTGACCCCCATGTTATTTTTTCGCGCCCCATCCCATCCATGTGGTCCACCCCTGGCCGTGGGGCTCTTGGCGCGCCTCCACCCTTTTGGCAGCTCGCGCTCTTCGATCTGATCCAATCTACATCCACGGTCGCTGTAATCTGTACCACCTCAGGAAACTGCCAGGAGTTGCACCACGCCTTACGACTATCTGCCTCGACAGAAGCCGTCGCCGGCTCAGCGTATCGAGTCCCGCGGCTCTGTCATCGTCCGAGGGACACTAAAAGACGCATAAGATTTTCGATTAGCCATCGAATTGGCAACCGCGCATCGCTGTCATTCGATCACGCGCTCGCCGAGCCGCCGTCATCCGTTGCGAAGCTTCGAGCTAACCATTTGCTCAACCCGGTGTGACTCTTGTACCAGACGCCAGCGCGTGCATGTGTTCGACGAAGGGCTGCCGGTGATCTCTAAGGCGTGGCAGTTGTTGGGGTGTACGCGCTGCCATGGAGATCTGCAGCCCGGCGCAAAGAGAAGACGTCCGCATAGCCCATCTCCCATCTCCCTCTGCCGCGGCTCATACCCCGCGGGTTTCAACCGCCACCGCAACTGATCTCGTCGCTTTCTCCGATAACTATCGGTAGTCGCGGCTTTGAACCCGTATGCTTCAGCGTCTTGTCCGACCAACCCCTCGAATTCCTGGTCTCGGTGGATGACCACCCGCTTCCTGTTCGCACATTCTGCGCGACGCCTACATTATGGACGCGGGCGAATATGAGACGAACACCCTGTTGATTGTGAGCACGCGCTTCCCCAGAGTGCGTTTGATGATCTATGAATGTAGCTAACCTAACTGCTGATGGCAACAGAGCAACCTCTCGGCTATTTCCTTCCGTATCTATGAGCCAATCGCCTCGCAGTCCATCTATACATTCAATGCTTCCGATGTCGAGGACGCCCTCCGCAATGATGGCCTCCTGGTCTACATGGATGCCGTCAGACGCGGCATTTGGTGCTTCTATCTCTCGTCCAACGACCCCTCCACGACCACACATCCTGAACAGCTCGGCCTACATGCGCGGATGGAGGTTTGTGGGTACCCCCTCGGCCTAGTCGCAAACGGCAGCTTTGAGCCTGTGGGACTGTTCAGGAATCGGCCGTTGGGGCCAAATGCAATCAACACACCAACCAGTTCATCGTCGACCAATTCCGCCGTGGAGGTGAAGTTCAGCTTCGATGGCAAGGCTGCGCCCATACCGAGTCAGGACTTTAAAGGGTACAGCACGGTCCCGGTACGGGAAATTTACGAATTCTTCGTCAAGGCGGTTTTGTCATCTTTGACAACCTTCTTCTGCCGCAATTCTGGCGCCATCCTGCTCAATCACCGCACTGTGCTTCTTCCCTCCACCGCTTTCGCCTCCGGAGACGCCGATTGGAACCAAATACCAAAACAGGCCGCCGTAGGCACGTTTCGCACACACTTGACTACTACGGGCTCACTTCTCATCTCTCTTCATGTCTCTCTACTCCACGGAATGGTCTCCAGTGCCGATGTACTGCGATCAAGCCTGCTCTCGGCCAGCTCAACGGTCCTTGCTGCCCCGTTTGGAACGTTTGGAACCTTACAAGGGGTTATTAGTACGGATGAGACCCAAGCGGGCGAGAGTGGTAGTTTTGGTCAGTATCCCGAGACGCAAGTTACACGAATGCGACAGAACCACACCGAGAGGTTCATTCAATGGAAGAACACCTGTTACACACTGCTTCAGATGAAGGGCATGTCGCCATCGCTGCTGGATGGGAGTCCTTGGCTCAACATACACTTCACCCAACGAAAACCATACGACTACCGCCCAGATGGCAAGAGGACACCGCTCAGCAGCTCTGGTCCAACGGCTCCATGGCCGGCTGTCCTCTGTTTCCGCAAGCCTAAACTTGAGTCAATGGCTGATGTACCCTTCGAGAAGGCCTTCAATGCCACTGGGATCGAGAGTATGGATCCGTTAAACAAGGCCAAGGTGTGGTGTGAAGGCGTGTCGGAACGCGAAGAGGCCTTGGCAAGGCGTAAGAAGGAAAGAGATATCACTGCAGCACAGGATCACGCCCAGCTAGCAGATCAGAAAGGGCAGTCTCAGACAAACGGTTTGTCGCCCATGGGAGCATGGCGTCCTGCCAACGGAGTCGTGGCTGGATCTACAGCTGGAGCAATGTACCCGACCCCTCCAGATGGTGTGCAGCAGATTGGAGCTGCAGCCTTTGATGCTGCCCAGATGCAAAGCCCATCAGGCCAGCTCCCATCGAATAACATAGCGGGAGTTGGAGATCAAGCAACGCAAGTTACTGCTGGTCAAGCTCAGGGGCAAGCTTCGGCGCTTGCTCCGGCCCCAGCTGCTGTCACTGAACCGGCCTTTAACTCAACCAATTTTCCAGAAGAAAGCTATTATGGAGATCTGGGAGAAAATTTGTTCGAGGGCAATGAGCTCACGGAGGCCGACTTTGAGAACATCTTTGATGAGCAGCCCACCAGCATGGACTTGTACATGCCAATGCTGGACGGTGAGCCCGCTCAGCCTGCTGTTCAGGACAACAGCCAAAATCAAGGAGGTATGGAAGGCGTCCAGATGACGCCGAGTCAAGAAGAGCAAGGGGCGAGCTCAAAGCCATTGCCACCTGTGTTTGCTGCGAGACCGGACTTGAGGCCTCCTAACAACAACACCTTGGTTAATCAACAAGCCCTGCAACAAAGTAATACGGAAAACTTTAATCGTAATTCAGCCATCGGCATCAAGCGACACCCTAGCCCATTTAACCCTGAGACTGTCTTCAAGAGGATCTGCCCAGCATTCTCCCGGCCGCCGCCGGTACCATTGGCACAGCGAAGTCTACCCTCGCGGCAAAGTGCGCGTCACAACAGCGTGTTTGAGCCGATCGAGTTTGACCCGTCTCTCGCGCTGACTAGCAAGAAATATGGCGAGCATGGCCTGTTCGATTACCGATCCGCTCTCAAGAACAAGGAAAGCGATGCGTTTTTCAATGTTAGTCCTGCTAGCACCAGCTTCCCAACGAACGTTCGCCAATGCAAGAGCCAAAACAACCCCCCTCAAGATTTTGGGTCAATCCTCGTCAAGCTGGCAGCAGGGCACGCGAACGGCTCAGTATCTCAGAAAGACGTCTTTTCCGACTCTGAATCCAGCACCTGGACCTCAGACGACGACGAGCACGCGGCGAATGATGCCTCAGGGCGTGCGTCATCCCCAGCCAAGTCTAGTGTTCTGCAACGGCGCCGGCCAGATGATGATGTCGTCTCTATCGCCGCATCCTTCCGCGAATTGGACCACCTCTCGGCCGACTCTCCCGGCTATGGACCCGTCGATATTGCTCGTCTGTCGACGGCCGAGATTCCCGAGCTCTCGTTGTCTCGGTACTTCGCCGACCCGGAGCCTGCGCCGCTGCGTTTGTCGGTTTCGGATGCCGATTTCATCACCGTGGCTCAAATCCTCACTGAGCAGGCGGCGAGTGGGTTTCTGAAGCTGCCTGCTGAACGGCCCTATTCGGACCTCCAGGATGCCAGGAGGAGCTTGGTCAAAGCTATTCGGTACTCGGTCCGCGGTCTGCATAAGGCATTGCCGCGAACACTCTCTGGGGCAGTCGGTTGCCAACTGCGGCCGTTGGCCGAGGTGCAGGACGTGCCGTTAATGCAGCCGATTGGGAGGGTACAAGTAAGGGCGAATGAGGTCTCGAAGTCCAGTATCTTTTCCATACCGGTACCACATGTCGAGCTGAGGAGGTATGACAACCAGCTGTCGGTGCTGCCGTCGGCTGTGTCGTTCTGGGAGACACTGGGTCTGGGTCCGGTCCAGGGACCGAAGGATATTGTCGCCGTCTGTGTGGTGCCGCAGGTTGAGGGTATGAGAGAGAACGCTGCGGCGTTCTTGGATAGGGTGCAGAGCACCTACGAGGTGCTACGGCTGGGTAGCTTCGACAGGCTACCTACGTCAGGAAACGTGGTGGATGGCTTGGTCCTGCTTGTCACGGATCAAGATGTTGGGTCTCCCGGTTTGAGCATGAACATGCAGCGGTCGGCGTTCAGTCACCCAATGGCGAAGGTGGCATTGGCATGTGCCAGTGCCCAAATAACGGAGAAGAACATCGTCGTATTCTTCGCCTACACCCCTGAAAAGCCGGGCTCGATTGTCGACGCCTGCTCTGCTTTCCAAGAACTCTTCGAGCACTACAAGCGGTTCCTGGTGGAAAAGAAAAAGCCCGTTGCAAACGAACTCGCTTTACAACTCATCCCGCTTGACTACATCGTCTCCGAGACAGGCCTCGTCGTTCTAACCCCTTCCGAGTGCGCTCGCCTCTGCATCGAGACCTACGACCGCTGCACGCTGTTCGGCGGGCCCATGCCCTCACCTGCTATCCTCCTTGAAAAGGCCCTGCCGCGCGCAATCGACTTCAAGCTCGCCGCCACACCTTCCCCAAACCTCCTTCGCGAAAACCAATGCATCCACATCGCCTACGCACGCAGCATCGACGAGCGCTGGGTGACCGCCGCGTGGACAGACAATCGCGGCAGCAACCAGGCCATTGCATCGTACTGTCTCGGCCGGAGGGGGAGGCCGCTCTCGCGGCCCTTCTCTGACGTCGTCCATGAGATCTGGGAGACCACACAGGCTATTATCTCGACATGCAAAGTCCATTGGCGAGTGATTATCACCAAGTGTGGCCCCATGGACCCCCATGAAATCGAACTCTGGGCAGCGCGCGCGCAGGCCGAGACGAGATCTAACGTCAGCTTGGTGCTGCTGACGGTCGACACCGATCCGTCGCTGCAGCTTATCCCGCCGGCAGCGACAATACCGACGTCTGCGCCGTCGGTGTTTTACTCGACGCCTGTGTCAACCCCACAGCCGATGTCGTCCATGTCGCCGGGCGAGAACCCGCCTACCCCATCCGGCTTCGGGGGTAGTTCGTTCACCCCCGGAGGAGGAGGGGCGGGGGAGTCCTCACAAACGCCCGGCTCCCAGCCGCAGTCGCAGCAACAGCAGCAGATTGACCTCACTGCAGGTGCGGATGGAGAGACTACTCTGATTGACCCCTCTGAGATGACACACGGCGTGCTACTTTCCCACCGGCTCAACAATTCCCCTTCCCTAACAGACCTCAACCCGGCCCTTGCAAGCGGGTACCTCATCAAGCGGGGAGGTCCACGGCCTGAGGATCTCCCGGTTGCCATGGAGGTCAATGTTGTGTATAGCGATCCGGCGAGAACGATGTATGACGCGCTGTTAAAGGAGATGTTAATATACTTCAGGGGGTTAGGGACGCTGGCAAGGGTTAGAGGGGTTGTCAGGCAGGATGGAGGGGGAGATGTAAGACCTTGGCATGTGGCTGTTGTGGAGAAGGCGGTTAGGGCGGTTTATTTGTTGATGTGAAGAACGATAGCAAAGGTAATAAATAGTAAGGGAGAGAGGGGATAGGAAAGATGGGAGGGAAGAGGTTGAATGGAAGGATAGATGGTGTTTGTTTGGAATGTGCCATCTTGTGTGTCTAGTTTCTATCTCTTTTTTTTCCCTATTTTCTCTCTTTTTTTCTTTTTTTTTGTTTCGTATTATGGGCGCATCGTGGGCATGTGTAGGGTTCTACCTGTACCTACTTGCATACATACCCCCCCCCCAACTCGGGCGAAGGAAATGGTCGATTTTTGGTCACTGCTTATTTGATATCTCACAAAAGTCGTCACATTACATCCATCATCGTAAATAGGTCGTGCTGGTCTATGTATCACTCGCTGCAGTGTCTATCGTCTATAGAGAGAGAGAAGGAGAGTGTGCCCAAACCCAGAAAGCAGAAAAGCCTAACCCAACCATTGCCCAGGATTCCCCATCCATAGATACACCTAGGTATTTACTCATTCCAGAAGCCAGGGAACAGATACTCGATCCTCTTCATCGCCTCGGGGTTACGGCCCTCAGGCTTAGTCATGAACTTGACGGCACCCTGGGCGCTGCCTTCCCAGTGCTTGGCCAGCACCAAATCGCTGTTCTCCTGCTTGAGCAGCTCATCCAGCACGGCAGCGACGAGATGCTTGGCATTCTGGCTGTTGGCAGCCATGTACTTCATGACCATAGCCACGTCAACATCCTCGCTCTCATGCCAGCAGTCATAGTCCGTCGCCATGCAAATCATCTGGTAAGCGATCTCTGCCTCACGCGCGAGCTTCGCCTCCGGCAGCGCGCTCATGTTGATCACCGACCCTCCCCAGCTACGATACAGGTTACTCTCAGCGCGCGTGCTGAACTGCGGGCCCTCCATGCACACCACGACACCGCCCATGTGCAGCCTGACACCATCGCCGCGCATGGCATCCGCGCACTTCTGCACGACCTTGGCCAGGCCTGCATCGAACGGGTCGGCGAAACCGACGTGCCCGACAACGCCGCCCTCGAAGAAAGTGAATGGCCTGACGCCCTTGGTGCGGTCGATGATCTGGTCGGGGACTACGAAGTCCATCGGCTTGATTTCTTCGCGCAGGGAGCCGACGGCCGAGAAGGCGATGATGCTGCGCACGCCGATGGAGCGCAGCGCGGCGATGTTGGCGCGGGAGGGCACCTCGTGCGGGGCCAGCTGGTGGTGCAGGCCGTGGCGCGCCAAGAAGGCGACGGGGTGCCCGTTGTGTTCGAGGATCAGGATTGGGGAGGATGGGTAGCCCCAGGGCGTCTCGGGGTTCAGGGCTGCCACGGGCGTATAGCCCTCCAACTTGCCCAGCCCGGTGCCGCCGATGACGGCGATGTGGACGGGGCCTAGGAAGAGATTGTTAGTGAGAGTTGAAGAGGGGAGAGGTTGAAGGGGGGAACTCCTCACGGTCAAAGGTGGTTGGGAGGTCGAGGGTCATGGTGAGCAATTGGATTTGGGAACTGGCAACGATGCGATAAAGCGATTGACAACGGCGACGACGACTGTGCACAAAGATAGCAACAGATGGCAATTGGTAAGCCAAAGAATGGATGAACGAAAGAAGGAGTTAGAAGTGAGAGCGCGCTCCTCGATGTATTTGTAAGAAGCAAACTTATCAGTCGATTTCTGTCTATCGTAAATCACAAGCGACCTGGTCTGCGACCCTGACCGCGGTTTTCCGCCCACCGTCTGTCTGGCTTTCTGCCTGGATAGCGTTTCCTTGAGCCCCTCCACAGTCCACCCAATGCTGTCGCAATTTTTCGGCGACTTTTTTGTTGGAGGGGCACGCGGCCCACGGGCCAGGATGGTCTTTTTTTGCCCCGCCGTTGCGACGACGTCGAGCATGTTTGAGGGATCCACCGCTGCCTTGCAGGGACTTACGATGGCGCTAATACAAAGAAGGTTAGCGTAAAATGAGGGGTAAGCGGATCCACCAGCTTGAATAGGCCGGGGCCTTTTTTGACGAAAGACCGGAAGTTGAATCCAGGTTGTGAAAATAGACCCAAAGTCCGACTTTGAAGAATCTCACGGCTCACAAGTCACGATTGAAGATTAAACCAAGAACGATAGCCGACCCTAAGTATGATCTGATTTGTTGGAGTCAAATCATATCTTCTCAAACCTCGCATAGAACGTCAGTCAACACTGTCATAAAACGGAACTCAATTTTGGCCTTAGGTTTTCGGGATTTTCAACATTGTGCTTGTGGTTGTATTTGCCAGCCGCCCACTTGCTCTGCACAGCAAAAGGAGTTTCAAGGATAGCAGTATCCAGTCTCTTAAGCTAGTCTTACAGCCTATGTGCGGCCTTTTCCCCCTGGAAACAAGATAGCGAGAGCAGCCTTTTTTTTTTCTTCGGGTATCTTGAAGGCGAAGAGCAGAAAAAACAAGGAAAGCAGCCATTCCCTCCTCACGCATCGTCAAGTCGGGTTACGGATAGCAGCCCAGCATCAATCAGCCCTCAACATCGCCCCATGTCATCTACAACTGCGGCTGAGCCAGCTCAGCCGGCAGCTCCGGCAGCTCCGGCAGCCCAGACGACAACAGCTACTGCCACGACTCCTGCTCCTCCATCCACTACTCCCGCTTCTTCCAGCACCCAAGACATTGCTGCTCCCCAGTCATCAAAAGATGCCCAACAAAAAGAAACGTCACAGGTCATCCGACGGCCCTTAAGCATAGAAGAGCTATGCTTCACCTCCGCCATGAGCTGCTTTGAGGGTTGGCTCAAGCTTGATCCAGCCATCGGCCCGCGGACCATGCACTACGTCACCAAGTTCATCTCGAGGACCCTCGAAAAGACCCACAACCTTAAGGATGTTCGGGAGAATCTGTCCAAGAGTGTCGAGGTCTGGCTTTGGCTCACCAAGGACTTTGCTGCGGCTATTCCCAGCTTGACGACGCGGTCCATCGGCCCTCTGTCCAGCTTGAACGACCCGGAGAGGAGTGTGACCCCGCAAGAGAGCACGACTTTGATCATCAAAAACTATTCCTCGCTCAAGGAGGATCTGCAGCTGCTGATTAAACTGATGCACATTGCAAGAAATCTCCTCGTCGTCCCTGAGCCAGAGATTCCTCAGGACCTCTGCGCTGCTACACAATTCGATCAGATGCTCTACCAGACGATTATCCTCTGCATCAACGTCACGAGTAAGGCTTACGACGGGGACGTGCTAGAAGACTCAGCCCGCTCTAAGCTGAGCGAGATTACCGAACTGTGTAAGTGTTTGTTGTGGAGACTTCGTTTCTCGACGGATTCTGACTAATACCATGCAGACAAGAAACTATTAGTGACATCTCTGCAGCAAGCACACAACTGGATCGCCAAGAATGACCGCAACAAGATGGCCTTCTGGTCGACCGTGCTCTTCGACGACGAGACGCTGGCCGACGAGACCGAGGCGAACGACGGCGAGTTCCGCCCTGACGTTGCCAAGACGGAGGTGCAGAATTGGTTCGAGAGGAACTCCCGGCTCTGCGAGAAGGCGCGGCTCCTGTTGCGCGAGTACGAGGCAAATGTGGCCAGCCATGGGTATCCGGGTCACCTGCACCGCGACTCGCCCTTGGCCTGGAACTGGCTGCCCGAAGGATCGGTGCCTGTTCGCGCCGACGATGCCGATAACGACACCAAGATTACCCCCCAGTGGAACGAGGACGAGCCAGACAAGTTTGAGCAAGACAAAGCTTATGGCCGCGTCTCGCGTGAAATTGACACGTGGTGGCTGAAGAACAGGGATCCTAACTACGATGACTGGGTGGTCCCCATGCCAACCGTTGAGTTTGCCCAGCAGCGGACCGAGAACTGCAAGGCCAATCTGCTCAATCGCTATGTTCACTCGTACCGCGTGGCCGAGCACGAAGGCTCAGTTCATTCAGCCGAGGGCGTTCAGTCGGAAGGTGCTGGGGAAGAGGGCAGAGAGGGTGGTGGCCATTATACGCATGACTATGGCGAGGAGATGATCGAGGAAGAGAGCATCGACGATGACGACTCATACGGCGAAGGGCCAATGAACGGTCTCCTGACTGAGGTGCCCAATATCCTGGATCCGAAACAGATCGAGGCGCTGCACATGATTGTCAAGTCATGCATCCTCGACAATGCCGGCCTAGCCTTGAGCAGGGCGGGTGAAAACCTGCAAAAGACGCGATGTCGCATGTTTTTGGCTCTCGAGTGTGGCAGAAGCTTGCTGCGGGAGATCCTCGTCTTCATTGCCGTTTGGGAAAAGAGCGAGCAGTCGCTCATCTTTCAGCTTACCACTCAGATCGTCGAGGCCATCCACCACAGCGCCTTGATTCCCTTCGCCTGGCAGAGTCTGCGCATCCCCAAGGACATCATGTCTCCCGCGCAGACTGTCCTGCTCAGGCTGATCAACAACATGTTTCGGGCCCGTAACAATGACCCCCCTCCTCCCGACTCAAAGGAACACCTCCGGGACGTCAAGCTGCTTCACTTCCTTTTCATCCAGTTCCGTAGCCGGATTGTTCCCGAATGCGTGGCGTTGATGCACCTGCAGGCTCAGATCCGCAACGGCCTATGCGACCCGGCCGATTTCCCCGTCGACAGCTGGGACATGGAGCGTGCCAAAGATGGCATCCAGCAGTTCCTCGAGCTCTTTACCACAGTGAACGAGCTGCCTGAAACCCGCCAATATCTCATCGAATGGGAGGCAGTCTACGAAATGATCACCCTCCTCAAAGGCCTCGACGCTGGCGTGCAGAAGAAACCCATGGTCGAACTCCCCGCCCGCTCAGCAGCCCAACGCCATCATCCCCCACCCCCTCCTCACCACGACGACCCCGACGCAGGCTACGACTCCGAAGACGGCCCTCTCGTCCCGGGCCCGCCTCTCGAAGAACCGGCCCACAAATACCCCTGGGCCGGCATCAAAGGCCAAATCCTGCACATCCTGGCCGGCCTGCTCCAACCTCCCCCCGGCCGCAGCAGCCCCGGCAATCCCATCGTACAACATCAGATCCTCCGACACAACGGCATCATCGCCCTGCTCAACTGCTGCGTCTACGACGACTACAACCGCTTCGCCCGCGAGCGCGTGCAGATCTGTCTTAAGTGGCTCATGGACGGCTGCGACGAGGCAAACCGCTACTTACGCGACCTGCTTGCCTCGGCGCCGCCCCCGCCCAGTCTCAGGCCTACGGCCGGAGATGGGGGTCCTGCTACGGCGACGGTTAGGATCGATGGGATCGCGGGGGAGGTTAAGGTTAGGCGCCGCGATCCGGGGGATCCGCCTCTTCCTCCGCCTAGGCAGGGGAGAGTACCTGGGGCGGCGGCCGTTGCGACTATGATGGATATGACGGATGTGTTGCCGCCGGAGAATACCTTGCCTCCGATTAGGGCTCCGGGGGAGAGGGCCGGGGGAAGGAGTAGGCCGGATGAGTTGCTGAGGGATATTATTACATTGGCAGACGAGGCGGCGAGGTTGGCGATTGGGGGACGGGTGGATGGGGATGAGACGGAGGAGGATGATGACTTTATGTAAGTGGCGTTAGCGAGCAGAGGCGTAAGATAGGGCTGTTTTGTGTGCATTGCATGCATAGGCTGTGTTGACTGGTTGTTGGAATATATTGTGTTTGTATGGTGTAAGCGCGAGATAAATATACTGAACTGCGTCTTAGTCGATTGCATACATACAAAAGAAAAAAAAAACTGGTGGTTTCAGCCTCCATATCTGCTTCTCGACTTGGAAATATCTCCTTTATTGATTCCACAGTAGTCAACGGTAGACATGTATGCCATCTGTGCGCAGGCTGGCACCATCCCAGGGAGTTTACTGACCCATCTCGGGTCAAGTAACTCTTTCTTGGGGACCACCGGCCATATTTTCCTAGCACAGCACGAAATCCTCTTCACGGCAAGCCTTCTCCCCTTTGCATTTGTCAGGCTATCCTCAACGCCTGGCTGTCTCCCAAGTCAACCATATCCAGTCGTTCCTTAGATCTTGTACATTCTCCTTTCTTCCCTCCTTCCTCCCGTCATCACTCTCCTCTCCCTCTTACCCCCCTTTATACACCTTAAAATTGTCCATGGCTGCCTATCCGTTTGTCTGTGAACTTGTCAGCCGTTACGGGAAACAGACCCGACCTCGACTAGCATTTGTCTTTCTCGTTTCCTCCTGTTGAATGCCGTTCCAGCATTCCCATGAGTGCTTCAGCGACTTACTGCGCTTTCCTTCGTGCTCTCTGATCCTTTTGAAAACCCCCCCCCCACCTCCCACCTCTCCTCCCGTCCCACCTCCTCCAGAAGTTTAGAATGCAATATTTGCTCTGGAATGCTAAGTGGGCTGCTATGCCCTTTGGGACACCAGATCGCCTAAAAGAATGCGGCGGGGCAAAGGTGGCTTCTAAGATAGTGAGTATCGCTTCAGATCAAGTAACGGTTCGCCAGGACAATTGGAAGGACTGGGACATGTGATCCAGCCCACCCTGTCAGCTGTATTTGAGGGTGTTAAAAAAGGAACAAATAAAGCTTCCTTGTTCTTGGCCCATGTGTTTTGTGGTTGTTGTGACGTTTGACGGGTTGATACACCCTCCGCCCGCGGCGACCAGACTTCATGACTGCCAGTTGCCGTGGCTGTGAGGGCCTCCGCGGGCGGCAAAGCCAGAGCAGAACCAGGATGAGCAGCCCGCAGTCCTGATCGGGGAGGCAAATCACGGGGAAAACAGGGCTTCTTGCCATGGAGATCTGTACCAATACCCACAGAATCTCGGACGAGTACATCAATCGGCATGCTTTTGACATTTCATAAAGTCTCTCCAGGATCAACACCCGAGAAGACCTTAGGAGCCTGCAACCCAAGGGTGAGATTGGATTTTAGACCTCCCCATATGCTGAAGTATGTTGAGGTGTTGGAAAGACGGATGCAGATGCACCGCAGGTCGAGAAGAGGCCGGCAATATCGCTCGCTGGCTCGATGGCAATTTAGGAAAGCAAAACATGGAAGTCAGGTAGGGATTGTTACTTCCCTGATCTAGAACTCCATTATCGTGCTGCTTAAGGGTATATCATCTTCAGAAAAGCGTGTCCGTAGAGGAAGGTCAAGGTGAGCCAGAGAGGAGCAACATATACCGTCTTGAGGTCAACCAAGTTGCCTTTATCTAGAGCTTAGTCCTCCTCGCCTAGGGATCGTGAATGGCGACTCCAAAATATGTCAGGCCATCAGTACAAGCCCATTAAGACAAGGGAAAGTATGTGAATACATAGAGAGGGAAACGGAGACTGCAACATCCCATTTATTATCACTTGATCTTCACCAGGAATGAAGAAGACAAACCTCCTAGGACTACCTTCTCTAACCAGTTGTTATCACATCTTTATTATTTATTCATCCTATTTTAATCTCCTTTTAAACCCATCTCCATCTTCAGACTGATGATAGTGATAATGCTGCTGCTGCAGCAAGCTCGTCTACTAATCTCCCTCTTGAGTGTCTCCGGCTCTTCCAAAATCATTCAAAAAAACAAGATCCCAACCTCGCCATGCAACCTTTCATCCGCGCCCTTCCCCCCCCCCCCTTCCCCTCCCCTTCCCCAAAATAAAAATCCTATCCATCCTTAGCCCCGCTGATCCCCTTCTATTTAAGAATTACTCATTCCTCCGTCCACTCTCCCCCTCCCTCACCGCATTCAGGATCATATCCTTTGCCTTCTCAACACCCTCCTTACTACCCACAATAACAATAGCATCCCCATCCGCGTGCTCCCTCGGCACAGTAACATTGCACCCGCTCTTCTTGCGGATCGAGTTAATCTTGCTGCCGCCATGGCCAATCACGTGGCGATAGGTGCGCGGGTCGGGCAGCACCAGGTAGCCCGTAGTATCGTGGGCACGAGCCTGGTCGAGCGCGCTCTGCACCGCCTTCTTAGCCTTTTCCACATCCTCCGCCGAGCTGCCGCGCAGCACCCACGGGATGGTCTCGCTGTCGGCGGAAGCATCGCGGGTGATCACAACCCACGAGTGCACGTCCGGCTGGACAGCTTCGTCGGTGATGAGCGGCAGGCCAGCGGAGCCGTTGGTTGGAGCGCGAGTGTTGGCCGGGGCGGCAGGCTTGGGCGGGATGGCGTGGCCGGCGTGGTCGACAGTGACGTGGAAGTCGTTGCGCAGGCGGCGGAAGATCTGGCCGTTGTTGGAGACGGCGTGGTGAAGGGCCTTGGGCACGAGGATGGTCTCGCCAGGCTGCTCCTTGACCAGCTCCTGGATGTGGGCCTTGGCCTTCTCCACATTCTCGGGCCGACCGACAATCTTGACGCCGGTCTTGCCGCTGCCCTGGCGGGGCACGTCAATCGAGACGGAGAACTGCATCTCAAGGTTGCGCTTGGCTTCGCCGCCGCGGCCGATCAGCGTCCGGTGCTTCTCCACGGGCACGTCGATCGTCTCGGTGATCTGGGCCTCGCGCTCCGCGACGATGGCCTGGATCTGGGCGATGATCTTCTCGACCACAGCCGTGCGACCCTCGATCTTGATCGTGTTGCCGTCCGAGTCTTGCTTGGGGAACTGGATCGTGCGGGCAAGCTCGGCAGGCTCGGCAGAGCCACCGGCGTTGACAACAAGGTCACGCAGGGCAGAACCACCAGCACCGATAAGGGCACGGTGATGCTTGCGGTCGACCTCGATGGTCTTGACAACAGTGTCATCAAAGATGGCCTTCTTCTCCAGCAGGATCTTCTTGGCCGCCTCGACCTGGGCCTTGGTGCCCTTGATGGAGATCTCGACCTTGCCATCAACAGCATCCTTGGGCACGTCGATCCGGGCACCGGTCATCTCACGCAGCTTGTTAAGCGCCTCGCCGCCGGCACCGATCAGGGATGGCACCTGCTTTTGCTGCACGGTAACCGTGGCAGAGTACGAGGTATCCTTTAGGTATTGCAGGAGGGACAGCAGCTCGTCGCGAGCCTCGTCAGCGCCCTTCTTGGGACCGCGGATGACAACCTCATCAGCAGCCTGCTGGCGGCGAGGCTTGCCAGCGTCGCTGGCCGAGCCAGAAGCCTCTTCCTCCTTGCCCTTGGTGGTCTTGGGGAAGTTGATAAGGACGTTGTAGCGAGTCGACAGCTTGTGGATCTGCTTGCCGTCCTTGCCAATCAGCTCGCCGTGGAATTTCGGTTCGATCTTGAGCACATAGGTGACCTCGTTCTCCAGCTGTCTGGCGAAGTCGGTAATGTGCTTGCGGGCTGCCTCGGCCTTGGCCTTGGGACCCTTGAGGATGACCTTGCCGTCATCGACTTGGATCTCGACATCGAACTTCTCGCGAAGCTCGCGGATGTGGGAACCTCCCTTGCCAATCAAGTGGTTGGCAAACTTCTGCGGGAAGTCAAACTCGAGAGTGAAGCCACGCTCTTTCTCCTCCTGCTTCTCCTGCTCGATGAACTCGAGGCACTTCTGGGTCAGGGATTCAACCGCCGAAGCGGGACCGCGCAGGTTGACGGTCGACTTGACGTTGGACACGCGAACGCGCATCTGGTCGGCAGGCTTCTTGTCCTGCTCCTTCTTGATGAACTTCCGGAGCTTGTCATGGTACCTGTGCCGTGTTAGCATTCATCCTGGATCAGCGTAGGCTTAGCGTGTCAGCTTACTTCTCAGGAACCTCAATCGACCGGGAAGCAAGACTCTCCTGCTGGTTGATGAGGCCAAGCACATGGTTCTGGGCTTCCTGCAGGGCCTTCTTCATGGCCTCGATCTCCGACTGGGTAGGCGGGACGCGTGGCAGCTGGTACTCAGCAGGGTTCGTGGTACCCTCATAGACCAGCAGAACTGGAGCGCTTGCTTCAGAGGCGTCAGGGATGACAACGTGGACGCCCCAGTTCTGACGAACTTGAGGCGAAAGCTCCTGGCGAATGTAGTGGTGGAAGAACGGGTCCACGACAATGGTAGCCATACGGGCCGGAGGATGGGCATCGACCAGGCCTTTGATCTCAGACTGCGCACGGAGGGCGTTCTTGCCATCGCGCGAATACAGCTCCCAAGGAAGAGCGCCATCCTCAGAGAAGGGAGTATTGAAGTGAACCGAGTAGAGCTTCTCCAAACGCTCGATCTCCTTCCTCTGACGGAGGTAGCGAGTGACATTGCGGGCGTGGACCGCGGCGCCGCCGGGAGCCTGGCGGTAGAACCTGGAAATGTCCAGGTTGGCGCACTGCATATTCATGGCCAAATCCATGGCCTTCTCGACACCGTGGTGGACGCGATCAGCGGGGCCGACGATGGTCACAACATCATCCTCCTCATCGGTGGGCAGGATGATGGCGCAGCCGGTCTCCTCAAAGAACTTGTGGACGGGAACACCGCGCTCGCCAATAATGAACTGGTGACGGCCGCGCTGGATGGAGAGCTGCTCCATCATCAGCTGCTGGTGCAGCTCACGAGCGCGCTGCTCGATGGCCTCACGAGCCAGCCGGACAGCCTCACGCTCGCCAGCCAGCTGGATGAGCTCCTCAACGGCGGGAGGGAACTCGGGGCGCTGGCCGGGGGCCGGGACAACGGGCGGCTGGGCCGACCAAGGATGGTAGGTCGGCACACGGATTTGGACGCCGCTGTCCTTCTCCAGGGTCTCCTTGTGGCTGGCCAGGAAGGGGTAGAAGACGGCGGGGATGCCCTTGACGCGAGTGTTGACATTGCCAGCACGCTCGCCGGCAATCTTGAGGACGGCGTTTCTCGCAGCAGCGGCCTGCTGGGCGTTGCCTTCGATGGTGACGTCAATCAGGGCGTCGTCGTCCTCGTCATCAGGCAACTGCTCTCCCTCCGGCAGCTTGGGCATCTGGATGCGGGCGCCCGTCTGCTCCTGCAGGGCCTTGATGACGGAGCCGCCCTTGCCAATGATGTGGGCGCGGGCAATGCGAGGAATTTGCACATTGATCTTCTGCTTTGTGCCAATGATAGCAATGAAATCCTTGAGAGCCTGGGTGGCAATCTCCTGCGGGCCAGTGGCCTCGACGCGAACCTTGCCATCGGCCTGGGTAGTGACCTTGATCTGGGCACGCGAGCGACGGTTGAAGTCCTTGACGATGTCGACGAGGGGGCGCTTGAGCTGGTTGCGCGGCAGCACATGGTGAGGATCCAGAAGCATGTACTCGACGTTGCGGCCGGGGATGGTCAGAGTGCGCGGGCCGCGCGGAGCAGCAGCAGCAGCAGCAGCAGCAGCAGCATTCGGGGTATTGATGCCCGAAGACGGGCCCGAGCTGGGGGGAGTGCCGTTGGCGGCACCGGCACGGGCAGCCCAGACAGGAGCGACAGGGGCTGACTTGGTGCCGCTACCGAGCTCGGGGAACTGCTCCTCGTACCGGGCCGTCTTGGGCGCGGGGACCTTGGGAGCAGCAGACGACTCAGCCGACGACTTCGGGGGCTCAGCGGCGTTGGCGTTCGAGGCGACCGGGGCAGGCAGGTCCTCATCGGGCACGTCCTCGACCTCAACGTGGTGAGCATTTTGAGTGTGCGCCGCCAGCAGACGGGAAGCCGCAGACGGCTCGGACTCGGCGAACGACGAAGCCATTGTAAGAGACGTAACCAGAGAGAGCTGTAACCTAGAGACCTGAAGACGACTAAATGGCGTTAGCCCGGCTCCTATCAACTCAGCAATTGCCCCGTGGCGAGCTTTGGGCCGTAGGCGCTTGTGAAAGTGGCTGCTAAGGAGAGGATGACAACAAGACCGTGACGACACAGCCAGGCAGTGTAATGTCCTCAGACCTTCCCTTGCAGTGCCGTCGCCGTCTTAGTCCTCGCCATCTCTTCCATCAGGCGCCCAACCAGGACCCCGAATCGCATCACTGAAAAGGCCAAAGAGGGCAAAATCTACCTTAGCACGCCCTGCGCATGCGGTGCAGCAATTGGGCGGCAATTGATAGCGAAAGGTATTGACAGACCGGAGGATAGGTGGTTTTGGGGAACGGAAAGGAGTCGTTCCAAAATGAACTATGATTGATGGATATGGATGGAAGGCGTGGCAGCGTGGCAGAGTGGCAGCCGGCCCAGAGATGCAGTCCACTCGCTGCGGTCGCAGCCCGAGAAAAGGCCAGCTGGAGACAAGCGACCAAGCGCCAAGACGAGCTGCCAGCAGCCGGCCGACTGAGCCCAGATGGGCAGAGTGGGCGCTCGGATGAGGCCAGCCCGCTGAGCCCGGTGAGGCGAGGCTCCAGCTCCAGTGTTTTGTGGCTCGGCTGGCTCCAGTCGACAGTGGGTTGTGGCTCCAAATGCTGAGGTGGCAGCAATGGCTCCAGTGCCAGCTGGGAGCAGAGCAGTATCAGAACCGTTGCCAGTGGCAAGGTGGGCTTGAAGGGTAACCCAGTTCCTGCTTGACAATTTTTCCTCGGGAGGGGAACTGGCGTCGCTTTCAGTGAGCGCGGGGCACTGACCAGGGTGGGAAAAAAAAAAAAAAAGAAAGGCTACCATAGATGCAACAGAGAACTTGGAACTGAACCAAGGTAGATTCGGTTTGTAGGGATGGTCTCTATTGCATCAGGGCGAATCAACAAGGTTGAGCCCGTACTGAGGTCCGATAAAACAAGGGAGAACAAAGAGAGTCTGGACTAAACTTGCAAACCGAAGTCTCACTTGCGGAGTCGGCCTAGAGATGCAAGCCTTGTGCTGTTCGACTACATGTCTCTTTGACTTGTAATGCAAGGACTCAAAGAACCGACGAGTATGACTTCAGCCCACGTGAATGAATGGATAAGCTACAGAAAATACCTGCAGGCAAAAGATGCTAAAGAACACCCTCAACAACTTCTAGAAGGCAGTCCCTTGAACCTTCTAAGACATGCAGAAGCTCAAGCAGCGTCTTTGCGGATGGCTGCGAATCCAGCAAAGACCCTAACCCTGATGGCTCTAGCGTTGGTTTTTGTTGAAGAGTTATTGAGTCGCAGAGATTCAAGAAACTGTTGCGCTTTTCAGGCCGTCGCCTCACCATGCTAATTGTTTGCAAGCCCAGCTTGGCTATACCCGATTACTTGACGTTTATTTATGCCTGAGTTGTAAGGACTGAACATGATATCCCTCTCCGGCGGGATTGGTATGTCCGGATCGCCTGTTCAGTATCACCACCAACATTCGAAAGCCACAACTTAGAAGAAGGAAGCTTGCGCCATTAAAATGCCGACCGAATCCGCTGTTTACGCTCAGCGACGCTAGAATTGAATGTTTCGTGGGCACGTTGCCTAGGTAACTCTTTGCAGGTGTTTCAAAGCAGTTTTAGAGCCAAGCATAGAGCTGTGGTTTTTTGTATCAAACCAGGGGGATTGAGGAACGCGGGCAATATAGCTGATGCAAGAACTCTAGCAGCAGCTGTAAAAGCTAGCAATACGAACGTCAAAAATCATACTCCGATCGCATGCGATGCAAGATAGCGGTATTGGCGAATCGCTTAACAGTTCCGGATCTACGTTCGACCTCGGTCCTGGAAAATAGCGAGCCACGCAGCCAGAGGGGATTGTTGGACGTCGATAAGCCAGGCTGCCAGCTTTTCATACCTCAGCTGAGAGTCGCACTCCGACGCCGCTGATAGAGGATTCTGGTGGTACCGTACGTCCACAGTCCGTTATCGTGGACAGATGTATATCCCGAGTTCGTGACTGGATGGAATTTACCCAGTCGCGGGGTTGTTGGAAGCTTCCAGCCCTACTCCACGAAAATACTCTCCGAAGGTCTTCGCACGAGTACAGGCGGTTGTAAAAATGGGATCAACCAGTGATGATCAGAGCTGAAGCAGAAGACACAGCGGCAAGTGGGGTTCATGGCTAGGCGAAGCATTGAAGCGATGGTGTGTTTTGCCTATCATTATCGGGATGGGCCTTGCTTTCTCGAGCTCGAGATGGAAAAATTTGTTGGGGTTTTTGCGAGCGCAAGTAATCCTTCATTGACTTGAGTTTCCATTGCTGTTTGGTTGCTAAGGTCCAACAACGGGCTATGGCTTGTTTTATCAGGAAGTATTTGGTGAAGACTTTGAGATTTCGCTCTCTGAGATGCGAAAACGCAGCAGATAAAACCCGAACAGCGATTGATACAGTAGCTAACAGTAATTTTCCATGAGGAGACGGTAAGATTCACGGATCGTTCCGTCGCAAGCGTGTCCAAGCGCCTCCCGGAACCAATCTAGTCCGTCCGCTGCCACTGTGTCCGAGTTGGCTATGCTCCACTTCAACCCCTTCATCCCGCTCGGGCTCCAGTTCAAAAGCGGCGGCTAGCCCCACGCAAACCCGTTGGGTTGGGCTGAAGGTTTTGGGAGATTGTTCACGCGCAGACTCCGAAATGCTGTGGCTGATCTGTTTGATGTCTAGCAAAAAAAAAAAAGAAGAAGAGAATGATGATGGTGAGAGAGGAGGGAGGGGATGGGGGAGAAAGGCGATACGGGCACACATCTCATGCCAGGAATCTCACGACAACGAGAGCGACAACGACAGCGGCATTTCTACATCGTCCAATTCAATATCCATCCAAATCCGTCCAGTCTGACAATCTCGGGTCTTGATCGGCTGCTTAGGTCCTACCGGTCAATCCTGGTCGGGGACACGCTGCCGTTGCTTATGGTGCGGGCCCAGGCCGGCGGTAACCTGGACCACTGCAACCACTGTCCGCTCCAAGTCTGCAGCCAAAAGGGGGGGGGGGAGGGGCTAGCCGGCCAGGGCTTTCCTCGAGCGCTGCCTCGTACGGTGGTGCGGCGTTGCAAGATCCAGCAATCGGACCTTGAGAGCCAGCGGAAGGAGGGGATTAACCACCTGACAAAACCAGACATGTGGTGGTGCGACCGCAGTCGAAGTTCGTCCCAGGTCGCCCAGGTCGTCTGCCCTGCCTCGGCTCGCCGTGCCGCTTTTCGTGAGACCTTGGACAGATTGGATGCGGGACCAGAATTGGCCGTACGAGTGCAGCTCTTCTGCCCATGTAGGCTATGTAGGCAGTGTAGTAACCTGTAGCCTGAAGATAGGATAAGATGAAGCTTGTTACCCGGCCAGCATGGTAAAGAGTGGTCATCGTCGTGTCTATCGTGTCCATGCATGTAGCGCCAAAACGTCAAAGAACCCAGGCGCTGGCCCTGAGCGAATCCCAAACGCTCCACGAGGAGAGCGCGAAAAATGGCAGGCGTGCGTTGCCTTACAATCCACCCTGGTTTCTTCGTTAGCGCAAGACTTTGGAGACCAGGGTTTGCCCAACTACATCACAGCTCAACCACAAAACAACCATTTTCAAAAGCAATAGAGTGGTATCAATGGACAGAGGATTCATTGCTTGATCTGCCAACTAGTTTTTGACCAAAAATTGGTGATTTTGAACAAGAAAACTGTAGTTTACAGTGTAAGGCCGACCAGGACCCCTGTCCAAAGCTTTGCACTAACAATCAAACAAGGGGTCAACTGAAGTCCGTTTTGAGCAGGCCAAGTCTCTTAGGATCCCTGCGCGTATGGATGCTGCTAGCCGCGCATTCGCACTGTGTCGTGCAGGTCACTCAGGCTGCGGACCAGCGCCCTTTTTACCCAAGGCCTCCGTCTGCCCAATCATGCCGTACCCCGCTAAATTGTCACCAGAGCGCGGGCCACTGGGCCATTGAGCGACAGAGTGTAAGCGTGTGCTAGAGCGTGCGAACGGCGTGTGCAAGTCTGGCAGAAGAGCGAGAGGACGGCGGACGAGGCGGATTGGCACCTTGGGCGGATGGAACCTTAGGTTTTCTAGAGCCAAGGAACACGCCAGGCCAAGCATTCATCGGCGACGGGAAGAGACCGAGAGACAGCGAGCCTGAGTGGACTGTGAAGGGTGAACCTGGGGGAAGCATTCGAGCAAAGACTTCTCAGCCAGCCCACACCAAGCCTAGGGAGCAGCGGACGAAGGCGGCGAGCGAACGAACGAACGAACGAACGAACGAACGAACGAACGAACGGGCGACAAAACCTAATTTTGCAACGCTGCGACCCTCCATCCATTGCTTCCCACTACGTCCAGGGCTCCCATCAACAAGCCCCCCCCAGTCCCGTTGTCCAGTCACCGGTCTGCTTGTTTCGTGCCCCGACCATCGATCTGGTCGACCACTCCTAGGTCGCCCTCCTTTCCGTCCTACTTGCTGCTTGCTGCTGCTACCTACCCGCCCCAGAAGCCATTTCTGCCAATTACTCCGTACGTATCCCATAGCCCGGCAGCTCCTCTGACAGTTCTTGTGGCTCTTGTGGCTCTTGTGTGTCCGGGGACCCAGCATAGCCAGCCAGGTCCATTCAGAGACGGTCGCAGAGTCACAATCACTACCTTGGTGACCCTACCATACCAGACTTTGCCAAACGCGTACGTACCTTAGTTTAGCATCTGCAATTCATTCTGTGGTGATTGTTTCCCCTTGCATTTTTCCCTTCCTTTTTTTCCCCAGGTTCCGGGGCGGAGGCGCGTATTTGCCGTGCGTGTGCACAGCGTCCAGCGTCCAGTGTCAAGCAAAGCCGCTGCAGTGAGCGGGAGGCACAGTGGACGACAGGATGGACAGCCCGAAGACCGGCTCCATTTCCTCCAGCGGCGGCGGCGGCGGCAGTTCGCATCGCCGCAAGCTCACCAAGAAGCCTCCTCCATCCCACTTCTCCCACCACAACCACAACCACAACCACAACCACAACCACAACTACAATCATAACAATCACTACTTTCACCACAACCACAGCAACCGCCGGCCGCAGCAGCATGACCACGAGCAACCGCTTGGCGGCCGTCGTCATTCCAGCTCAACCTTCCGTTTCGGTGGTGCTGACAATCGTCTTGACACGCGATCTCTAGGGAGCAAGAAAAGCTCGACCAGTCTCAGACAGGCGCCCAGCAGCACTCCGAGCACCCCCATCACCCCTCACACTACAAACGCTGCTCCTCCTCTCCCTTTAGCTTTCACCTCCTCCAACAATAAGTCGCTCGCCCCATCTGTTGTCTCGACAAACGCATCCGACTCCCCCTCGACCGGCCTCTCCTCTTTCTTCTCCTCGTCCGCAGCCCGGTCGCACACGACGTCCACGGCGTCCACAACACCCCTCTACTCGTCGCAGTCCCGGCCGATCGCCGCGTCGTCGCATCTCAATTCCTCATCATCCGTGCACGCCCGCACTGACGTGCAGCAGCAGCTTCGTTCCGACCCGCCGCCCGCTCTGCTACCCCTCAGTTCCACGAGTTCGGACGACTTGATTGGTGATCCCTTTGACGGCACAGCACTCATTGAGCGCATCGAGGCCATCCGGTCATCGACCCTGCTGAGCAGCAGTTACCAAAGCGACGAGCACAGCAACGGCGCGCCGAATCCCAACAACAGCGAGAGCCACAACTTCGACTACAAAAACAGCAGCAGCTCTGCGGACGGCAAGAGGAGCGCCACTGCTGCTGTCAACAATTCCCGCCCACGTGATCCTGCGAACAAGGAACGCGATATAACCCAAAAGTGGCAGGATCGGCCCAGCAACAGCAGCGAACGCAGCGATTGCCATTCCCAGGCAAGGCACGCGACGACTCCCCGCACACCACTTATGGGGCATTCGCCGCCAACCCTGCGCCAATCGGCAACTTTCCCCGCAACAACCACTCTGCCCATCATGACCGAGAAAGGGGGTGCGTCCAAGACGGACGCGCCGAAGCGCTACTCAGACGAGACCAAGGAGAGCAAGCTCCCAAGCGTGCTACGGAAGAAGACTGGCTTTTCTGGCTTTATGAACAGCTTGGTCGGCTCGCCCAAGAAGCCGATTATATCAGCACCCGAGAACCCGGTCCACGTCACCCATGTTGGCTACGACAGCGCGACCGGCCAATTCACGGTATGTGACAGCTTTCCCGTGTCTGATCTGATCTGGTCTGGTCTGGTCGGGTGTGGTGTAGCAGTCGGTCGGTTGGTCGGTCGGTCGAGTCGAGTCAAGTCGAGTCGATTTAACCCGCCTCGGTGGGCTCCGGAAATCGACCAGCTCCGGCTCATCGGCCGACTGACCGATCGCGAGACCCGCCTAACCAGTACCCCGGGATGTTTTTGTTGACCCTTGGAATGCGGGGTTGCTAACCTGAAGTACAGGGCTTGCCAAAAGAGTGGCAACGACTGCTCAACGAGAATGGCATCACCGAGAAGGAAACAAGAGAACACCCCCAAGTGGTGGTCGATGTGCTCACATTCTACAAAGAGACCCAAGAGAAGCCCCCGGTAGAACAGCAGTTAGAAAAGTTCCACGATGCTCGTGTCGGTCTACTTCCAGGCCACAGCCCGCTCTCTCCTTTGATTAGCCCGCCTGCAAGTCCGCGATTCCCAAACGTCACTCAAGATGGCAGTTTCGAAAATCCCCGCGCCCCCCCGCCTGTACCAGGGAAGGCCCCCGCTATCCCGGCAAAAGACTTGAACCTCATGCCAAGTCGGCCAGCGCCCAAGCCTCCAACGGCAACTGCACCAAGGACGCAGCCGACATATCCTACGAAAGACTCGGGCATTGGCATGTCCCAGCCTGGCGAAGATGGCGCACCCTCATACCTCCCACCTAAGGACAATGTTCCTATGCTTCCCGAAGAGCACCGGTCGCGGTCACGGTCCAACTCGCGTGCAAATGGCACCTCTCCTTACATGCCGACGCAGCCATCACCTGCAGTCACATCCCCCACAAGTCAAACCATTGCGTATCAACAGCAGCTCCTGCAGCAGCATCAGGAGCAAGCAATGGCCCAGGCACAAGCTATGGCGAATGGTCAGCTCGGTCGTCAATTAAGCAAGAGACAGCAACCCACTCCCCCATCCTCTCAACCCCCACATCAATACGGACAGCATCATGGGCAGATACCGAGAACAGATGGTCAGGTTATTCCTGCGCAACAGCCTAAACTTCCTCAGCAACAACAACAACAACAGCAGCAGCAGCAGCAGCAGCAGCAGCAGCAGCAGCAGCATCCCGGCGCGAGACCTCGGCACAGACCACGGCAAAGCAACAGCATTGATGTTATTGCAGCTCTCAAGAGAATATGCTCTGAGGGTGATCCTCGTGAGATCTACCGTGGCTTCACGAAGATCGGACAAGGTGCATCAGGTGGTGTGTACACAGGTCATGAGCGTGGCTCCAACCGGCTGGTGGCTATCAAGCAGATGAACTTGGAGCAGCAGCCCAAGAAGGATCTAATCATTAACGAGATTCTTGTCATGAAGGAGAGTTCGCACCCCAACATTGTCAACTTCATTGACAGCTATCTCTGCGGTGGTGAACTATGGGTTGTGATGGAGTACATGGAGGGCGGTAGCTTGACGGATGTGGTTACATTCAATATCATGACAGAGGGTCAGATTGCGAGCGTGTGCCGCGAGACCCTGAAGGGCTTGCAGCATCTTCACTCGAAGGGCGTGATTCACAGAGATATCAAGTCAGATAACATTTTGTTGAGCATGGAAGGGAATATCAAGCTGAGTACGTACTTAGTTGGAACTCCAACTTTTACTTTGAATAGGCCGCACTAACAGAACAACAGCCGACTTTGGCTTCTGTGCTACCATCAATGAGGTGCAGAATAAGCGCACTACCATGGTCGGCACCCCATATTGGATGGCTCCCGAGGTGGTCACCCGGAAGGAGTACGGTCGCAAGGTCGATATTTGGTCGCTCGGCATCATGGCTATAGAGATGATCGAGGGCGAGCCCCCGTACCTGACAGAGTCTCCGCTCCGTGCTCTGTGGCTGATCGCTACCAACGGCACGCCTCAGATCAAGAATGAGCATGAACTCTCACCGGTCTTTAGGGACTTCCTCTACTTCGCCCTTAAGGTGGATCCGGAGAAGAGAGCGAGTGCCCACGATTTGCTGAGGGTGAGTTTGAGTATTTTTAATGGAGCATGAAAAAAAAATAGACTAGATGGCTAACTTCTGCCATAGCACGACTTCATGAAGATGTGCGTTGACTTATCGACCCTCGCGCCCTTGGTCCGGGCTGCAAGAGAGGCCAGGGCACAAGAGAGGGCTCGTAAGGGTCATCAATGAGTCCGGAATGGTCCGGACAACTAACCCAGTCTCCATGGTGGTCGCTGCTTGCAGAATGGTTTTGTGCATCTTGATCATTGATACTGAGAGCTACTGCTGAGCCATTGTTTTGGACAAGCCATTTGGCAGGCTAGCCATTTTATCGAAGCAATTTCCCCCCCCCCACCCCCCACCTTTTTATTTTCTTCTTTCAACAGCGTTATTGGGACCATCGGGCAGGTCAAGCCTTGAGATCTTTTTAACACATGGAAACTTTGAGACTTTGTTCGTTGAGGGAGAGACTTTTACTATGCACCGGATCTTAGGGTATGCAGGCCAGGGATGAAGGACGGACAAGGCAGGGTAGGCGAAACACCGGGTGGGCATCTTGTGCATTGCGGATGATTGATTTGATCTTTTTATCTTCTGAGAGCTGATGATTAACAGCAACGCTCTAACTAACCTTCTTCACATGCCCTGGGGATTTGACAAAGGGCAGTTTGTTTCTTCACACTTACCTACCCCTTGAAAAATTTTTTTTTCTTTTTTGAACCTTTCCCCACCCTTTCTTCTGAAGTGGAAGTCTGAGAGAGAAGAACTTTAAGACGAGGATAAATACAAATTTCCATTTTCATGGCCTGGGTTTTAAGGACGTCGTGCTATTACTGCTACTGTTTTTACAGGATCTTTCAGGGCTGATGAAGGGATAATACAGGGAAGGGGATACCATCGAGTGCCTTGAGCTTTTAATACCTTGGGTTTTTTTTCACCACTCCTGGGATCCTGAATTGCATGGGATATTAAACATCGAAAAAAAAGTCGATCAGCTTAGTTGACAATTGTAATGGAATCTTGTGAATCAGTCAGTTGGCTGGCTTAAAGGGATCAGTCTTGGGTTATCTGTTGCATGCTCTCTTCCTCTTTGATGGGGCAAAAGATAGGCTCGACCTGGAACAGACTCATCTAGATCTGCTTCCGGGCCAGGATGGGCTTTCCCTGACGCAGCTGGGCAATGGGAGGTGGGCTCAAGGTATCTCAGATGTTTGGCTTGATGCTGGACACTTGCTTACCAAGAGATCAAAAGGGTTAACAGCTGAGTAAGGATATATGGTGGAGTGATCAAACAATTCGGAATTAGTAGGAGGTCCAAGGGCAATTAACAATTATGGTTAGAGGAAGAAGACAATGCAACTAGGCCCAGAAAGAGTTTTTCATGGCAGATCAAGCACTGCTATTACCAAGGTCACACATTATAGACATCACTTGTGGAACCTACCTCGCTCACTCTTGGCAGAGCTAATCATACCGTGTACACACCACATGTATTGTCCTGTCTAAAGGGGTATCTCGGAAATACCTAGCTCCAGACGTAACCCATTACCTGAAGGCCCCCTCCCGAAAAGCACCGCGAAAAAAAAAAAAAGGAATAAAAACCCAGGCAAAGGTACCTAATTACTATGCTGATGATTTGAGAGAAATCCCCCAGAAAGATAAAAGGGAGAATGACGACGGACTAGCAGCAGAAAAATCTAGCAGAGCCTCAAAGCAAGCGAACAAAAAAGAGAGAGAGAGAAATCACCAGCAAGTGTACCCTCCGTCAATAATGACGTTAGAACCGGTCATGAACGAGCTAGCATCCGATGCCAAAAACACGGCTAGCCCGTTCAGTTCATCCACACCGCCCAGGCGACCTTGAGGCGTCAGGCTCTTCCAAATCTTCTTCTGCGCATCCAGCGCCGGTACCCGGTTCAACTCCGTATCCATGTAACCAGGCGAGATGCAGTTCACACGAATGCCATACTTCGCCCACTCCGCAGCAAGGCTCTTCCCCAACTGAACAACACCGGCCTTGCTCGCGTTGTAGCAGCACTGCTCCTGCGGGTGGTTCACAATGCTGCCAGACATGCTGGCAATGAAGATGATCGAGCCGGGCTTCTTGGCCGCCATCATGGCGCGCCCGACCGCCTGGGCAGTCAGGAACGAACCCGTCAGGTTGATATCGATCAGCCGGCGGAACATGTCGCGGTCGTAGGTCTCGGCGGGGATGTTGCTGTCGGCGATGCCGGCGCTATTGATCAGGGCGTCGGGCACGCCGTGGATCTTGACGACCTCGGCAACGGCCGCATCGATCGCGTCGCCGTTGCGGACATCAACCTTGTGGAATGTGACAGGCAGGCCGGTCAGAGAGTGGAGCTCTTCGGCGGCGGCGTCTCCGAGCTCTTGGTTGGCGTCGAAGATGGCAATGGCCTTGGCGCCGGCCTCGGCGCACGCGCGCGCCATGTGATTGCCTAGGCCGCGGGCGCCGCCCGTGACGATGATGACCTTATTGGCGACCGTCATCTTCTGGAGGGTGCGGGGGAGCTGGGAATAGACCTTAGGGTCAAGCGGGGTAACAGTTTCGGTCGCGGCCGGCTGGGGGGTTTTAGGGGCAGAAGTAGAGTTCAGACGGCAGGAAATGGCGATGCGAGCCGTGGTGGCAGCATGCTGGGCGAGAGAAAGGGTCGGGCGAGCGAGCGCGGAGCGAGAGGTAGTGGTGGCCAGGCGCTGGGCTACACGGACGGTCTTGGTGAGAGAAGCCATTATGATAGTTTTTGATGTAAAAGGAAATGCTAAAGAAAGTATGTTTTGTTGGTGTATGGCCGAAGGCACAAGTAAAATTTGGTTTTGTGAGAGCGTAAGTGAACGAGAGTCGGTCGACGACTCTATAGATGGATGTAAGTGGTAGTGAGCGGTGTGTAAGTGATAGTGGGGGCGGGGCAGCGAGTGATAACTAGCTCACGGCACAGTTAAGGTACCTGGGCTCAACGGGCGATACCAAAGCTGCGCGCTGTGTGAAGAAAACGGTAGTAGTAGAGAAGAAAAAATTGGTCGAAATCAGATTTTTATATGTAGAGTTCTGCTCAGGCAACTAAAACGGCTTCAAAAAAAAAAAAAAAAAACTGGCTCGCGTTTCGAGGGGTCAACCGTCTGAAGCCGGCCCGGGTCGGGTACCTTCCGAGTCTCTTGAATCTGATGGGACCAAACTTCGGCCAGAAGAGGCGACGACTGGGGTGGCGGGTGGAGTGGAGCAAAGAAAGAGTCTAGAAGAGTGACGTTTCAACGGTCGCGATTCGGAATGGAGTATCTGTCGCAACGGGATCCTTGTTGGGGAGAGAGAAAGGATTTCTTTTTTTTTTTTTTTTTTGCACGCGACCCCGAGAGTGAAAGGTCAAAGGTTTTGGTGGATGTTTCTGTAGTGATCAAAGATGCCAAAGTTTCCCCCTTCCGGAAAGTCAGCTTGATTGCTCTGAAAGAGTGGAGGTAGCCGAATGGCAGATGGTCCAATTTGCGGTTCCTGTTCCGTCATCAGCGGGGTGATGCCGTCAAGAGTGGCATTTGATCGCCGGTGATGGCCGAGCCACCGATATATGGGACAGCCTCAGACGACTTACCCAACTCCCTGGCAATCGTGTGCTATGGCGACGTCCAAGTACGGCACACTGGTTGAATCTTTCAGACCTCGTAGCATTTCCCCAACAAGCCAGTACTTATCTACGTGAGCACGAGCGGTGAGGCCCCAACAGTGGGACTCTAGTCACCGAGACATGTCACAAGACCACCGGGAAATTTCCACGAGGGCGGGAGTGGCAGAGGACATACATGGACGGTGAGCATGGGATGTCCCGTTCGCCGAGGCCTGGCTCATGCCCGGCCGTGGGAACCGGGGAAGACCAATTGGCGAATCAGACCGCCCTATTGGTTTTGCTATGAGTTGGCGATCTGATATTGGATCTTGTGTTCCAAATGGCAGATAGGACGCGATTGAATACCTATTGAAATATCGGCAACCATCATCCTCACTGTTCCAATCAAGAGAGCAGGTCGTGTCCCAATGTTGGGTACCATTATTCCGTGACAGACTGGTCCGTAGATTGCTTGGATTAACTCAAGGGTTCTCAAGCTCAACCGTGTAAAGGTACGAAGGTACAGAAGCATGTAAGACGAGATGACGCAGCGTCACTGCAGCTGAGGAGAGATCTGGACTTTTTCCCCTCCAACAATTTCCATTGGTGAAGCGTGGTTCGCTGGATGATCGATGTCAGCGACGTCGGCCGTCGACCCACCCCGATATTGACAGCTAACACGTGCCAAGCTTTGGTGGGGCTACCCCGCAGGCCCACATCCCGAGAGTCTGGGCAGCGGATTGGGGATGGTACTATGCATGGGAGCCGATCTTCGGGTTTCCTCTTGGGACTGAGACTCGTCGACTTCCTTCGATGGTAGGACAACAGGTTTCTCGATTTTTGTTCGGGCCTGATCTCATATGTCAGAGACATACTTGTTTCAACTAGGTGTTAAACTATTAATATACTGCGTCTCTTATGAACCGACAGGAAGTGGGAACGGAGGTGGTCTGCAATCCTCAGCGCGGCGGCGACAACCTACTGCCTGTCAATGTCCCTGCCGATCGCCATGCCGTACATGGGAAAATAGAAGCTCCAGCCACACAGAAAATCTGCGGTGATCATGTGCCCAAGGTTTCACCTAACACAGCCCTACGTGTCTCTTTACATTCTACAGAGGCCTTGGACTCAAGGATTACGGCCAGCATCGGCTCTTACTTAAAACACATTCGAGGGTTTCCCGAGCAAAAATTTGAAACGACAGACAAACTTTGGGCTTTTCCCATGGACCCTTGTGGCAAGGAATCCGTATCAGGAGGATATCAAAGTTTGATGTTAGGTGCAATCATTTCGGAGCGAGAACTCGAAGCCACGGAGGGAAACGAGAGGATACTCAAGGCACCCCGGTTTGCCTAGAATTTGAACAGGACGCTTATGACTTCACAGATTGAGCAGCAAAAAACTGCGTGCGCAGAACAGGACCAAGAGTGTATTTCCTGGGTACGTAAGCACTAACAGACACTGCCAACTAACCATCCAGCCATCCTTAATTCGAGATCAAGTTCCGAAGGTCCTATCAAAAAAGAGAAAAAAAAATAAAAACCTACATAAGAGCAAAGCGTACACCCCCTCCCCCCTTTTTAAACACCACCCATTTTCCCATCCTCATTAAGGTAGCAGCAGCAATCTCTAAGGTAGGCAGTAGTAGACATTTTATCCCCCTTCGTTGCCCGAGCCATCTACCATCCGTACATCCTTCCATCCGAACTGTAGCCTATCGTCCGAGTCCCCCTTCCCCGACCCTCAGAAAAAGTACCCCTCACTGCTATAATCCCTATCATCTCTCTCCAACAACGAAAACAGACTGGCCACATACGGCGCGAGTAACCTATTCTCCGTAAATACCTCCCACAGCCTAGGAAGGACCGGCCTGAATAACCGCTCATTCCAGATCGCCTTGATCCGGCTGCCCGCATCATCATCGATCTCCTTCTCCCTGTCATTACTCACGACCACCTGCGCCTGCTGCTCACCCTGCCCGGCCGCTTCTGCGGCCCTTTCCCTCTCCTCACGCTCGAGATTTGTATGCGGTACGTTACGCGCAATGTTGCGCAGGATGAGCACCGCCGAGAGCGGGATACCCGCCGCCTGTGGCGGCGCGTTAGGATTCCGCTCATCGCGTGCGCTGGCCGTCTCTTCGTATGTGATCGTGATGGTTGTGGCCGGACGGATGACACGGCCCTGGCGAGAGGCATGGGGTTGGTGCGGAGGATGTCGTTTAGACACGGTCGGGGAGGCCGTGAGCGGCTGGTTGGGGTCGTTCGGGCCGGTGAGCTGCGACATCTTATGCTGCTGGGCCTCCTCGGCGCGGAGGTGTGTCTTAACGTGGGCCATGAGCTGGGCCAGACGCTGCTTGGTTGGAGTGCGGTACTTCGTACAACCGTCCCAATGGCAGGAGAAGGCGGCCTCGCGGTTCTGAAACTTTCCGTCTGACGTGATGGGCTCGCGGAGATGATCGACGAGGATGTGCCTCCACATGGTCTCGGCCGTGAGGTGCCAGGAGCCACAGTGCTGCGGGACGGGGATGCCCGGAGGGGTCGGACCGTCGTACTTCCAGTGGCATTTGAGATAGCTGCGGCCATCGAGTGCGATCGGTCGACTCCTAGGACGAATGCCACTCATAATGAATTTTTGAATCTCCCCAGTAGGACCCTGTTCGCGCACCACTTGCGCGCCGCCGCTCTGATAGACGTTAGATATATTCTTTATATACTCCTGCGCTCCTATCATAGGGCGACCCTGCATCTTGAGTGCCTCAGCAAACGCCCCGTTATAGGCTTGCCAAATGGCAATCTGCGTGACGTGCGAACCGGGATCTTCCTCGAACAGGCAGCGAAGCCAAGCCTGGCACCGGTCGGGTTCCTCCATCGCAAGGAGTCTCTCTTGAAGATCCTTGGGCAGGGCGAGAATCTGCTCGGGCGCGGCCTCGTAAGCGACTTGTGCTGCCTTAAGCACAATCTCGCGCTGAGAGCGCTTCGCGCCGTGGGAGAGAAGGCGGACGAGGTGGGCAACGACATGGTCGACGTTGATTGTTCTTAACATCAGATCGATGTTGTCGGGCTCCGCCGTATACTGGTACAAGAAGTCGAGACATGCGTCCAGGAGCTCGTCATCGTTCAGCAGCAACCAACTGGCCATCTTGGGAAGAATGTTCGGGTGCTGTCCTACACCCTTCAACTTGTTGGTTTCGGTAGGATGCTGCATGGCGATGCGACCAAGAGCTCGGAGCGCGCTGAGAATCATGCCACGATCCTCGCTCCGCTCAAGCGTCCTCATCATGATGAAATAGAGGGGGTCGGATTCGCTCAGCAGCATATAAGGCGTGAGCTGTTCCGCAATCTCGAGCGCGAGATGCTTTAGCTCCACCAGCATGTCCATTTCTGGGAGGTGCAGGATGATGACAAGAAGGTCCTTGACAGGTGGGTACTCGGACAAGAACCAGGCGTTATCAGGCAGCATGACCATGTTCCGGATCGTTAATACCGCTTCGTTAATCAGGGTGAGCTGGTCAGCGAACTCGGCAGGCTGAATGCTATCCTGGATGTCTGGGTTCACTTTCTTCACCTCCGCTAACCTCCTGTCGAGATCATCAGTGCCATTGATGCCGTCAAGCGCGGTCGGGTCGTCACAGTCGAGATCAAAGTCGTGCGAAATGAACATCTCCACACCATAGAACAGCTTTGTCACGCCCAGGGCGAATTCGGTCAGACCTTCAGCAAGTCCACTAAACTGCGAAAACTTGTACTTGTCACCCCGCTCATACGAGATCTTGACCAGATGGTTGAGGGCGAATGCCTGTTCTGCCCGAAGGCTTGACCGAAGGGCCAACAAACACCTTTCATAGATGTTGGGTCCTTCGAGAGCGGTTGCTCCCAGGGTTGCACGTACAAGAGCGCCTGGATTGGGTGCGGAGGGCTGCGGGTATCGAAGTTGTCGCTGCTTTCTCGCGAACAATTCCGGGTTGCTAGCAGGAGTGTCGACAATGCGCAACGGCACTTGTTGGATCGGCGGTGGCTGGTATGACTGCAAAACGGGGTTCATTGCGTCTGGACCAGGAGGATTGTAAGTATGCGAAGCATTCCCCCGTGTGGCGTGTGGGTGGCCCTGATGTGATGGGGTCGCGGTACCGGAGTGGGTTTGTGAGCTGGCCTGTCCTTGATTCTGGGACTGGTTCTGGGAGTTTGATCCTGAATTAGAAGAATGCTGTTGGTTGTGGTGTTGATTGGAGGAGTGCCGGGTTCTGCTTGGACCGGTGTCAGGCTGGAAGATGACCCTAGGGGGCGGCGCCTCTCGCAGGCCGCGCGATGCTCGCGTCGATGTGGGCGCGGATTGGTTCTCTCTGCTCGGTGTACCCTCTTCGGTGTTTGACCCTTCCCTCTCAGCGGGCTGCTGCTTGTTTTTGACCTGGTATGTCTCCAAAGTCCGAGTCAAGAGGGACCCGCCTTTTGCTGTGGTGAACTCGAGGATCTCGGGCGGAGGGGGCTCTTTGTTGTGAATTGTCTTTATCTCATAGGCGGCCAGGTTCTTGTAGAAAATCTGCTTCAAAGTGTATGCGTCGGCAGGCGCGTTGTGGCGCATCAAACCGAGGCCCTCGCACATCTTCCTCCACATGAGCTTCTCCTCCGACACCTTGTCGTAGCCGCCATGTGCGACGATGTACTTGAACAGCTTGAGCAGGTCGACCGTGGTGTTGCCCATCTTGGGCTCCGGGTCGAAGTTGGTGCCGCGCTTCTCGTGGAAGGCGCGCAGCTCCTCGATGAACTTTTCATATTCGGGAGTACGGTCGACCGTATGCTCGATGGTGGGCTTCGCGGGGGCCATTCTGGCGCTCTGGGCGGCGGCACGGCGCCGGAGGGAGGCTCGATGGGAGCTCAATTTCGAGAAGCCGTGATGATGATATCCAGCACTTATCGCTCTACTTTGTCAAGATGCGTTTCGAGCTCGAAGCGTGGGGAGTCAGGGCGGATGGAGGGGCGAGAATGGGGATGGTCCGCGACGGTGCGAGGGCACGGATGCGAAGAAGCGCGATGCGATGCAGCCGACGCGAGGATCCAACAGCTGCGTGCGATTGGAAGTTTTTGTGGTCCGCCCTGCAGCGATTGCGACTGGCGAGCGTTTGCAGTAAGTGGATTCTGATTGGGCCCTTCTTGGCATGTGCACGGACCGCATGTGGGGCAAGTGGGATTCGGAACGAAACCACGGCAACAACATTCCCCGTCTCCCTTTACATCGCGGTGATGAGCCCTTAGGTTGGTAAGGGTAAGGTAGCCAATGCTTGGATAAAACTGCCTACTCTAACGTACGGAAGCAAGGTGCTTGATATGATGTACAGTGTGTTATCTCAGCGTCAGCTTCATCTCAATGCCAATTTTGCAGAACCCTTTTGCGAGTTTGTTTTCCAAGGTCTTGCACTTAGTTTGGGCATAGTCATGACTCTCTGGAGAAGACACTTCGCAGCTGGCTAAAGGCTTAGTAAGAACAATAGCTGAACTGTTTGGGTTGACTGACTGCCATTGGCAACTTTGGGCTGCACTTTCTGCGTTGTTAACATGAAGCTAGATGGAAGGCGCACAAACGCACCTTCCTATTCTCTTCTAAACTTTTGAGCTGTGCGGGCTCTTCCAGGAGACGCGTCGGTCGGTTGAGCGGCTGGACCTCAATCTTTCCACAACTTCCCTGTGTGTGGCGGACAATGTTTACGAGCCACTTATGATTTAACGCAGCAATGTCTGCTTCCAAAGACACAGCCAAGGCCAAGCAGGCCACGCGCCAGCGGCGCACAATTATGCGCTTCGCCCTGGATAGCATTTCTATCGACGACAGACCAAACAACTACAAAGATGCCCAACTGGTGCTCAAACCACAGCTGGAACTGGCTACGCGCAAAGATAATCCCAAGTCACGAACTCGAAAGCCCATCTGGCGCCATTTTCTCATGGTCCATATTAAGGACAAAGCTGATGAGCTGGTTTGTTATTTGCTAATGCCTGGAATCCATCTCAGAGAGCGTAGATGCTTACTTAACGGCGTCGCTCGCAGGTAAAATTGGATTTAGACATCTTTAAGGGTCCTTCAATTTCACCCTCTTCGAGGCAAGCCTCTATATTCTGCTGTTCGTCGGAGGGGTCTTTTCTATTCCGATATCCAAGTGACACCGGATTTGTAAGCCCTTCATTCTGATGAGCTGTAACGCTTATAGGTCTTAACTGACTTTCTAGGGGAATTCAACACTCAGAGTTACCCTTTCCACGATATCAGATGTTGACGCTGTTCTCGGAGAGTTGAGCACTCTCAACATTGAGGTGGAAGAGCAACGACCCCCTATCAGCAACATACCCGGGCTTGCTAGAACCCCTTCGGGATTTCTTCTCCCGCCGACTCGAGGTGATGCGAGTGGTGCTCAGAATTTCCATAATCCAAATCAACCATTGGCCACATGGTCTGACTCACAAGGCCAGTACCTGACTTCAGAGTCTCTGGGGAACTCACAGTTTGGAGCTCTTCTGCAGCGTCCTCCCAGTCAGCCCCTGGGACATACTGAACAAGTGTTGCCCGGTTTCCGGCCTTGGTCACCAGACTCCGTGCCGTCTCGGCCCGCTACAGCACTTGGTGTTCCCGGAGTTTTAAGTGAGGGTCTTTACAAAGTTAGTAAGGTTGGTTCAACCGTATCGAGCCGACCTAAACTGCGTAGGACTCCAACAATCCTGGAGAGCCAACCTCCTCTCCTGTACACAGTTTCCAAACAATTTGATAGGGCCCTCAACCAAGCTGATATCGCAGCAATCAGAAGCCGTTACTTGGGTCGAGGATTGTCTTCCAGCGCCCGCGCTGAACCTGTGGGATTGGGCTCCCAACCCTTGAGAAGAACAACAAGCGTCTTGGAAACCACGCCAATGGCTAGCACTATCCAACGCTCAGCGTCGGCGCTCCTACCCACAACCCAGGATGAAGGACAAACGTTGACTGGACGTCATGGCTTTGCTTCACCACTATCCTTCTCACAACCTGAAGCGGCTTCAAGAGCTCTAGTACCTGGTGAGGGCTCTTCGATTATGAGCCAGGGTTCAACCTTATTAGACACAAACCAGGACCGAGAATTAGATGATGAGATGTTGGTATTGCTCTCACAAGTGCAGCACGAAGGCCTATGCGAAGCAAGCAAGCTCTGGGATGAGTTCATGCAAAGAATCGAAGCGGATTCGGCGGGACTAGATCATCCACAGGATGCTTCGGAAAGACTAGGAAAATACGAGGATGAGTTCACCCGACGCTGGAATGCCGTCCTCGCAGCAACGGTTCAAAGGGCGAGGGAGATACGTTCTGGGAACGATGTATACTAACAACATCTTTCTTTAATCTCTTGAGGTTAGGCAGTGAGCAAAACTTTGATGCTAGAGAAGGGACAATACTCGCCAATATATATAGCCAATATATATATGCGCTTTTCTGTCAACCCTGACCGTAACTCTCACTGCGTGCCTATCCTTTCAATTTAGTTCGCTATAATCACTCCCAATCTCCTGGTCATGCCTTGTTCTCCCCCTCCTCATCTTTCTTCCCCTCCCCCGCTTCCTCCTCATCCTCTGTAAACCTCAACGAAATACTATTCACACAGTGACGCTCATCTGTCGGCGTGGGGAACCCCTCCCCCTTGAATACATGGCCCAGATGACCACCGCAGCGAGCGCACACGATTTCTGTGCGAACCATGCCGTGGCTGCGGTCCTCATGGCGCTCAACCGCTCCCGGAATGCAGTCATAGTAGGCCGGCCAGCCGCACCCGGACGAGAACTTGTGCGATGCTTTGTAGAGAGGCGCGTCACATCCCGCACAGCGGTAGATACCCTTGGAGGGGTAGTGCTTGTCATAGACGCCACTGCCAGGCGGTTCGGTGCCTTTTAGGCGGAGGATGCGGTATTGTTCTGGAGCAAGGGTTAGTCCGTGGGTTGAGGCTGTTGTGTGTGTGTGTGTGGCACAGTGATGGCGGCTGACCTGGTGTGAGAATTGCCTGCCACTCCTGAGGGGTCTTTTGCACAGGATATGATGTCATCTTGCTGTCGATTGAGGAAGAACTGCTGCTACCAAACAGGGCGCTGAGGAAAGGGATTACAGGCATGGACGAGCGTAGTGCAAATGTGCCGATTTTTGTGAGAGTATTGTGAGGAAGGATGGGTAATATTCGTAATATTGGAGTGAAGGGATAGAGGGCACGGAATATGCGGGATAGCCGCGAACGCATCAAACCTGGTCTTGGGGCTGCTGTCTTATACAGGGTCTTGTGCGAAAGGTGCGGGGAAGGAAAAGTTGAGGCGGCAAGCTAGTTTAATGCGCCCGTATAGAGAAGTGATTTATTTTACGGCTATGAACGTATGAATTTGAGAGTGAGTTGAAGCTGAGCGGAAGGGCTAGTAGTGACAAATCACAGTTTCTGGCCTAAGTAATCCCGCTGTCGCCAGAAATGCGGGATGCAGGACCCTGTGGGTTCAGTTGCGTCAGAGATATCGCTAACTGGAACCCCGGTTCGAGTCTGCGGGTTTGGACTGCCATCTAACAGGAGATTATGGATACAAAAACGGGTTATGATCAGCTAAGCAGCGAGGACGGACCAAGAGCTACAATCTCGATAGTATTGGGAGGTGATGCATTCCTGTATATTGATCGGGAAGCCGGGTCTAAGCACCTAGGGCCCCTGATATACAATTCGAGCAAGCATTTGGCTTGATGGGCGATGACACAAGGCCGACTTTTACGACGTTGCCATCAATAGCCAACGTATTCGCCAATGGACCTTGAAAAGCTAACAGAGAGTATATATAGCCTTCTACCTAGTAAGTTGACATGGGAATCATGAGACGAAAGTTCAGAGCTTGCGTGTTCGGTCGCATCGAGGCTGGTGGGAGACGATTCTCGAAAGTCGGCAGAACAATGAAGTCTTCCCGAGGTGGGGCTGATGTCCAAGGGTGGTGGTGGTGGTGGTGGACCCACAGCCACAGTCGCTGTGGCGCACTGACTTCAACCCCCTGACGACCGGGAACCTGTAACTTGTACTGTGTCTCGCCGCTGTTACTTATCGAGGCCCATCCCGCAACCGTCGAATAATTTAACCCCCCGAAACCGCTACACAACTTTGCTGTTCAATTCCGCCGCTTCGGAATCCATTGAGCCGCTCTCTTAGAGCGTAGCAAAGCGTCTTTGTGTTGAAAAGACCAGGAATACGCCATGTCCCGACGGCCACCGAATCCTGCTGCTGAACGCGCAGCTCAAAACCAGCAAACCCTCAAGAACCTTTTGAAGTTAGAGCCGAACAAAGTGTGCGCCGACTGCAAGCGCAACAAACGTGAGCACACCCGACTCCCGATTCCCGTGTGCTTGCATGGACCGAGCGACTGATGGTTTTTCGACACAGACCCCCGATGGGCGAGCTGGAACCTTGGCGTCTTCATCTGCATCCGCTGCTCAGGCATCCACCGTGGCATGGGCACTCACATCAGCCGAGTCAAGTCGGTCGATCTGGACTCATGGACGGATGAGCAATTGCAGAGCATCCTTAACTGGGGCAATGCTCGCGCGAACAAGTACTGGGAGGCGAAGCTCCCGCCAGGCCATATTCCCTCTGAGGCCAAGATCGAGAACTTCATCCGCACGAAGTACGAGTTGAAGCGATGGGTAATGGACGGGCCCATGCCAGATCCTTCGACCTTAGATGCTGAGGGGGACGATGATGTGCCGTTGAGCGTCGTCAAGGAGAAGCACAATATTGATCGGCGAGAGACCCTGCGCAAGGCGTCCATCGGCAAGACGGCCGCCCCGCAGGTTGATCTGATCGGTACTGACCCAGTTCCTCCTCCCGCCAAAGCCCCTGCTCCGGCTCTCGCTCCGGCCAGAGCCAACGTTACTGGCCCGGCTGGGATCCAGGTTGCGCCAAAGTCCGAACCGGCTCCTCCGAAGACGACTACTAGCAGCGCAAAGGATTCGCTTCTTGGGCTGGACTTTTTGGACAGTCAACCTGCTGTTCCTCCCCGGCCGGCTAGTACAACAGGTACTGCTAGCACGGGGGGCAAGTCTCGCCCTGATTTGAAGCAGTCTATCCTTTCTCTCTACGCAACGGCTCCTCGGCCACAACCACAGCCTGCCGCGCAACCAGCATCTCATTCTTCATTTGGCTCTGTCAGCGGGTTGTCTTCTCCTGCGATGACCCAGACTCAGAGCTCACTCGCTGGGCTGAACGATGCCTTCAGTAGCCTGAGTTTCAACGCCTCTCCTTCACCCAAGCCTGCCCAAACAGATGCCTTTGCCAGCCTGGCATCCTTTGCCTCCACCAAGCCAACCACACAAACGAGCAACAGCTCGGCCTTCTCTGGCCTCAGCGGCGGCAGCTTCTTCGATCCCAAGCCGGCATCTACCCACCAGGCGAAGACGTCCACCAGCAGCACCTCTGGCTGGAGTTCTCTCACCTCAGCCGCTCCATCGTCCTCTACCACATCTAAACCTGCCCCTCCTTCCGCTGCGCTAGGCGACCTCTTTGACTTCTCATCCTCCCCTCCCAAGACAAGCGCGCCAATCCTCCAGCCTTCCCTTTCTTCCCCGACAATGACCTCCACCTCTACGGGCTCTGTGTTCAACCTATCTAATAACAAGCCCAAGCCAGCTACCACAACCACTACTACTACTGCTACGACGACGACGACCTCAACCACCACAGCAACTAGCACCCTCGGATCCTTCAACACACTTTCCACAAGCAACTGGTCCGACGCCAACGTCTGGAGTGACGCTAACGCCTGGGCCACGCCGGACAAGCCCGAACCGGAGCCCAAGCCGGCGACGGCCACAACTACCACGACCACAACCAAAAGCACATTAGACGACTGGAGCTCCTTCGCAAGTCAGCCCATTGTGCCAAGCGCGTCGGGCGGATTCGCGCCGGCGCCAAAAGTGGCAGCAGATGAGGAGTTTGGCGGATGGACTAGCAGCACGGGGACAAGCTCGTCGAAGCCTGTCGGAGGATTTGCCGGTGCGGATGATTTGTTTTCCAACGTGTGGCAATGAAGGGGTGCGCTTATTGTGGTTGGTAGGAAAAGCTAGGGGAGTTTTTAGATATAGGCAATGAATGCATGAAGTTTGCATAGCTGCAGGTTTTGTCGTTGTTTTCCCGCATGTTCTTCTCTTTGCTTTGGGAAATGCGCAAGATAACTGAGGAAGACAAAAGCGGGAGCGATGGATGGGTCTACACAGCGTGCTGTCGTGTTGGTGTACAGGGAAGAGGTACGGCGGAAAATAAACGATAATATTCTCAACATATATATCAAGGGTCTTCATATGCTTCCTGAACCAAGCTATGTTGCTATATTCAAGGTCCCAGAAGAGACTGAGTGCGCGTTGTTGAAGCCTTAGCCAGAACCTAAGCCAAAACCATAACCCGAGAACTCCCAAACGCCGCGCCAATGCCCGTCCTAACAACAAAACAACAGAATACGCTGTGGTACACAACTCGTCACGGCCCGCCGGCCGTCCCCAGCGATACACCCGCCTGGATGGATATCACAACCCCCCAATTCGTTGTCCTGTACAAACCAGCGAGGACCATCCTCGTATCCTCCTCTAGCGATGGTTGGCACCGCTGCCATTCATCTCCAGTTCCTGCATGGCCCCATACCCCTAAATAACTAGGACCCTGATGGAGAGGAAAGTGCTCAGGTCTCCCTCATGAGAACATCAACTTCCACATATAATACAGAACCAGCACCGTCCCGACAATGATGCCCGACAGCTTGAGCACAGCGACCCGGTTCCCCGCGGCAGCCATCCGCCCCAGGCGGGTCGCGGAGCCCTTGAGCTGCGTGGCCATGGAAGAGAAGGTCTCGCTCTGTTAATGACGCTGTCAGCATTGTATCTCGTGAATTAGAATGGGAGCGGAGAGGCTCACCGTCGAGTCGATCATTTCGTGCTGCCGCGCTTGATCGTAGATGTCGATGGTCACGCCGCGCAGGGCGGAGATCTTAGCCGATAGCTCGTCCAGACGGGCGTTGTTCTGGCGCTCGCGCTCGTAGGCTTCCGCAGACATTTTGGAAGTGGTTGGGTTGGATTAGATTAGGTTGGAGTGGTGCTTGTTGGCGGAGCGGTTCAAGTTGGATGAGTTTAGAGTTGATGACAGGTGGCTTTGGCGGCTTCGACTCTAGGGGAGGCTGAATCAAAGAGTCTGGGAGATGCGATTCGCGCGAAATGGTTGTCGATGATTTAGGGAGACTCGGAGGTTGGCGACTATTCCCAGAGATAAATCCAGCTCTCGACTCCGAGTTGATTTGTGTTTCAGGTTGGGGGCAGGGCGCTTGCAACTGAATGTCGTATTCCCTTCCGGAAGGACTTGATCGGGTCTGTATGTTCGAACACTCAGTGGAACCCCCACAAGATCTCGGTCGTCTGTGGCCCCAGAGAGGTTGATATGCTGATGTTGCTTTGTTGATCGAGGATGCGAGGCAACCTGCGCTGTGGTGCTCACACAGGCAGGAAAGGGGTTGGCTGCTAGCGCTGGTTGGAATACTCGTGACCAGCTGCTTGGCACAGCCTTGGGAAGCTTTAAGCCCCATTGTGGCTGGTATGTAACCGTTGGGTACGGTGGGCCTGTCGGTTGTCGGATCCATGACATCAGAGCAGGGACGCGGGAGGGTTCATCGTCCAGCACAGTGGGGCAGTGAGAAGGGCTCCATTTCACATGACAACTAGGACAATAGCTTTTGTCTGATATGAAGACGTAGAAAAAGCTAAAAAAAAAGCCTCTACGGATTTTTGGTGTGCAGCTTATAGGCCATGGGAGCAAAGTTGGGATGAGATAGTACTCTCCAAGACAGATAAGTTTGAGAAGCCTGGCAACTGGCTCGTGGTCTCTGGGTTTGACACTAGGTCTTGGCATCATGGGTTATGAAAGCTTTCCCAGCATCGCCGCAGAGAAAGCAACCCACCCACCCGTTTACAAGGATCTCAATGCTGCAACAGTTAACAGCGTACGGCAACACGGAGCTCGGCTTGTCTTCCGTAGATGTTCGTGACTTTTGCAGGTCTCAGCACTTTGTTCCACGATACAGACTTTCCGCCAAATTATTGGGGCTTTTCTCGTGCTTGCGCAGCCTGAAAGATTCCAGCCGGGTTGGACAGACCAAGACCGATTAAGGCGCCATCCTCCAACAGCTGGCAGATCCCACGGTCCTTCAGTCATTCACGCTGCTTTCGCCCCACCGTTTCTGCTGAGTGAGACTTCCCTCTTCTATCATTTTTTCGACAAACTTCTGCCCCGAAACATATCGCAAAAAAAACCATTTTTGATATCCAGTTCAGAATCATAGGTACCATCCTGAGAAAATTTCGATCGTGTCGACAACGGTGCCGCAGCCATGGGCATCCACAACCCACTCCCGTCGTCTTTGGCGTGTAAGTTCCGGACCTTCCGGCAGCATGGGGTGGGCTTCCATGATTCCATGATGCCGCTCGCGATCATGGCAATACCAGCAAGATACTAACAAGGCTCTTGACAAACAGCGGAGTGCAAGAAATGCGCAAAGATCCTCTCGTCCTTCATCGACCCCCGCCAGTCTTTTGGCCCCGACAAAATTATTCCTCCCTCCGTCCTTGCAAGCTCCAAGGTATGATTCACGAGGCCGGGACTGTTGCGGTCTTCTTTTATACACTCAGACACACCCAGAGATATAGCTTGTCTAACACGTACTCCGTGTCTCTCAACAGGGTATTGCTGTCCTTACCGTCCTAAAAGCAGGTTTCCTAGGCTCTGCCCGTTTTGGTAGCGGCTTGGTGGTTGCACGTCTTCCTGATGGCACCTGGAGCGCCCCTTCCGCCATTATGACTGGCGGCGCCGGCTTCGGCGGCCAGATCGGCTTCGAGCTGACCGATTTTGTCTTCATCCTCAACGATACCGCCGCTGTTAAGACGTTCGCGCAGGCTGGTTCCCTAACCCTTGGTGGCAACGTCTCGATAGCTGCAGGCCCCGTTGGCCGCAACGCCGAGGCTGCTGGTGCTGCTTCGATACGGAGCGTGGCTGGCATCTTCGCCTACTCGAAGACAAAGGGCTTGTTTGCGGGTGTCTCGTTGGAGGGCTCAATCATTCTCGAGCGTAAGGACGCTAATGCTCGCATGTACGGCCGTCCTATCAGCGCCCGCGAACTGCTCTCTGGTCGCGAGCGCCCCCCGCCGGCTGCTGCGCCACTCATCAACGTCCTCAGTTCCCGTGCTTTCAGCGGGATGTCCGGGACCGGCTACCTTGACGATCGCATGTACAACGACATTCCCATCTATGACGATCACCACGACGATGTCATCTGGGCCGGGAAGAGAGGCCTTGCCTATGGCGAAGGACAACCGCGTGAGCGCGATCGCGATCGCGATGGAGACGTCCATGCTTGGGATGAGTTTGGTCGCCCCAAGCGTTCTTCAGCTTGGCAAGATGATTATTATGACAACCCGCGGAACTATGACGGGCCGTCCCGCTCGCGCACCTTCTCAGACAGCTTTGACAGGGATGCTAGTGATAGGACCTTTGTTAGGGACTCCCCATCCAGTCCTTCAACACAACAGAAGACAGCCCCTGGTAGGCCGGCGGCGCCGAAGCCGAACTATACCAGCAAGGAGAATCTGATGAAGAAAAACCAGGCAATCGCCCTCTATACCTTTGAGCCGGAGCAGCCTGGTGATCTGGGATTCAAGAAGGGCGAAATCATTACTATCTTGAAGAAGACAGATAGTGACAACGACTGGTGGTACGTGAAGACTTTGTCCAACTGGAGAGAAAAGTAATAGCTGACCTTGATGGACAGGACTGGCATGATCGGCACACGGCACGGCATTTTCCCAAGCAATTATGTTAAGATGCTTGAATGAGTGTTGCATGATACAAGATGTTCTTGATGTCAAGGGTGTCGCTGCTTCTCAATTCATCTCATATGATTCGCTGGAGGTGAATATCTAGGCTGGGCTGGGCTGGGCTGGATTCGGTTGGGCTGGGTTTCTTTTAAAATCATTTTTCTTCGATGATTGTCGTTGGGAGTATGATCCATGGCTGGGGTGTGGTCTTTGTGCCGTTGCCAATTGCTTAGAGAGGGGTCTGACAGACGATAAGAGAAGAACACTGGCCAGATGGATGGGTTATTAAGCCCACACATGATGACTTTTACGTACCTCATGTGTTTCAACCCTTTCCTTGCCTCTCATCGCCATTTGCCTACCTTTTTAGGCCCCTTTTTTTTACCCCCCATAAGGCTTGTATGTATACCTATGCTTTTGCTTCAACTTTGCATTCTGGCCTGACACTTACTTGGATTTTAATCGCAATTGTTAGGCAGTTCGTTCATCTTCGCGATTATTGGGATCGTCCACGCCGACAGCTTGAATAGGATTGGATATCTTTTGCCAAGCTCGAAATGCAATTAATGATTCAACATATTGCACGGGCAACGATCCATGTCGACTACCGAGGCACCGAGTATCCGCAATCGTTGGTCATCGAGAAAACTACCTAGGTGTGGAGAGCGGAGGGGATATTATTCCTGAGCTCTATATAACTCATGAGGTTGTTTGGCTTGGAAATATTCACTAAAAGGGAAGAAGGATAGGGTCCCAAGAAGACAGGTCCCCATGCTTTCCGAGCCTTGAATTTTGTGTCATGATTGGTATTAATTGTAAATGACTGATGGGTTAAGTTGGAGCATGCTCGGGTGAATGACAGCGGTGCATTGCCTCTCAGGACTTGGGGTCCCAGGCATTGCATAAAAGTCCACTGGTATCCCTACCCACAACACCCGCCATTCATTGTTGTATACGGTGATCATAATCCTGTAAGGTTCTGGAGCGACATCATGACTCGCAACTATGGCTTGGAGCAGACACTCCCAGATCCAGGAATATCCGTCCTGAGCCGAAATCAGAACATCAGGATATGTCACGGCCTTATCCCCATTGGTGAAGGTTACAATCACCTTCTCGGTCGATCCGGAGGTCGGGATGTCATTTTTCTCTGCAGCTATAACCATATCCTCCTCAAGAGGGGAATTAAAGTAATTTTCTGACATGATGAATGCAAACTGCCTCAGAGAGGCAACAGTGCAGGTTGATATGTATCTGTGCGAATATGTAGGTTACTAGTCTCCAGCACTGTCAGAAACTTCGAAGCAATCTAATTTCTCGAGACGGAAGAAGAGTCAACATGCTTACCAGGTGCCCAGAACGGATTAGGCCCCGTAGTTGGAAGCCACACCTGGGATACCAGGTTGGTTCTGCCGTTGCAAGTCAGATTGATAAATTAGGGGAAATATATGGCCTTGAAAAAAGGCCGACCGGCAAAGACCAAAAAGTTTATACCTACCACTAACGTCCAGTCACGGCCCAAAAGGAGAAGAAACAGGGAGATCAGAAGAAAGAGGGAGATTTGCAGTGCCTTCAGATTATAAGGGGAATCATAACAATACAAAACGATGTTTGCCTGTGGACTACAGAGCACAGATGGGCTTGAAGACTTGAAAGCGTAAGTTTCCGAAACTACAACAGGTTAGTCATACCAAAAAAATTAGCTACAGCAACTGGACAAGCCTGAGATGTGAAAGATACACCGGAGTCGGCCGATGGAGTAGTACTTGCAGGTATATGTGAAGGAATCCGATGCGAACCATGAGACTCGTCCGCCGACTATTGGCAGGCAACCACCATGGACAACTGGAACTTTCCTGAAAGACTCGGGCATCTATTAGGCATCCGTTCCTCATAAGTGGCGTGTGTCTGGTAAGGCTTGAGAGGCTGGGCTAAAACGGAAGTTGTCTTTCCAGCTTCTGGGCTGTGCAGATCCGAACTGTTCACGACCACTTCAAGACTGGTATCGGTCCAGGTGCCGTTGGATGGGCCATAGGTTACTTTGTTCTCTCAGATGGTTTACAAAATCCACTGTTATTGCTGCAAAAATAGGCAGCGGTCTTAACGATGAAAACAGTAGGCTGTTGGTAACACCAAATTCCACTTGCCTTCTTCGGCATAAAGTCACGGGTTTCCTGGCGATTGGAAGCATGAAGATAGATGCTGGGCACTGGGAGAGTTTTAAATTAAATGTCGCGTCGCAGTACGTACAACATACGCATCCACCTCTAAAGTAGCACAAACATGAATTGCTAGTGAACACACCTCCAGTGTAATCGGAGGGAAGAACATGTAGTATGGAGCATATGTATTCAATAGCGGCTAGCACTTGAGAGGTTTGGTAGCAACTAAGGTAGGATACACTGCATGTAGTGATTCAAAGAGAAAAAGGGTGTTATGGTGCTAACGGTAAACTGGTTTGTACTGTCGTATTGATGGTAAGGTGGAAATGGTCGGATTGAAGGGGACTTTCCCTTCTCTAGTCTATTCGTAGAGATAAAAATTCCATCCTTTTTGGTGAGGAGCCATGAAATGAGCACAAGATTACTTAGTAATCCTTAATACGTCCAATCCATGTACTTGTACACACAGTGCTGCCTTCTGAGCCCCTCCTTAAAGACCGAAGACAAGTGTTGTGCAGTTCTCTCGGTCATGCACTAACAAATCAGTTTTCAGAATCAAGGAAAGAAAGAGTGGGGTATAGGTGGGGTCTTGCTCTTTCGAATACAGTTACAGTAACTTGCCATCACTAGGTACCTGCCCTGGAAGGTTCCTCCAAACTTGCATCAAGTTAGCGAATAGTATGCCTGCCTTTACGTTAACCTTCTGCACACACAGATGTGGAACAAAAATCTTCTAGGCATATAAGAGCCACAAATGCATGCCGCATGCGTATCAGATGCTCCGATTTTGAGTTAAATGAACAATATGACCCAATCCCTTTCGACCGCCCTAAATGACATCTGCCATGTAGCGACTTTATTAGCTCCCTAAGTCCTGAGGATTACCCTAAATGATGTAGACAAAAATATTTCCATCTCTGGTGAGAAAATATGGTAGATATTCAGATAATGGCTAAGGTGGACGTCAAATAGATGGTTTTACGTTCGACTGACTCGGCCCTCAGAGAAAAGTCAAGGTCCAGGAAACCGAGAGGGTCAGCGATAACAGCAGCTGCCGTCGAATTAGTTAAGGGTTTGCCGAACAAGATTTCTGGTGCAGAAATGTCCTATTAGCTAGCACTAGAGAAAACGGCAACTTCTGCAGTTCGCCAAGCAGGTTTGAAGCCTCTACTCAACAGGATCTCTTCCTGGACCATCTACACGACTGTATGATATTCGAGAGCGTACTTCTCCGAAGGCCAACAAGGTAAAGTATCTTCATTTCGCGATTGAGAGTTCGTGCTTTGAATGAAATTATCATGTGACATAGCTGTCCATAAGAAAAACTCATCAACTACATGCAAGCACTCAAGCAATTGTAAATTCCCTTGACAAACACATAGATAGCAGAACTTTCCCTGATCGTTGCCTTGTGGGACATTCTTAGTTGAGATAAGATTTAAATTACTTTCAATAAGAATCCAAATTGCAAACTCATTCATAACAATTTGACATCGCCATATAGAGACCAAAGGAAAACAGACAACTAATGCCCTTCAAACACACACACACAGGTCCTGATTGGCAATCTGATGTAAGAAGAATAGTCTCATAGCATTCTTGAGAACACGCCTAGTGAAGAATATAGCCGAAGACCGGTAGGCGATCTCCGGCTTTTCCCTAGTCCATTTGTTCTTGAGACCGGCACCTGGACAAGGTCTTTCTGGACACACTTGAGTATGTTCATTTGTATGAGAGAGGAGGGATGGGATGGCTTCACAAGAGCTATTTGAGCGGTGAGACGCTAAGTTCAGCTCAGATACTAACGTATAATCAATGGATGCCAAGGTCGTCCTGGTCATCTGTGTCATGATCGTGGCTACCAGTATGGATGATGAAGGACTCGTCAATGACAGTCCCGTTTCCTTGCTGGTTAGATCCTGACAACGAAGCAATTGATCCCTGTCAGTTGCACCATATCAGCTTCTGTACCGTGCCCTGATGCATCGCACTCCAAACACAATCGTTGACTTACGTGATGCATTGCTCCAAGCCCCATGGTATTTAAGTCAAAATCTCCTTCGCCTGTGTCGGAAACGCTTGAGCCCTGCCATGGAGAAGAGAAAGCTCCCAATCCTCCGTTGACTCCTCCAAAACCCCAGCTGCCTGCCCTTTCTGTGGTGTCATTGCCCTCGTTGTGCTGAAAGTAGGTAAGTTGTTGTTCGTTGGGAAAATATGTGTTTCTGGATTGTGTTTCGGTGGTCATATCGGCAATGCCAGTTACGTTGTCGAGAGCAGCCTGGTGTGCCATCAAAGGATTCAGGACAACATGATTCATACCACGAGCATGCAAGCTAACTCGAGGCTCGTTGCTAGCTTGCTCCCAGCTTGTTTTAACGTGTTCGACAGGGGTAGCTATAGTTAGAGCGCCCAGAAACTCTGGAAACGGCCATCCTCCGTACTCTGCCCATACATGGTTAATCCAAGGGCGTCCGAGAATCAAGGAAACGCCTAGTTGCATGGAGGTGCGTCTGTCAAGCACCAGCACTTCCATCGGCCAGGTGTCTTCTGGGCTTATTGGAATGCAAGAAACATATATGCAGCTTTCCTGCATGTAGTACGGCTCAATGGCGTTAACAAATTCGGCTGGATCTCAGAGGGACGTAAGTCCCGGATAATCGGACTCATATGCTGTGCGATATCGACTGGAACATAACTCTGAGGCCAAAAAGGACTAATCAGACATCTTAGAAATTCGGCCCAGTGTCCTTCCTTGGTCATCATTTTTATTTGGGTAAGAACTTCGCCGTACCGCAACGTGCTCTCCGTAATAAGACACGAACGGCGCCGACGCCAGCGATGTTGACCTGACATCATTTCGCGCTGCGGACCTTGCACCCAAGAAGACACGAAGTTCTAGATAAGGGGTATCAGTCAGTGAACAGTGATATCCTGGACGGAGGATGACAACTACCTGGGCACAGTTGGGATCGTAAATTAGATGTTGAGAACTAGAAAATCAGGAATTGTGGACGTATCTTTGGAGTATGATCCATGGGAAGGTTGCGTCCACAAAGGCTTGGTAGGTGTTGTCTACCCTCGATCATCGGGCGATGAGAATAATGATAGAGACAGATATTTTCGAGAATGACAAAGCCCATGGAAGGGCAGTTTATACAGAGAAGGCTGTGCGGACAAGGTGGTACGCGCACCAAGGAATGATTGAGATTCAGTCAGCAAGGTTGAGTAGCAGGAAGCTTGTGGGATGAGCGGGTCATGAGGGGAAATGGAGGGGAGATGCATCTTCACACTAGCAGAAGCATTCATATGATAGGGAGGGGATGCGTGCGGCTGCATGCTCGTAGTTGCCCAGCATCAGAGGGTTGGAGCTTTGAGGGTTGTCGAAATCAATGCGACATCCCTCTTGTATAGAGCTCTGATGAATCGGTCTGACGCAGAAGGTGAATGGAATTTCGTGCGCCTCGAGTATATAGCCCTCAGGATAACATTTCCATGCAACTTCGCACCAGCATATGTCTCGATCCACTTTGATATCAGTACAAAAAAAGTAAACGATACATGGAAATGTAACTGTTCTCAAGAGAACTATGAACTGCAACCTGGAAGTGTTATGTGCAGGATGGGGTAAGCAAACATAGGCCCTCGACTTTCAGCTTCCACATCAAGATGAGCGACTGCTCAAGTTGGGAACTGGAATTTTGCCGCCTACTGCTGCAGACAGCCATCCCGCGCTGCGCTAGTTTCTCGCATTTTCGTTATAGAACAGGGAAATTATTTGCCATATTTCCTTTTCTGTGAAACAGGTTGCAGGCTTTTCTGTGATTCGTCAACAGAATTTCAATGTGAAGATATCATTAATGATAGCAATCTTAGCTGACCAAACATGCTCACAGACATCATGGGATGCTCTGCTTCGCCCAAATAGTAACATGCCAGCCTGATTGCATACTGAAGGCAAATATAAAGGGTTTATTGTGAGGGGAGAATTAGGTATGCTGACAACAGTCTTTGTTCAGTCCGTTGCCTTCCCTTGCATCACTTGCACTTATATCTTGGCGTATGTATCGTATGTTACCTGTTTTGTGTTCTTTTTCATGACTTTCTTGGAGTCTAACAGTATATAGACAAGTTCAATCTCGATCAGTTCATCTATTGTCAACGACTTCTGTTGGTGCAGAGCGATCATGTATCGCCGACACCCACGTCACTGCAGTCCCATTGCCGCCACTCACTCTGCTGCCACTCGTCATAATCATCAGAAGAAATCGCAAAGCAATCGAGAAACCCAGCCCGTCAGTTATCTCCTAATTCCAACCTTGGAGTTCTAGTCACTGATCACCATTACAGAAATTCATCCGGATCCAGGCAACATCCACATACGGCCGGGCTGAATTTCTTGCCAGCAACGGGAGCTGGGAATTGCCTGTATCCTTTGACAAGAGCCAAGAAGTTAACACAATCACAACACAACTTCTTTACCAGATCACGGGGTGCGATCAATCTATCCTTGAGCTTGAAGCCAAGTCGCCGAACTGCTACATAAAGCTAGATTGGACTTTTCCTCGCTATAGCTACCCGCTATTTACAACTCGCCATCGGCTGGTGAGAGGAGACAAACCTTGTGTAACTTTCAACAATGATCTCACCTGGGCCAGAAATATTCTCCAGACCTCAACAACTCTAGGGCTTGCGGTTAAAGAGAGCATCCCATCACCTATGTCAACCTCAACATCACCAACTTTGTTAATGCAGACTAAGCCCAGGGCAACCATGCGGTTAGGGCCTGCATCTAGTGAGATTCAACCAGTGGTCGTTCGAACAGACATGACCAACATGAGTTCCCTTGAAGCTGGGTCGGTGCAACAACTACCACACGGTTATACATGCATGGCTTCTGAAATCACCCAGCTGATGTCTTCATCAACCTCTGCCTCGGATGAAGAAACATACTCCACTCCCCCTTCAGAAGCTGGAGATTATTGGGAAAAGATTCATTCCACAAGCCACAGCAATATGGGCCAAGAAAATAGCTTGAACACTTTGGCCTGGTATCCTACTAACGCATATTGTGACAGTCGCTCACTGGATCACACATGGGATTCTCAATCTTCTAAGTGCTTGATTGAGTCAATCCGCGGACAAAGAGTAGAAGCTTCCGAACTTTTCTGCCGCAACGAAGACACTAGTGGTCTTCTTGCAGTGCTCTCTGAGGCCTCTAATGGCTCAGCAGAGCTTTGGCATCACCCTTCAGGATTGCCTAATTTCTAGAGAGGAAAGCATATACACATCAGGAATTACGTTTGACTAATGAACATGCGATTAGTGATTAGTCCGCATTGTTGTAAACTCTCACGTCACGGTGAGAAAAAAAACAGTGCTTTATCTTTTTCTGGCCATTTTTCATTCCGTATTTTTCGAGATCTTTGTACTCATTTTGCCCTCAATTCCCTTCCAATGTGTTGCTCAGAAGACTGGATGTACCAAATATTTCTGGGACGTTAGTAGGACGAATGTTGAGGTTAAGAGGTTAGTAGAGGAGAATGACCAGGTGGAGGATTGAGGGTTATATTACTTGTTGGTCTTTTGCTATCAAATACACATTTGTCGGCTTTGTGATGAGGCTCTTTGGACGAGGCTCTGCCACTGGACAATCAACCTATATCTAACCGACCTTACGTACGTTCATCTACGTCCCCAATGAGCAACACAATACCTCTAATATTCGTCACTGCTCAGCCCTTCGAGCCAGTGTATGCAGGTTCACTCTAAGTTCTTCTGCTTGATGATTGTCGAATCCCTTTCGCATACTACACGCCCCCACAACATCAACTGGGCCCGCTTCATGGCTGGAGATGTCGCGTGCTTAGACTGTCATGCATGTTCGCTTGTTCAGCCCAGCTGAGGGAACACTGAATTGATGTCTGACAGTATCTTTTTAGTAAGCAAATTGGCCTATCAGAAATGACGTTTGATTTGCGCTACTGCCTTGTTGCCTTGTTTCCTATTCCAAGGGCCCTTCAGGCTCCTCGCTGGCCGTCCAACTCGCTCTATCCAGGAGTTTTCCTATCTTGACTTGATCAGCATGCCTTTTGTTGTCCATCCTAGTCTTCCTATCCCGTACTGTCTATCATATGCTGTCTATCCTGTAGGGTACTTCCCTCTCCTAACTCGACTAGCCTTGAGATTATGTCTCAATTATCCGGTTTTTGCCCGTCTACCCAATCCTCTCTAAGCCAACCTACCACAAAAATTCAATGACCAGCTAACAATTAACGTATCACTCAACTTCAGCCAAATTAAGCATAGCTAATCAATCATCCCCATCGAAACATCTCCCATCCCCTCCTGAAGCCATTGTGACTGCTCTTCTTGATTCTGCTGTCAAGTTCCTTCTTTTGGCCTTGCTTCGGAGGTTTCAAGACACTGAACCGTTGCCTCATGAGTTCACGCTCTATCAACTCGGACAAAAGTAGGTCCTCAAGTGTCTTCTTCGGACCCCATGGAGTAGTAACAGCAAGTTGTTGCTGCTCCCGAACATGGGGAAGCGCTGCTTGGGCTCCTGCCTTGGCAGAGAAGCGAGAGACTAGGCGCTGCACAGGGCTTAGAGCTTGCAGGTGCTCTCTCTATTGCATCAAGGCCTGATGGTCCTGTTGCAGCTCGATCTGCAAGGGGGCCAACATCTGCTGGTCCAGAAGCTGCTGTTGTGGAACCGGCTGCATCTGTGGGAGTTGGACCGAGTTTGCATCCTGTGAGGTCTGGGATTGTTCCTGGGTAGTTACCTCAGACTGCGACCATGGCTTCTGAGATTGGGCTTGCGTCTGTTGCCGCATGCGTAGCTGGCCGTGCAGTTCCTGCTGCTTGAACCTATCCCTCTCTTCACGTTGCTGGATTTGCACGCTCAATATCCTATTCTCCGTGTCTGCTGCAGTCTCTTGGGACTGAATCCGTTGGGGGAAGAAATTCGGCGAAGTCAACTGCGACCCCAAGTTAGCACCAAAATCAGCAGCAGCCGTTGCTTGGCTAAGCGTCGCAAAGTCGTCACTCAGGGCCTGTGGGTTTTGTTGCTGTTCCGAGGAGCTGGGATGGAAGCACATGGTAGCAATGTGATCGTCTCGTGCCTGAGGAACGTTACCAAGCTCCGGCCCGAAGATGTCTTGCAGCGTCTGGTCCGCCTGGTTGAATGCTGATTGGACAACCGGCTGGGCGATTGGTTGTGGTTGTGGTTGTGCTGTAGGCATTTGATGGGTCGAGGGGGGTGTCAGTTGGACTCCAGGGAGGGCTGACGCTTGTTGTGGAGACTGCTGCGACCGCCGCCGCCGCTTCTCCCCTTGCTGATGGTACAGCGACACAAGAAGGTTCTGGTAGGACACATTGCTCTGGCTTGTGGGCTGAGCAACGCCGCTTGGTAATTGGACCTGACAGCCGAAGCCCGCAGTCCTCGAAGCAGACGCAGCTACTGATTCCCCAGGATGTCAGCGATCTCAGAAAAGGTTGTTGAAAACACCCTTACCCCAGCTCTATCCCAACATCCACTGCTGCAGAGCGGCTAAGAGTGGAGTCCCCAAGCAGGTACCCGTGCGTTCTCCACGATTTGCGACATCCCGTCGTGTTGTGGCATGTCGCTTGAACTTTCAAGCACACCGGTACCCAGGGCTCCTGGCTTTCGAACTAGCGATCACGGAGAAGATTAGAATTGCACTACTCACTTGATGGTTTCGCCAATTTTCTAAATGGCTCGATGGCGTATCGCGAAGTTCCAGGCTTCAGCACGCTCAAGCTCCGAAGCTTCGTGGGCATCACGATCGTCCTCGCTGGAAGCATACCCCCCGTAGACTCTTCCAGGAACTCTGAACCAATGAAAAGATCGACGTTGATTTGTCCACGTTGTTCGTCGGGGAGGACCCATGCCTGCACAGACTGCCTGGGAATGCCGTGTGGTTCCTGCTCAAGAGTTAACTCCACGAAGTATTCAGCTAGGACAAGACCCCACGGTGTATCGGCGGGCTGGCTATCCTTAGGCAGTACCGTCGGCTCGATATTGAGGAACCTGACAACATCCATCGAAACGAGCGTATGTTTCATCCGCCGGGTAAAGAGGCCGAGAAAAGGGTGTTTCTTTCCAGGGGCCTTGGTGGTCGACACCATGACAGGCAGGATGACGTCCAGCAGCCCATTAAGAATCGACTGGTTATCAGGGGTCACGATATCCGGCAGGGTTGCTTGCATTCGCCATATCTCTTCCTGGCGTTCTTTGTCTAAATAGGCCTGGATACGCTCCTCGAGCTCGCTACGCCGTCTTGACGCCCTTTTGGTGGTGTTTCTTTCGGGTTTCTTAACCCCTCCCTCTTCCAGGTGTGAGGACTGCTGACAATAGACAGCATCAGACATAGTGCGCTTTCTTTGTTGCGTTCTAGGCACCATGTTGCCCAGTATGTCAAGTTTTCGGGGAAGGTAGCGAAGTAGTAGCACAAGAGGTGCTGGTGGTCAAAGATGTCGATTTGGTCGATTGTTTGTTTCTTGATAGAGATGGCGTTTAGTGAATCAGCGGTATTGTTTTAGGGTCGATCTGGTGAATGATAATAGAGTTGCTAACTTCTGATGCCTTTGCTGTTAGGCTGATGGGACTGAGATCCAGTGGTTGGCCGCAGGATACGAAGCGGACAAGAAAAAAAAGATTCCCAGACGTAACTTAGTAGCTCTTTTTTTGCTAAGGTTAATCGTTTTATAAGCAGGCAGGCTGTTCCATGTGATGATGACGGAAGGAGCAGCTGATTTTGCTGTTGTTCTCGCATCTCTACTGCAGTTGGATCATTTGCACTGATGTCATATTTGCTCTGCATTATCCGGATCGATCGCATCAGCGTAGTGAATGCCTACTCTCGGCGTTTTTGAGAGGATTACGAAGATGGGACATGGGACGACGAAATGGAATAAAACTCCAAATCAGAGTCAACATGATGATGCAGCAGGTCTTCCAAAGAACCATGCTCATGGTTTCGGTCCTCTGCTGAACTCCGGAACACAATGATGCCGGACCGTGACGAGAGAGCAGTCCGGCACACGATGAGGTAACTTGTAGTGGAAAAGCACACATATGTTTGCCACCATCCCAAGGCATTGCATGCAATATCATGCTCCTCATCGCGAATATACTCGTATCACTGAGCGGAAACTATCGTCACTACAGCAGATGCCTTCGGCGCGCGTTTCATCAAACACCAGTGGTACATGTTCTTAATGTTACATATTTTTTTCTTATAACGAACTCGTCGCTGTGTGCAAACACCGAGCTCCGTGTTTAACTCGGTGTTTCAACTGGAATAGCAGGGTGAGAGGTCGGCACCTAGTGAGGCCTACAACCAGAACCATATGGACAAGTGTTCTAATACTGCATCGCCAGGACTTTGGGAGGGGAAATAGATAGCCTTGTGCGTGCTTGCTCCGCTGTCTCAATCGCGCGAACGTCGAGACGCACCTCCTTGATATTAACACAGAGCCTCATGTCCATTGATATCTCTGCTACACAGGATATTTCCAGCGGTTTCAATTCATCTGGCTTAGTATACAAGTATTTACGTCAATGATGATATATCATGAGGGGTTTCTGCAAGATAGCGAACATGTCAGCTGCCAGGAGTGCTTCATGCCCGTAATGGTAATGGCTGCTGCATACATCACGGAGCCTGCAGGAAACATCTTAAGCATGTTTTCACCATGATCCTCATCACAATCGATTAATATTGTTGCTGCAGAACATTGATACTTCATTTAGTTGACCCGACGGGCATGCTACTTGGTCCAAAGCTGGGCTCCGCGCGCCGCCGTCCACTGAGATGGACCCTCCGTAAACGGCGCCAGGTTCCAATTATGCTCTCAGCCACAAGGGAACAGTGAGGAGCTCCTGAAGCGTGCACAGTGGCAGTCCGAACTTGATGCTCTAACGGGGGCTTCTCTAACCTGTAGGTCGCATGGTAGGCGGCCAACATGCCACCCTCTAACGGCCAACCACCCTGCTCTCTGCATCGTGTAGTGTGCATAGAGAACTTGAGCCTCCATCATGAGGATCGTGATTCATGCACCACCATATGTCGTGCTAGCCGGGGAGCGAGCTGCGGGGAGATATTACTGCAGGCTGCAGCAACAGTGAGCAGTGTCTCTGTTGTAGTAAAGGGGGTGAGTAGAATTGCTTGACCCACCAGTCACAGCAATCACAATCTTCATGATGTGCCTCCTTCAAGATTGCTAATTTGTGTTTCGCAAAGCTGCCTAGTTTTAGTTAAAGAGTCCGAAGAGGGGTTCGGCCTGTTGGACAAAATTGAGGCTCTTAAGAGACCCGGCTGGTCTCGACTCTGGTTAAGGGTTGAACCGGCTCTAAGCGTGATTAGCCTTGTCTGCTTCCGACTCCCTAACCCTCACAGAATCTACCGACATGCTGATGCACGTAGTTCTGTTAATGACGCGGGAGTTGAAGGTCTAGCCCAATGATCGCTTCTGACCATTGCTACGCACAACGACTACACCCTCGTAAGCTTGATCCCCGCAGTGACGATAAGGCGACTACAAGGCAACCAACGATCACTACATGGAATGCTACTTTAATCCCGAATCTGCATTCATCGACTCACCGGCACTGTTCGGCCTCAAAACAATTACATTCGGTCGGTGTGATAGCGGCTCTCCATCTTGTCAGCTGCGACTTAACGAACAAGGCAACAGATAGGGTAAGAAGGCAACCAAAGACGCCTTATGCTTGTTCCAAATTACAACCCGCAAAAGACAGGGCGAGTGGTGCTGACGGCGACGATACCGGAGCGTGCTCTGCATCATGGTGCCAGTAACATCTCGATGCCCATGCCATTGAGTCGTCGTCTCAGCTTCATTCAATCCTTAGCGACTTCAGCCTCAGAACTTCAACTGAAAGCTCGCAGTGTGTCACTTGTGCTTTTAAAATACTTCCGGTCATGATTCCAACATGGGCCAAGGTTACCTACCTTACTGCCCAGCATCCGGTCAAACGACTACCCAAGCACTTGCTCTTGACAAGCAGAGCCGCGTGAAATGCTTAGTGAAAGTGAATTTTTTTCATCTATGACAAGAAATGTAATTAGCATCGAGGTCTCCTGCTGTGCTCTCAGGGTTAGGGCAGACGCTCAGACGTATAGAATGGAAAGGGGGGGGAAACACCCCCGGTTACCACGGAAACGAGATAACGTTCATTGTTTTCATCTCCTGGTGTCAAACATCGCTAACATAAAAACAGAAACACAGAATTCGAGTAAGATATTTGAATCCATAATGCAATAATCAGTTCATGTATTTTCTGTTCAGATATCGAGCAAGAACAGAAGGAGAAAACCACTATCTTTCCTTGACTGACCAAACGCCCAGTAAAGTATGACCCTGTGCATCAGCGAACAAGCGCCACGTGCTACGACACGTGGTTTGTGTCTTGAAGAAACATAGACGGCGTTTGATCTTGCACAAGAACGAAGAAGGTTGGAAGATCTGCCAATTACAATGGTGTGGCGTCACGGTCGGCTGCGGTTAAGGTGGTTTGCTGTTTATGATGTTTCACAGTAGCTTTCATGATGCCTGAGGCAGGTGAAATGTGATGACTTCATTCCAGCCTTCGTGGTTAAGAGACTTCAATCACAAAGGAGATAGTGGACAAAGTTCACACCTGTCTTTGGGGCACTGGTAGCGGGAAATATGCAGCGATGGCCAATAAATACTGAACTAGCCAGCAAGGTGCACAACTAAAGTTTTGTCATGTGAAACTAGATAATATTTCGCAATACGAGAAAAACTGCAACATGATGGAAGAAGCCGAAAGTTCGCAATGTCACTTGTTGGTTCTAAGGTCACATCAGATCACAGAAGGGATGTCGAGAAGCTTGGAGGTGCGCGGCAGAAGGCAAAGTGCAAAATTGCAGCTTGAAGGGCTTAGAGAGTGACCAAATATGTTTGTTGCTAGAACGCTTAGGGGAAACCAGGCAGGGCTGGCAAGTGTAGAGAAATATCTTGTTGCTGTCATCATCACTTCACAGAGCACACAAGGAACAGAACACTCAGAAACAATGATATAGGGGGAATCTATAAAATGACACTGAACTAATTACTCTTTCTTTTCCTTTTCCCAATCCTAATATCTCCCTCTAAAGTTCATCATGGCTCTCCGGTTCATCATCCGCGCCACCCGCGGAGCCGCCCGAGTACAGCTTGCTGGTGATGGGATAGGCAACATTCGACAGTTTCTCCTTCTGCTCCTCGAAGTCCTCAGTGGTAGCAGTGGCGGCTGTTTTATTGTTAGCAACATGTTCGGAACAGGATAACCAAAGGGAGGTGCAGGTGAACTCACCATTCTCATCCAGCCAATCCAGAGCCTCCTTGACGGCGTCAAGGATGGTCTCCTTGTCCTCAGCCGAAATCTTCTTGCCCAGACCATCCTCATCGTTGACCTGGTTCTTGAGGCTGAAGGCATAGTTCTCCAGTGCATTGCGGGCCTCAATACGCTCACGAGTGGCCTTGTCCTCTTCGGCGTACTTCTCGGCCTCGGCAATCATGCGGTCAATCTCCTCCTGGGTGAGACGACCCTTGTCGTTGGTGATGGTGATGGACTCGGACTTGCCGGTGCCCTTGTCGACGGCCGACACCTTCAGGATACCGTTGGCATCGAGCTCGAAAGTAACCTCAATCTGAGGAACACCACGAGGAGCCGGAGGAATACCGGTGAGCTCAAATTTGCCGAGCAGGTTGTTGTCCTTGGTCAGAGAACGCTCGCCCTCGTACACCTGGATCAAGACCGTAGGCTGGTTGTCGGCGGCGGTCGAGAAGATCTGGCTCTTGCGGGTCGGGATGGGGGTGTTGCGCGGAATGAGCTTGGTCATGACACCGCCAGTGGTTTCAATACCAAGGGTGAGCGGGTTGACGTCCATGAGGACGATCTCCTCAGTACCCTCCTCACCGCTCAGAACACCAGCTTGGACGGCAGCACCGAAGGCGACAGCCTCATCAGGGTTGATACCCTTGCTAGCCTTCTTGCCACCGAAGAACTCCTCAATAAGGGCCTGGACCTTGGGAATACGAGTGGAACCGCCAACGAGGACGATGTCATCGATGTCGCTCTTACTGAGTTTAGCATCCTTGAGCACCTGCTCAACGGGCTTGAGAGTCTTCTTGAAAAGATCCATGTTCAGCTCCTCAAACTTGGCGCGGGTCAAGGTCTCAGAGAAGTCAATGCCCTGGAAGAACGACTCGATCTCAATCCGGGTGGACATCTGGCTCGAGAGGGTACGTTTGGCCTTCTCCGCCTCACGCTTGAGCTTGCCCATGGCTTTCGGGTCGGTGGTGACATCGACACCGTGCTTCTTGTTGAAGAGCTTGGCGAAGTGGTTGATGATACGCTGGTCAAAGTCCTCACCACCAAGGTGGGTATCACCGGCAGTGGCCAGGACCTCGAAGACACCCTGGTCGATCGAAAGGAGGGAAACATCGAAAGTGCCACCACCAAGGTCGTAAACGATGATCTGGCGCTCACCCTGGGTCTTGTCAAGGCCATAGGCGATAGCGGCGGCGGTGGGCTCGTTGACGATACGGAGGACGTTGAGGCCAGCAATAGTTCCGGCATCCTTTGTAGCCTGACGCTGGGCGTCGTTGAAGTAGGCGGGAACGGTAACGACGGCATGGGTAACCTTCTTGCCCAGGTAGCTCTCAGCGGTCTCCTTCATCTTGGAGAGAACCATGGCCGAGATCTCCTCAGGAGTAAAGATCTTCTCCTCGCCCTTAACCTTGACGGAAACAACAGGCTTGTCATCCTTGTTGATGACCCTAAATTCCCTAAGTTAGCAAATATGTCCCCCTGCACAATATCGAAAAACCACACATACTTGTAGGGGAAGTGCTTGATATCATTCTGAACGTCCTTATCCGACCACCTCCGGCCAATCAGGCGCTTGATGTCAAAAATAGTTCTGTGCGGGTTCGCAGCCGCCTGATTCTTGGCGGCATCACCAACGAGTCTCTCCTCATCGGTGAAGGCGACATAGGACGGAGTGATACGGTTGCCTGGGGGTAGGGTCAGCAGGTGTCCACAGGGCAGGCAAAAAGAGAAGGTCGTGCAGTTTCAAAACATACCCTGATCGTTGACCAGAATCTCAACCTTGCCCTTCTGCATCACACCAACGCAACTGCCAACCGTTAGTTTCCACTCGCTCATGATTTGATCAACCCAGTCCAAAGTTGCCACGGTGTCCTCTCAGCACCGGCACCCCAGGGGCAAACAGTATCAGAATGGGAAAGAGATCTCGACATCGTGGTCGGGTGCAGGCATCTTAGTCTCGGGAAGAAAACTTACGAGTAGGTAGTACCCAGATCCTACAGATCTCGTGTTAGCTCTGCTGTCATAATGTGCGAAGCGGGGCTTTGGGAATCTGATCTCGAGAGCGCAGGAAGTAGGGGAAGATCACGTACAATACCGATAACAGTGCCATAATCCGCTACATCGTCGGCAGCTTTCACCTGCTGGACGAAACCCAACGAGAATAGAAGCACAAAGAAGCCAATGAAGCTGAGGCCAAGGGCCCAGCTCCGTGATCTGCGCTCCATGATGGAGGCGGTCTCTGTCTATGTGTAGGGAAGTAGGAGCTCTTGTGACTCTGCTTGCAGGTGTTGAAGAAGTCACTAGCAGACAAAGAGAAGGGAGCAGAAATCTAGATGGTTAGAGAGTGGCGGTTGGTTGATGCTGTCGCCCCTTGATGGCCACGTTCCTCAGCCCCAGTCCTACGACGGTGGTACTTGGTGCAGAAGAAGGGCGGGTCTGGGAGATTCCAGAACGTCAATGGACTCTGGAGGGACAAGTGTTGTGAGGACAAGAAGAGAATTGGGGAAGGAAAAGCAAGAAGAATCCGAGACGTTGTTGAATCGGTCAGTTTTAAATTTTTGGGACCCCGAGAATGGGAAATCTGTCCTTATGTTGGCTTGAGGCCACTCAAGGCTCTCCGCATTGGCCAAGGCCTGGGGCTGCCCAGGATTGGTTTTGCCGCTGCTGGCTGGCGGGAGCTCCATCCGATCCCAGAGTCTCCACGAAGAAGTAGTACTGGGTACCTTCAGCCTTGCAATCTATTACCGATAAATATCACAATAGGGAGTACCAGTACCTAAGCCAGATCTCACACTTGACCCATGCTTACGCCAAAGCCTGCCACTTCCCCTGCATGCTGTTTTTGAGGCCAGTTGTTTGTTTCTCTGGTTGGTAACTTCAACGCCCTACCTGTCCACATTCAGCTTGGTCGAAGCGCACAAAGAGGATTGCTCATGCTACTGTGGGTTCATGCCATGTTTCTGCTCAATCTAAGAATCCATCTCATCTTTTCTCAATAATGCATGTCTTCCGTTCACAAAGCAGTAACTTCAAAAGACCCTCAAGAACCCTTAAGAACAGACCGATGCCTTCGCAATGCAACATGCCCACTCACTCTAGATCCGATCTGACTTTCGGCTTTTCCACCCGTTTCCAAAGACTGCCCCAGATCATGTCCCATTTTTAGCCTTCTCTCAAGGGGTGCCGCAAGTCCGGAGAGAGAGGAAGGAGAGATCCTTGGAAACAAGCCCCTGGTTTGCCGCTGCAGCACTTTGGCAAGCGCCAAGCCCCCTCCCGCAGCATGGATGCCTCGCAATGGGACTGCTGTACATGTTGCCCCCTTTGTTTCTGCCAGAGTGGCCTTTTCAAAGAATCAATGGACCTTCCCATGGCTACAGAGCATGCACGCAGTCCAGCCAATGTTGATCAACTGGAATTAATCCTCCCGTATCACGGTTCCGTAGCTATGGTATATGACTCTACGCATCCGTCCTAATCATCAGTCATGTACTAACTGGCTGTTTTGACACAAAAAACTTCCCTTCGTGACTCTGCACAAAATGCAAGGATGGTAATGATTGGTCCTAAATGTACACGGCATGCTTTGCCTGAGACTTACCTACACTAGCCTGTCCATACTTATAAAGTACTGGAATAAGCCACCAAGGGGTTTAGGGAACGGTGGCAATATTTCTATGTCCATAAACCTAATAAAAAGACACAGTAACCGGCCATTAAGAAAAGATGACACGTAGATCGCTAAGCATTCAAGTGTCCACCAGTATTCCTTGAGCAGGAGAAGAGGGAAACATGGTGTTGAGACTGAAGTTCGTTCATCAGGCTTTTTCATGTAAAAGCCGACAGTGTCAAAGCCCTTCATAAAGCCACATCAGGGGAGCACTCTAAGATCACATCATTCTGGCCAAGCAAGTAGCTTCCAGTCCTAGACACTATATAGCCTTCCTGACCCCTTACTCCAACAGCCCAGCAGCCACAGTCTCACCACCTCTCCGCAACACCACTCTCTGACCAGCTTCCAACGGAACCGTGTCCTGGACTTCAACCTTAATGCGCGCAACCTGGCCCTTCCTAATGGCCTGAGGAAACTTCTTGGTCACTGCGCCCGTAGCTCGATCTAGCACGGCAACCAACTTCGTAACCTTCCCTGAGGCGTGCAGCCTGCCGCGATGCACATCGACAGGCATGGGCCAAAACATGTCCCAGGCGAGAGCCTTCATGGTGAACTCCTTCATCACCTTGACTGGATGGTTGGGATCACAGACAACGTCACCAATCGAGACATATTCCTGGATGATGCCGTCTAAGGCGATCTCGGCATGTTGGCCCGCGACGGCCCAGTCGACCGGCTCGCCACCATTGGTGTTGATAGCTTTGACATATGCCATTTGGTTCGCTGGCAGAAGCAGCAGCTTCTCGCCGACTTGGACACAACCTTGTTCCAGGCGGCCCAAGATTGTTACGGGGGACTGCATGGTGCTGTAGACCTCTGAGATAATCATACGTAGTGGCTTTCTCAGCTCGCGCGGTTTAGGGTCAGAAGCTTCCAGCTCCTGAATGAGAGTGCGTCCAGCGTACCATGATGCTGCTGGGTCAGTGGAGCGGTTAACGATGTTATCACCCTTGAGGGCAGAGACAGGAACAAAGGCGATCTTGTCAAGTTGAAAACCGAGGCGTTTGAAGAAACCCGTGATCTGATCTTTGATTTCTTCAAAACGCTCACGGGACCAGTTGACCATATCAAGCTTGTTGATGGCCACGATCAGGCGGAAGACGCCCATGCTCCGGAGCAGAATGATGTGTTCATAGGTTTGACCCCTGAGGCCGGCTTCAAAATTACCCTCTTTGGCATCGATGACGAGAATTGCGAAATCTGCTTGACTGGCCCCTGCGATCATGTTCGGGATGTAGTCTCGGTGACCAGGTGCGTCGAGAATGAGAAAAGACATCCTCTCTGTTTCGAAACGGTTCATCGCAATGTCGATGGTTACACCATGAGCTCTCTCATCCTCACGAGAGTCCATGACCCAGGCAAGCGCAAATGAACCCTTGCCTATAATCTCAGCTTCCTTGCGCAGCTTGTCAACTGCTCGTTCGTTCACTATCTTGAGATCGAGTAGAAGCCGACCCATCATAGTACTCTTGCCAGAGTCCACATGGCCGACGACGACAAAACTGGCGCTCTTTTTCTGTTGACTCTTAGTATACTCAGCTGGAACATCGAGGTTTCTGCTTTTGGGAAGCACCGCATCACTAATTTTAAGTTCGCTGACTTTGTCGGTCACTTGGGCTGCTGATGCTTGTTTCGTAGACAGTGCTGTCGCTGTCGACTTCTTCTTGGGTTGGGCGGGAGCGGCATTCTTCTTTCCAGCTGTTACGGAGACTATTAGTGTCTGCGTTAGCGTGCGCTCTTCCCCATGCGCGAACCTTTCGCTTGGGCCTGAAGAACAATATCATCCGGACTAGGCTTGGAGAAGGCGTCGATGACCGACTGGGGCAAGTCTGGGTATAGCGCAAAGTACTCAGGCAGCTTGCGCTTGCGGCTGGAGTCCTTTTCTAAGGGGGAGGCGAAGAGAGTTTGTGCAAATGAGGATTGAGGAGCCTTGTCGATTGGACGGTTATCTTCTGACAGTGATAGCGTTGACGGAGTCGCTGATGTTGACAAGGAGGGTATCGATGAACCCGTCAGACCAGGCTCATTGGCGGCCAAGGGCACACGACCTTGCGCAGCCGACTGTGCTGTTTTGAGCCGCCTTCCAAAAGCTCCAGCCATGGACGCAGTTCCCCTGGAGGAAGTTGTCGTTGTTTCGTTGACCGACAGCTCCTTTAACTTAGACTGTGCTTGTTCCACGTCGGCAGCGGCCCTCTCCTCAGCCTTCTTCTCACCGGCTTTCTTTTCTTCGGCCTTTTTCTTTCTTGCCGCCGCCAGCGCTTGCAATTTAGACATCTTGGGAGCCGCTCCTGAACCTCCGAGAAGCCCACCCCGGGGCACATGGGGAGGAATAAATGTGGTTTCCCGGTGCTTCGGGATGTTTCCCCACGGCATATCCCAAAACAGCGAGGCCAGGGACTGTCGGGGTTGGGGAGAGATGGGCATGCCGGGAGCAAAGACAGAAGTGGCGAACTCACCATTGGGCTGCTGAGGGGGAGGCGGCTTTTTCTTCGGTGCTGGAGGATTGATGTACTTCTTGATGAGGTAGTTAACTGTCTTTTCGACGTCGTAATAGTAGTACCAGAGCGATTCCTCAATCTGAGCCACTGTGACCTTGCCCGCTTCAACACCAAGAGCAGCCTGAACCTCGGCGACTCCGCGGGCCATCATGGCGCGATCCTCGGGGCTCAAGTCATCCTCCTCCTCTTCTGCGGAATAATCGTAGTCATCCAGCCCATCCTCGATATCCAGGTTTTTGACATTTCGGTGCCGCGACATCTTGGACTTGTGCGAATAGTTGGCCACAGAAGCGCCTTGATCGATGCTTTGAGCTGGTAATTCAAAGTGCTGATCGCGAGCTGAGAGGAGACCAGGAGATACGGTATTTAAGCGAGTCGAACGAGGAGATCTGGATCAACAGCGGTAATCAAGCAGGTTTTAATAGCAAGGGGTCGGGCAGGACGGGTAATCGGCAAGTAGCTGACGCTGGGGAACGACGCAACTTCGCCAGCGCTGGGTAAAATTAAGAACCAGTCAACGCCAGAGATTTCACTACCCCTGAATCTTGTCGTTGTTGTCGCAGGTGTAGTTGTGACTTATGATGGCACCCTCAATTGCGAGTTGGAGCTCATAGGTCCCTGGAGTCACTCAACATACGGATGTGGATGCGAGCATATGGTGGGGTTCTGCCCCTCCATCCAACCCAGCTGGCCCAAGCTGGTGCCTTGTTATCATACAGCAAAGGAAGGCGGTGAGCCACAGCGCGGGGTAGCTGGTCATGATTCTGCCACAATCCGCCGCCTTCTGTCTCCACCTAGCGTAGTCCTGGCCAGAGGGGCGCCTTAATTTTTTGGGCTCTATGGAAGCTTTGACGACAGTGACTAGCGACCAGTCCCTGCTGTCGCGTACCTTCTAACAGTGGGGAATCAAATCCGCCCGTGCCTGTCTCCCAACTCCAGTCCCTTCCCAAACTTTGACCTCTAGAGACTTCATCGGTTTCTTCCATACCACGCCTGCATTTCTTGAGAAACACAAATAGGCGCCGCCAAAATGGGTTCCATGAGTATGTCCAGCTTCCCACTACGCCCCCTGCCTGCCCCGCAGAGATTTGAAGCTGGCTAACGGTTGGTACCCAGATATCGACCTGTCCAACGGTAACGACATCCTCTCTCCGACCTGTCATGCCCATTCGCTCACCGTCGCCGTCTTCCTACTTCATCAAGCATGCTGACTTACATGTGCAACAGCGACGGTGATGAAGGACGAGCAGGGGCGGCCCTTCATCGTTGTCAGAGAGTCGGTACCCCCTCGTCGTCTCTCCAGAACCTTCTCCCGTTAACACTACCCCCTCGATGCTGACCCCTCTCTCAGTCAGGGAAAGAAGAAGCGCCAGCATGGCAATGAAGCTGTCAAAGCCCACATCCTCGCCGCCCGCACCGTCGCCAACATTATCAAGACATCACTAGGACCCCGCGGTCTCGACAAGATCCTCATCTCCCCCGACGGCGATATCACAGTAACAAACGATGGCGCTACCATTCTTCAGCAAATGGAGATTACGAACCATGTTGCTAAGCTGCTGGTTGAGCTGTCAAAATCACAAGATGATGAAATTGGGGACGGCACCACCGGCGTCGTTGTCCTGGCCGGCGCTCTGCTGGAACAGGCAGCAGAGCTAATCGATAAGGGCATCCATCCCATCCGTATTGCCGATGGTTACGACCAGGCTTGCGATATTGCCTGCGCTGAGCTAGACAGGATCTCAGACGTGATTGAGTTCGACAGGGAGAACACGGAGAACCTCATCAAGGTGGCGAGGACAAGCTTGGGCAGCAAGATCGTCTCGAAGGCTCATGACCAGTTCGCCAAGATTGCGGTTGATGCTGTCCTGTCAGTTGCCGATCTGGAGCGCAAAGATGTTGACTTCGACCTGATCAAGGTGGATGGCAAGGTCGGCGGTTCGCTCGAGGACACGATGCTCGTCAAGGGCGTTATCATCGACAAAGACTTCTCCCATCCCCAGATGCCCTCAGAGGTTCGCGACGCCAAGATCGCAATCCTGACGTGTGCCTTTGAGCCGCCCAAGCCGAAGACAAAGCACAAGCTCGAGATCAGCACCGTGGAAGAGTTCAAAAAGTTGCAGAACTATGAGCGAGAGAAGTTCGTTGAGATGATCCAGCAAATAAAGGATGCCGGCGCGAACCTTGCCATTTGCCAATGGGGTTTTGATGATGAGGCAAATCACCTGCTCCTTCAGAACAACCTCCCTGCCGTCAGGTGGGTTGGTGGCCCTGAGATTGAGCTGATTGCCATCGCTACCAACGGCCGGATTGTGCCGCGCTTCGAGGACCTCAGACCTGAGAAGCTTGGTACTGCCGGTCTTGTTCGGGAAATCACCTTCGGTACGACCCGGGAGAAGATGCTTGTCATCGAGGAGTGTGCCAATACTCGGGCTGTCACCGTTTTCGTCCGGGGTAGCAACAAGATGGTAAGTATCCTTCACACCCAAGACCCTATATCTCATCTAACCACCCCTACAGATCATCGACGAAGCCAAGCGCTCGCTGCACGATGCTCTCTGCGTTGTGCGAAACCTGGTACGCGACAACCGCGTTGTCTATGGCGGCGGCTCTGCCGAGGTCGCCTGCAGCCTGGCCGTCGAGGATGCGGCTGTTAAGACTCCCGGCTTAGAACAGTACGCGATGCGCGCGTTCGCCGAGGCTCTCGACACCATCCCAATGACTCTGGCCGAGAACAGTGGTCTAAATCCCATTGCCACTCTGGCCGAGATCAAGAGCCAGCAGGTCAAGGATCCGGCCGCCCGTGGCCGTGTCGGTGTTGACTGCATGGGTACTGGCAAGAACAACATGAAGGAGGCGTTTGTCATTGACCCGCTCATCGGTAAGAAGCAGCAGCTGATGCTGGCAACCCAGCTGTGCCGCATGGTGCTCAAGGTCAACAATGTCATTGTGTCCGGATCTGGTGAGGAGGAATTTTAAGTGCGGCGTAGGCAGATAGATAAAATGAGTCAGTGGTTGTGTAAATGTAGATGGATATATCTTGGCGTGGATAAACGGCATGGCGATGTAGGCTGGCGAGTGAAATTGCTGGTTGTCGGCCCTAGCCAAGTCAAACAAACTGTAATTCCAATCCCTTTAGTCTTTTCATAGGCGATTGCATTCTCCCCAAATAGCAGACCATTCTTTGGCAATCTCCAGCAGCAAATAGGTCAGGGCACCCCGCGGGTCCGCTTGTGGATAAGTGCCAGCACCAGAGCAACATCCCATCAAAATATTACTGCTTTAGAGGATTCTTTTCAACACCAGAAGGCAAGACTAACCAGCAAGCAATCCACCCGACCCAGCATCTAGGGATATTTGTAAGGATAAACGCATTGCCGACTGCGCTGGGCTTTAACTGTAAGTTCCAGAAACGCACAAGCTATGTACATGACTAAGACTTGAGAGCCTACGTCCAAGCCCGGGAGATAGAAGCGAAATGGTTCCCTACTAAAACATAAGGAAGAGGAAACAAATTCAGTTTCCCCTTACCATCCCTAGTGTCCAATGTCCCAATCATCCCTGACCGAACCCACCCCCCCCTTGGCCCAAACCATCCAGACCCAGACCTCCCACAGCCAAATTAAGCAAACCCGAAGCCCTGTGCATTCTCCAGCGCCATTGCCAACCTCTCCCTCAACATCTCCTTATCCTTATACTCCGGCAGCAACAATGTACCATAGCATGTATAGCTGGTCGGCAGCCTACCTGCCGGGTCATTCTCCTCGCCGTTCCTCTGCACGACAAACATGAGATTCTTAATCCCTCCGACAGGCAGGCGATCCGAGGCGGTTACAAACTCGAGCAGCTTCCGCTTCATGTTATTGTCGTACTTCTTGACAATGCTCCAGAAGTCGCGCACTGTGCGGTGCGATGCGTCCCAGCCGACGTACCGCGCGTAGCGGCGCAGCTCAGAGATGTCGATCTCCTGGACGCCCTCGACAAGGGACTGGAGGAGGGACGGGGTCAGCAGGGAGAGTGACTTTGGATGCAGACAAGTGCGGAAGCCGCGTGCAAAGGCCTCGAATTGAGGTCGGACTGAGACGTCGGTCAGGTAGCGGATGTAATCAGAGACGTACGCGTTGCGATTAGCGGCTGTGACAAGAGGCGTGGAATCTTCCGGAGGGTTGCCCTCGTGAGGAGCTGGGCGCGAGGACGATTGGTGAGCGGTCTTGGGGAACTGCGGCCACTCGTCGTCCCTGCCGGGCGGTTTCATCTCGCGCGTGATGTGCTGGCCCATTACAGAAACCGAGAACTCGTATGTACGGGCGAAGACGTCTTCAACGAGGCCGTCCTTTTCGTCCCACTCCAGGAGAGCTGTTAAGCCACTCGCTAGGTCGGGCCAGCCATCAGCGATATGATGTAGCTCTGTGACCGGCTCGCCGAGAAGTTTCCGGTAAAGAGCTCTAGGGAAGGTCACGGGAAGAGTAAGGCCGTTGTAGACGGCTAGAGACACAAGCAGGCCAACCAACTCAAACTTCCACTCATCCACCATGGAGCCAGGGACGAACCAAGTCATACGGGTCCGTTCGTCCACTGTGAAGGCACCGTAGTCGGGGTTCAGTGCCTCTGCAATGGCTAACCTAAAGAACTCCTGCTGGACGCCGCCAGAATCGAACCCCTCCTCGCCATCAGCTTCACCCAAGTGGACCTTCAGAGGCCTGAGGAGCTCACGTTCCTCTCGCCGCCACAACTGGTCAAAGGCATCCTCAATGACATGGTTACGTCGTATCTGCAAAATTAAGTACTTGCTCGCCGCGGAGGACAGACGTTCAGTGATTTCTTCCTTGTGATGCTGACCCAAGCCGGAACGAGGGGCGATGAACTCGAGCTTCCTGTGCCACGCGCTAGCCTCCTCGTGAGACTGGTTCATGCGGGAGAAATTGATGGACCGGAAGTATGACACAAGACTCGAATCCCTGAAAATGTATGGAAAGTCCAGGAGGTGCAGTTTGTGGCGCGTCGACTCATGACCCAGCCACGCGACGGGCATATGAACCGTGTCCAAGCGTTCGGCAAAGTATTCAGACAGGAACTGGCCGTCTGCAAGGAGCAAATCATGGCGTCTCTTGTCTATACAGTTGTTAGCTTTCGGACACCTGCCTGCGTAGCCCTGGGATAACTTACACATTGCGTCTATCAGTGCAAGAGCCCCGCCGAAGGGACCGTTTCCGGGAACTTCAGGAGAGCCATTCCACTCATTGATCATGACGGTCCTAGCCCACTCAAGGAGAAGCACTGGGACACGGGTTTCATGAACGGCGCGGTCTGGGACTGAGAAATCCAGCACGTAGACGGCGTCGACATTCAGGAAGTCGAGCTGAGAGAAGAGTGGTGCCAGAACATCTTGCTGGTCTTCTGGCTCGTCGCTCTCACTGTTGGATGTGATGAGCTCGTTGAAGTCTCGGCGAGAGGTAATGGCTGCAAAGAGCCTTCGCGCCAACCGCAGAGCAAGGCTATCGGTAAAAGCATCCTCGTACTGAAGACAGAGTTCTACCGGCTGTCTGCCTGCTGCCACAGCCAGGCCCTGCGACCTAATTCTCGACATGTCCTGGATAATTCGGCTATCTTGAACTAAAGGGGCGGCGGCAATAAGGGCGTGGAAACAGATTGACAAGAGACGCCCTGCATCTTGGTTGGAAAGCGCAGGCTCGTTCTTGGGGAAAAGTTTGGTCGTAGGAGACCTCAACGACTGGAGCGCCTTAGGGGGCGCAAATAGACTGGAGGCGGCCAACCATAAGCTGTGGAAGACAACGCTCGGCATGATACGGGTCATGCGAAGCATGCAATACCACAGAGTTTGGGAGTCGTAGAGCTGGCCTTTCTTCGTGAACGATTTGAGCAAGAGGTGAGGGTCGCTCAACACATAGAACAGGCTCTGCTCGACGAATAGCTTCCATTCTAGCTTGAGGTCGGGGTCATAGATGCGACCAGGACGACGCTTCCGCCTCAGCACCTTTCCTTTTCCTGTTGGCCAATTGTGGAATCGCGCAATGGTAGGCGGTTCAAACACGTGCTTTTCAGCGGTACCATCCTCTTGGATGATATCGCAGATGAAGTCAATAACCTCCGGGTTTAACCGGGAGAGCGTCTGAGGAAGGATATTCTCGTCATCCGACTCCACCTCCTGACCAACAGCATCGTCGGACCCGTTGCTGCCAAACCGATCGGAAGAAGTCCTCTTTGCAGAAGCAGAGTCCCTGGGGCTGCTGGATTCGCTTATCTTTCCGGAGTCAGGCTGACCCCTGGCGCCTCTTGACTTGAGTTCGAGGGCCTTCGGCGCCGGCATCTTCTCGAGGGAGACATCGTCGAAGAATCCCGCTGAGGAGAGCTGCGAGATAGGTCTAGAAAGACTAGATCCTGTCGCCTTAGGATTTCGAGAAGTCTTGTCTGCTGACCCGTTAGTTGTCCGGGGAGACTTCAGAAGTCCCGCAAACGTATCGTCTGCAGATGTGTCCTGGAGATAAGGATCGATCGATAATTGTCGTTTAGGTCGTGGCCCCGACGATGTCCGGACTTTAGCATTAGAGTTACGGCGCTGTGATGCTGTGCGGGATGACGGATGGCCCTCCAGCTGCTGTTGTGGCTGGGGCTGTGATGACGGTGGACTCTCCTTCACCCCTTGGGAGTCCAACTCCGCTCTTCCAGTCCCGGTCCCAGCTTGGTCTCTGGTGGCATGTCCCTGAGAACCAGGAGGAGCAGCCTGTAATGTTTGACGCTGCTTTTGTTGCTCGTTGCCGGTCTTGCTACTCTGTTCCGTCCTACTAACCCTTGAGGACTCGTCAGACTTCCGATCGCCCTGAAGAGCCCGCACCCTGCGCGACATGTCGTCAATCGCAGCCGGCGTCAGCCATTCCAGCATTTTAAATGCTACAGTTCCAAATACGTTGGCAGCAAAGGACCGATGGTCTTTGCTAACAGGCCTCTCCGAAATTGCGATCCCCTGGGGGAAATCTTGTCTAATTTGTGGTCCGGTGGCCTCTTGGGTCTCTATGTGAGAGCATGAACTTGTAGATAGGATAGCATTGCTAGCACTAGCCTTAGGCGACACTGAACGGCTGTGGGACTTTGGCGACGAAGTGGAGACGCGGTCATCACGCATGCGCGGCTTAGATATGGGTGTTATGGTGAGAGAGTTGAGGGCAGCAGGAGGCCCTTTAGGTGGTCGTAGAGAAGGACATAGTCCACTCTCAGGATTGTCCTGGCTTGCAAGGTGTAAAGCTAAAGTTCGTGCGCTTGTAGTATTGTATCTGCGAATAGGTGCGCGGCCAGCCACGCGCTTACGACAAGTAAAACAGGTCGGAGTCGAACAGTGCTCAGCACCACAGCCTTCGCGGAGCTGGACGATGTATCTGCGCAGGTAACAGTTAGCGAGCGCGCTCTACATTTACAAGCAATACAGGACCCAGCGGACATACTTTTGGACAAGGAGCTGGAAGTTGTGACGGCGACTGGCCTTGTGTATGGCATAAACGCGCTTGGGGTTGTCGATATCCTCAACCAGCTCCTTCAGCTCGCTGGGTGCATCTCGGGGCAACCGGGCAAAGCGAGCATGCTCCCAGAGCCCGGCCAGCAGGTCAGGGTCATCAGTATGACTGCTCCGATGGCTGCAGGCACTGGCTGGCCGCATGGCGTCACGGGTCATGACATGGAGATGGGAGAGATGATATCCGCAGATGCTGACGCGTGGGACGCAGGGACGTCTGGCTGACAGTGAAACTGCGAGCCAATAGAGGCAACTCGAACCTAGAAGCAGAATGCGAGATCCAGCGCGAGGGCTTCTCGTTCTAGAGCTTCAAGTTTTGGGACTCCAGGTCCACAAGGTGTTGGGTTGTGATGGTCGTGGCGGGGAGCGAGACGCCGTTGATTATTTCGATTGAAGCGAAGGAAGCCTGCGGCTTATGCAGTTCCGTTGCCACAGGATCGGATGAATTGGACTCCTCCGTGGCGCCTTTAAGATGTCGTCAGAACACCGCGTTCGCAGTCCGGCGGGCAGGCTGTTGTTACTTGTTAGTGCTGCAGGCTGCGGTTGGAAATGATGCCGCAGGCATGGCGCCCACCACGACTCCAGCTTGAGGCCTTCTGGATAGGAGCCCTGCACTGCACCACTAGAGCACCGGGACCCATGAGCTCCACATATAAGGCTTGGCACGCCAAGATCGGAAGTGGGTCGGGCTACCAAACTGTGGGAGTTCCCAAGCGATGAGTCAACCAGTGTGAATGAGTGCTTAAGGTTCAGGTTGGAGTCTGAAGCATGGGAACTGATATTTTCCCTATTTTGTTCCTTTTGATAGATGCAAGCAATGGATTGTATCTTGATAAGGATCTTCACAATGAGAGAACTGCATAGTTCCTGACGACCTGATGAGTCTGTCAATGGATCTGAGGCTGAAAACTGAGACCCTAACCCTCGGTGTTAAACTGTGTTAGACTGGATCCGATCTTGCAGCGGAGCCGGCCAACGGCAGGGCTTGTTGCACATGCCAAGCCAGTTGTGACGTCCACAGTCGCTTTTAACAACCTTGACCCCGCCGTCAAACCGCCACCAGAAATTTGCACCAACAGTTTGACAGCTTCCAAGTTTTTGGTCACCACAATCGACGGGCTGCTAGCTGCCGTGTATTATTCAGCATTGCGCCGACGCCAGTCGGGTTTTCTTTATAGCGACCATCTGTGTCCATCCTCAGCCGACACCTTCCAACTGGCCGACTGGAGCAGATCCCTTCATCTCTTGAACTCAGTCGGCGCTGCCTTTCGTTCCCATCCTCCCACATCTCAGAAGGGACTGCTTCATTGATTGCTGCTAACCCATCTGCATAACAATGGCAACCATCGCTGGGAGTCGGGCCCCCACAGAGGTGCCCTCGCATCCATATACCTGCAACACTTGCCAGGTGGCATTTCGCAATAGTGAACTCCAGAGAGGGCATATGCGCAGTGACTGGCAGTGAGTTTTTCGGTTGATCTTCCCCCAGATGTTTAGAAAGCAGCAACTCACACTCCTCTCAGCCGTTACAACCTCAAGCGCCGTGTCGCTTCGCTGCCCCCTATTTCATCTGAGGTCTTCACCGAGAAGGTTTTGCAGGCTCGCGCTGCTACCACAGCGCAGGCGGACAAGGCTGGATTTGAGAAGACTTGCGAGGTGTGCCAGAAGACATACTACAGCGAAAACTCGTTCAGGAACCATCTGAGCAGCACGAAGCACAAGTCCAAAGCTGCGGCTGCGGCAAGGAGGCCGGCCAACAATAAGGTCGATGATGATGTCAGCTCCATGTCATTCTCACTTGGCGAGCCGGCGCGAGCAGACTCAGTCGTGGATTCAGAGGCTGAGGAGGAGTTCAGCGAGGTGGTTGAGGGCATCAAGAACGCATCTATACATGACACAGCATCGCCTATCAAACGGCCCTCTGCTCCTCAACCAGCCGTCGAAGAACAGTCCAAGACAGATGCACAAATGGAGGAAACTCCCACTACCACTCCCAAGCCTGAGGCTCTTACACCGTCGGCCACGACATGTGTGTTCTGCAATTACGAATCGCCGACGCCGCAGTTGAACGCCAGCCACATGGAGCGCATCCATGGCATGTTCATCCCAGAGAAGCAGTATTTGGTGGACCTTGAAGGCCTGCTCAAGCACCTGTGGGAGAAGGTGTTCCGGTACAATGAGTGCCTAACTTGCGGGAAAATGAAGGTGAACGTGTTCGCGATACAAACACATATGCGAGACAAGAGCCATTATCACATACCGTACACTACTGAGGAAGAGCAGCTAGAGATCGGTGAATTCTACGACTTCCGGAGTACTTACTCCGATGGGGATTGGGAGACTGAAGAGGAGGATAAGGGTGAGGAAGATGGTGGCGTCAGGCTTGGTGCTAAGCGTGAGAGCAAGGTTGTGGACGAGAACGGCGACGAAGTAATGGAGGATGAAGAGGGCTGGGAGACAGACAGCGACGCCTCCTCACTCGATACCGACGACCTTCATGCGGTGCCTGCTGAGGGTCACTACCACCAGTATGAGAGATTGGGCAAGCACCCACATCACTCACGCGAGAACAAGAAGGCACACCGCGAGGCAGACGGCATTCACGCTCCCTCAAAACGTACACATGCCGTTTACTACGACGAGTATGAATTACACTTGCCCAGCGGCAAGTCAGTCGGCCACCGCTCATTGGCACGGTACTACCGGCAGAATCTGTACCACTACCCAACGCCGGAGGAGCGGGCCGAGCGGTTGGCCATCGAGGCTGCCGAGCGGGAAAATCGTATGGATGTGGATGGGGAGGAGCCGGAGCGTGGCCGCACCCGCACTCGGGCCCTGGTCCCGAGGGATATTAAGGGCCTTGGCGTCACGACCATGTCGGACCCGCGCGTCCGTGGTATTGTCCAGAAGGGCAAGAAGGAGGAGTGGAAGAACCGCGACAGCAAATGGTGGATGCACAGCCAGGTGGCGATCAAAGAGAAGGCAAAGCACCCTTCGACGTATCTGCGTTAAGGAGTTTGCTTGAGACTTGGCCTGGGCGGTTCAGCAGGCGCTATGGGCTTGTGTTGTGTGCTGATAGGAAGCTGCTGATTTGACTAGCTTGATCCTGCGATCATCAAAAAACCTCTGATTTGTTGGCATCGGCATGACTCCTTACATCAAGAATTATCATAGACAGAGGCCGGATAGCAACTGCATGAGCTGAGTTGAGTGACCAAAATGCAAGTTGTTTTTGATTTGGACCATTTTTATTTATCTTCATTTCAGGGGCGACGCTGACGGCCTGCCTTTACTTCCTGAACAGCTGTCATAGTTTCTTTGACAGCTGGCAAGCTTTGCCAAGGCCTACTGTTTGTGCTGTCCCAAGCTGAGGCTGACGTTCCCGCTCGAAACTTGTAGCGGGGTGGCGGGGCAGCGGCCATGGTGCGACTTGGCGTGAGCATCACATCTTGTGACTTGTCTCATCATCGGCGTATCAACAACATCCTTTGTTGTGATGCTCATCTTTGAAGGGGAAATATTCAATATCTAGGAAACTGGATCAAATTCGACTCATTGATTTGATAACAAACCTGTCCTCTAGTCTGTGGGGCCAATAACCAGCCCACAAAGCAAGCCGTCCTGTAGTTACCCCGCGGCTGCTTTATCTTATCGCACTCGGCAACCACCAACATCAACACCAGCCCGGCTGACAGCTGATGCCGACAAGTGAGGTCCATTGGTTGAGAGCACAGTACTTGCCTCTGAACTTCGAAGAACGCCATTCCAGGAACCCTCGCCGCCGAGATCGAGCTCAGTCAATTTCTCAGAATTCTCCTTAGGCTTCCCCCAGGCCCCCTCCCTGTCTTTCGTTGCACAGCTTTCCCTAGCACCACCCTATTATAAGCAGGCTGTGTGACGTGTGCAGTTTCTGGACACAACACCAATTTCGTTGCCGGCAAAGGGCTAAACTGATCCCGAACACGCAAACAGAGCTCTGGGCTTTGCAATCCCAGGATTCACGGTAGAACCGTTCAAATCGCTTACCATCTGACCACTGAGGCGAAGCACTGAAGCAAGTTCAACGGTCGCCATGTTTTCACAGGTAACCACCATTCCCATCTCTGTGCTTCGGGGATGCCACTAAACAGTCCCACAGAAAAAACCTTACACGGCCGTGACAGTCACCATTGAGCGACTGACGGGAGAAACTATCCCAATCGATGACCTGAGTGGCTTGCCTGAGTTGGTCGAGGTTATCAACCTACAACCACTAGGCCCCCAAGAGGCGTCCCGTGCAATCCGAAAGAAGCTCAAGTATGGCAATCTGCACCGTCAGCTTCGTGCCTTGACCCTCCTTGATGGGCTCATCCAGAACGCCGGCCCACGCTTCCAGCGCGAATTTGCCGACGAGGCCCTGCTGGAGCGCTTGCGCTTTTGTGGCACTGCTGCCCTCTCTGATCCGGAAGTGAGGAAGAAGTGCGACGAGTTGTTCCGCAGCTGGGCCTTGCAGTATAAGGGTGTGCGTGGCATGGAACAGGTCGCGAATCTCTACAGGGAGCTGCCCCGGCGGAAGCAGGTTGTGACCCAGGAGAAGTCAAAGGTACTCAAGGAGACTGAAAACCCCTTTGGCGAGGACGATGAGGATGATAGCAACAAGGCCGGGCCCTCCTCCTCCACAAGGTCCCCTCACTCCAGGCACTCGTCACTCAGCAACCCGCCTATAACGGGTGTAATCCAGTCGTTTGCCGTTGACCCTAAGGAGGCCAAGAAGAAGGAGAAGGAGAGGAGGAAGCGGAGCAAGAGCAAGCCCTTCGACCTTGAGGCTGAGCAGGATAAGATGAAGGCAGCTATTGCCGAGGCCTCGATTGCTGCGACAAACTTGATGAACACCCTGCAGACTATTAATCGTGAGAAGGAACGCATCTCGGAGAACCCGGTAGCGGTTCAACGGTTTGAGCAATGCAAAAAGTTGAGGCGTCAGATTTTGCGATATGTGAGTATCCCCAAGTCGTTCTCTTTGGTTTAGCCATGAGCTCGGCTCACAGTTTCTTAGATCCATCTTGTCAACTCTGAGCAGTGGCTTGGGAGTCTGCTGCACGCCAACGACGAGCTTGTCACTGCGCTTATGACCTTCGAGCAGCTCGATCGCTCCATCGATGCCGACAGTGACTCTGATGATGAACTTGCCGAGCAGGCCCATCTCTATCGATGTGTGTACCTTCTCCTCATGATACCCCTGTTTTTCAGGCTAACACAAGTCAAGTGGCCACGGAAAAGGCCCAGCGTGAGAGAGAGAAGGGCAAAGACCCCGCATCTCCCTCCTCTCCGTCTTCACATCGCCCGACAAGCCCCTCCAATATCACGTCTTCCATGGCCGGTCTTTCCCTCAACTCACACTCGTCCCAATCTCCAACACGTCCACCGCCCCCTCCCCGCCCCAGCGCCGCGACCAAGCCTTTTGCGCTGATGGCTAGTCCGCCCAGGCTGCCAGCCCGGCCGGTACAGCGGGCACCGGTGTCAGATGATGAGGATTATGTGAGTGAGGATGATGATGAGAATAACCCGTTTGCGGATCGGAATGCTGTGTTGATGGATGGGAAGGATTGAGGGGGTGGATTGGGAGTGAATAGAGTTAAGGGGGGGGTCTTCAAGAAAGCGGAAGAGGATCATGACAATAAGTAGGGTTTGTGATGGCTCATTTTCATCAGCGTTTTGTGCGCAATTTGGATTTCCTGTCTCATTATTGGTATCTTATGCTCAGGGGTGATAGGACAAATCATCACTTAGCCAGGGGTGCTTAATGATCATGGCAATGGATGGTGATGTGGACGTCTGGGAAACGTCGTCTTTAGCTGGTGATCGGCACCTGCTTCTGGGACCTCTGTCATCTGAGCTTCATGAATATTTCAACCGTTGCCGTTTGCGATTGTTGGTTGTTTGCGTCACAAAATCTGTCCAAGTCATCTCCGGACCAAACGCGTTGGTTGGTCTCGTCGGTCCCCTTAACACAAGGGTTACAAAACTTCCCAAGCTTGGTTTGTACTGGTTACTCCCTGAGTCGTTTGTATGACACCATACCACGCATCCGTACCATGACCTACTTTACCTCTGACGAAAGCCATTGTCCCCGATAAAATGGAGCAGATCGACCAGCAGGGAATCAAACGTTGCGATTGGAAGTTTGACTCCTCTCTCTTGCAGTTTCCCAGTTTGTTTGTCCCGCCTTCGGCAGTTTACTCGGTCTGATCGAGGCAGCTTAGCCTGGCCTTCGTCAGAAATGGACCGATTCAATAACGATGTTGGTAGATTCCGAGGACAGACTCTCGGGCGGAACTTCGAGGGTGAGAGATTTACTTCACCGGTACTGAGTACGGATACCTACCCCGGGCTTACACGGTCACGTACAATCCAACAACCAAGTAAAGGCTCTGTGGGTGTGAAATCGTGAGAGGCTACGGGCCCTAGACAGCGATAATGCATCCCATAATGCAGAAAATTCCAGACCCCGAGATCCAGCATCAGCTGGATCCCATGAAGCGTCCGGAAGCAGTCCACGTTGTGAGACACGGGGTCGCTTGAGGGGTCGCAGTGGTAACGAAGGTGGTTACATTGTCTGGTCTGTGATGGTGGGAAGCAAACAAGTGCGTTGTTTGAAGGTGGGCGTCATTGCTGGTTGAGGCGTCAAAAGACGGGGGGGTAGATCAAAAGTGTGAGGTTGCGTAAGGGTTCCTGACCTCGCCGTGTAGGTGGACGTAAAATTTTAATGAAATCAATAAAATCATTTTTTAACCTTGATGCCAGTAAAACGGAAGGGAAAACGGAGGGCGCTTATACGCAAAAACGGGCAGCGCTTGCTAAAACATTGTTTATGCTACTTAGATCTCTAATTAGTGCCCTTCGAAAGCTGTCGAGGAAGAGCTTCCCAGCCATTAGTTTCTTCTGCAAATAGCCATCTGTAATCTCAGCCTCAGATTTTTCCAGCAAATGACCCCAAGTCGATAAAAATAACTACCTGATATTTGGAAAATGACCAAGATCTTCGTGAGAAGTACATGGAAAGAGTAACAGAAAAATACGTCGCGAAGAGACTGGCCTGTAATTCTCGCTGCGGAGGTCAGTCTCTGCTGCATGTAACTGCTCTCTGGGAGCGCAGAGCCTGCTGCGGCTAATAAACTTCCTCATCAGCTTGTGATTGTGATTGAGGGGTTGGTTCCTGAACTCTTTCCATACGCTATCCTAATTGTCCAGCTCCAAATCACACAGACCTCAAGGCACAAAATACGGATATAAAAATCCAATAAATTTCCCTTTGAAGTTTTCAGGGACTTTTGCGGCCTTGTAAATGGTCTGAGCGACGTGTTTGGCGTCGGTGACATACTCTTCAACATCACATGAGCGTCGGCCGGTTGGCCGTCCCGCATTCCCTTCCGCCCCGCGCGTCACCCCCCACCCTGTGCCCTCGTCGCACTCCCCCTCCGCTTCCCGTTCCGAAGCTCAATGCTTTAAACCTATTGCCCCAAACCTGGGATTAGCCACTTAAACACACGCTGTCCTGGGGAAACTCCTGCTGGTCATCTGGCCCCTTTAACCGCCATCAGTGCCATCGCCGGTTGCCAACTCATCAACCCTCAAAGCAGGTAAGCCCAGAAAAACGACCACCCCGCGTGGCTGAGCTGCCTCAACCGGAAATGCGCCGCTCGAAGTCGGCACATAGCAGCAAGCGGGATGCGCTTGTACACTACCCGATTAGCTGGCGATTTTCGCCGCACGCGTCTCGAGATGCAAATGTAGCTCAGTTGACCAATTCCTGGCTGTCCTCAGCGCCATCTGCGTATCGCATCGAAGCGAGGCACTCTCTCATAGTTGAGGTTAGACCAAAATCTCCGATGATATCCAGGACTCCGGAGCCTCCATGGAGCTGAACGTCACGACTCACGTGCCTCATCGTCATCATTTGCAGCGCTGCGTCTCCCTCTCTTCGCATTCGGAGATCTCTCAACAAGCGTTGAGGTCCAGTCACAAGTGCGGATTGACGCCCAACCAGACCAACCTCTCACTTTCTCAACCCGCGCGGGAGGGAAGGTCATGACCCATCTTGGGCCTTTGACGTGGCAGCTCACTCGTCCTTGTCGTCGCCCTCGATTGGTGCGGGGTCCTTCCTTCACCTTCGTAACTTCCCCTCCTTGACGACGATTGTCGACACCAAGCGAACCCCCCAGCCATTAACGACAATGGTTTGCGAATGAAAAGTTGACTGCTTGAGGTCGCTCCTTGAAATCTCACACCCGCGCGACCGGTTCTGACCTGATCTGACCTCGCGGATCTGCTCCAGCTGGGCCTTTCATGCGTTTCGATAACTGCCGGGCCTTGGCTGCTGCATCGGGGTTTTTTGCCCAACATTGGCTGTCGGTCTGCTGACTCGTCTTTCGCGCTGTACCGTCGTTGCCAACTGGCTGAAGAGAGATGCACTCTGTGAGCTCTTCAGCCTCGCCCTGCGCACCTGACAGCTTGTGATTGCTTCCTGGAATAGCCGTTGCTGAGTCTCAGCCCCATGGATTGGCTGTGATTCCATAACGTATCAACGATGGTTCATGGTCCTGAAGATGATGCTGTTTGTGGATGATGAGATCTTGCTGCCTGGCTCTTGTTACGACTGTTCGTGTCGAGAGTACAGAGACCATCTAGGAATCAAGATGGCTGTATCGTGACAAGTAGGGTGGTATCAAGACTTGAGGTTGATGTTATCTGTCCAATGCATACCCCCATGGTTGCTTCAACTGTCTCCTCTACCATGGATTGCACTTCGATTATCTAGCCCTGACTCTTCAGCCACAGGTAGCATGTCTGCTAAAGCGGGCCCTTGGCCGACTGCATGTTGAGCTGCATGGCGCTCACCATACGACATACATGCTTGATACAGGCTCTAAGCCCTGTGATGGCTTGCATGGTGCACATTTCATAGCATCGTCGCTGATCTAAGCACCAAATATCATGATACTGCCGGCTCCGGCAGCATGGCCAATGTCTACCCATGCTTGTTGGCCTCAGATCGCGCCGAGTTTGCTAGAACTTGGCTAGAATACTAAGATATCAACTCAAGTCTTGGAAGATGTTTTCGCTTCGGGCTATCTTATAACGATAGTTCTCAGTAATCCCATTTATTCGGGTTTTTTTGCAAGAATAGGTTCACACGCCGCTTTTTGCAGAGCACGCTGCTGTATTTGGGAGCTGCTCATAGTTTGAAGAGTCCTGGTGCCACTGGTTCGGGTCACGTCCCGATGACTGACCCTTCAACATTGGAATAATAAATAGCCTGAGAATGTAAATACTATAATCTCACACCCTCTAGACATATCGGTGTGCTGGAGATAGTCCCATGCCATTCTTTCTCTTGCATTGAATTCCTCGGGAATATATCTTTTTTCCAATTCTTCCGTCATTAGATATGCTGGTGCCTACAACATTAGACAAAGAAGACACGGCATAACGCAAACACTTAACTTCTGGTGAGATCATAAAGACATCAATAGCCGAAGATATGGCGCACCCTTACATTATATTACCATGAATGTTGAGCAGAAGAATTGATTAGCGCTTTGATGACCATCTCTTAGGCCTTTTTTTTATCAAGGTTGACCTTTGGCCACACTTCCAGCATCTATCGCCCCCTCTATTTGTTGGGTTCAATTTAAAGGGACCTTCCCATGTTGTTTCATCGGCATGGAGGGATAGAGGCTCTGAACTTACTGTAGTTATTCATTCCAGAACTTTTGTGAGGATGGCTGTGGTTTGAAGTGTCAATGGATAGTCCTTGAATGGAAGCTTCCAGGTGCAAGCCGTTCCGGATCAGTATTTCAACAGTGTGCTCAGCAAAAAGAACAGACCTACAGTGATGATGCTAAGTTCACCGAGCTTCACCTTGCCTCACCCAATCAGATCTTATCGCTCTCTGATATGGTCCGTGCATTGCGGCCAAGGGTTGCCCCACTTGTTTTCATGCTGGCAACTTCGATGAACAGATTCATAATGAGTCACGCCGCCACTGCTTGCCCGAGACACACATGTTGTGTGTAGAATTTCTCATCGTCAAAGCAAAATCTTTCTGATTTGGAGAGTACAGGCTTTAAAGGTAGGGCCCGTGTCGGTGTTGGATTCGCCGAGTTGCTAATTTCAGCGACGGCGCTCAAACAAAGCAAAAGGTTTAATAAGTGCGAGGAACATCAAACATTCGAGCGCAGTCAACATCCTACAGTCCGCAAATACTGGCTTTGCACTCACATCATAGTGCACTGTATAATTGTGAGACTGAATCTCTTATCTAACCCATGATTCCGATCAGAACGCGGGGAGGAGAAGCTCAACGAAGCAGCAGGCAGGCGGTGAGAGAGGCGCCGTCATCACGTGTCGTAGCAAGACCCGTTCCAGAACGCCAAGTGAAGGACACAAGAACGTACCAGCTCGACCAGCTGAGGCGTCGGTTTTCCCCTAAGGAAACAACTCTTGATAATGGAGATCTCTCTCTCCAATTCAGCCTGACTCCTTCGGACCCTGACTTCCCTTACGACCTCGACCATTTGGAGTGTGACCTTCATGTTCCCGAGGCGTATCCCAAGCAGCCACCAACACTACATGTCAGAAACAAGGAAATTCCACGAGGCTTCGCTATCAATATCGAGAAAGGGTGGGACAAGCTAGTTGAGGAGAAACGGGGCGCAACTCTTCTTGCCCTGACTAATGCCCTCGACCGTCGTCTGGAGTCTTTGCTCTCGGAGCAGAAGGCCGAGACGATTAAGTTGACCATCTTCAAGGATGCTCGGCCTCAAGATTCTGAGTCAACCCCAAAGAGGGAGAAGCAACCACAAGAACCGGCCGTTAACCCTCCTCCACTACCAGCCCGGCCACGATATGTCCCTGAGGAGCCGTTCTCTAAGGATCAGATTGCAGAAGCTAAGGCCCGCCGTGCTCAGGAGGTTAGGCAACTTGAAGCGCGAATGAGTCGGTTCCCGGCCTACCAGAAGTCATCGGATGGCATCATATACACTCTCCCTCTGGAGCCAAGACGCAGGGACGACCTGCCGGTTGGGCTTCGGTCAGTTCAATCTGTCCAGCTCATCATTCCCTTGCTCTACCCGCTACAATCGTTGAGGATACTCCTGAACAATGTTAGCTCTGAGATTGCCGAGCCGCTGGAGGAACTTTTTTGCCAAAAGGCCGCTGAGAAGAAACAGATGACGTTAATGGCCCATCTGAACTTTCTTGCACAGAATATGCACGTTTTGGCGAAGCAGGCCCAGAATCTTCCTGCCCCGAAACTCGAAGCGCCAATTGAGCAGCCTGCCGAAGCAGACCGCGAAGCAAAGGGGGCAGAGCACTCGTCTACTTTTCAGATAGGGAAGGGTCACGTCCATGTCATACCTCGTCCGCCGGAGTGGCTGCTAGAGGATAGAAGTGACGGCTCTGACTTCTCCGACGAGGGTTCTTCGGATGATGAGGGCGACAGTGAAGACAGCGGTGTTCCGGTCGTTGGCCAGCAGGAAGGTGCTGTATTGAATATGTCGACACAAACAGCAGAACTTGGTACAGCGATGTCATTCCCGTCGGTTGAGCTCTACAATATTGAACTTTTGCAGGTTGCCATACTCAATCTGGCTATCAAGTGTGATCGCTGCAAGACTGTGAACGAGATTACCGGTTTGAAGGGCGGTCTAGAGAAACAGAGCAGCTGCAAAAAGTGTGGAACTCCTTTCACTGTCCGCTTTCGTCCAGAGCTTATCCATCAAAACTCAACCCGTGCCGGATTTATCGATGCCACAGCTTGTACTGTGGCCGATCTCCTTCCAAGGTCAGCCTCATCTGCTAATACACCCCGACATCTTCTCACTAACCCTTATTCAGCACCTTTATCCCTACATGCGGTAGCTGTTCAACCGCATCTCCAGGGCTAGTCGCTGTTCGCGGTGATGCCACTACCAACGTTTGCCGCGAGTGCCATGCTCGTTTCACCTTTAAGCTACCGGACGTCAAGTTCCTGGCCTATGCCCCTGGCCTTCGAGGAAACCTTCCTCCTACTACAGGCCCCCGTCGCAGACAAGAGAAGCTCGGCCTGCACGCAGGCGAGCCTCTTCCCAACAAAGGAACTTGCTCACACTATCGGCGCAGTTATCGTTGGTTCCGGTTCTCCTGCTGTGGAAAAGTTTATCCCTGCGATCGGTGCCATGACGCCGGTGAGGATCATATCAATGAATGGGCGAATCGCATGGTGTGTGGGTATTGCTCGAGGGAGCAGAATTATCGTCCAGAGAGCTGGTATGTGCAGCTTTCTATCCCTAACTCTGAGATCATAGTATCGATACTGACCGCAGTGGCTAGTCAATTCTGTGGCAGAAGCGTCATTGGACGCAGAGGAAAGGGGTACTGGGAAGGTGGGAAAGGTACTAGAGATCAGAGGCTGATGAGAAGGAATGACCCAAGGAAGTATAAGAGGATAGGACCGGCAAAGAAGGATAAGGATAAGGATGATTGAAGTCCCAACTAATCTCACAACCTGGTTATAGTTTCTGGGTATCTATCAGCCAGGCCTCAGCCAATCCATGCCTCGTCACGACGTCCAACATGCTCTTGGATCTATCAACGACAGCCTTATGGATTCTCTTTGTGGATGATACCCTTGACATTCATTGTTAACATCAAGAGCAATATCACTGTTACAGAGTGGTAATCTGTAATATCCAAGTCCCGTCGACCACGCTCACACCTTGCCTACAAACAATCACAAGAGGGGCGTCCCTTTAGAGCAGCTTCAACAATATGCGGAATTGATGAAGTTGGCATTGTAGACGTAAGGAGAAGGAGGATTGAGCCATGTTACCTGTCACTAGCCCAACCTGCATTGGCATCTAGAGTGCGAACATGGCTCCAGTAGCGTTGGTCATCCCCCCTGGGTTGGGAGAGGTTACAAGGAAGGGGTTTGATGGGATCAATGGGTTGTGCATCGTTGACCATGCTGTGGATACCACGGCGATTTCACAGATAGGTTTTGATAGTAAGATGCTGGGTATAATGTTCAGGAACAGCCGTGATAGATCGACTTGGCTCTGGTTCACAATCCGGCAGAAAATTATCAAGCTCTTCACGACAGGTCTGATCCCTGAAACAGGACCTTCACCGGCGCAGAATTGGGAAACGACAGCCGTGATAACCGTCTTCGGGCTGTCCGGTGATCAGATAGCTGCCACTAACGTCGTATCTTCGCATTCGCCAAACGCTGTCCCTGTCATCTCTTTACTGTATCAGATTCCTTGTTCAAGCCATTTCCTTTTGTTCAACGCTCCCGGAATAACGCTGTGGAGGGAGCCAGCTAATCCTGACATCTCCATCCATCCAACAGACCGATTTCCACTTCTCCAGCTGCAGGCCTGCAAGCCTTAGAACTGTTAAACTCTATGCTCAGACTAACTTAGCGCTGTGTCAGTGAGCCTTGCTAGCGGCGCCAGATCGCCATCTCCATCCTGTCAATTCACTGGTGGCTGTGATTCCAACTCATGTTTCCAGAACATGAGAGATCAGCTGCCATGACGGGGGAAGAGCCTGGCGTATCGTTACCTTTCCCTTTTGGTGCATAGCTTGGTATGAGGGGGTGCTTTGATTGGCTGAAGCTGTGATGGGTGGTCCATGTTTAGGGGAGATGGGCTGTATTGGTGTCTGAGCTCTGCGTTTGGTGAGCATCAGTTTGGAGCTTTCTTCGTTGAGGCTATTAGGAGTTTTTTTTTTTTTCATTATCCAAATAAGTACTTAGAAAGAAACAACGCCTAAAGTTTGCTTAGGACGTGTCGATTGAGCGTTGACCTGCCGTTGGCCTGATCAACACACCCCGCAGCTAACAGGGGTCGCGTTTCACAAAAAGGCTCACGGACATCACAGTAGGGCTGGCAATCTGCAGGAACTCGATCCCCTGGAACACATTGGAAGAGTTGATCTCGTTCGTATCTTGAATCAACACTCCATCTTCAATGATTGATCCTCCATCCATACAAAATCAAGACTTCTCTTGTCAGATCATAGCTGGATGCCAATTAGCGTTCGGCTAGCCAAACTAACAAGTGAATCGTCTTAGCGCCCAGGCACCCATGGTATTAAAGTTTCAGATCTGACCCCGTGATCACTGTCCATGGCTGCGCCGCCTACGACCCAGCGATCACAGCTGTCAGAGGCCGGTTGCTGTGACCAGCTGTCATCTTTCTGTTGACAAATGCCGATGGCTTTCGCGGTTGCGTACCTGTACATCTGCAGGATGGTTTCTGCTGAACTTGCGCTATACATACGTCGCGGTCAAAGGTCAACACCAGCAAGTCCTGGACAGTATGAATATTGAGATGCGAGCGTGTGGCTAGGCGAGCGCTTGCGCCAGCAGTGAGCATCTTCGCAGTTTCACAGCCAACGAGAGCAGCTTTGACATGGACTTTTGCGGATCATTTATGTCTTTGGGGAAAATCAAACTTAATGATAATTATTTAATGAACAAAAAGCTCCAGTCCGCTTCACCATGACTGACCAAGTTTCGAAGCATCATCTAGCGCTGTTGATCAAGGCCTGACTCGCTGCGCTACTCCGACCTCATACTTTGACAGTCAATAGTGAGGAACCATAATCAATTGTTTTTGAGCTAAAAAAGCAGGTCTTTTAGCGGCTGATGAAACCTCACGCCACAACAAAGGTCCTATACATATGGCGCAGGAATCCTTTAGCTTCTCTCCTAGTCACTTGGATGGCTTATACACATTACAGAAAACTCAGAAATAAGACCCTATACCCTATTGAGCCTGAGGGCCAGTTTCAAAGAGTGCAAGAGGTATGTGACAAGTGTATCTAGAACTTTAAAGACCATCATCTTGCCTGGTGGAATCTAAGGCAGTGTTCCACCGCATGCTTGTGTGCTAGTCATGTGCTCGTCCCTCTAGAAAGTGTCAATCATTGTTGTGCGGTGGTGAAACATCGCATGATAGTGTACTGGGATCATGTTGTTGGGTAACATGCCGTCTAAAACTGTGCCTTGTACCTAGTTTTGCATATTGTAGTACATCCGGCAAACTTTTGGGGGAGCTTCTTCATAGTATTACTGACATGGACACGTTTGTGTATTTCACGACTCTCCTTTCACCCAATAGCTTCTACCTGCCGTCCAACGTCCACAAGCAGAAAGTGACCATTCTGTTGTGGACTTGAGACGAAAGGACACGGGCATAGCTTGCCAAAGTTCAAAGGTGAGAACAAAGGGATCAGTGACCAAGACCCGTCCGTGTTCGGCACAACTAGAACCTCTGACTTCCTGGCAGCCAGTGAGTAAAGATGGCGTATCTCCATCACGATCACCCCGCGCTGCGGCACTTGTTCCGAGTAGATAGTGGGGGGTATGTGCCACCACATACACTATGTATACCGGGGAAGAAGCTTGCATAACCCCAACCGTTTAGTCGTCCATTTGGGTAGGCTGAAGTCCGTTTCAGTCCTTTCTCGACTGCTTTTGCCTGTCACGCACTGAGGATTCCAAACGGTACAAGTCCAGACGTTGTCACGGCGCAGCCACAGAGCGCGGCCACAGACATGCCCACCTGCAAGGTCATCACAGCTCGTAAGAACCCGGAACAGAATTCGGCCCCGAGTCCCAATTCATGCAAAAAGAAAACTGCTCAAGCTAATATTCCTTCCGGTGGTGATAGCATCTTCGTCAACATCCCTCACTCTCTGTGGAGAGGCTGCATGAAGTTCATCGCGAGCCTTGCCATGCCCTACATATGCTTATACACTAACAAGCGCGCGTTACCTTGACTAAGAGCTCCACATTAGGCGCAGCAAAGGTGGAAAACGTGATGCAACTATGTGATATGATTGGGCTTTTTCGTTTGCCTCATAGTTCGCAATTCGCTGAAGTTCGCGGCTCAAGAGCCGAAAGCACGGAGTTAAGGTTGAGAAGCTCATCGTCAGCCTGGAACCCCCGCTGCGTAAGTATTTGTTAGGAGTTAAATGCTCAAAGGCGGGGAAGAGACAGGGGTCCACGTGGAGCGCAGCGCGGGGGGGGGGTGGTTAGCTGATAGCTGCCGCGCCCAGACCTGAACATGATGACGGAATTTTGCGGCTGGGGCACTGCGCTAGAGCTTTATGGATAAGCTTGGGCAAGTAGTGCGGGGTGTTGTTGAGGGGAAATGACAGGATCATGATGGAGTGTTCAGTGACGTTCGACGCCGAAGACGAAGGGGGGGGTTGTTGTCGAACCGGACTCCGGCGTTCAGACATCGCTTGGGACATGCAGAGGTTCAAATCAACTAATCTCTGCTCGACCGGTGTGATGGTGATGCCTGCAACAAGAGTCCAACCCAAGGAACTCTCAGGCGCAGCCCCTGGCGCCCTGACGACGATGACCTTTCATCCTTCCCGCATTCCCGGCTCGGAGCCATTTCGGAAGCATGCGAATTGGCGGCACAGCAAAAGTTGGGATCTTCTCGCACAGACAAAAGTACCTGGTCAGCTTCCGTTATTAGCGGGCTGGAACCGTGGTAGTTGATAAGCAACAGGCAAGGGAGGTAAACACAGCTCGCGGCATAGGCTAGCTCTACATAAGTTGGGTGGTAGCAGTTGCGGACAGTTAACATGATCCAACGCGGCTCGCTTAACTTTTTGCCGGCGCCCTGATTCAGGTGTTCGATCTTTCTGTGCCAAAGGCTCTCCCGTACCAGGGCAGGATCCTGCCGGGGTTCCGGTTCATCTGTCGACCTGCCGGCTAAAGTGGGCAGCTGAGGTTGAGAGAAATGTTAGCTGCCTACCGAAGAGGTTCTGCGGCGGTTGGTTTAAACTTTAGCCGGAGGATTTAGTCGCCTGGCTTGTTCAGAGTCTTAACTAGTTTCATGAGAACACAAGCATATGGGCTTTGTCATCATAGGCAGAGGGACCAAGAGAAGAGGCCGTAAGAACTGAAACGACCGTTTTCTCCCGATTCAATTCCTAATTGCGTCGAGGGTGTAGAGTGAAACTTCTTGGTTTTGCAAGATCTTCTAGACACGCCACTCATGGAGTAGCCTGATTTCCAAAGCTGAGGAGTGTTAAACCTTGAAACGAATTTGCCAGTTAGGTACGGGGGCCAAAAATACCGAAGGAATACTATTTATATATGAAATAGTGTACCGTTCTGTGCAGCCAAAATTGACCCCCTGTTCTGAAGCCTAAAGACGGTAGTTTGAAACCTTCAGTACCTAGTTGAGCACACTCCCCTGGCCAAAACGCTTATAAGCGCTACACAGTAGTACTCAAATTCTAACACTCTTATTGAATCTACAGTTGGACAAGCGAACTTACGGCAAGGTCTCATTGAGGGCGCTCACCTGCCCTCGCCGACAATGATCCCATTGGGCAGACCGGCCGATTTCTTGTATCACTGGGATGCTTGTGGCCATGAAGAAGAGGTTATTGGACTTGTCAATTAGACTATCGGCATCGAGCAAATCAGAGAAAAGAACAAGCCCGGGAACCAAG